CTGCTGCCATGCGTATAATATCACTGTAACTAAGTAGGTGATGTTGCATTTTGTGACAAAAATGTCCAGACTTATCGAAATGTCCGGCTTTTTGTCAGGTCTTTTTAATTTTTTAAATAGTAACCCTAACTATAAGCCACAGAAACGCAAAGCCTATTTTGAGTTAAAGGGCAAACTCTTACAATTTAAAATCGTTGCTAAATAAATGTAAAATAGCTAATAGGGTAGCAGACTTATTACGGATTGAAATTACAATTTTCAATTACAAACTTCAAAAATACAACTACAAAGATTGTCTTTTTGTCTATGAAAACGGAATTAAAGTTGGTTACCAAAAGAGCAGCATTAGCATTTCAAATATAACTATAAAATATAGAGATTGTGGTGGGGGCAGCTTGCTATCCCCTACGCAGTTGTGGTGTTTACGTCATATCCCGTTAATGACGTGCCATTTCAGTTTGTGAAAATTTCTCCTTTCACCACATCTTGTTATACTTCTTTCTTGCATTTTAAACAATGTGAACTTCTAATAATATCTGTATACTAGATGATAATATAATTAGAGGTTGACGGTAGAGAGGTGAAAATTTTGGTATTTATGTATTTTTTAATGCCACATTATAAAAAAACAAAAAAAAGTCGAAAAAATAAAAAAAAATGTTAGGGGTGGACAACCCTTATCACTTAGGGGTATGAAAATAGATAGTAGCCGATTCTCAGACCTACTGAATATGCATATAAAATTTCATAAAAATCGGTCAAGCCGTTTCGAAGGAGTATGGTAACTAACATTGTGACACGAAAATTTTATATATAAGATATAAAAATCAATTGATTCTCTCTAAAACTTGAGAACGGCTGAACAGATTTATCTTATCTTGGTTTAAAAGGTGAGAAAAATTAGAACAGCTCTGCACCGAAGCGAAGCGAGGGCGGGCCACTAGTAATTAATAAAAAAATCCGAATCTACTACCCCTATTAGCTGCTAAATTATATTTGAAAATTTAGTTAACAACTTTAACTTTATTAGACTATGAGCTGTGCATGACATTATAAATATTTGAAGTGTTACATTTATATTGATTGTATTAAAAATATGTCCCAAAATAATTGAATAATCTGTAGAAAGTTAAACTTTTCTATCGACGCAACGATTATATTAAATTTATCATACTGATGTCTTAAGACCTCAGAATACCCATGGAACTTTTATTGAAATTTAAAAATACTATGCGTGAACCAAATCCTACCTACCAGCTCTTTAGGCCCAATACATAAGGACTGCATTTGTTTAACTACTAGCTTTGCAAAACTGCAGTTTGAATGAAGTTTTGCGGTTGTCACAACTGCAAGTCAACTACGTTTTGACGTTACAAATAGTTACAGTCCTTAGAATTACAAATCAAAATGCACGCTGACCAGACAGTTCGTTGGCAATTTCGAAGCAATTATATTAACTACACCTAAACTGCCTTTAAGCTGCTATTTCGCAGCTAATTGGTTATTCAAATGTAGCCCGTATGTATTGAGCGACAAGTGTAATTGAAGTTATTCAATCACACTTGCGACACCGTATATCGGCTAAAAGTCACGTACTCTCACTAATCAGTCCTACTCCATATTCCATACACACAAAACTTTAAACGCCTTTTTACAAAACGTAGAAATGAAATGAAATTATGTGCTAAAAGACGAAAGAGACAAGACTAAATTTAAACCAAGACCAACTTTAGTCCACGTTTTGGAATAAGGCGGTAAGCGTTTCCGATATCGACTAGTGCAACTCGTTCTGACTGGAGTGTTGAAGTAGTTCAAGGACCTTGCCACTGTCTTTTCTATATACCTATATATGTGATTGAAAAAATACTTCACGCCAAAGGATCCTAATTCTGTCAGTCTAACCTTCAGAGTCTATTTAAGTAGTTTGACCAAAAGGATTTTTTCCTATTTGTTTCTTATGTTTTTTCCTTTTGAATAAACTGACCAGAAAGTTTGACCACCACTAAGAGTCTGCTAAATGACGGTATCACATCTTGTTTTGGCTGGCATATGCTGAGAGGGTTGTGGTAAGTTCATGTTTAGTTTTGTTTAACCAATTTTATATTTGTCAAGGGATATACGTTCGTATACAAAAATTCACAAAAGGTGACATATTTATCTATTGACACTACACTGCTACATTTAAAAAATTCAAAGGTTTTATCAAGAACCCTTAGTGCGACTATTCAAGTAAGATATTAATATCACTGTATGCTGCAGCGCGTTCAGTGATATCGTCTCTCTCAACTCCTACTTTTTGGGTTGTTAAAGTTCGTGGTACGACCTCAACAACAATAATTCTAAAAAAGGTAAGCAAAAAAACCCGATGAACGAGTTATCGAAAGTCCTTCAATACAGCACTCAGATATTTTACTAACATCGAAATGACAGATAAAGTACGTTCGCCGAGCAGAAAGAATTTTGTACAATGACCCCACGATACCCATCCTTATCGTTCGCGAGCAATTATGTAGCTGTCTCGCTCGCACACATACCGTGTGTAGTACTGTGTGTAAAGCGCAATTTCTATTGAAATTAAGCAATTTGCGAATCGGTTGATCACTCCGTCAGAACGAGTCACCCTCCAAGGATATTCTTCCAAAAACTCCAAACGCGTCAATTTTACATATTGTATAAGTAAACAGTAAGTACGAAATATATCTAACTACATATGTATAAAATTAACAGAAAGCATTTGAATACACACATTTTAACTGCAAACTGGGACTGTCTATGACAAATACGAAAATTATATTGTAGAGTGACAAGTAAAATTATAATCCTTATTACCACAAAAAAGTTAGAAATACATTCAACACGAATTTAAGAAAAAATCTGTATGACAGACATAATTTGTCTAAGCAAGGTTAAAAACCGTGTCTAACTTTTTTGTAGTGAGACCTTATAGGTTTATTACTATTAAACTATAGTTACATCTAATGTTCAAAGAAATCCAATTAATGGCCCGCGCAGACATGGGACCTTTGTCCACGGATTTTTGTCTGCCAAAATAGATTGTTTGCAATTGCATCGCACACGAGATTAAAAGTAACGCGTAAAAAAAAGTCCCCGCATAACCGACGACGCCGAGAGACCAGACAGCAAAAAGTGCGCGGGAATCCCCGAAAAAAAGGAATCATGTGTCAAAGCGCAACACACGCACGCAGCAAATTTAGTCTGCATTGCGCACTCGATCCGTCGAATCGAGTCCTAGAATCCAGTACCTAGACTGGCTCTTTTTTAAAATATTGTTTTCTATTTCTTAAACTTCATGTTATTACAGCATAACGTAATCGCAGAATATTTGCTTCCATAGAGAGCGCTTCTCCTAATTTTCGGGCAACAAATGTCCGCACACCATGTGCGTTGAGTCCGTGGCAAGTTCTTGGCAGACATTTTTTCACGATACAAGGATTTCTGTCCTCCGCGAACAAAAGTCCGTAGTCTGCCCAAGACATAGAAAGTTTTGATCCAATCAAACAGATTTTAGTAAGTCTTCCTGCCATTCCACGATTGATATAGACTTAATGTAAACAAATGCAAAAATTCTTGGAAAAAATAAGATATGAAAAACATTCAATATTACACACACAGCCATTCCATTCCATTTATTCCATTCCATTATCAAGTAAAGCGTTTGAGGTCGTAATTTCCAATAAATTTTTAACTTCTAGTATACCTCGTTCGATATTGTGGTACCAGAAAGATTTGAAACGTTAGATATACGTTTGGTTTAGTAAAATCCAAGGATTCAAAGGATTTGCGGTAAATACTTAACGAAACTTATTTGACAGATCTGCCATATTGTAGTGTAGCCATAGTTGAGATGTGAGTGAAACTTTTGTTCGTTGTAATTTAATTATAAGGGTATTAAACCCACAAACTATTATAAATATCAACTGCCTTACTAGTACTAACTCTCTCACAATTTACTCAAGATGCACGTGATATCAAAGTAACGAGATATATCTAACGATTCTTATCTTAGATTCAATAAAGTACATGAACGTGTGAAATAAAACAACAAGACTGTGCTTAAAAACTTTGACAAATTTACATAACTATTCATAAGGTACTCAAACACTAGGCTTAGTATAGTCTTATGTGTACAAATATTAATAAACTACTTGAAACAAGGAAAGACTAAAATATTTACTAACACATACGTATCACATTTGCCAAAGCTTATAACCACCGAGTTTTGGATGAAAATGGGAGAATGCATATCAATCACATAATAAACAAGAATAAAAGCCCAAATATATTTACCATGAAAAAACATTGTAAAATAACCTAAAAACAAATACAATCGCAAAGCTATGAAAGACCACTGCTTCACACTTACAAGTTGGCCAACTAAATCGCATCAGAATAGAAACAGCAAAACAGATCCAAGTAAATAAACGGATAACGATTGTACCAGCTTAAAGACTTCTCACAGTTTATATGTAAATACAGTTCGTTTGGGACATACGATAATTAGTTATTAGATATGCAATTTAATTTAATTTTGCAACATTCAATTTAATTTGATATGGAATATAGTTATTTGATAATCGACCAACGTAAAATCGAAAGTCTGCGGGTTTCCCTAGAGGTAAGTTTATGTTAGCAATAATTGTACTTATTGCTGTGCATCAAGATTTGTTAAGATAATTAAAATATGACCCAAAAACAACAATGGTATCCGCACTCCTAAATAAGGTTACATAATGCAGTAGCAGAATTCGTTGAATTCGAATGCGTAACTTTTATTGGTCATAAAAAAATACAAGGAAACGGATACTTTCTGTATTTAAGACAGAGATAACGCGTAGAAATTAAAATTACGATACTATTTAACATTTTTATTTACAATTTCTATATTTTAATGATCTTGGTACAGTCGTCCTACTATAGTGTCTTCGTCACAAGTAGGCATCAGAAATTCAACATAGTTTAAAAATGGACGTCACAACGAAGCGGGGAAGCGGAATAAAGCTACATCTATGGCAGCTCAGCTGATATACGAATGGAAAAAGCCTCCATAAACTGGTCTAATCTGACATACACGTTTTCTAAGATCCTGTTACAACTTAAAATGCAGCGTACAACTCGCACATAAACTTCGGTGTGAGCATCTCCCATTTCCATCCTGTACAATGTGTAAATAAAAAAATGTAGCTGGCAGTAGAGCTGATCAGTTCAGGACGAGTTTGTCCCGAAGTAAAACCTCGACTCACGAGCAGGTGGTAATGTTGAGCTTAGCGAAGTAGTCCAATAAGCCTTGGAGACGTTTCTTGACCCGTTTCTGGTCGTCTAATGTGCAGCCCAAGATGGCGGACTCGAAGTTCTTGTCGGTGCCGCTGGAGGGGTCCGGGTGGGAGGTGCAGGCGTTCATGTAGGTTTGGCAACGTGTATGGGCTACTACAGCGTCGTCACCGTGGACGGACATCACGAGTTGATCGATGTACATGTTCACCTGGTGGGTAAAGACCTTATTCTAGAAATCGTAAGTGGAATTCCTTGCCCGCGCACGTGTTCCCTCCTTCCTACAATCTGGGGTCCTTTAAGAGAGGTGTGAGGAAGCATTTTTGCAGGCCGGCAAGGTGAGGATGTTTGCTGTAGCCGTTTATAACTGCTGTACCAGCTATCTTCGCGTATGGACTTTATCACCGCTTAACATCAGGTGGGGTAGAGTCATTTGCCTACATCGCTATAAAAAAAATCGTCTAATCTAAAACTGCACCTCCCTCCACACATTATGGTACTTTTATGAGTGATCGAAGCGTGCTGCCACGTTCGTATCTAACCGGCGCACTATGTGGAGATCGAGTCGGTTTCGGGTCATAAATCTATAACTTCCATGTTTTTATAGATATACAGCTGATTTTTTTTTTAGGTAATCTGAGATAAACGTACTTTAAAATAATATACAGTCTATGCATATAAAAATATATTTAATAATTGTAAAAAAATACAAAACATGAAATATTGAAAAATTATCATAAATTTACGACTAATTTTAAACAATGTGACCTAAATGTTATAATTAATACAAAATAAACACATAAAATTACTCTTATTAATTAAATATAATAAGAAAAAGAAAATAACATAGAATTATATTATTCTACTAGCTCTACAGCTTCATCTATAAGTTCCGTAGACTTTTTATTGGAAGGTTTTCTTAAACTTGTTATGTAAGGGTCTGAAGTGTACAAAAGTGTATGTAAAACGTCTTCATTTGTAGCTACTCTAGAGCATTTTCTAGCATGATGAAGTCTGAATCGTTTATAGTCTTTGTTCCTTGATTCCTGGGCATCTTCGGAGAGCTGTCCAAGAGGTAACACTGAATAATGCCGAATTACACTTTCCCCATGAATTAGGACTTTATGGACAGATGATGGCATATAATACCACATATATTTACTAACATATCGTTGTGCTGTATCGAAAGCATACTGTCCAAATTTCGTAGCATTAATTACTTTTCCGCTAGACATAACTTGAAGTAAAACATAAAATCGTTTTATCAATTCCTCATCCACACCGGTAATTTCTGCAGTGCACTGATAATTTTGAAAAAATCGTCTAGCTGTATTACCGTCATTACTGTTACCAGAACCTTGCTTAGGTTTATCTATGTTTAAACCAAGTTCTTCTCTGAACCTTCTTTGTACATATGTCTTCTTTTGTTTTTTCAAATCTTTATTTTCTGTCGTTGTAGCAGACCATTTTTCAAAGCCTACATTATAAGATATATGTAAAATTAGTTCCATGAATCTAATCCAGCAATGTAAACTCGAAAGCCCATATTGATAAGAATTTTCGTCAACAGGTTTATTTTGTACTTTTTCTAAATTGTTCATCTCTGTAGGTCTTGCACCACAAATAGTACATACAGCACCTGATGAAGTTTCTGACAAAACTTGAGCCACTTTCCCATCAACCATTGTCAAAAATAATGTGTGTTTGATTTCAATACTTTCACCATTTTTATTGATTAAGCTTGTTGTGAGAGCGTTTCTTTGAGCTATAATTTCATTAACTACACTTGTAGTTTTCTCTGGTGTCTCTTTTGAAAATTCTATTAAAATGGGCCTACAAAATCTTACTGATGATGGAACAGGGTTTTCCCACAAAGTTTCATTTGTATTAATATCAACAAGTTTCAGAGGTACTAATGAAGATATAAATAAATTTGTGTCAGAAATTAACGCATCCTCTTCAGTTAAGACTTGCTTGTATTCACTTTGTCCGCTTGAGCCATCACAGCCCCATTTCGAATACAGAATTAAATGTTTTTTGCCAGCTTTGTATACACCATTGATTTTCAAAATTCTTGCAATAGTGTGATCCAGCAGATCTTGCAGTTTTATTTTTGCTGTAATATTATTAATTTCTATGCTTGATCTTGGTGGATAGCACATTCCTTTAGCTTCCTGAATTGATTTATATGACGGAAATAATACGCAGTTCTTCGCAATTAAGTAATTTCTCATGTTTTCATACTGTCCCATGTTAAGGTCCAACTCTATAAAAATACTGAGAGCTTCATCTTTAGAGTACGCTGTTAAATGTGCCGGTTCATTTAAAAGATTTTGACGTATTTCACTTTTTTTATCTATGGGTAATACTCGTAAAATTTCGACAATGAATGCTTCTTCCGTTTCCCCTTGAGATCTCAATCCTTGAAGATATGAATTCAGTATAAAATCAAGGCCACATGTTTCAAGCAACTCCTTGTTTTTTCGTCTTTGTGTTCTATCGTAACTGTCTTCGTAGGTTTTAGAAGGGCGTCCTCGCTTCCCCGTCGATGTCGAAGGTTCAGATTCACAAGTAGGATCTTCCAGATTTACTGTGAATGTGGCATTCAACCACAGGCTATTCTGATTTAAAAATTTTTCTTTATTTCTGCCAGATTTAGTGTAGCGTTGACGAAAGTTCGTAATAAGATTTTTTTGTACACTCGCGACAATTTTAGCGATATTTGCCTCAGAAAAGTTGATAAAATTATTCCGTATATAACTTGTTAAAGCAACAACATAATTCCCGTCACTTTCAATCAAAACAAGACAGGTCGCGTCTGGTACATTGGAATTCACTCATTGCGAGAGAGTAGGTGGTTAGATACACTTTTAGTAACGACAATAACGAACGAAAAACAGTATGTAATTATTCAGTATGCAGATGCTCTATTTTATATTAAATAACTGATTTGAAACGTATGCAAAATATGGGAATAAAAACTATTTATCATTATGTGGTTACTCGGTTTCCTATGTGTTTTATTGATAATTTATTTTGTAGGCGAACTAAAAATGGTGAGAAATACTCGATACATTATCAAAACATAAACCGCAATTAATAATATATCACAAGTGTAACCTATATCAACTAATAAAACAAATAGATTCGCCCACGTATTTTTAAGAAATTATTACTATTTCATGTTATGATAGATAGCATTATGTTGTGCAATGAAGTTGCAACTTTTTTTTTGTTCCTGTATAAAAATATTAAATTTCCTATCAAATAACATCATTTACAGACCTTCGGCAAATTTCGGCAACTGTCAAAACTCTAATTGAAAGTTTCAGATACGCAAAAATGATATGTCATGAGATAAATATTTCTAGTAAATATATTTATAAATATATAGCATATTTGTGTATACCAAAAAAAAGTATATATTATAAGCTTTCTAAAATGGTATAATACTTGTATAATTTTTATTGCTAGCTTACTAGAAAATCATCCTGAAAAAAATACAAATTATGATGTTTTCGTGATAATTTTTCAATCATCGTATTTAGATGCTCTTTACTATAAAAAAGTACTAGTTACATACATAATTTATACATAATATAGTAGATCAACTTCTTAGCTATAGTTTGAGGTATAATACAAGTACCTGCGCCGATTTTTACAAAATGTATTTATGGCCAAGCTCTCTTAGGGACCTCCACATAGTGCGGCGACTGAATCAACTGAATGACCAATGACTACAGCTGATTTGAGGGCATCTGTACACTGATTGTGCATGTAAGACTAAGAGAATGGACGGCCATTCAGTTTCAGATTAGACAATCTCTATCATACAAACTTTGATCAACAAAACTATAGATAACGGGTCAGCTTACTTGAGGCGTGAGTTCTTATTTTCAATTAGTTCGGTTGATACACAGCGTCACGATGACCCAATGTGCATTCAAAAGTTGCAAAAATAACTACCGAATAAGCAATGTTTCTGCCGGAGTGTCTTACTTTCAGTAAGAACATGTAAAATACACTATATTTTATGCATAATCCTATCAAGTTATGTCATATTTCTAATAAAATCACAGTAGTCAAACCTCCGCTATGATTAATTGACAACGTTGGTCCAATATTTGTCCAACGTTTTTCCAACAACCATTTCGCAGTGACTTAAAGAATCGATATAAAATCGAAATAACTCGCTGGCCAATGACTGGTAAAAATACTTTATTTTTTGGGTCATAAGGTTGATTTCACATTTTCCTTTTTTCACCTTTATCGTATTTTTCCAAGTTAAATAATTGTCTTGTTCGTTTTATAAAATGAAAGGTCGTATGTACGAAATAACCTATTATTATTTGTAACGTTATTCCTTTGTGGTTGTAATTAGGTTCAACTTAAACTGTTTTAAAACATTTTTCTTTGGTCATTGGGAATCGAATGTAGCTGCATAAGTATATACACACGCGGACAGTTTTTTGCTTTGTTTTTGTAAGCAACCCGTTATCTATAGAATTGTTGATCGGAGCATACCATATACAATACTTGTTTGAATGCAAAAAAATACAGAAAGTGAGTTAGTATATCGAGTAAACACACGTTTCAATGAGCGGTGGTATCGCTAAAAGCGATTTACCAGATAACATTTGGTTGGAAAGGATTGAACAAAATAAACATATAAACCGAATTCATAAAAGTATTAAAATATGGAACATGTTCTTTCAACAGGGGAAAAAATACAGAATTCCATTGATTCTTGGTAGAGAATTCGTGACGAGACGATCGCTGAACAGCCTTTTTTGTGTCTGGAAAACACCTTACGCATCCTTCAACCACTGGGGGAACGAGTAGGTATGTGGGGCTTTCTCCCTGTTGGGACCCCTCCCTGGGAGTACCATCCCAAATGTGGGTCTAAAGAGCTGCTATAAAATTAGTCTTGTGGATATGTAACTCTGTCTATTTGGCGATTATTGGGATTCTGAGTTTGAATTTCAGACCTAGTATTTAGTAACAACATGATGCGCAACCAAAAAGAAAAACCAAGTAAAGTTTACAGTTACCAACTGGTACCCCAGAGATGGGAAAATAAGCAGGGGACGGTTATCAAGGAAGGAAGATGAGCTCAAGCACGGTGGGAGTTCACTGAAGAAGATTAGAAGAAAGATGAAGCCGAAAAGAGATCTGATTGGAGAAGATCAGAAACAGCGTATCTTCAGAGATATGAATATCAACAAAATTTTCTGTATTGGCTGGGGGAGGCGTTGTGTCACTGACACGCTGCCTACAATACTCAACAGTTACGTAAATTTTTACTCATTTAAAAAAACTAGTAGCTTAAAGCTAGCTAAGCTAAAGGCTTTTTTAGTTCATTCAATTTTTTGGTAAAAGCCTCTGTTTAGTTGTAGGACTAATAAAATTAATGCGAATATGCCCTGAGCTCATCTATTTAAATAAATTTCATAGAACGGGTCATATTGATATCCTCTTTTTTGAAGAGGGTTTAGAATATTAGTGGTTTCTGAGCATTAAATTTTACATATAGCACTGACCTGATGCAAAGCTTCCTCCTGCTGCGCGTCGCGATCGGTGCGCACGGCCACGTCTACAGTCATCGCTCGCGCCAAAATGCGGTCCGCATACCGTACGATGTCTTCCTTGTCACCTGCCGTGTCAAATGTTCATATATATTTTAGTGTGATTCATACTTAATGGCGGCTGTGTACTTAGCGTGAGTGGCGGCGCAGTAAATTATAGACATAGAAAACTGACTGAGCGATACTCGCGTAAAATCGACATCGCTCTAGAAAGAGACAATAACAACCGATACATAGACGATTTTTCGGCCGCCCTATCAATTCGGTTCTCGCCGTTCGCTCGTCGCGCAACGTCCACTCGTGGTCGAGTAGCAAACTCAGGTGGACGCCGCGTTGTCAACCCGCTAACGTCAGGTGGACCACGGGTGGACGCTTCGTTGTCAATCAGTCAAACGCGGAGTCAACTACGCCGCGTCGCCGCGTAGTTGACTCCGCGCTGTCAGCGAAAATTAAGTAGTTTGTAAGTTATCCTCACTATGTTTACACGTGTTTTCACAATGTTTAATTTTACAAACCGCGATTTGGCTGCAATAACTATCACGCTCGATGAAAAAGTAAATGAAATGCGTTGTCAAATCGCAGGCTGCACGCGGTCCACTCAGGAGCAGCACGTTTACAACCAGCGGCTAGCACACGGCAACGGGTGGTCACCGAGTAGACCGCCCGCGCGCAGACAGCTTGCGAGCGAGACGATCAGGTGACGGTATGGAGTTGATGTAGTGAGCGCATATCCATAGAAATCCACCCAAAGAATATCAACCGCATCAACCAAGTTAAAGCGGTGCTGGTCGGGTTCTGGGTGTGAATGAGCTGTGACCTTTACTTGACTGTTGGATAGGGTACGCAAACAGTCCACTCTCTGTCTATTCAGTAAAAGAAATTTTGACGTGCGCGGGGTTTCTCTAACTGAAATTACGCATAGTTACGCTCTTTACAAACTACATGGTAAAAAATTACCATTTATTACCAATTTAAACGCCAGCAACAATCACGTACCTGTGTTGTGTACTTGAACTTTAGTCATTTATGTGTTTACTTTTATTATATACAGGAAAATAACCGAGTAACAACATTCGTTGCACTGCATTAACATGCAGAGTGAAAATTATACATAACCAGCTGTGCCTCGCGGTGTTACCTGCGGTTTATTAGGGATATTTTCCCGCAGTAAAACGTAGCCTATGTGTTAATCCAGGGTGTCAGCTAACTCCATGCCAAATTTTATTAAAAAGGCTCCAACCGTTTAGACGTGAAGAAGTAACAAACATACACACTCACAAACTTTCGCCTTCATAATATTAGTGTGATAGTGTGATTAAACATAACCATATACAAATTATCAAATATTCAGTCTGCAGGCAATATTGAATTTAATATTTTGATAGCCAACTCTGGTTCTGTCACTTATTTCATTACACTTGGTATTGCAGGTGAATTTTTATATGTCTATTGTGCTACCCATGTATGTGCTTTGGGTACTGATGAAGTATTCAATGTCATATATTACGAAACATATGGAGGAAACAATAGCATATTCAAACAATTTGAAGGCAGTCACTCACTACATTATCAATTCAATTCAATTTATTGCACTCATGCCGTTACATAGATGGTTACAAAAATGCATAAAGTACCTTACATGAACCCTGACAGGGTATCGAAATACATGGTGTCTTATAAATAATAATTTACAAAAGAGAAATTCATTTATAAACAATTATGTATTTATAATGAAGAACTTAATTTACATTAAACAACATTTCTCAAATCATGCATAAATGTCATCTGATTTCATTAATTTTATAATATAACTTACTGAAATTGATCTTATTTACTTACAGTAATAGTTTAATTTAGTAAATAAAACTAGTTTTTACGGGTTAATGCACGAAACTTTATTTATTTATTGACGTTTCGCAGCCTTTACAGGCTGCGTCGTCAGAATCAATTTTTTATTTAATTTTGTCGAGCTACCATCGGACAAAATTAAATAAAAAGTAAAGGCTGCGAAACGTCAATAAATAAATAAAGTTTCGTGCATTAACCCGTAAAAACTAGTTTTATTTAATTTAGTACTTTAATTTTGTAACTATTATTTAGGAAATTCATTTATAAAATATAATTTATGATTTTTTTTTTATTATTTCCAACACTCACACCAATTAGCCTAGCCACAAAGTAAGCACTATAAGGCTTGTGTTATGAGGTACTAGGGTAACGTATAGAATACATATACTGTACATATATAAGTATATTTATATATAAATCATATTAAACATCCATGACTGGAGTACAAATGCTCGTGTTTATCACACTAAACATCTGCCCCCACCGGGATTCGAACCCGGGACCTCTCGAGTCGGCGACACCATGAAACCCGGCGTACAAACCACTCGGCCACGGAGGTCGTCAAAATTTGTCAATAATTTAAATTAATAAATATGTCAATAAAAATAAACCAATTAAATAATAAATCAATAAACATGGTTGTTATTATAATCTAGGTTTATATATTAAAGAAAGTCAGTTAGTCATTATTATGTCTTAAGATTAATTTTAAAATAAAAAAACAATCAAATCAATATTTCTTTCTTATGTTTTCATGCATGGCAATACTTTAATGGATAAATTTTCATGGTCAATTAAATTTTAGGTGCAGTGACACAAAACACTAATATAATTTTTATTATTGGAAGATCTAAATTGAAGTCTAGAAATTAATGTGTTTGCCAGCTTACTGCTGCAGAAATATTCATCATAATAGTTTTTGAAATAACTGTTCTGTTGTAAACCTAAAGAAATAGCTAAGGATCCATTTTATGCTTTTATTGCATTCACACCATATGTAAACTTGGTTCTTTTATAAAAGGGAAAAAGGGATAATTTTATTTATTAAAAAAAAATCCAATTGGATTAGTCTGCAACTAAATAAATACACAAAAGTATATTACATTACAATTATCAAACTGTTTTTTTATAGAGAAATTATATTTGGGGGAAGTTGATGGCACAGGCAGGCAGTGCATTTGGCAATGGTTGGTCATTAGATGGGTGACTTATAATTTCGAGCTCCTCTGAACCTTGGAAGATATGTTAAGCCATTCTTCCCAGCTGAATCTACAGTTTTTAGTACCTTCAATTAGCACTGGGCCTACATGAATAATATTTAAAACTTACACTCAGTAATGTCAGTGAGGAGATCCGAGTGCTTCACACTGTCTAGAGTGGAGAGCAAAGAGTCCTTCTCCTCTTCAATTCGCACTGTGTCTCTTCTTAGTCGCTCCACTCTCATTTCAACCTGATCCAACACTGCTATTAACCTGTAACATAAATATAATAATAAAATAAATTTTTTGCAGCCTCGAGTAGGAGCAGTACATAATTAACACGTAATGCAAATGTCATGGTTACTAAATAATCACATAATTATAAACAAAAATAAACTATGGGAAACAATTTGCAATAGGCAAGTCTACAACACAGCTTTACTAGAATTGATTATTAGTTTCATATTTCTTTTGGATTAAAAAATTAAATATAATACATTTTTAACAAAGCAAAGATGTTTAACAATTTGCTTTGATCTTTTTAAAGATACTTTGAGTCTATTTTATAAACAATAACACAAATAAATTTTATTGTAAAACAAATCCCTCTTTGTGCATTCATTGATCAGACTAAAATTGACATAAAATATCTATAGATAATTTGCAGTATAGATGCTATCAGATAATCTATCATACCTTTTATAATCAATAGAAATTATATAAAGAACCCACATATATCTATTATGTAATTAAGTCCATATTCCAACAAATTGACCTTTCAAGTCATAAGAATAAAATTTCAAATAAATTTTATATATAATTGTTTCAATATTATTTTTAGCCAAAGTAAGTAATTAGATTTCTTTTGACTAATGAATGTTAAGCTTAGTTACTCCTTAAAGTGAACTACATCATTAATAAAATAACAAACTTTCATCTCTCAAAGGTGCCTTAAACCTGCACCAACAATGAATATTTTTGTTATCACTAGTATAGTTAGTGCCATTCTTATCAGTTTAATCAGCAGGTAGGATGAGTAAGCCTTAAAAATTTATTCAACCTACTAAAAAAATTAAGCTACTTTAAAACATTTTGGTCGAAATGACTATTTCTCAATAGTCGTGACTATCGTGACTACTAATGCGAGTGTGGGTGGCAAATTAATATTAACTTCTTATAACGACGCCGTTACGGTGTTGACCATTTTTGGCCAGCGTGGTAGCAAGAACTCCGCATTGCGCAAAATTATTATGAAACTGATAGATACAACGTACTACGAGTTTATCATCGTCTGTAAAGTTTACCGACCTGTCCTTGGGTGCTTGCGTTCCCAAAGCCGACGATTCGTCAATGAGGGGAAGCCGCGATCCCTCGCCGGTGCAGCTCCATTCGATCGCGAACTGATCAACTTCCATTGTGTTTTGATTAAGTTTTTGCTGTGCTGCCACTGCCACTATTGTTTTGTTTTAAGCGCGTATGAATGATTCTTTTTCCAACGAAATTAACAATAAAACCAAGAAAACAATCAACGCAGTCCTTTTGAGGGAGACGTCACTGTCAGAAATAACAAACGTCAAAATGACAAGTTAAACAAAAATGACATAGATAAAAATTATCAGAAATCACAAATCTGTGACATAACAACATAACAATAAAAACAGTACACACAGTCACACAATTACTGTACATAATCTCTTATTAATGTTAAGTAATACGAATGACTAACTTTTATAAAAGTATTTTTTTTAAATGAGAGGTGACGTGACTAATGTTCAGTACTCAGAGTAATTGTTCAGTATTTCATATATTTTAGTTCAAGGAAGCTTTTAAGAGAGGTAGGGAAGGCAAAACGGATTTTCCGCTCGAATTGCAGCGCTCGTCTGAGGAGTAACCGTCACCTTATAAAAGACCACAGTAAAATAATACTTACTACCTTTTGTTGGTGTTGTGTTTCTGTCGGTGAGTGAAGTTCCAGGGCTCCACGGGATAGGGGTTAGGTCAGGGTAGGCAACGGCGCGAGATTTTTGTATTGCATCGCAAGCGTCTATGTATGCTATGGTGAACGCCATTTACCGCCATTACCATCGTGGATCATATGCTTGTTTGATACTATATTATTGTTTAATACTTTAACATAAAAAATACACCTAACGGTAGAAGTTAGTTTTTTTCAATAAACAACTCTTATTTACATGTACGTGACCGCGACTTCGTCTCCGTAAAGGCTACCATTCACGTACGGACCGGTCCGGCGGATTTGTCCACCATCGGTTGCGCTGCGACTAATCCGCCAGTGTATGGAAGCGACGAACCGGTACGCCAGACTGTCAAATGGGTCGGTGTCGCGAGCGCCCATCCAACCGCGCCGGGCCCGACCTATCCGGGGATGTGTGTGCACGGCCGATTAGTTGGTTTAGATTTTCTCTTTGAATATAGGGAGTAATCATCTCCAATGTATAGTCCATCCTCACATAATTTATGTAATCGGGAGGCTTACATATCTGAATAGATTAGTAGATTCACCGAATCTAGGGTACAAGTCCAAACTGAACCGCAGACCACAGGCCGCAGCTGCAGACTGCAGAAGACACTACTAGTTTTTATGAATCTCTATGAAATTTATTCAGAGCGCGGCGACATGCCGTGGCTGCACAATGCATCTAAGGCACGGTCAGCCGCAGTGTCGCCTGCGCTTGTCGTCTGCAGCCCATTGCGGAATTGTACCTTTAAGGTACAAGTCCGAACTGAACCGCAGACCACAGGGCGCAGCTGCAGACTGCAGGCGACACTACTAGTTTCTATGAAGGTACAAGTCCGAACTGAACCGCAGACCACAGGCCGCAGCTGCAGACTACACCACTAGTTTCTATGAATCTCTAAGAAATTGATTCCCAGCGCGGCGACATTGCGGCCTGCAACAGCGGCACGTAGCCTGCGGTTGCGGCGTGCAGCGACCGCAGACTGCAGTTCCAGTGGTGTCGCCAAACGCAGAGAGGTCACACCGAAGATTTGAAGCTTTAGATATGCCATTACCACAGTTTGACCGCACCGATATGTCAATACTCGAATGAGCTAACTCCCATATTTTTCCAATTCCTATATTTTGCAAGAAAAGTGTATTATAATACCGTCGTGTGCCTTCCGAAAGTGCTCTAACAATTCCAGAAATACAAATAAAGCTCATGGTGTAACATTACAGTCGTAAGTCTTTAGATTTCATTTTTATTAAATTTAATTTCTTTCTTTGTCATGAATATTGTTTGTTGAAAAAAAAGTAATGTTGAAAAATATTGCTAGCCAAAAAGAGACAACACTATACTCTCGGTATTCGAAAGTATTGGAGTGACTGAGGCACGGTTAGCCGCAGTGTCGCCTGCGGTTGTCGTCTGCAGCTAATTGCGAAATTGTATATTTAGTTTGTGTTAGTTAGACAAATGACAAAGTAATTTGATTACAAAAATTTCATTGCATTCCATTCTGCGGTGATATAAATTTAACCAAATACGATTAGGACGCTATAGTATTTCTACCAGGAATCAAACATCATCATTGACGATGGCCCGACTTCAAAAAAAAGGAGGAGGTTCTCAATTCGATTTTTGAAGTGAAAACTTCTTTAGCGGCGTTGTACACTTTTTTTGTATGGGTAAAAAATGTTAAACTCGCGTCAGGTTAAACACGTGGGCTGATCGCATCATGACACACAATAAAATTGGAAAGGTTGTTGACTTTCAATAAATTGGACGAAACATAGCAATATTTTATTTTATCGTATTATAATAATAAGCCTTTATCTAGGACGACCACGTGGCAGCTTTATTGGGAAGAAAATGATTTTTTTTTTACAATATGTCGCTAGGCGCGCTTAAATGTGATTCATGTAAGTTGATTTTTCTGAGAGATAAACTTTTTTTAATGTAATATAAATTGTCATGTTTGTGTACGATAGCGCAATAAATAAATATTGTATTCTACCCCATACATAATAGTCACATAATAGTACTTTTATACAGATAATTTAAAGGAATTCGTGCAAAATCATTCCCTAACCATTCCAAAATATCAAAAATGCACAACGTTAATATTCCAACCCGTCGTTTTTTTTATGCTTGTGCTTGTTACCTCATAACTTTCGACTGAATGAACCGATTCTGATGATTCATTTTTAATTGAAAGCTGGTACTTCCCGTGTGTTGTGTTCCCATTTCAATTCGGCAGTTCTGACAATGGCATCTATAAGAAAACTACATACCTTAAATTTTTCATCGACAAATAGACGAATAACTGAATATCACGCCAACCAATTTTGGTGATTGTTTTTTTGTTTGGAATAGATTGTTAGCGAGATGGTCCCATATTAATTTGGTGAGGATCTGATAAATCCTTTAGGAGATAAACAACGGAATAATACACATATCGTGTTTAGTTATTTTACTTGCTCATTTAGTCAAATTTACATTTGGAGTCGGAGCCATGCCAACCCAAGTTGTAAATGGACACTCAGATCTATCAATATTCATGGCACCGAATACAAATGATAATGTGACTTTCACTGTAGATATAAGTAAGAAAATGCATTATTTCATACATTTTAGTGGTTTTGTTTACTGAAGTCGGTTTTTATTTTGTGTTAAAGAGTTTTTTACGTACTAATTTATTCCATTCGTCGCATATACATGGAAATGCCTTCTGCCACTTCTGTCCAGTTTTTTTTACACTTTGGTTAAAAGGTTTCATAGCAAAGTTAAATTAATGAATAAACTTTTATAAAATTATTTATTAAGTGCACATAGAACATTCTTATGTATGTTCCATTATGATTATTTTTATCACAAATATAACATTAAAATAAAATATTTTCTTCATAAAATAACAAGATTAAATACTGAGTGATTTTTTCATGTATGCACCTAAACTAAAACCAGCCTTAAACTTATTCCGCCTTATTACAAAACGTAGACTAAAGTTAAACCTAAGGACTAAATAAAGCTGATGCTGTCACTTCTGTTTGCTAAAAAAAAGACAACATTAGATTTCAATCAAGACTAACTTTAGTCCGAATTTTGGAATAAGGCGTTAAATCTAGTAAATGACAATGGTTGTTAATCAAATAATATAGAATTCGGCTTATAATATTCAATGAATACATAAAAATGCTCTCAGACAAGTTAAGAGGTTAACAAAAATATTATCTAGTCCAATATTACCTTAAACAAAAAATAAGAGAAAGTAATACAATGGCACAATATAAATAAATTGGTTGAGATTAATAAATTTGAAATAAATTAACTATAAAGTTGGGACCTACTTATACTTCTTAAAATATGATGAATATTGCATATAATATTATGTACATTTCTGCGCTAAGAACAGCGCGGCAGACTACCACAAAAAAACAGTGCAATCAACTATGATCTTTAACTTTACCACTAAATGTAAGACCGCACTAGGCGGAACTGCACTGCAGCGGAGCGACGCGACACTGCACTTCAAAAGATTGTTTCTAATAAAACGTATTAAACATACCGCACTACGTGGCAATAGAACTACGCTGCGCGAGTGCGACACGACGCTACAGAGTTGGGTAACCAAGCAAAATTGACGCGCAGTGTCGCAACGCGCAGTTCCGTTGCCGCTAGGTGCGTTTATAGTAAGCAGCGCGACCGCGACGCGTCCCTTCATATTTATGAAATATGTATGAAATATTTTTAAGTCTCTTTTAAGCCGTGGCAAGTACATGATATTCTTCTTCTTCATATCTCGATTTTGGAATGACATGAATCCATAGTCTTGGTTTTTTCTTGATTGCTTTAGCCTTTCTTCTTCCTCGTAAAGCAGTGACACTATGACTATGATGAGTGGTTGCCGACCAACTAACGGACAAAAGTGTCACGCCGCTGCATTTTCAGTGCGATATACCGAACTTCGTCTAGTACTATCGCTTCGCTGAGCTGCAGTGCAGTTCCGCCTAGTGCGGTATTACCTTTAGGCTGAACATTTGAAGAGCTGCTGTGTGTATAAGTACATAATAAAATCTAATTTTACAACAGATATTCAAACGTAAGTAGATATTTTTCTTTAAAAAAACGTTCTATAAATACTACTGTTTCGTTTCGAGTTGCACCACCGCACCGCGCGCCTAGATAGACCCTATTGGTCATCGGTACCGGTTGATGTGCTTGTGATTGGCTAGTGCCACATTTTGTAACGGTTATCGACGGCCAACCATAGAGGTATAAGAATAGAGTAGGGGAGATATAGACTCTACTACAAGTGGAAGTGTCCCTCTAATAGAAAGAGAAAGAAGATGAAAGACCGCTAGCTTCCTCTCTCTAATCGCGCATGAGCATTAGCAACCATAAGCTATTCTGTATTCCGTAACTATTTCGACGTGATGCCATTGGATGCCATGCGTCACAAGAGAGAGAGATAGCTAGCGGTCCCTCATCTTCTTTATCTTTCTACTAGACGGACACTTTTAGAGCCGCTTTTCCCACTCTATTCTTATACCTCTATTTCCTAGATAGATCCTACTAGTCGACCCTATTGATTATCGGTACCGGTTGACGTGCTTGTGATTGGCCAGTGACACATTTTGTAACGGTTTGCGAAGGCCAACTCGAAGCAAACGGATAGTAAATACAGGTCTTCTTAGCAAAACCTCAGACAAATAAACTTGCATAGTAGACGTTTCTGTATGTAAAATTGCTACTACGCAGGCTTTCTTGTCTGTGATCGTTGCTCAAGAAGTTTGAGTGTGGTAACAATGAATATAATTTTATTGTGGTGACTCAATGAGCTGTAAATAAGTCGATAATTTTCATTTATATTAATGAAGTAAGTTAGTGCGTCATAGTTAAAGCAAACTGACAAAGCGTTGACACTATATAAGAATAATCTTAAAGAGTAAGACAGGCGATATGGAGACTTATTAGAATTACACAACTCTTACTTTTAATAAGGACGCTATTTGTGAAGCAGGGCCTTCACACAACACATTTATAACTCACATTTAACAATATCTAATCATTCTCGTCAGTAATTTACAAAATGCTTTATAAGTAGTGTATCTCGAAGAGAACAGCTCTAATAATTTTAATGTATTATATAACTTAAAAAATAAAAAATACAGGACAATCACAATACATACTTTTTTGCGCATTAAATAATAATAATAATTAAGCATGATATTTCTCTTTTACACTATGTTTACATTACATTTATAACAAAAACAAAGAAGGAGAATAAATATTTACACATATAAAAAAACGAATATGCGGTCAATAAGGTCAATTATAATTGAATCTTTTATAAACCTAATGATAGGTACCACTTTTTGCAAACTCGATATGCAAACTTCTTAGGATACACAAGTTGAGTGTTTTCTGGAATGACGGGCACCAGGTGGCAGCACTGAGACGAAAGGTCCACTCATCCGTCAAATCACCTATGTCGTCATAGTCTACGGATCAATTTAAATGCTCGTTCGATAATTCGCGCCAAAAACTTCATACAAAAGGCCTCAGGTCACAGTAGCGCCAACTGGTGGCGTCAATTTTCCTAAACACCCTCATGGATTTAGAACAACGTACACATAGGTGTTATTGCAAATCTAAAATGACGGTCACTGGGATTTATTATTAAGTTATTATTGGTATTATACTACTACAGACCTGAAAGTCTAATCTGGCACGCAAATACGCAATCTTAATTACATTATATTATGCAAAAACACATATTGGTGTCGATTCTGGCATGAATCTTTAAACTTAAAACTTAATTTAACATCAGTCTCTCCTTTTCAATCGTATAGACAATGACAAGGTTACACTGTTGTCAAGTTTAGGTTTAGAAAATTATGCCAGAATCGACACCACTATATTCTTTTAACGCGGACAAATCCTCCAACTGCTTGCATAGAAGGGGTGTAGTCAAGCAATTACAAATAATATGGAATACAAACTGCGCATAAAGTTTTACGCAAACTGCGATCAAGTGGGCGGGGAGAAAAATGCGATCAACACGCCGATAGTAGGATTGGTTGGGATTTCAATTTAACATTATCTTACCCAATGAATGGATAGCCGAATACATTTGCAGATATTTCATTTGTTAAAGTACTTTGTTTCTTCTGTGTGCGTGTCGCGTTAGTACTGAAGTTAAGTTGTATGAGTTTAAAGACAAGTTTTTGCGGTCTTTAATAAAGAATAATGCTTCCATAACATTTCTAATTCGTTTTGTGTAGTAGTTTCACACCAATAATGATTATTAGAAACTTAAACGCTTTGGACTACATAAGTTTATATTTTACGATACTAACATCAAAACTGTGGCTTGATGATGGACATAACATTATTTGACTTTATAATTGACCTTCTAGTATCCTTTGTTTATATTTTATTTTAAGTATAACTTAAACATTATATTTGTGTTTTAGTAGTTTCACGTTCTTTGTAACTATAGTTAAGTCTATAAAAGCTATTTCCTTAAAACTTTGTGAATGTACAGTCAATGACATATGAGACTACCAAGACATGCCTCAATCTGGTTTAAACTTTATGTAAAACATAATATGGTTTAAAAGTTTACGAATAGATTTGACAGTTTTAGATAGTCTTGTGTGATAAAGGCTATACTTTAATCATCAGCCGATATTTACTACATCGCATAATAAAATCTCTATTAAACCTAAAGACGGTACGGGTAAAGCTGTCTCTTTCACAAGGCATTGTCGATGGGTGGATATGGCGCGTGCAAGCAGGACGGCGAATCATTTGCCAGTCCACTCGCTTATTCTACCGTTTTCAAATACGAGGTTCTTCCGGGGTAAAGGTACTAACGTACCCCGTTTCACGATCCCCATATCTTCCCCCGGATAATACTAAAAAAGAAATAGATATGTTAATTCTAAAGATATTTTTACAAAACAAAACCCACGCGGGACAGGTAACAAACGGGACGGGACTTTAGATTTAAACATCTAGCAGTTAAACGCTTAAATATATATATATATATATATATATATATATATTACAAGAAATGTTAATGTTTTTATCACCTACAGTCTGTTTTTTAGTTATGAGAAATTCTATGAGCCACAGTGACCGCTCGCCACCTAGCGGCATATTTGCCTGTATGTCGTTTCTTTGATATAATATCAGAAAATAAAAACAGTCTTCAAAATCCAAATTTCCGTTTAAAAGCAAAAATGATATTAAAACTAGGAAGAGATTTTAATTTTTACTTAGTATACCCCCTCAGCTGTGTAACCATCTACTTAGTTTTTCACGGCCGGATTTCCCTCTAATAATTCGAATTCTACTGTACATCCAGGCTTCATTTATGTCTTAAATCAATCCTGAATAGTTTCTCTACAAACTTATCTCTATATTAGATGCATAAATTAAAACCATAACTAAATATTATAAAACGCAACATAGGAAAATGAAAATATGAAAAAAAAAAATGATTTTTGTCTCCAAGATAAAAAAACAGACTTTAAGAACTTATACATAAGTTGTAGTACTGGTAGTTTTTATTTAGTGCTCGAGAACGAAAAAGAAACGTTTCATTTGTTAGTCTTCAGGTGTAAGATTTTTTATAGTTTAAACACTTACTTGACACTGGGACACAAATTTCAGTACATCAGCACGTATGAAATCATTATCTTCTTTCACTTTATCTAATCTGTAAATAAATTTAATTAAATTTAATACCGATCCCATTAAACATAACCTTAAAACATAATGAATGGATACTTACAAATCAGGTTTTGCTATTTTGTCAACTATAAAATTACATATCTTTTCGCATAAGCTCTCATCAAACAATGGAATGCCGAACTGAAGATCAAGGATTGTCCATTTCTATAACAATATATAAAAAGTAGTATTGTATTACAGATAAATCATTTGAAATATTGATGTTAAGAAAGTAAGTAGTAGCGCAACAGATATTTAGCTCGAATTGAAGTTCTCGCCTGGAGTCTTTTTGCAGATACAAAACTTTCATGATCAGCCTTTAAGTTAACTGCTAGATAAAAGGTTTTACAACAAATAATTCCAATAATCACAGTCGGACCAGGCTGGATTCAAACATCAATGCAAAACTTTTAAGCTTAACGATAGTTGATATGACATCTCCGGACGAATGGTTACTATCTTTCGAAAACCAAACTCCAAATCAATAACTATTTTCAAGTTGCCGCGAAAACGTTTTTCTGGACAATATGGCGTCTTACTAGTGTGTGACGTCACACGATTGTTATTAAAACGTCAAACGATACATTGTAATGTCACTTTAACCGGAAATTTACTTACGTGTGACATCATTTTAGGCTCCGCCAATCCCAAGCGTTTTGGATCACGTGACAATAGATAAGAAAACTATTATCTTTTTCGTAGGTTTTTAGTAAAATTATGTTTTTTTTTTTGTAAAATTAGTAAAAATCCCTGCCAATATTCATTCTAAATACTGATGCTAACAATTGGCCCTTTATTTTTAATACTGTAAATACCCTATTGCCAATAAAAGCAGTAATGAAAATATTAAATGGGGGTGATATTCGAATAAAATTATCTATGAGATGCTTACCTCAGGTTTACAAGACTCTTCATCAGAAAAGTTATGTGCGGTGTCAATCCCACTGTCACCCTCTGCCGTCATCTCGGTCAACTTGTTCGACAGTTGCGTAAACATCGACACTGACTCTTCAGCTGGACTCATCAAATCATTCAACTGACTCATCGATCTCTCGCTAAACGTGTCACTGCCCTTCTTACTGTCGAACTTTAAGTTCTCCACGCTGACAGACGTCGAATTAATCTGAACTAAATCGTCAGAAAGCGCTATCGATTCTTTACTCGTCGATTTCTCAACGCGTCTTTTAAGTTCATCCGCTTTTTCTTTCAAGTCTTCGATGCTTGTGGATACAGAATTTATAGGCATTATATCGTCCGAACCGGCTATTGACTCTTTGCTTTGATGCGATGTTTTCGTGCTATCAATGGCCAGATTATCTAATTCCTCGCACAGTAACTGTCCACATTCAGCGCTCGTGAAGCCATTGGCGGGAGAACTAGTTTTACTGTCTATGGTAGGCGTCACCGCGAAGTGAGACTCTATGGGTGACTGCAACCTCTTTGAATAGTCTGCGGTAGTTTTCTCTGTGGAATCAGTCGATGATAGCGATATTTCACTGATCGGTTTTGCTATTCCACAGTGTTCTTTCTTTTTACGCGGTGGGACTAAAACAATAAATAAAGTAATTTTATAACACATTTGCTCGTAAAGCGTCTCTTATTGCACCAATTTCAATATCATAATCTATTACAATACACACGCATGCTGTAATGTAAAGTAAAACGCACGGCTTATTATGTTCCGTCTAAAAACGAACGATACTTTTTTGAGATAGATAACAGATGAGGAGCTGGCAAGCAAAACGGTATAATTACGCATATGGTCAAATACATGTTTTTTACTGTCCGGAGGTTTCGGGCCCGTTGAATTTGACTCTCAAATAATTTTCAATCAAAACCGCTTAAAACAGTGTTAAAATTACTAAAATAAATTAAAATCCATGCCAAAAGCTCTCTGTTGGTATCTCATTCAGTTTTATACAGCTCCTGTAATTTAATTTTATGTAAATACCGTTTAGTTCGCCAGCACCTCACTGATAGTATATGCGTTATTCAGACCTAATTGTACAGTCACGGGCGGATGAGCACATCCCAGATCGGGAACGCCTATATCCGCGAGCGTCACGTATCCCACTGACCGGTGTAACCTCAACCTGTGCAGTAGTCGACGGAGGCCGGCGTGCCGAGTCCACAACGATTGAGACTCTGCAAAAAAAATATGATTTTAGAGCGGTGCGTAGGTTGTTTACCGAAGAAACAGTGTTGGCAATCTGTTCTTTGGTTTGTACGACATCGCTAACCTTAATTTGAATAATAACCTACTGTGTTATTATGTTGACATATTTTATTTAGTATATGATTTACATTATTGTATTTATATATCTTTCCATATATCTAATTATATTAAAAGCTGGGTAAAATTTGCTTGAATTAAAACCCATTTTAAATATAGGTTTGATACGTTACGACACGGGAAAAGTAACACAGGGGCAGAGGCATGTGACGTCACCTGGGTGGGGCGGGGGCGGGAACATGAGATGGGTGGTGACATCACTGCGGCCGCTCGCAGCAAACCCGAGGACTGACGCGAGGCCTGCACTTTTGACGTAGACGATGACGGTGACGTCACCTGGGTCGGGGGCGGGAACATCAGATGGGTGGTGACATCACTGCGGCCGCTCGCAGCAAACCCGAGGATTGACGTGAGGCCTGCACTTTTGACGTAGACGATGACGGTGACGTCACCTGGGTCGTGGGCGGGAACATGAGATGGGTGGTGACATCACTGCGGCCGCTCGCAGCAAACCCGGGGACTGACGTGAGGCCTGCACTTTTGACGTAGACGATGACGGTGACGTCACCTGGGTCGGGGGCGGGAACATGAGATGGGTGGTGACATCACTGCGGCCGCTCGCAGCAAACCCGGGGACTGACGTGAGGCCTGCACTTTTGACGTAGACGATGACGGTGACGTCACCTGGGTCGGGGGCGGGAACATGAGATGGGTGGTGACATCACTGCGGCCGCTCGCAGCAAACCCGGGGACTGACGTGAGGCCTGCACTTTTGACGTAGACGATGACGGTGACGTCACCTGGGTCGGGGGCGGGAACATGAGATGGGTGGTGACATCACTGCGGCCGCTCGCAGCAAACCCGGGGACTGACGTGAGGCCTGCACTTTTGACGTAGACGATGACGGTGACGTCACCTGGGTCGGGGGCGGGAACATGAGATGGGTGGTGACATCACTGCGGCCGCTCGCAGCAAACCCGGGGACTGACGTGAGGCCTGCACTTTTGACGTAGACGATGACGGTGACGTCACCTGGGTCGGGGGCGGGAACATGAGATGGGTGGTGACATCACTGCGGCCGCTCGCAGCAAACCCGGGGACTGACGTGAGGCCTGCACTTTTGACATAGACGGGGACGGTGACGTCACCTAGGTCAGGGGCAGGAACATGAGATGGGTGGTGAAGGTTCGGTGGTCTAACCCTCTGGAAGCACTCGAAGCCATTCGAAAGAATATAAGTAAAGACCCTCATTGATTTCTTAATTTTAGGGGGAGGGGGCAAATCGTAAGAGGTGGTCCTCGTCACTAAAACGACTGGTCTATACAATGGACAGTATTCCGAGGAATTATTTAATCTGGTGTCAGTGGCCAAGTTCCTTCACTGCACCATAAGCCGCAGAAAGCAGTTTCGCCCCCTACCACCACCATCTGGACGCTTGGCGTTCTAGCACCATGCGATACGAGCGTTCCATTTTCTTGCGTACCAGCAATATTCGCGTACCAGCAAGATTTAAAACAAACTTACCTCACTGGTTTCCCCCCTTAGCTATGATATGGCAGTCTTCAAAAGGCGAGTAAACCTTTTCCTTCAGAGTCGGCAACTAATGAGTGTTGCAAGTGTCCAAGAGCGGCAGAGACCAGTTACCATTAGGTGGACTGCCAGCTCGCTTGCCTGCATAAACACAAAAATACGTTGACGTAGGCGGTGACCTCACCTGGGTCAGTCGCGGGCGGAAACATGACATGTGTAGCCGCGTGCGGGGTCCTTACTGCAGCCGCTTGCAGTAAGACTGGAGCCCTGCGTAGGGCCTGGTTGGCGGCAGCTAGGGCTGCAGCGGCGGACAGAGGAGCTCCCCCCTCTAGCGCGGCCTCCGCCCCCCACCACCACACCCAGAGGCGGGAGTAACCGAGCAGAGCGCGAGGCACGCAGCGGAGGACTGTACCTGGCAGAAAAACGATAACAATTAAAGTGGTATGTACGCTGGTTTTCATTGCGCCGGCTACTCAAGAGTTCCCGGATTCGAATCCCAGCGGGCAGATATTTGTGATGAATACGAGCATATGTACCTAAGTCATGGATGTTTATATGTATTTCGTGTATAATGATAGACATATATAATGTATCAGTATAAGTGTTCTATCCGTTATCCTAGCATCCCATTATACAATACTTACAGTACTTAATTTGGGGTTAGGCTTATTGGTGTGTATGTTGGAAATAGGTATTTATTATTAATAAGACACTACAATATTAAAGGCTGTAGCTATATTCAAACACCATGCAAATTAGAGGCACATCAAAATAATTAGAATAAACCTAAAAAATATAAATAAATAAAAAATCTACATTATCCCTGATGAACATAGGCTATAGAGTATTTTCAAAAAAATTAGGGTTCCGTATGAAAATTTCGATAATGTAACCCAGGGTGTGAAAAAAATAGCAAAAAAATAACCTTATATCGCTTACGCTGCGGAAGTCATCGACAGTAAGGTGATGTACTAAAGTTTTAGAGGACATCAATTTTAGTTAATTTTAGAAAAAAGGTTATAAGGAGCTATTCATTGCTTGCCTTAGAGCTAGTGTGGTTATAATGGTTATGTCTTCAAATATCTTGCATTTTCTAACCCAGTTATAAAAGGGGAAATAAGAAGAAAACACTGCGTTTATTTAGAATGACTCCGGCTTCTTTCTCAAACCCCATGATTTCATCAACAAAACAGATCAATATCTTACCTTTAGTGAGCAGCAAGGTGGGCGGTCCATACCCAGCCACGTGGTAAAGGTAAAGCCGCATCCAGGGCGTGGCCGACTCGGTGGGCGCGGGCCCTATATGTGGCAGGGCTCCAGCGGCCGCCCCTGCTCGGGCTTCGCGGCATAGAGGCGCCGTCGAGATCGCTAGCCTGTAGCATGACATTATTAATTAATTAATTTTATTTTCTGCTTCTGATTTGGAGCGCCCGTCTGGCGAAGTACCTCCACCTTACAGAGGACCGCAGTATAATAACACTACCTTTCAGTGGTGGCCTATATACAGGTACTTGATGGCCAGTAGTCTTGTCCTGGCCTACGGTCCTAACGGCCTCAGTTTGGGCCGCAACGTCCGCAGCGGTATCCTGTAGCGGTATCCTATTCGCTAACTGCTTTTAAGAGATGGAAGTGAAAATACGTAATACGTAGAAGTAATAACCGAGCTATTTAGTAGTCCACTACTGGTTTACAACAACGCCACTAAGGTACTTGCTCTGAAAAGCATCGATGGATATGCAATTTTCTCTTGAGTTACACACTGTAAATGTCAAAAAAACCGGCCAAGTGCGAGTCGGACTCGCGCACTGAGTGTTCCGTACAAACTCAATTTAATACCTCTACACGTTCATGAGAAAAGAGGTAGTAACATAAAAAATTTCAAAAATAGTTTTTATTATACATAATGGTGTAACTAAAAATTTACGGTTAGAAGTTTGATTTTATCACAGCTCCAAGTGGCAGTAGACATGAGTATTAGATATGTATTTCAGTTTGATACCTCCACGCGTTCCTGAGAAAAACGGTCTTGACAGACGGACGGACAACAAAGTGATCCTATAACGGTTCCGTTTTTTCCTTTTGAGGTACGGAAGCCTAAACATTTTGCAAATAGGCTGGCTGGACAACAAACCTATACTTGGTAGCCAGTAGCCTCGCTTTGGCCTGCGGTCCGAGCGCGTGCAGCGCTTCGCAACGCAGCAGATCTAGCGGCCTCAGTTTGGGCCGTAGCGTCCGCAGCGCTATCCTGAGGCAGGCCGCAGCCGCTAGATAGCGACGAGCCTCGCCCTCTATCTCAGGGTCCGCCGCCACCTAACATTTACATAAACTTAGTGTCGCAATAGTCTTGGCGAGTTTGTTCAAATATTTTTATAATATAAAACCCAACCAAAAGAATGTTGGCAGAGTATAAACTTAAATGAGCAATAAACAAACTATAACGGCTTTATTCAAAAACGCAGAATAAAGTTAGCCTTGGTTTAAACCTAATGTTGTATCTGTCTCATTTTTACCGAACAAAAGTGACAGCACCAGTTTTAATTCATGTTTAAATTTAGTCTTTGTTTTGTAATAAGGCGGTTAAAGTTTGGAAGTCTTACAAGAAGTACTATTTAGATTAGAATATGAATGGTTACTAGGAATACAAAATCCAATCAATATTTTCTGAGGTTAATTCACATGTTATGCTAAACGATACACGCTGGTTCGATTCCAACTTAATACTTGGACCAAATTAGTTTTTTTCGTTTACATCTACATAAGATTTAAAATTTTATCAGTTGAAATCTTAAAGTATAATATTTACCTTATCTAATTCCATCAATAAACTATCCAAACTTTCGTCACAAAGCTTGCCTACTTCAAAAAGTGTAACGGCGTGACTTTTGAGATCCTGTAAACAATAATGTAAATCAGACACTTATGAATGTACTAAGCCGCACGTCTGCGTGGTTTAAGTAGTGTACCATACAACATTTCTTTCCGAATATAAAGCTCATTCAAATTTCATTTTCAAATATAGAGAGAGAGGCATTCGTTTACTGAGTTCTGCCGATCATCGTTGAACGATCTCGTTCGTTCGTTTCCATCTACCGAGCGAAAAAATGTTTGCCCACTCACTCAGAACAGTTCTGAGCGCTAATTGGAAACACAGGCATCATAGTATATAAGTTTACTTCATATATTATTTTATATCGTGGTCCCCTGTTCTCTATTCGACATTTTTTTTTTTTGATAAAATACACAAGTATTTCATCTCATATTGACTACGGGATTGATTCATGTAGCAAATATCATCCAAATCCATTGAATGGTTTTGGAGTAGTAGAATAACAAACATGTATGTTATTGACATACTGATTTTATTAGAAAGATCAATAAGGTTATTAGCAAAATTCATATTAAATAGAAAAAAGTATTACCGGAGACAAATTCCCCATCATGAGATAGGCGGCTAACGTAGAGTCGAATAAAACTGCAACTCTTCGAGCGCCTCCACCGCTCGAACTATCCTCTGCGATTTCTTCATAATTCTAGAAAATTCCAAAATTATGAAAACATTATAGTAATTATAAGAGCAAAAACAAGTCTTATTATGACTTAAGTAAACGAAAATCAAATCGAATAAAAGTTAAAAGTATAATTCGAATGAATGAATGATTTGGTTTTTAATTTAATACAGCAGTGTATTAACTGGCTTATATTGAAGTATTCATACACTAACAACACTTTATACATTGTTTCATTTTCGGATCAATAGTGTCTTAAACAATAAGCAACAAAGAACATAAATCATTAATTTATTACAATATAAATCTGATTGGGAAACGCTTTTTTTACCTGTCTAGACGTGGAAGGCTCCTCTTTGATGAGCACAGGCTCCATTTGTAAGGCTTCATCATCCATACTGGGGTCGAAAGTCAACGGGGTGATTTGTCGATATCTAAAATATTATTGCAGTTATATATTTATGTATTTAATGTTAGTTATGTACAGTTGCTTTAACAAATTTTAAAATGTCAAGGGGCAAGGCATATAAGGTACGGCAATAAGTGTAGATAAATTTCAAGTTGTAAAACTATGTATTAAAATTTTACACTTTGAATAATAAATAAATATGACTACTGATTCATATTTATTTATTTCGAAACTCAACCGCTCATTTTGACTCAAATACGATATCAAAATAAGCGGTTGAGCAAACCACCCCAACTGCAGCACTAGAGACGATTCTTAACGTAAGCAGCAAGAAGCAGCATGTGCGTCTACTAGGCTCCACATGCTGGGCTTGTGGAGAGGCTACAACACGCCACATACTCGTATTTTAAAGGATATTGAGGAAGAATACTCCTTCTTCATGGCGAAAAACGACATGATCCCTAGACAGTACGTATTTAACAAAAAATATAGAATACAACTATAAGATGACAATCCAGATCGAGGACTGCACAAGGAGCTAAGGGTATACACTGACGGCTCCAAAACCAACTCAGGTACTGTACATTTCTGTTCTCAGAAGATATCAACATTCATATATCAGACAGCCTGGGTATCCTCAATACGGTCTTTCACGCGAAGAGTATAGGCATTTTCAGAGCAGCTGAAGCCATCACACGACGTGCAATCAGGGGAAAGAACATCTGGATACTCTCTGACAGTGCCTCAGTACTCCAGACGCTAGACAACAATATAATGACGGCCGGCCTGGTTTTTTAATTCCACTGCAAACTTATGGAAGTAGCCAACGAAAACGAAGTCATACTCCAATGGATAAAAGGACATAGTGGGTCAAGGGGCAATGATGCGGCAGATTGTCTGGCCAGGAGAGTGTCGGACACTGTGGTATTTGGCCCAGAACCAATCGTACCGATCCCATACCGACTACTGCGAGGTTGGATTAGGGAACGATACCTGGGACAACAACGAATACTGAGCTGGACTTGCAGACTGCAGGCACGCTAGGGAGGCCATACCTAAGATAGACCCACGGCTAGCAAGTAAGTTTTGTTAGTTACCAAGACATGCTTTGAAAAAATAGTGACCATTCTCACAGGACATGGACACTTTAATAAACATCTCTTTAAAATAGGTGTCTTGGACAGTCTTCTGTGTACAGCCTGCATGGAGGAAGAGAAGACGAGCACTCACGTCCAGCTACAGTGCAGAGGCATGACCAGACAACGGATGACACACCTGGGCAGCCCGCAGACGCTACTCGAGGCCTGCGGAGACACCAAGAGACTGCTGAGCTTTTGGGGGAGTTGGGATGGCATGACTAAAGCCATCCTCTCACGCAAAATAGGCACCTGGTGTAGAGTTGCGGAAAACACCCACCGTACAGAAGAAGAAGCGGTTGAGCAGATTATGATATGCTGATATCATATCACAACTTAACGATGGACGATACATATTAATAGTACATTCTATTACCCTTCACGGAAATTAAGAGTATCATTTGAGAAAATTAATAATAAAATCTCTTGCGACAAAAAAACCTGTGTAATTTGGTGTAATTTAATGTGGCAAGCTGATATATTTTTAATATCTATTTATCTACATTATATCGATGTTATTCTATGTGGTACGCTTAAATAGATTTTATATCTATATACTCACGGTGGATGATGGTGTTCAGTTAGGGCGGCTCGCCAGGAAGGGTGTTGAGGAGCAGGCGGAGGGCGTAAATGTCTTGCGAATCCCAACCGGCAGTACAGGGACACAGCCTGCTTCACCAGCTCGCACTCCACCTGGCCAGACCACCGCGCGATTATAGTCATATACTCGAAGGGTAGGTGTATAAAGGTAGTAATCGCTTGAGCTCAATAGACGAACCTGAGCTAGCAGTATAGGGACAAGGCCTTCTTAACCAGCTCGCACTCCAGCTGACCCGATCACCGCGCGATTATAGTCATACATTCGTAACAAATAAAGATCAAAGTCGCCTAAACTCAAATTTTCCGATCTGGCAGTACAGAGACATGGCCTGCTTCACCAGCTCGTACGGCACCTGATTTGACCACCGCGCGATTATAGTCACACACTCGTAACAAATAAAGGTCAAAGTCGCTTTAACTCAAATTTTCCATCTGGCAGTACAGAGACATGGCCTGCTTCACCAGCTCGTAATGCACCTGACTTGACCACCGCGCGATTATACATTCGTAAAGAATAAAGGTCGAAGTCGGCTTAGCTCAATATTTCCGAGCCGGTAAAGTTTCCAATTACTATTGTTTTAAAGCGGGCAATATTAACTATTGCCCGCAATAAATTTTATGATTCATGAAAAATAAACGTTATACAAAAATGTAAAAAAAAAAATCAAATAATTATTGTACGCGTCTGCTCAATCTTTGTTAAAAATAAAATGTTGCTAGTCAAAAATAAATAAATCGGATTAAACCACGGAGCTTGTGAAGGATACGAAACGTCAGGAACATAGAAAACAGTCACAAATCACACCGGTTGTAGAGTTTTTTTAAAAATCTACTAACATACGTAATGAATACCTAGTCTACAGGTCTACCCTCTCTCATGAACCCAAGCCGAGCAATGCTACGTAAAAGGCGGCATCAGTGACCTCTCGCTCACTTTGCTGCAGGCGCTCGCACGAAACGGACGTACTCTCTACTCTAATTTCATTGTTGTATAAAAAAATCCATAAATCATACAAAAATAAAAATTTACATTACTGTGTTTAAGACTACTTTATCAATACCTGCAAAACATTAGCCAGCTCCGCCACAGTGGTGTGCTCGTCTATGGACACGAACACTTTGTAGAGCAGGGTCTCGAAATAGTCGCCGGCGATGCGGTTCATGACGAACCCCTTGAGCGGAGGTACGGAGACCTTGTCTGCGGCCGTTATTGGCACGTCCAGGTAGATTAAGCCGCGTCTGGTGAGGAATTCACAGATATCACAGCCAAATAATAAGATTAAAACCTTAACCTAAATACACAAAGCAAATTTTTTGTAAGGATAAAACGGTGGCAAATAAGCGTGTGGCCCGCCTGATGATAAATGGCCACAATAGCCTACATACGCTTGCGATACCAAAACTACCACTCACACCGTTGCCTACTTTGACCCAATCCCTTACCCCGTGGAGCCCTGGAATCTTACTCACCGACAGAAAAATAACACCACCAAAAGCTGGTGCTATTTTACTGCGGTCTTCTGTAAGGTACAGGTTACTTCCCCAGACGGGCGCTCCAATTCGAGCGTAAAATCCGCTATATCTTACCTATGGACACTTGCGATCCCAAAAATTTAAATTTGACAACAGTCTATCCTTGTCATTCTCTTTACAGAATGAAAAGGAGAGACTGATGTTAAATTTAGTTTTAAGTTTAGAGAATCACGCCAGAATCGACACCAGTGTTAACATAAAAGAGAAAGTAGCCAAAAGGACGGTGGAACGCGACGTAGGCGATCAGTCCGCATCCATTACTCTATTGAGAAAGAAAAACTTTCGTAGCGCTTTTTTATTAAGCACATTTTACTCAAAAAGGAGACGGAAATGATACATAATAAAAATTTATATGTAAAGGCCTGCAGAAAGCTAATCTTTAACATATTAGGTTGGGGAAACAGTTTCTTCGCATTTTATATGAAAATTCAAAACATTTCAAGTTTATTTACATTTAACTAAAATGTGGTGCCATATTGTCCGATAACTTTTTGCCATCTTGTTGGTAGGGGCATGATCCTATTACTATAGAAATCTTGGGTCTTCTGATCAAAAACCTGCGGCAAGTGGTTTTGGCAGTCCTCTCGTGATGTTAACCAGACATTGTCTAAAGAATTCTGAAAAGTGGAAATCTGAAGATGCAAGGTCATGACTATACGGCGCATGTATTAATATCTTCCAGTCAAACTTTTTTAATTTTTGCTGAGTTGCTAAATGTGTGACAGGTTTAGCGTTATCATAATGAAAAACCACACCCCTGTTGATTAATTCCGGCCACTTTCTCTCAACTTTTTGCTTTGATCTCATCAGTTGTTCGCAGTAGACTTCAGAGTCGATGGTCCTGCCTGGCGGTAACAGCACATAATGAATAATGCCCTTCCAATCCCATTAAACACAGCATCACCTTGTTGTGAGTTAACCCGGCTTTCGCCAGAGTCTCTGAAGCTTCACCAGCCTTTGACCTCGACTTTTTCCTCACGTTCTTGTCGTACATGATCCACTTTTCATCACCAGTTATCAGTTTTTTCAAAAATGGTTCGGTTTCATTACATCGTAATAAATAATCACACAAATGAGTAGGTTTCTTTTAGTGAGCTCGTAAGTCACCCAAATAGCTTTTTTGTGTATCCAGCTTTTTAAAATGCGCTAAACTGTGGTGAATTCCCAGTTCTTCAGTTGGGTCGTAACTACGAAGATGCCGACCTTGCTCCACTTTTTCAAAAATGGCATCCATTTTATCCGTTACAGGCTTAGATTAAAAAAAATTGTGTGTGTCAGCTCCGACGCACGACTGGAGTTTACTCCTTAAGTTCGATAGTCTAACCAGACGCAAAAAGAGTTTATTTAACTTAAAAAAGATTGATAGTATATGAAAGGGTAAATTAACAAATTAATGAAAATAATATACATATATAAATATATATTTATTCATTTCATATACATTTATATTGACGACCTCCGTGGTCGAGTGGTTTGTACGCCGGGTTTCATGGTGTCGCCGACTCGAGAGGTCCCGGGTTCGAATCCCGGTGGGGGCAGATGTTTGTGTGATGAATACGAGCATTTGTACTCCAGTCATGGATGTTTAATATGTATTTCTATAGATTTAGATTTATTTAGATTTATTTATTGCAAAAAATATGGTACTATAAGATGACATGTATACAAATAGATTCTACATATTTTACTTATATTACAAATAATTCCATTAAATATTTTTTTGATTAAAATTATATCTATACAGAATCTTCAATCATATTCATTCATTTCAAAATAAACCATGTAATACTAAATAAATAACTAATTTACATTATTCGATTGTCAAATTTGTCATTAAAAAAATCTTCTACAGTATAAAAATTTTTTTCCTTGAGCCAAGTCATTAGTTTTGATTTAAATAATTTACTGGGTAGACATTTTATTTCATTAGGTATTGCATTATATACTTTTACACACATACAATTACATTGTTTTAAGTACCAAGTTAATTTCGGTAGATTATTAAATATTAATCTATTTGGGTCTCTTACACTTTTGTTTTGATTTCTCATTTTAAAAAGATTAAAATTGTTTTTTACAAAAGTAGCAACTTCAAATATGTACAGACATGGAAGGGGCAGTATGCCCAATGATTTAAAGAATGGCTTACAAGACTCGCGTGGGGAAAGCCCACAGATCGCCCTTACACATTTTTTTTTTGGACTTTGAACAGTCTATCCGCGTCGGTTGAATTTCCCCAAATTAAGAGTCCATACCTAAGCATGCTACCAATATAGCCATGATAGGCTGCCAGAGTAGTTTGTAACGCAGCCATGCTTCTCAACCTTTTCAACACAAATACATAGCGGTTCAACTTACTACTTATCAGATCAACGTGTTGCTTCCAAGTGCAATTATCATCCAGTAAAATACCTAAAAATATATGTACTTATATATGTACTGTATATGTATTCTATCCGTTACCCTAGCATCCCATAACACAAGCCTTACAGTGCTTACTTTGGGGCTAGGCTAATTGGTGTGAGTGTCGGAAATATTTATTTATTTATTTATTATAACTAATCGACGAAATATTTTAAATTAAACTTTTTACAATAGTCAATTTCAGATGTGCATAAATATATCATTAGGAATGTTGATAAATTATGTAATTATTATTATCAGAATATTATAATTTTTTTAAATATTAATTAAATCAACATTGTCTGCATTATTAATTACAGTGACAAGTGGTTTATGGTAACTAAAATAAGACACATGGACGTTCGTAGATACGTGGTTCACGAATCTTGAAAATACCGCATCAATGGTTGTACCATACCTCGTTGTCCCCATTGCTCTATCAGAAACAATATCTAAATTCAGTTCAGATTAAAAAAAAAATATTAATGTCAATCCGTCATCTTTGTTTGTCAAAGTTGCGCGACATAGGATGCGCACCAAAAACGTAACGAGGTCATTCATCGATAGATTTTACTCCTCACATTTTTCTCATACCGGGCCCCTTATATATGCAAATCGATTCTTAAGGAGTAAACTCCAACAAAAAGGGTAGATACGGTACGCTCATACTTGCATCAAGAAAAAACTGATCCCACGGCAGCGCGAACGTGATGGCGAGATCCGCGTGACTGCATTACCGACCGGAGCAAAACAGCACGTTACTTACGAATGAAAAGTGATGCCGTGGGTTTTATTTTTAGTTCTTGAGCAATTTGAGCACTTTTTAAAAACATACTTAGGCATTGTTTTATCATATAAATACAAAATATTATCAATAGTTCTTTTTGGCGTACACATGTACGTCGTTTGCATGTCAAGTTGTGACTAAAGCGATTATGGTCGTGGACCACAATTTGTGCGGATCACTTTTGCCGTATCTACCCTTTTTGTTTTAATCTAAGGTTACAGGGCGACCAGAGCGACGTGCATCTTTGACATGAAATTTCCGGATTGAAAACGCTTAAACCAAATTAATGCTACACTCACAGACACTAGGTCCATAAACATCAAAAAAAATTTTTTCGTGTCTTCGTTGCATTTTTACTTTTTTGTTGTGAAATTTTTTAATGTATTGAATTTCTTCATTAGATTCACTCATCTTTACGATAAGAAAAACAAATAAAAATCACACATTCTTCTTATTTGAATTTGTAATTATTATCTTCGCTCGCTCCCGCTGTCTGTACGTTTACGACTTTAAAACTACGCAAAAGATTTTTATGAAGTCAAGCAATTTGTAGAGTGATACAAGAGAAAGTTTTACAGGTATAATTAATTCCCAAGAACTGTAACTTTAGTGTTATCGAAGCAAGAAAATAAACATCACACATACAACCATGCGTTTGATACACATACAACCATGCGTTTCATACACACACAATAACAATTGGAAATACATAAGACAATGATTTTATAATTATTGTAATACATTACTGAATATAACAAATTATTGAATTTTCTAAATTATTGAATACATTAAATTGAGTACACAAGTAATTAATAAACAATAAATTTTGTGTGTCAAAACTGTACAGTAAATTTTCAATATAATCATGAAAACTAAACTTGAAGTACACTTGCCGGAATAGAGAGAGTTGCTAGTTTGAGTCCTGAATTTCGTTTTGGTAAACTATCTTCAGATATATAAATCTATAATCGCTTATTTAAAAACAAAATAAATACAATAATTGTCCCAGTTAAGCAATCAAATTATCTTCTCTACGTCTTACCTGTACAGAGTTTTGACGTCATTATAATCAAGGGTTCCGGCCGTCTGCGAGCCTCGGTCGATCAACAAATCTATAAGCGCCTTCTCGCTGTCACTCAAAGGCTACAGAGATAGATGAACACACATATGTACAGGCAGTTATTTAAATCAAATCAAATCAAATTAAGTTAAGCTAAGCATATTGCTCAACTATAGCTTGACCGCTGTCTCATTCCTCCCGATAGTTCGCGGGAATACCGACGCTACGATACAACTCATGATTATTAAATCTCCGTGTTGTTGTTTCAAATGTGTTAGTATTTGTATTATGAATGTATTAGTGTAATAATTTGTTACTCATAAATCATAGACTTTAATTTTGTAATATGTACCTTCATTTATTTCAAAGTAATATAAGTAAAGGTATAAAAGAAATTAACATATTTCTTTATCCGAACCCTTTTCGTATTCTGAGTTTGACAAGGATTCGGATGACGTTTCTTGCAACAACTGAATAATAAAAGGTCATCATAATTTTGACCGGCTCTCCGGTTTTTTTCAAGGTACTGATTTTCAGTCTCCACAAGGCTTCAACCGCACACGCTCTGACGCCGAAAGTCTATCGCTGTCGGCAGCCGACAGGCTACTGATTGAATTGGTCGAGCGTATCCCGCTCTCGCGCTCCGCGGACCATTGACTTTACAGAGGTCAAGCTATAGGCTTAGTAGGACAAACCACAAACAAAAAAAAACAAAGTTTAAAGTATCTAATGCTAGCACTTCAGATCACCATCATGAGCCTATTAATGCGTCCACTGCTGAGGCAGAGGCCTCCCCCGTGGATGAAATAGTCATGCCCGAAGACGCGGGACTAATACGAATTAGTGGGTGCTAACGACTGACCAAGGACTTACTTATACGAGGAGCTCGAGATAATAAAGTTATGGTCAACCAGTTGTTGCGAAAGTTACTTAACTTACAAGATCGCAGACTATACCTATAGGGAGTGAAAAGGAGAGGCTGCTGTCAAATCCATGAAAAGTTATCAGAAGAGCTCGATGGCGCATGTGGTTAGTGTGTTCTTTACCCCAAGCACGGACAACTAGCGAGAAAATATTCGTATCGCCATCGCCAAAGGTTCTATGTTAAGAGCTGGTTTGTACTTTCGTCCGCTAGGGGAGCTGCTTAGTTTCCATAGAAAATTATATTGACATGGCGATATGAATACTTTCTCGCTAGTTGTTCGTGTTTGGGGTAAAGAACACACTAACCACATGCGCCATCGAGCACCTCTGATAATCACTTTACAATGATTTGACAGTAGTCTCTCCTTTTCATTCCCTATAGAACCTGAAAATGATAGACTGCTGCCAAATGTACAAATACTAATAGCCATGTGAAGTGCTAGCATGAGATCAAACAGTCAAACCATTAGATGAAATCCATGTTATTTATTATTATACGTTATAATCAATTTATTAAGAAAGCTGAAATCAATCAAAAACACACACTAAATAACTTAGCTTAAATTTGTCTTATGAAATTCAATTATTCCTACAAACAGTTTTTAATCATCATAATCAGCCTATTAATGTCCTCACTGCTGGGGCACAGGCCTTCCCTAAGGATGGAATAGGGAGATTGGGCCATGACCCATCACACGGGCCCAGTGCGGATTGCTGGGTGCTAACGACTGCAGATGCAGCCGGGATCAACGGCTTAACGTGCCTTCCGAAGCATGGAGGAGCTCGAGATAGTAAATTTTTGGTCACCCATCTAAAGACCAACCACTGCAAAAGTTGCTTAACTTTAACGATCGCTGCCGAACGCGCTAATCGCATGCGCCATCGAACTCCTCAAACAGTTTTATATTCATTCAAATAAATTTAATGTGCCTAATCTGTGACATCTTGAGTGGTAGACTAGACTGCAAACGCGGTCGCAAGTGATGTGAGTGATTGAGAGTCAATTATAACACAAATAAAAAAAATGTGTGTGTCAGCTCCGACGCACGACTGGAGTTTACTCCTTAAGTTCGATAGTCTAACCAGACGCAAAAAGAGTTTATTTAACTTAAAAAAGATTGATACTGTATGAAAGGGTAAATTAACAAATTAATGAAAATAATATACATATATAAATATATATTTATTCATTTCATATACATTTATTGTAACTAATCGACGAAATATTTTACATTAAACTTTTTACAATAGTCAATTTCAGATGTGCATAAATATATCATTAGGAATGTTGATAAATTATGTAATTATTATTATCAGACTATTATCATTTTTTTAAATATTAATTAAATCAACATTGTCTGCATTATTAATTACAGTGACAAGTGGTTTATGGTAACTAAAATAAGACACATGGAAGTTCGTAGATACGTGGTTCACGAATCTTGAAAATACCGCATCAGTGGTTGTACCATACCTCGTTGTCCCCATTGGTCTATCAGAAACAATATATAAATTCGGTTCAGATTTAAAAAAAAATATTAATGTCAATCCGTCATCTTTGTTTGTCAAAGTTGCGCGACAATGGATGTGTATACGCCATTTGTGCATTTAAAATTTTAGTTCATATGTATCAAAATAGATGGATGGTAGTTCGTTGCATCACGCTTGTAAATATGTTTGGAGCTACATATAGGCAAAATGTCACCTAACTAATAAAGAAATCTATGGTCTAACAAAATACACTGTTATACACAATATACTACATAATACAATTTAATTCTTTTGCACCTAAGCTCTCGGATTTAAGAGTCATTTTGGCTCGAACAGGATGCGCACCAAAAACGTAACGAGGTCATTCATCGATAGATTTTACTCCTCACATTTTCCCATACCGGGCCCCTTATATATGCAAATTGATTCTTAAGGAGTAAACTCCAAAAAACATTTTATAAATTTACTAATTATGGAAATAATTTTCAACTTAAAACTACCTGTACATTGACAGAGGGGAATGCTGTATATTGCTCTCCTAGCCGCGGCTGCATGAACACCAAATAATGAAGTTTTTTTTTAATGACTCCTCGCCCGCCTACGACCGAATCTGCAGTCTGTCCAAGCACTCCTTTTAAATTAAAAGACAAACCTCACCTTCACATCGTCCTCAAGTACATAACCAAGTTCCACCCGCCACCAAGGCTGCATGGGAACATTCAATGGTACTTTTGGTAACAGAGCTCTTATCGCTTTGGACCGACCACGACGACCTAACGACCTGGCTTTGGCCACCAGTTCCAGATATTCATTACGTCCTATGCCTAGTAAACGAAGACCTGAAATTGAAGCATTGATAAAGAAAATTTATCAAATGCGAAAAAAATGTGGGTACTTATTTTATACGGGTCTATAATGATAACTGTCTACTACTGCTGGGTGTTACGGGTTAAGGATGAAGGATATGGGAATGCGGATGGGTGATCTAGGGGTAACTGCCATACAAGTGGTAGATTCTCAATAATAAGGAGGGCAAATCTAAAATTGATTTTGTGGGCTCCCTCATCCCAGGCAGCTGAGCTCACTGAGCCAGTATGGGCTCGCATAGTGGATGAACGGGATGAGAGGGGAGAAATACGTCAAGCATTTTATCTGGAAAACAAAAGAGGGTAACAGCCTGCTTTACGTAGATGACGCTGTGTACAGATAATCCAGCTGCTCTGCAAATACTGATCATAGTAATGAAAGACGATTGTATGGAAAATGGTCAGGGGCATATTTACCCTACGATCAAAATTACTCATGGCTCGGGGCGGTAGACCATGAGAGGCGGATGCAAGAGCGGGACGCCAGATTCCAAAATACGACGCTGAGAATGGTTTAAAATGAATGCAGAGAAAACAAAAATTCTGGTTTTCGAAAGAGAGGAATCCAGATCATTTGTAAGAATTAATGTTACTGGAATAAGTGAATGAGATCATATTTCTTGGATGTGCTTTTAAGCAGGGATGGTAGGTATATCGTGCCACGAGTGCGGCGCTCGGTGGACACGGCGCTCAGGTGCGGTGGATAGGTGAATACACCTTAGAGGAGTGCCCGATGTGGTTGCGGCAGAGCAAAACTCTGGCAAAGACCGTGGCCATGGATCTCTTGCTGCCCAGCTTAATTCAAGTCATGCTGGGTAACAATAAATCCTGGCAGACGGTGGTCTCCTTCTGTCATCATGAGGTCATGTAACAGAAGGACACTTCGGACAGCCTGCGAGGAACAGGTTCTACACCATGACTGTGTAAGGAACGTTGCCTAGTGGCAACGAGACCGTTCCGTCACCGACCAACACCGTCGTGTACCATGCACAGAGCGTCAACAATTGTCGGCGAGAATATTTTGACCCGTAATGCTCGCCCGCGAGCCGGTAAGCATTACGGGTTGTAACCGCGAATGATGATAATTATAGCACTCCAAGACGTCCACGCAAGACTGATACGCATGCTGAATAAAAAAAATATGCCACCAGGCACACCGTTTGATGATAGTAAGTTGCTATTTATTAATAGTATGCCTAAAGACGAAAAATTCCAGACCACTATTTAGTCCTAATGTAAGCAAACTTGTCGTATATGGATGGATAATCAATAATGGTTATAATTAATACACAAAACATATTTAAAAACAGTAGTAACTCAGTCCCCTATAGCATGAGCACCATAATTAACATTATATTTTTTATCGCATCTAACTATCAAACCCCATAGTAATTTGACAATTAAGAGTGATAAAAACGCGTTATATATCATATCGCTGTGCTCATGCTAGGGGGGCAGGAATAGTTATACCGTATCAAGTGGTATGGTACCTGGTTTCAAGATGTCGCCTACTTGAGAGGTCCCGGGTTCGAAATGTTTGTGTGATGAATACAAGCATTTGTACTCCAGTCATGGATCTTTAATATGTATTTTTATATAAATATACTTATATGTGTATCAGTTTATGTATTCTATCCGTTACCTTAGTGTCCTATAACACAAGCCTACAGTGCTTACTTTAGGGCTAGGCTATTTGGTGTAAGTTTTGGTAATATTAGTTATATTTATTTAATCTTGGCAGGCTATTGACCTATGATAACCCTGAAACATCTACCTATAAATATGTGTATCTGACAATGGGTTTTCTCTAATCCTTTCAAGACTAGCACCAAAATTTAATAATAATTATAATAACAATAATTTCTGTACCACTTATCACATGTAAGTGGTCCAGAAACAGGATATTTGACAAGTTTTAGAAAACAATCTTACATTATTTACTAATGTGTAATATGGAAGTTATAGGACTACATCAAAATCATAAAATTATACTCCCAATTTTATTAAAATATGTGAGACAATTGAATACTTACAATCAGCTGCAGTGAAGTTAGGCATGGTATCATAACTTTTCTCCATCTCTATCAGAAGAGCTACAACTTCAACATAATAAATGAAGGGTGTTATCCTTAAGCCTGAAAAATAATTACATATATGGCCAGATTCAATAATCAACCTAGTAGAAAAAGTTCCACGCAGACCAGGCAGCAAATGGGACTTGAACCCGCACCCTTCCCTATCCAGGGGGAATGTACAGACCATTATGCTACCACGGCTATCAGGGCCATCTAAAAAAACTGAATCCAATTTTGATTCCAGGTTGTCAAATATACATATTATAGAAAGTTACAGCCCTACTATAATCAAACTCATAAGTTAATTTATGTGCTGCCACTATAATAATTTGTATAACATACCTTTAACTATCATATCAGCTAAGTGATATGGGTATAGCATAAGCCTTTGTATGCTGCTTTGGACAAGAGTTTCATAATATTTCTTTTCATCTTTACGGACTGTCCTCACTGAAAACCAATGCAAATAAGTTATTTTGAATACACTTCTCATCAAGGGTTAACAAATAGAAAGACAGCAAAGCCTAACATTTGAAGATACAATTAACATGAGATATAAAACAAAGCAAAAGTGCTAAAATCTATCAAATTTAAATATTAAAGCTACAAAAATATACAATAACACTAAGAGCATACATACCCAAACTTCCTCTAAATCTAAGTTGATTTTTAATACTGAATTCAAATATATATCTCTCATACTCTTTAGGAGAATCGCCAAGCAACTGTAATAAACCAATATAAATTGTAAAGAACAAAAATAATCCCTCAATAAGAGTTACAATAAAGTAAGTGCCATCTGATGTTTGTAAATGCAAGAAATTGTTATATTATTACAATAATTTCATGAAAAAAGGAAAGAGATTGCTGCAGTGGACAAATAAATCTGTTGATTATACTCAGTACAGGCAAGTACCTTCTTCACTGATCCTGGTAACTGGGGCCACTGAGTCTTCTTTCGAATACAATCCTCAATTTCATCCTCCATGATTATACAATGTTAATTACATCGAACGCAAGTATTGCCCTTGGATCTAATCTAACAAATAATTTGATAAGCCAGAGAAAAACTACAAAATATGGCCAAATACCCAAACCATCCAATACAATCCACTGTCACATCGACAATGACATTATAACTGTCAAGTTGACATTTATACCATATTTCTGTGACATGCAAAAGCATCAAATCTTTCGTAATCTTACGATAGTTTTGCAGCTTTTTACTATAAAAAGCACATTACAAATTATATTTTATTAATCATATATACATTGGAACCACAAGCGCATGTAAGTAAGAAACATTGGATAGTAATAATAGTATATTTTTGCGTTTTAATGTATAAAATATAAATATTTTTACATAATATATTTTAAAATACTTTCAATCAAAATTATGAAGCAGACAAAAAATAGTGAACATGTGAACATAAGGCTGTGTAGGCTGATTATCATATGACTTACTTGAAAAAAAAACCCTAAACATTTTTATTGCCAATACTGAAAATTATCGTATGAGATGAAATTTTAAATCGATTCATAAATAATAGAATTCTTTAAAATTGCTTAAACAATATTATTTTCATTTTTGCAAAATAATTTAAAATCACAGTCGATAACTTTCCTCGGTTGTACTCTACGGCTTTAAGAAATAGGCTATCAAACAGAAATATAAATATCTAAAGAAATTTAAAATTTACGTAAACCGTGCGTCAGCAATCATTTAAATTATTAACCGACCGAGATATTAATTCAACTGAAGGCAATTTTAAGTCTAAACCAAAAATGTTTTGGTCATTATATCAAATCAACAAGTAATACTGCATGTCTAGTAGTTTGATGTATGGGGTGATACCATATTAATACTGGGTCCTCAATATGCAATGTTTTATTGACGTATTTACCTTAAAATTATTTGACGGTTCCAGTTTCCGTTTAAAATTTAAATGAAACATTTACTGCATCGATTTAAAAATAGAAAAGAAGAAACTGACTGCCAATCAACGCACAGCCCATACCGCTAGGTGTAGAAACTCCAAAGACACTTAAAGTTCCTTATGAGGTCTAGGTGTTCATTGTGAAAAGATTTTATTAAATTCACTCCCGAAGGGTTTATAGGGGATGAAAGTTTGTATGAAAAATCTTGGATTACCTGGATTGAGACAAAGGATAATTTTTATCCTGAAAATGTTAGGTTCCTGAAGGATTTCAAAAAAAATAGTTAACGCAGACCAAACCGCGGGCGGTCGCTAGTATCCTTATAACCATAGTTACCGTCGAAGAATTAACCAACCTCTTGAAGCTGGATATGACAAAATCTCATTGACTGTGCTATCTCGCAATACCCATCTAAATTCTTTTAAAAAAGTCCTTGTAAGCAAGCATTGTTCCGTCGACGAGGGAGCGCGCTTACATATTTCCTGTTAAAAAAAGCTCTAGAATGGAAGTCAGTCTCTTTTAATGAACATGGACAGTCAAGTTGTTAGCTATCTTTAAAAAACCGTTCGCAAACTATAGTAATACATCTCAGGGTAATTGGAAGTCCCAAGCTGGTGTTACACAGGGATCTTTGTTTGAGCCATTTCTTTTTGCAATATTTGTGAACGACTTAGAAAGATGTTTTAGATTACAATAAGTTATTATACTTAGCAGATGATGTGAAAATATTTGCCCTAATCTCTTCGTTCTCAGATGCAGTTACCCTTCAGAATCTTATGGCTTGACAAATATTACATTACTTACCATTTAGATCTGAACCCGTCGAACTGTAAATGTCACTTACAGCCGTAAACGTTATTTAGTAAATTTCGAGTATACACTAAAGGGTGTGAAGCTTAATCGGAATACAAATTTAGTAACATGCCTTAAAGTGTTTTACGATGCAGTCGTGCGTGCCGCACCGCTACGCTTATAGTTGTAAAAAAAACAATATAAGACGTTTTAAACTGAAACGCACCGTTTAAAACCCGAAAGCCACCGTTTTAAACGTGTAATACCCGACTGCGGAGACAAAAGAGAGTTATGTATTTAGAATTGTAAAGGCATAAAATAACGTACAATATTTTACAAGCTAGTTACTTGAATGGTTTTATATTATATCGGTTCTTTAAATCATTGTTCTCTTTGCACTTCATACGAAAAAATATTTTAAATTTGTATGAACAGCTGTAAGTTTTCCCATTCAATAAAAAAAAATTGTGTGTGTCAGCTCCGACGCACGACTGGAGTTTACTCCTTAAGTTCGATAGTCTAACCAGACGCAAAAAGAGTTTCTTTAACTTAAAAATGATTGATACTGTATGAAAGGGTAAATTAACAAATTAATGAAAATAATATACATAATATAAATATATATTTATTCATTTCATATACATTTATTATAACTAATCGACGAAATATTTTACATTAAACTTTTTACAATAGTCAATTTCAGATGTGCATAAATATATCATTAGGAATGTTGATAGATTATGTAATTATTATTATCAGACTATTATCATTTTTTTAAATATTAATTAAATCAACATTGTCTGCATTTTTAATTACAGTGACAAGTGGTTTATGGTAACTAAAATAAGACACATGGACGTTCGTAGATACGTGGTTCACGAATCTTGAAAATACCGCATCAATGGTTGTACCATACTTCGTTGTCCCCATTGCTCTATCACAAACAATATCTAAATTCAGTTCAGATTTTAAAAAAAATATTAATCCGTCATCTTTGTTTGTCAAAGTTGCGCGACATAGGATGCGCACCAAAAACGTAACGAGGTCATTCATCGATAGATTTTACTTTTCACATTTTTCTCATACCGGGCCTCTTATATATGCAAATCGATTCTTAAGGACTCCAAAAAAAAATTAAGATAAAATTATGCAAATAATTTTCGATATCAATTAAAATGTATTTAGGCGGCGGCATATTAATGACCTAGGCCAATCAATTAATAGTACATTGTTTTTACTACTGTAATTTACAATTTTACAATGGTAATTTATTGTGGTTGAATTGTGTTTCATAAAATAATTTTTTTACTACAGTATTTTGGATGAGTGACCAAAAACTTGTTATCTCGAGCTGCTCCGTGCTTCGGAAGGCACGTTAAGCCGTTGGTCCCGGCTGCATCTGCAGTCGTTAACACTCACCAATCCGCACTGGGCCCGAGTGGTGTGTCACGGCCCAATCTCCCTATTCCATTCATAGGGAAAGCCTGTGCCCCAGCAGTGGGGACATTAATAGGCTGGTGATGATGATGATGTGACGATGTTATAATCATTATTATTTATTGTTTTTTTTTAACTTTTTGCTTTTTGAGCGCTAATTCTAAAGTGAAAAGCAAAGCAATGTTCGAGTCTCCCTGGGGTCGGCATTTTTTTCATTGTTTTTCACTTTTCACTTATCATACTTTTTAGTAAAAAATCTCACAAACATAAAAATACACAGTTTGGTACTCCGTTGCATGGCGAATTCGATAATGTAATGCATTCTGAGTTCATTTAAAAAAAAAACACTGTTTCTAACCATTTAAACCCTAAAACTCCGTTTTAAACCAACATTTTGGTTTTAAACAGCATGGTTTGATTCGTTTTAAACCGACCTTACAACTACAGTAAAACTAAATAAATTTAGCTTCGCATAGCTAACGCAGTTTTAACACTTGTGTGTAGACTACAAACTATGAGAGCTAATGAAAATATCTAAGTTAATTGTGTATGCCGATGAGCAGCTAGGCGAGCTAAGCTAAACCCTCAACATTGAATGTTTTGACATAGCCAGGGTATGGAATATCTTTTTAGATAATAATAAGTCAATGGTGTAGATTCTGGAATGGTTCTCTAAACTTAAAACTAAATAAAGCAACAGTCTCTCATTTTCATTCTGTATAGAGAATGATAAGGATACACTGTTGTCAAGTTTGTGTTTAGAGATTCATGTTAGAATAGACACCAGCATTAATCTTTTTTTTTTGTGTAACGTATTCATCACCAAAACTGTCTACATTGACTATATTCATGGCGAGCAACGTCCTCGAATTGAACTTGTAACACGGGTCTCTGACTGAGCTTTCCCTTAGTTCTTGGTGTGCATGGGACATACTTTTAAGTTCGTATTATTAGCTTCGGAATGGCTTAATTTTTGGTCTGCAACTCTCTTAAAGCATCCAGAGTCCTTGGATTTATGATGATGCGTAATTCACGAGACTTTACTCAGGCCAAAAGATCAAAAATATACGTACTATTGTGCTTTTATACGAAGCTATCTTGTGTATGCATCACAGATTTGGAGTCATTTGGTCATTTGGAGTCATACACTATTTACAGTAGGCATGGAAAACATACAAAAAAGATTGCAAAATATCTTTGTTTCCGCATTCATGACCGATATGAGTCGAGCCTGCTATCTTGAGTAAATAAAAACAGCATCATTTTCTCCTTTTGAAAAATGTCGAGAGATTGCAGATTTGATGTTCCTCATGAAGATAGCATCTAGTGCCGTGGATTCTTCGGACCTTGTGTCTAAAATTAGCCTTAGAGTTCCAATAAAGACCCTTCAAATCGAACTATCAGTACTAAAATGCATACCTGTTGCGTGCTTGTTATAACTCCAATTTACTTTCAAATCCCGGCCTATTCGTTATCTTTTTTGGCATTAACAGTGTGTAAATAAAATAAAATTGCATATCTATCGATACTCGTCAGGGCAAATATCTGCGTGGCGTTATAATAAATCAATAGTTTGATCACTAAATAGTACGGTTATTATCACTTCCATCTGTCGAAAGCAGTTAGCGAATAGGCCTTAGCAAATACTGGTCAAGTTAGATTATTTTGACACTACTGAGACTTCGGCAAGGCGTTTAATATCTAATATATTTTTTGCCAAATGTTGAAATTTGATGAAGAAATACTTGTATGCGTGCATGTGTATTAATAGTGCGTCACTAATAACTAGGTAGGTAAATCTGTTGTTATCGGTGAGAACCTATAATTGCCTTTTTTATTACCATCTTGATTGGATCTTCATATTAAGTAAGTATATATGAGACTGTCAAGCTCGTTTTAATTTTTGTCTACTGGATGTAATGAAATATTTTATTCTCATTAATTCTTCTTTCTGGTTCAAAAGTAGAATTTGTGAGAAAGTTCTGTGCCCAGTAGATCTACAAGAGTATTAGGTGAACTAACTTCTTTTAGAAGTAGTGCAAGGCAGCGCATCCGACTGGATAGCGGAAGACGCAGGTCCTAATCCTGCCTGAATTTTCTTTAGATCATATGCATTTGAAATTCTTATTTATTTTTTGCATTGTTGCTGTTTACATGATCTAAGTGTAAATCGAGTGGAATAAATGCTAGGAATAAAATATAATACAATATTATAATTATTTTATTATTGACTAGTGGCCCGCCCTCGCTTTGCTTCGGTGTAAAGCTGTAGTGTAAACTATAGTTTTTGTTCTCAGGCTTGTGCTATAAACAATGACTTTATTTATATAATTACACGTGTTATTGTGAGTCAACCATAAAAGATAGACATATGCTGTTGCGGGATATTTTTTGGACAATTTTATGTAGAATATTTCCGTTATACATAATTTCTATGTAACTTTAACCATTAAGGCTGCACACGCGACGGAAGCTTAAAAAATGGAGTAACTTCTCCCTTTTTCCCAACATTTCCCTTGACTACTCTGCTGCTATTGATTGTAGCGTGATGAAAAGTATACTATAACCTGCCCAGGATTATGAAGTATAATTGTACCAAGTTTCGTTAAAATCCGTCGAGTAGTTTTTGTTTCTATAAGGAACATACACACAGACAGACAGACAGACAGACAGACAAAAATTTTACTGATTGCATTTTTGGCATCAGTATCGATCACTAATCACCCCCTGATAGTTATTTTGAAAATATATTTCATGTACAGAATTGACCTCTCTACAGATTTATTATAAGTATAGATAATAAAACACAGTAAATGATTATATCAGCAACATTTCCAATAAAATAGCTACTATGTTTTTGTTATAATAACAAATAACCAATCAGCTTTTAGGTAAATCATAAATTCTGCTGGGCCCAACTCACAGCTGGCTATTTTTTTCTACAGAGTGCAGCAAATTACTTTTTTACTTGTAGAGGAAGTACCCTACTCAGTATGTACTATATTCATGCCAAATCACAAATTTCTAATCTGAGCTAAGCTGCAGACACACGGATGGACATGGCGAAACTATCGGAGTTCTTCGTTATGTTAACAGATAAAAAAGTTCTGTATGATAAATTTTCTATATAAGGGTGCATTTTTATGTAGCCCTACTTAAAGTAAATACATAGTGGGGTTGCTACTATGAACCTAGCTTGTTTTCAGTAATTCCCCGATATTTTGGCACTGTTGCAAGTACATTATGGAGTAACGTTACTATGATATTAGTGACCATGAAAATTGAAAACAAAATCGTATCCCTACTGATAAGTAAACTCAATCATCGAATCTGATTTACCAGGTCATTTTTTTTACGTTAAGGTTCAATAAAAAAGACTTCATTCCGCCTGATGTTAAGTGACAGTGGAGTCCAGATATGCGAAGATAGCTATAACTGCTGCAGTAGATTTACCTGCTACATGATCCATCCTCATCTTGCTGGTCTGCAAGTTGCTTCTTCACATTGAACGCAACTCCAAAGAAATTTTATTTTTCTCGTGATAAGATAACTAAAAACGGTTTTAAATCCTATTTCCTGCTAATATTATAAATGTGATAGTTTGTATGTGTTACTCGACCAGGAAAAAACCTTTGATCGAATTTGGATGAAATTTGGGACATTCCAGTTTATGATCTGGATAGAGCCTTATACCAGAAAAAATTAGGTAACTGTGGGATTTGGGATTCTAAAAAAAACTAAGTATATCGCGGACAAAGTCGCAGATGGTCGCTAGTAATTTATATATTTTACTAATTATAGTTTATTTATACAGTTTCTTTATTTATTATCATATTAGTATGGTGACAGAAAGATATATATGGAAAAATATCCCTGCAAGTATTGATACTTGGAAAAATAATACTTTTAGTTATTGGATGACTTGGCTTGACTATTTGTATAATGGAATGGTCGTGGTAAAGTGGGGTCTGCGCCTAGCAGACCCCACTTTACTATCATAGTTTTCGTAATTGTCAATTATGTTTCTATGTCCATTTTGGTGAAAAGTAGGGGGCGTCCATAAATTACGTGGTGTTTTTTTTTGAATTTTCTGTGCCTCCCTCCCCCCCTGATGAGATGTCGTGAGATTTATTCAACCCCCTACCCCATCTCCCAATTTCACGTGAGATTTTTCAAAATGTGGGTTTCTTACGTAAACGCGTTGGATTATAATGGACGGGCTACACTGTACCGTAAATTCAAATGAAATTGAGCTATTTGGAATAAAACAAATATGGTTGTTTGACAGTAGATGTATAACGTTGTCCCATTCGGAGTCGAGACCCTTGGTCCGTGGGGTCCTAGCGCTATAAGGTTTTTTAAAGAAATAGCAAAAAGATTAGTCGATATCACAGGAGATCGAAGAGCTGGCAGCTACCTCGGACAAAGAATTACTAGCTATCCAAAGGGGGAACGCTGCCAGTATCTTCGGAACCTTGCCTAAAGGGACTCCTTTTAATAATGTATTTTATTATTATATTTTATTTTTTAAGGCTTTTAGTTTTAGGTTCGTTGTTATAGTATATTTTCTGTTTTTTTTTTGTTTTAAGCTAGTATTAGATAATAGTATATTTGTTAATTATATTAATGTTAAGTTACAAAATATATTAACGTCGAAGTATGAATGAAATTATTTTCTTTCGAACGAATTAGTGAATGATCTTAATATCTTAATCATATTACGATTACGCTTAAGATTAAATCTTAAGCATGTACAATCTTGTTTAAATGGACCAAAATAGTATTATTGTTAAGATCACAAAAAAAATGCGTGATATTTTTTTCCCCCGTTTCTCCAACGTAAGATTAGATGAGAATTGACTCGACCCCCTCCCCCCCTTAAAAATCTCACGTAATTTATGGACGCCCCCAAACCAAATATACTTAAAATTTAAGAAGGCGCAAATGATTTATAATAATACAATTAAAACGCTGTTTATTTGTACTGAAACGAAAACTATAAAATCAGTACCCTTAGAACGAGTGCGAGCTCACGAAAACTATCATAGTTTTCGTAATTGTACAACTCGTAATAAGGGTAACTGTTCCTTATAAAGTTCTGTGATCTATTCAATTGTTCAGCTCAACCTTACTCTATACTTGACATCATATGAGATGTGTAAAGTTATTTATTGGTTCAGTCATTGGCTGGTTGTTAAATAATGGAACTGCTTACGGTCAGAGTATTTTACTAAAGACATTAGATTAAATAATTTATTGTACGAATATGTACCGAAATAGAATTTCATAGTGGTAAATGATTCTAATGTATGATTGGATATGCCTATCTCATGGATAGCAAAATAGTAATGACCAGACCCCTCTTTCCCAGTGGGCACTTTGGGCAAGTGCCCAGGGCCCCACGATCAATAGGGGCCCCCTCAGATCAAATACAAAGTCCCTAGTTCCTGTTAATTCACCAAATGGGGGTCATAGAGGCCCCATTATCCTAATATGCCCAGGGCCTCCAATAGGTCAAAGACGGCACTGGTAATGACTAACAAAGATTTATATGAAAGCATAATATCTTTGGTAATTAATAAACAACGTCAAGTGTGTCAAGTTATTCAGATAATACATGAATTGTAGTCTGACAAGCTAAAACGATATCTTTACTAAGTACTTAAATAGGTCATAGTGTATATCGATAATATAGCTGGGTAAGGTACATTTACATTACCTAGTTTAATACATTGTTTAGAGTTATTACAGATTCATATTTTTATTAGTCTACGGAACTGAACTCATATCATTAATACAATAGTTTTTGCTGAGAATTGAAATAGAAAACGATTTATTACAATGTACTCTATATGTATTATCTTTACAAATCTAAGAAATACTTTTGTGTGAATGTAATTTAGCTGCTGAACAATTCGTCAAATGCAGTATGTATTTTATTTAACATATCAGAGGCTATCATATTGCGGCCGTTCTCTACATACGCAAATGTATTGCATGTTCTTGTAAATTTTGCAGCAGCGTAGATAGCCACACTTTGAGCTAATTGCGTTGAGTTTCCATTCTCACACAAATTAGATTTTAAAGCCCAGTTATAAAAGGTACCTAATGCACCTGCTAATATATCACCCTGTCCCGCCGCTCTCCGGTCTGATCCTCCTCCGAACAGTGACCAGTTAAATTTTGTTTCACTAGTATAACACGTGTCTTCGTAGCCCTTTACTAAAACTGAAACATTTCCTCCCCAATAATTATACCAGGGTGTTGCATTGGAATTTATTGCTTCAATTAACCTTGCAGCTTCTCGTCCATTAGGTGTTAAAATCACCCCCGGTTTTGGGTAATTAAGTAACACTGTAATGTTTTTAGAAAGGGCGTACAAACCATCAGCATCAATTACGATAGGCTTTTTTAAACTTCTACACGTTTCAATTACATCAAAGATCAATTTAATTTGTTCATCTTCTCTCCCAAGCCCAGGTCCGATCACAACAACATCCAGCTTCTTTAGTATTTCACTGATTTTTGATGAATGTTTTTTACTGAGATAAGAGTACACAATCAAGTCAGGACTGTAAGCTTTTATTATAGGAGCTGCTGTTTCAGAAGTGATGATATACACCAGATCGGCACCAACCTGAAATATTGTCAGGAGTTTTTAATGCTATTGAACAAACTTAGTAATTAAAAATGCAATAATAAAAGATGGACGCATTCACAGATTGTATTAGAGGTGCTAGATAAAGTATAAACATTATTTTATACATATAAAATCCGTTACAGTTAGAAAAAAGCACCTGTTCATTGTACATACATTTGCACCTGCCGGGACTCGAATTTACATTCAGGGTCACTTATCGACCAAGCAGGCCATCGTAGTGATAGGTTATTTGAAAGGCCAAAATAATTATGTATCGAAATATTTAGATATTTTTTATTTCAAGTAAAAAATAATGAACAATATAATAATAATATTATATTATAAACAAGATAAAATATAGGTACGAAAGAAAAGTCTCGTTCATTCATCTCAAGTGAGAAGCAAACTCTTGACCTCCGGATACGACAATAACACGCTGTGCGTTCAAGTTCAAAGAAGTTTATGAAAATGAGGTCAATGATAATAATCTTTTAAATTGTTGGTATATCAATTTTTACATAATTTGGTCAGGTATATTCCGATCGAATTATTAATGATATAATCGGGCAATTAATTTTAATTGTAATTAAGAATTCTTCAGACAATGTACAAGGTTTCGTATCATTAATCTTTATATATATAATTCTTCTGTGAGTGTGTATGTCACTGAACTTCTCTTAAACGACTGGACCGATTTTGATGAAATTTTTTGTGTGTGTTCAAGGGGATCTGAGAATGGTTTAGATTCACAAATTAAAGACGTGTAGACAGGACAACGTCTGTCGGGTCCGCTAGTATTATTATATATCATAATAATTGCTGGTTTTGATACTGTTACATAATTAAAATATGCATGTGACAAACAAAACTGTGAATTCGAACTACAAACAATTTACCACTCATTGTTGGTCCTTAATAGATAAATTAATAAATCTAAATAAAAAAGGCACCACTTTGTCTGAGAAGTAAGGGCGCAATCCGCAATCCTAGTGACGAAAAATATATACTTATTTCAAAAATATGCATAATTTAGGTGGAGTGCCTGATAGTACTATTAACTCGAGCAACTGATCTGACTACAAGACACATAAATACCATTATATACAAAAGTATATACAAAAGAACTTCATCTCATCAGGGTCAGATACAAAGACTTTTGACCGCCAGGCCAGGATGATTAAATAGTTTGTAGCTCTAACAACCAAGAACTAAGCACTGATAATATATAGGTAAACTACTTTCCTACTAATGCCATTCCATGTTATACCCATTCTCATTATGCAGGTCAGGGGCCAGAGCTATGTTATACAGGCCTGAACATTGACGTCATAAAAAAAAATTTAGGTCCCTCGTATCGTGGGGTATCCGGATCACCCCATGTATGTTCCACGACTTTTTATAGTTTTTAAGTTAGGTATGTTTTTTTTTTGAATTTTCGACTTGACCAACTTAAAAAAACTTTTTAGTAATTTAATTTGCAACTGAATCCTCATGAATTGTACTTTTATTCATATAATAATTAGCTTTGTAACTTTGATGAGAGTTATGAAAATGTTGATCCAAAGTGAAAAATTTACGTTCGGTGAATTATGACTTAAATTTTCAACTTTAAATTAAAAATCGATACAGGTGACATCATGGTTAAGTAGCTAAGTAGCTTTTAAGAATGCGCCATACACTCAGCTTTAATAATCATAAAAAAAAATATAAAAGGAGGCTACTTTCGCTAAAATCGGACTTCAAAAAAATGATTAAATTTACCTAGCCATTTGATAAAAATGGTAATTTTATCATTCCTAAGTTTAGATTGTTAACTAACCAAAAATGACTATAGGAAAGATTTCAACATATGGAGGTTTATTTTGGTGTCCTCTAGGGTATTTGACAAGTTTTAGATAACGATCTCACGTTATTGACTAATGTTTATGGAGTGGAAAAAGTGGATATTCATCATTTTGCTGTGTATTTTAGTAAAAATAACCAAATCAAAAACTCCATTTTCAAGTTGCCGCGAAAACGTTTCTCTTTACAATATGTCTTACTAGTGTGTGACGTCACACGACTGTTATTAAAACGTCAAACGATAGGGTGCGGCCAGAGTGCACTCAGATTCAGATTTCGAAAACAAGCACGAGAAATAAACAGTGTAGTCGAAGGGTACGGCCAGAGTGCACTCCTGATTCAGATTCAGACTCAGAAAACAAAGCGCGAGAAAAAGCAAGCAACCTGCTTAGACTACACTGTTTATTTCTCGCGCTTGTTTTCGAAATCTGAATCTGAGTGCACTCTGGCCGCACCCATACAATGCAATGTCACTTTAACCGGAAGTTTACCTGCGTGTGACGTCATTTTAGGCTCGGCCAATCCCAAGCGTTTTAGGTCACGTGACAATAGATAACAAAACTAATATCTTCTTCGTTAGTTTTTAGGAAAATTATGAATATTTTTATTGAAAACATAGTAAAAACCCCTACCAATATTCATTCTAAACACAGATGCTAACAATTGGCACTTTATTTTTAACACTGTCATATACCCTATTGGGCCGTTTCAACTGCCGCCCAGACTTAATGTTGCTGGGTGATGTAAGCCTCGAGCGTAGACGAACCATGGTGTTTCAAAATGACAGACCCCGTGTCACTACGCAACGGAAGCCCGAAATTAGGTACTTAAATGACACATACCCAACAGATGGGTCGAAAGCAGCGGACCAATTAGGTGAGCTCCACGCTCATCTAACCTCGACCCGATAATTTCTTCGTTTGGGGCTATTACAAGAAAATAACATACGCCCAAGACTGATCGAGTGAACAAAAGCTAAGACAAAAGATTGCAGAAGCCGAACGTGCTATGAGAGAACCGAAAAGCTTTTAGACGATTGAAAAAAAATTTTTAGGTAGGTGTAGAATGTGTATTGCTACTGGACGTGGCTACTTTGAACATCTTCTGTAAATGTTAAGAATAAATATTTTTTCACATTATCATTCATGTTTTTTTAACAATACCACTTCTTACTTTTCAAACCAAACCTCTGAAACTATTTGTTAGTTAGGTTCCAGTATTCTCGATCAACATTATTTTAAATTATTAAAAGTCGCGGAACGAATATGGAGGTGATTTGGATACCCGGCGCGGACCGAAGGGGGGAGGGGGGGTCACAGGGAACATGACCCCCCCCCCCCCCCCAAATCTAAGCTCAAAATGAAAAAACTTGTGTCAAAAAGTCTCTTGTGGAATAATGTTTATTTTATTCCAGATACCTATTTTTTATTAGTGTAGTGAGTGACCCCCTCCAAAATTTCAGGCTGCGACCGGACATGGAGGGACCTTAATTATTTAGGTTGTATGAATTAATTCTTTTGAACTTCAACATTCTGGCCACCCTGTATAGAAGAACAAAAATAATTTCTATCTGAAATATGCGCGCGCACTGTTACAAATTCTCCATACAAAAAATCTACTGTTTTTGAGCAACACTGTCTTAGCTATTTACTTACTCTTAGTGCGGAGTAGGCCCCAAAGTACGGAGCACCAGAGTATTCATCGGAACCACCCAATACACCTATTCGGCCAGCATCACCTTTACTTTTCTTATTTATGTCAGGAATTATTTTCTTACTTAGAGCAGCTAACGTTTCTTTAGATAATATTCCTTCTCTTATACATTTATCAGAATTCCCTGATACCAATATAAAAATAAATATCAAATAATAACAATTCATTTTTAAAACGATTCCCTTGATATTTGGGATTAATAATAACGTCTTTTTCGTGTGTTAATAAAATCAAATTGTTGCTAACGAAATATATGGCTAGCACTATAGAACGCAAATGCAAGACTGTTTGCAAATATGTTTTTCTGGACTACAGTGATAACCTTAATGTAAGTATGTAAATACCTAGATAAATATAGAACTAAAAGTTGTCCGACTACTTAGTGATGATGTCTAGGAAAAATTTCAATGCATAGATTATGTTTCCGGTAACGATCAAATAATTTTCCTTATAATTAACACTTCTTATTGTATAAATTCTTATTTTTAGTTACATAAAAATGTGTGTGTAATATTCTCCTCCGACTATTGGTTTGTCATAATAAAAAACACTATCTACGATGTATTAAAAAAATCTTTCCTCAATAAAATCAATCACAAGTTCACAAATCGATAATCTAATTTAATTCGTATGTTATAGATAATAATTAGAATGGCAACACTGTAACTCACAATCTGTCATTTTCACTTTCCGTTCTCAGACTTCTCAGTCAATCAGTCAGTCAGTCAGTCAATTGCCATTTTTCGTGTGAGTGAAAATAAACAAAAGATTTTTGTTCTTGTTTCTCGTATTTTTGTAACAAAATGGATGAAAAATATGAAAGTGTTAAACTTTGTTACACTATTCATAAATTTTCCAGTTATTCAGCGAATTATATTCCGGAGTGAGTATTCTTGTTCTCTCTATCTTTATGTACTGGAAAGATCGCCCCGGTCTACCGAAAATACTCTAGTGGGAAGGCCCTCGAGTCCCACCCTATGATCTGTTACAATAGAATCAATGTATGACAACAGTATAGTATAATATAATATAGGATAGGTACTATATGCACTCTTTGTTACTTCTATATCCTGAATCGTGGTACTTTTTGCAGGAACATTATGGTAAATAATCCGTCCGATCAATTATCTAGATGGTTTACGGATAGTTCTACTCCGTCACAATATATTATGCTGAAATTGAAATCTTCATCAATTGTGGAATCAATAAAATTTGGAAAATACATAAAAGCTCATGTCAGTGATTTGAAAAAATTTCAAATATTTGGTGGTACTGATGAAAATAACTTGTCCTTACTGCTGTCAGCGTGAGTATACCTCTTTGGCATGTGGTATTTTTTAAAGATTTTATTTTCATAGGTTTGGCATGTGTAAAAAAATCTCAGGAATTATTGTTTATTTTTAAGTGTTTTCTTTACTAATTAACAATACAACTTTATCAAATACATATTTAGGGCATCTCATTGGTAATTTTAGGCCTTATCAGTATATAGTTTCATGCTTATAAATCCCATTTGCAATCCAACAGTGGTCTGAAGAAGGATAGTGCTGCAGAGTTATTTAGATTAAGACATAAAACAGCGGAAGGGCTGTACTTACCTGTGCAATATATAAAAATTGTACCACTTCAGTCTTGGGGTCCTGCTTATAATTACACTATATGGTATGTGGAACTACAGGGAAAGAATCAAGAAGAGCTGATCAGTAATGCTATGGACACAATAAACTTGGTAAGTATGTAATTGACAGTGAGACTGGTTTACATGAAGTAAAAGAATTTTTAGCTAAATTTTCATTCCAATTCCAATTCAAAGTTGCTAATCATTTATTTATTGTGTTGGCATTATCTTTTTAAACTCTACGTGTAAGTTCCACCCTAGTTATCCTCTCGTGCGCCGCGAAACCGACTCTCGGTTTCTGTCATTTTTCACATTTGCGCTGCGCGACCGACTTTCGGTTTCGCGCGTACCCACCTAATCTGTAGCAAATATTACAACCATTTTGTTTTGCTAGCACCTTCATTCTTATATCAATTTTTAGAGGAAAAAACGGGCTAGCTATCTAGCCATTCATAAAAACAAGTGCCATATGAAATATTTATACTGTTATCTGTCAAAGTTCGTCGTTCGCCGTTTTTTGTCTGAAAAAAAATATGCCGTGTATTCAGACTATTTTAAGTGCTTTTGAGTGGTTTTAAAGAAAAAAACACCATGCCTGGTTAAGTTAAATACATTTAGTTACTCTATTTTGATGTTTCGTTTGCGGGTCTCCGTGAATTTTTTTTTTTAGAATTTTTTTGCAGACGCGGTCGCAAAAAATATCAGCGAAAACTTAGGGGTACTTACCCTATGTTTTCATTTGATAATTTCGATAATAATTGTAATGTTTTAATTTTTAATTATTGAATAAATTATTCATGATTAATACTTCGAATACAAAGAATCCCTTGAGTTCGTATTTTTGAAGAAATAAAAAAAAAACAAAATCCGCGCGGTGGAACGGTCGTTCGAAATTCAAATACACGAACGAAATATTTTTTTATATTATTTTCTTGTATGTGAACTAGTAATTAGTTTTTGTTTATTCTAAAGCAAATTTCGCGTACATTTTGATAAAAAAAACTGTTTATCAAAATTGAAAATACTTTTCGTTTTATAGACATAATACTGAGATGACTGATTTGTAGGCGATTTTTAAATGCCTCGTTGTAAGTTCTTAAACCTAAAAAATATACAAACGTTATTCAAAACAATCTTGGTTCTAATGTTATCTTAACACTCGGAGCTCATGGAGTAATAAATTACAGCCATTCAAAAGCCCGGCCAAATCCTTATCGACCCACTTGAAATTTGATCTGTTTATACTTCGCGGTTTGTTTACATTAACGGCGCGCGCGCGCAATGTGACGAGCTGTAGGTATAATTAAATTGTGCGAGTATAGTATTTTATGTGTTTATTTGGTAAGTTATAATAGAATGTGCAAATAACCAAAAAATCTGGAAATAAAATTTTGAAAATATACTCCATTTTACCCATCTAAACGCCTTTTTTTATCTTTCCCGAGTTTACCGTAACGTAATTAAAATAGATTATAGACATGAAGCATTGTGTGGACACTATCTTATAGGAAATTTTATGGAGAATGCAAATATATATAGTTTGCGTAGGGTATTCTTACAAAATAACAGAGAAATCGGCAAAACAATGCAATCGTTCCCAACCCGCGCGGGGCCCCATGAAGGTGGCCGGCGCAAATCAGGTGAAGGGCGTGTGCGCTAAGGCCGCCGAGAGGTTATTGATATTAAATAAAATACAACTTCTGAAATGTTGTTATGTCAGAAATCCTTTTATTATAATTCATAAAAATGCTATTACCAACAAATTGTTTTGCTTATCAGCGGAAAGAAGAGGAGGCTGTCCGTATTCTGTTGAAGCATTTACGGCGCCGTCGTTACAAAGATGCATTTGAAGCTCTGTCCAGAGAGAGTGGTGTTCAACTAGAGGGTCCTATACAGGCACGCCTGTGGAATGCACTTGTTGAAAGTGGTGATTACAAACTTGCAGAACAGATATTAGAAGAGGCTGTCAAGAGTAAGTATAGTCTACCTAGTAAAAGTCATTTTAAACATCTGTCTATTTATCCTCTAACTGCTCCTAGGCCTCACCATGGGATTTGATGTAGTTTTCACTGTCAGTTTAATAATATTTAATGAGTATAAAATAAGTCTGGGAACAAAAACCAAGCATTAATGTGACTGTTCTAAACATTCACCTTTGAAAAATTGTCTTTTATGTAATTGTGATAATATGTATAACATCTTAATATTAACTAACGTCACAAACAGTTTCTAACTACATAGAGGGATTACTTAATACCGCTTCATTCACACCTCTTGATGTCAAAGCTGCTCTAAATTCAGCCCAACCTCTATTTAGATGGTGAATTCGACTGGTACATGTCATGGCAGCCATACACACCTCAATGGCGACAAATGTCCGCGTGTTCCGCGCAGGTTGAGGCGCGTCTGTGTTGCGGAGACCCCGCACCACCTGCGCCTACTACACGCGCGCTCGACTTGCTGTGTGCCGACAGAGACCCGAGGCCAGACACTGCAGTAAGTATAGTGGTCTTTTGGAATAGGTGACGAGCTTGATTGGTACAAGTCTTGATAAGCTTGATAGAGACCCGAAGCCAGACACTGCTGTGACTATGAGTAAAGCCGTCTTTTAGGTTAGGTGGCAAGTTTCACCAGTATATGTCACTTGAATTGCTGCGTGCTGACAGAGACCAGACACTGCAGTGAGTATAGCGGTCTTTTAGATTAGGTGGCAACTTCACTGGTATTTGTCACCAACTTGCTGCATGCTGACAGTGATTAGAGACCGGACACTGCTGTGAGTATAGCAGTCTTTTAGATTAGGTGACGAGTATGATTGGTACAAGTCACGCTTGATAGAAGCCAGACACTGCTGGACTGTGAGCTAAGCAGTCTTTTAGGTAAGGTGGCAAGTTTTACCAGTATATGCCACTGATTTGCTGCGTGCTGACAGAGACCCGAGGCCGGACACCGCTGTCAGTATAGCAAACTTTCAGGTTAGGTTGCGATGTTTTTTTTAAATATTATGGTAGGGAAATTACTCCACCAACCTCACCATGTTAAGTCGTAAACAAGTACAGACGCGAAGATAGCTGGTGCTGCAGTTATAAACTATTACACCAGCTACCTTGACCTTGCCGGCCTGCAGAAATGCTTTTTCACGCTTCTTTTGCAGGACCGGGATGTAGGAAGGAGGGGGAACACGTGCGCGGATAAAGAATTCCGCTTTCGAATCGAGTTTCGAAGAATTCCCCAAATCACTTTATTCATATAGGAATCGTTGTCACGTAGGGATGTCGAAAGTTGAAAAAAAATAGCGATATATCGATACATCGATATTTTAAAAAATATCAATATCGGCTTCGATATATCGCGAAAAAAACATCGATATATCGGACCAATATTCCCAAAAATATATTTAGGTCAGCCTAGCACAGTAATAAGAGTTCAATACAACTTATAATTAAAGGAAGAATTATCAAAGTACCAAATTGCCGCTACACTACATGGCAGTACAGTATCTCACGACATATGACATGCGGAATAATAATGGAACGAAAATTATCTAAAAATAGACCCTACTTCCGAATGATGAAAATGATTGCAGGGCCTCTCAGCTGCCATCTTTCGTAAACAAGACTAGACAGTCACACACTTCCACAGAATATAATGGAAATCAGCACAACCAATTCACCAGCGAAACAGATTTACAAATAATAGACAATACTAAATACAGCACAGATCATAGATATGTTGAATATCATTAATCTGAGATCCAGTTACGATTTTTCCAGATACAAATTTAGTTAGATCGTGATATGCCGCTAATAATTAAAAAAATATCGTTTTTGATACGAATTTCGATATTGGTTATTTTGTATCGATATATCGATATTTTTTCAACAAGCCTATTGTCACGATATGCCGGTGGTAACCAAAAATTGCTTCGTTACAGTAGCATAGCACCCGATAATCTGTAAACATTTTAAAAGTCTTTAAATATGTGAAAACGTTATTAAAATCAGAACGTTTGAAACAGGAGCCCGATATAAGCTGTGGGGAGCCGACAGATTCGTGCGACGCGTCGTGTTGCAGTAAGCCGGGGCCACGTGGGGGACATCAACTCGTCGTAGACGCTGCTACTGGTGAGTAAACTACTGCTAACTATTATTAGGCTTTTTGAGTTCAGAAACAATGTGCAATAATTCCCCTACTATATGGTATTTCCTTTGGTCCATTATCATAATTGGTTAAGAAAACAAGTAAGGAAAATGAATCAAAATGAAAGAAAGAAAGAAAGAAAAAAAAATTATTCAGTACCATGACCATTTTAATAACATACATAATACATACACAAGTAATATACATGGTGCTGAAAAGGTATCTACTCAGCATAATGTCGGAGTATCTAACGATGCTTCGACGCTGGTCTTCCGCAGGTACCTTTAAGTAAAAATACAAATACAAATACAAGTGCTTTATTTCCATACCTAATTATTACATTATATATAAGTATTAAATATGAATTGGAAAAAGGAGTAGGCACAGCGCAGCTGGTTTTAAGCCTACCCATCGTCAAATTTTTGTGGTTAGTTATACAATTTAAATTCAATTATTATAGCCAATTAAATGTCAAATATATTAATTACAAAAAGAGAATTTCCAATTTCTTTTGAGTAATTATTGAATGTGTTTTTCTTTCCTTTTAAATTAAGTAAATAAGGTAAAGTGTAATGTTTCTTATTAAACGACCGATTGATATTACCAGAACGCATTCATTCATGAATTCCTTGAATGGCAATATCGAAGACGTCAATTTTGATTGTTTCGAAAATAACACGGCTATTCTCAGCGATACGTACATATATGCGAAATTCGACCTTATTGCATCCCATACAATAAGTTGGAATTTCACATATATTTAGGGGGGGGGGGGGGGGGGTTAAATAGTAAAAAGTGACTATAATTAACATTTTTTTGTCCAATACTTACGTGACGAAGTTGTCGCCGAATAAACACACGCACCTTCTTACTCAGCTTCCGGGCGACTAACGCGCGATCTCTCGGCCTTGCAGAGGTAATCCCAGCGAGGGGGAGGGGGGAACTAAATATCCAATCGACGGCGACAAAAGCGAACCGCGTATACGCGTCGTTCGAACGAAAAAACACGTGACCGAATATGCCTACTAAAACGGTCTGTAGTGAGAGACGTAATTATAAGATTTTTTTATTTTTTTATTAAAAATGTCAAAAAAATTTAGTCACTATTACAAGATGGCCTATATCTTTCCGCATTAAAAAATACTTACTATACTCAATTTTGATTGTTTCGAAAATAACACGGCTATTCTCAGCGATACGTACATATATGCGAAATTCGACCTTATTGCATCCCATACAATAAGTTGGAATTTCACATATATTTAGGGGGGGGGGGGTATTCTAAGAAAATAATCTATTAAATAAAACAAGTTTCAACGGTATAGGTGCACTGATTTATTTATTTATTGACGTTTCACATCCTTTACAGGATGTGTTGATTCGTTTGAATAATGTTATCTTTTAATTTTGTCGAGCTTCCTTTGAAAGACTTTAGACTTAGAAAGACTTTTGAGATATTCAATGCCAGTTTGAAGTAAAGATTGGATAAGGCGTTTTTCTTTACGACTTTTAACAGTTTGGTATCGTTCTTTAATGGCGTTGGAAAGGACCCTATATTTGTATTCATACTTACTGTTGTTTTCATCTTTGTTATTGCTATCTTTTTTGGATTTTCTGTGCAATCTTTTCTTGTATTTTTGAACTTTCTTCTCTAATTCTTCTATTTTCTCTTGAAATCTAATATTATCTCTGTATAACTTTGTTCTATCTCTTTTCATTCTCTTCCTCCCCCTTGAGCTAGATACTTCTGAATTAGTTGGTGTTGCAGAATAAAGACGCATTTGTGGATCTACTGGTATTGGTGATGGAGCCGGCGTGTTCAACAGTACGTTTTCAAGCATTTGCTTTTTCTCCTTTCTTTTTTTATTTTGTCGCTGCCATTTTCTTTTCATCATACGATGTTCTCTCACGGTCATGTCAGCCACAAGCTTCTTACGAGAATGATATCTCTCGAGATCTTTGCGTTTCACTTCAGCTACCTTTTCTAGATCATTTTTTCGTTTCTCCCGGCAACGTCGCTGTCTTTCTGCTGCTGTTAATGCCTTCTTTTTCACCATGATAATATCTTGAAAAAGAAAATATATAAATAAGTACGTAAACATTAGAAAAACATTAGATAAACTTCATATCGAAACAGTTACCATAATAAGTACTAGTCCTATTTCAACAGATTCTTATATTTTATGAGATAATAAATAAATATTGAATTCCTTGCAATTTTTTATTCCTCCGTCACGTACTTTACCACTCAGTCACAATTTGTTTGTTACGGAGTTGTAGCGTGACGGAGGGGTAAATCTTACTTACAAAAACGATAATATTTAAACGTTACCACAAAATGCAAATCTAACAGGATGGCACGAAAGTGTTTATTATTACGTAAAAGTTAAATAGTAAAAAGTGACTATAATTAACATTTTTTTGTCCAATACTTACGTGACGAAGTTGTCGCCGAATAAACACACGCACCTTCTTACTCAGCTTCCGGGCGACTAACGCGCGATCTCTCGGCTTTGCAGAGGTAATCCCAGCGAGGGGGAGGGGGGAACTAAATATCCAATCGACGGCGACAAAAGCGAACCGCGTATACGCGTCGTTCGAACGAAAAAACACGTGACCGAATATGCCTACTAAAACGGTCTGTAGTGAGAGACGTAATTATAAGATTTTTTTATTTTTTTATTAAAAATGTAAAAAAAATTTAGTCACTATTACAAGGCCTATATCTTTCCGCATTAAAAAATACTTACTATACTCAATTTTGATTGTTTCGAAAATAACACGGCTATTCTCAGCGATACGTACATATATGCGAAATTCGACCTTATTGCATCCCATACAATAAGTTGGAATTTCACATATATTTAGGGGGGGGGGGGTATTCTAAGAAAATAATCTATTAAATAAAACAAGTTTCAACGGTATAGGTGCACTGATTTATTTATTTATTGACGTTTCACATCCTTTACAGGATGTGTTGATTCGTTTGAATAATGTTATCTTTTAATTTTGTCGAGCTTCCTTTGAAAGACTTTAGACTTAGAAAGACTTTTGAGATATTTCATTGGAAGATTTTAAACCTTTTTTGTCTATGTATGAATATTTTATTGAAAGATTTTAAACCTTTTTTATCTATGTATGTATTTTGTTAGCTAATTTAATTAATAAAGTACTTTATTTAATTCTTTTTTTATAATTTTGAGTTTATTGATTTGACCCAATCTACCGCAAACTACTTTCTAAGAAGAACTGGTGCAACAAACTCAGAGAGGCTTTCTATCTCCCTCTTATGTTAAATATTGCAAACAAAAGAACTCACAGTATCTGTTGGTCTTGCATCAAATAAGTTATTGATGGGTGAGAACAAGTAAATTGGCTGATAGTTAGTACATAATCTTTTTAATTTTTCGCAGGTACCCTATACCTTTTCGGGGGTTGGAATGGAACCGAAGATCTAGACGATCTATGGTCCTACGACACTAAAGCGGAGAGATGGCAGCTGCTATGTAGGCACAGCGGTTTAGTAGGCGGACCGTCGCCGCGCTCGTGTCACAAGATGGTTCTGGAACCGCGCAAGAAACGATTATATACCGTGGGGCGATACTTAGACAACGCGCAACGATTGCCTGCTAATATGCGCGTGAGTAAACGACATGTTGTAATACTGATGATGGATATTTTTTGTGTTCTTTACCTTTCCCCCACTCGTGCCACAAGCTTTGACTAAGACAACGCGCAGCGATTGGCTGCCAATATGCGCGTGAGTATACGACATGTTGTGATATTGATGATGGATGTTTTTTGTGATGTGTTTTGTTACCTTCACCCTGATCATGCCACAAGATGGTTCTGGAACCGCGCAAGAAACGTTTATATATCGTTGGCCGATACTTAGACAACGCGAAACGATTGTCTGCCAATATGCGCATGAGTATACGCCATATTGTGATACTGATGATGAATATTTGTTTGTGACGTTTCAATTTTTTACATAAATGTATGAAACTTCTATCGAATTTGACATTTGTTGCACCTGGAACGTAGGTTTGGAACGCAGCCCTTGTCTGCAAATGTCATCTGAGATCCGGCCAATCCTAGCCGATTTCGTAGAAATGACGTGATGCTGACTTAAATTCGACCAATTACAGCCGTTTTCGATCATGTGACATTAAATAACAAATGGAAGGAAGTCACTTTTCATTTGAGGCCATGAGAACCATAGTGGCCTAACTATTTTTTTTACAATATTGAGTTTATGATTTTTCCAGTTCAAATTGATCATTTTGATGGAACCAGAGTGGTCTAAAAGTGATACAATGAATATTCACTAGATGGCAGTATAATCACTGTTACGGTTTTCAGTCTGTAATCTAAAGATGAGGTGCCATACTGGCCTAAGTAAGATAGGCCACTATGGCCTCATTTAATTATGTTATATTATTAATGAAATGAAATGAATAAAATCCATGGAAGATATGTGTGAGCTTTTCCAAAGACTCGAGTTAGAAAGTGGCAACATCGGTCTCACAGTGAATAGAGCAAAAACCAAAATCATGATAGTTGATCAAGCCGGAAAGTTAACAAATGACAACAGTAACATTCCTGGCATTAATAACGACGACCACTACATATATTTGGGCTCGAAAATCAACAATGATGGCAGCTGCATTCCCGAGATGAAAAGGAGAATCGGTATGGCTAAAGATGCTATGTCCCGAACTAAACAACATTTGGAAGAAAAGAGGAATCAGTATCAAAACCAAGATCAGACTGATACGAGCCCTGGTATTTGTAACGTGTTAAAAACGTCACATGGATCTCCTTCGCTCGAAGAGCGAGATAGAAGATTTTTTTTGGTTGTCTCTCTGGTCGTTTTTTATCTCGCGCCCATTTTCTTTAATCTGTGCACTTTTGGGTAAGTGTGTTTCTGCCTTTATCGAGCAGTAGGCTGAATGGACATTGTTCTCTTTGCCTACCGCCCAGACAAACTAAGAAAAGAACTGTCACTTCACTTCACGACCAAAATTTTTACGAGGAACATGTGAAAATCTAAATCGTAATTTTTATTATGATAATTCCTTAGATTGTCCATTATTTTTTAATGGTAAGTTTTTTTTTTATTTGGATTTTATAATCAACTTTCAACATTTCCCATGATGAGAAAGTGAACAGTCCCGGGATGTAACAGCGACATCCCTTAAGTATTACAATTGACACCAGACACAGCCACTACACAGATGCAACAAGTTCGGTATCTTTCCAAATTCATTGTTGTACCGGAACCCATAAGGTAAAATTTTCATTTACATCTTAGCAGCCATAGTATAATAAGTAGTTTCTAAATTTAGCAGTAACCCTTTTGGACTTAAGTAGTTTTGTAGTAAATTTAAATAAATCGACAACCCAAAATGAATATGGTTTTGCAATCAAGCCTTCTCTTGTGATTAATAGTCCATTGGTTTCCCGGCTAATATGGTTTAATAATATGGTATGGGTCTGGCGCCCGAGTATTCTTCTTTTTTTCATTAATTTCGACCTATCCATTTAAAGTAATTTTCAAAACAAACTTTTTATTTTTTAATATTACATATTCCCTATCTTCTTATATGGAGTTGAATCGTGGACATTTTAGCCCGAGAAAGACAAAGGATTGATGCATTCGAGATGTGGTGCTGGAGGCGAATGCTGAGAATTTCTTGGACCGCGAAACGCACCAATGCATCGATTTTGAGACAGCTCCGTATAAATACTCGTTTGTCCACTGTATGCCGACAACGCATCCTATCATACTTCGGCCACACAATGCGCAGGGATGACGGCCATTTGGAAAAATTTATTGTTGTTGGGAACACTGAAGGCAAACGATCGCGCGGTCGTTCACCAACTAGATGGACAGATCAAATAAAAGAAACGTCGTCGTCCAAATTTTATACGGTTGTGAGAGACGCGCTGGACAGAAACCCGTGTAGGCAGATCATCCATTCCAGATGCAACTAGCATGCTGACCACGATCCTCAGTCATGAGGGACCGACCAGAGAGAGATTAATGAAACTCTATTATGTAAAGGTTATAAAAATTGGTTAAAAAATAAATAAAATAGTATTGTAAAAATGTTGTTTGCCAAGCACCTTGACCACGCTGAGCCTATTTTGGGCATGGTCCTTTCTTTATATCTAAGTATATATATAAAACTCAAAGGTGACTGACTGACTGACATAGTGATCTATCAACGCACAGCCCAAGCCACTACACTGATGGGGCTGCAATTTGGCATGCAGGTAGATGTTATGACGTAGGCATCCGCTAAGAAAGGATTTTGATCAATTCTACCTCCAAGGGAATAAAATAGGGAATGAAACTTTGTCAATTTTAAACCGATCGGGCTGAGACTTTGCATGCAGGTATAAGAAGAATCATAGATGAATGTCATTGTATATAATACAAGCCTAAGAACAAAAACTTTAGTCTACCCTTCAGCTCTACACCGAAACGAAGCGAGGGCGGGCCGCTAGTTTTAGTATAAATGCAAGAGGGCCTTTCATAGTGGGCGGGCGAACACCAGTATAGGTTCCTCTAAATGTATGTTTGGTTGAACAGAGCGACCTATACATGTACGACGTGCGGGCGGGGTCCTGGTCGCTAGTGTGCGCGGACACCGCGGGGGCGGGCGGGCCGAGGCTCATGTTCGACCACCAGATGTGCATCGACCCCGACACCAGCACCGTCTACGTGTTCGGGGGCCGCGTGCTGCCATCCAATACGTAACTATCATCATCAGCCTATTAATCTACCCACTGCTGAGGCACAGGCCTTCCATGTACATTTATTTTGGGTTCCGGTGGTTATTTTAGTTAGATGGTTTAGCATTTTAGCATATGGATGTTTGTTCGCTATTTGATACGAAATATTGGAGACTTTCATAAGTTACGTTTTATTGTGTAATTAAAATACGTTAGTATTGTATAGATTATTTGTATTAGTTGATTTGATAATGTTAGATTAGAGGGGGGTAAATTTGAATAGAGCGTAGTTTTAGGAATGGAGTTTATAGTGTGAGTTATTAGCTGTTATTATATTCTTTGAGTGTGTTTACAACGGTTTTACATAGATCGATAAATGAATTTAAGCATGATTTCTTTTGCAAATGGTCAGTTATGGTATAAGGATCGATTTGATGGTACGAGCAGAGGCGGGTATGCTCTGCCCGCACCCGTGTAATAGTACCCGTATTAAGTGGTTAAGAGTTTGGATTTTGTTCGAGTCACAGTTGCATTTGTCGGTTGCGGCTATTTTGAACCGATGTAGGTAGCCGTGGTCGATAAGTATTTGTGTGAGATGGAAGGACATCCATATGGATGGAATAGGGAGATTGGGCCATGACCCACCACGCGGGCCCGGTGCGGATTGGTGGGTGCTTACGACTGCAGATGCAGCCGGGGTCAACGGCTTTAACGTGCCTTCCGAAGCACGGAGTAACTTGACATAGAAGATTTTGGTCACCCATCCTTTGATTTAAGTTCACATTGATGGCGTCGTTTACCTCTCTCGTTGGCAACCCTAGTTATACATCTTGGCGAACTTCTTGAGCAACGACCAGAGACAAGAAATCGTGCGCAGTCACAATAGTATACATACAAAAACGTCTACTGCGCAAGTTTATTTGTCTGTGGTTTTTTTGCTTAAAAAGTTTACCTTGTGATGTAATAATGACATTTGAAAATAATCTGGTACAGTTAAATGGACACTATTGAATATTGTGTCGCAGGGAAGAGGTTGCCAGTCCCCAGTACTCAGGCTTGTACGCGTACTACATAGAGACGAACACGTGGCAACAATTACTGGAGGATCAGTACGAGGGGCCTGCGCCCGCGCCGCTGCCTCGAGTCTCGCACTCCATGCTGTTCCATCCGGTGAGTTTAACGTATATTTAGACACTAGCGGCCGTCCGCAACTTCGTACGCGTGGAGTTATTTAGAAATAAAGGTTCACTGCTCGTTCCCCGTAGGTGATAGCATCATAATATGTAGCCTGTGTTGACCCGAGTTCTTAATAATATTCGTGCCAAATTTGAAGTAAATCAATGCAGTACTTTTTGAGTTTATCCCGGACATACAGGCAAAAATTCTAAAAACTATATTTTTGACTTCGGTATCGATTGTAGATCACACTCCAAGTATTCTTTGAAAAAAATATTCAATGTAAAGTATGACTTCCCCACCATTATATTATATGTAAGATAAATTCAGTAAGGATACTGATCTTCGAATTCGATAATTCTTTGTGCTACTCTAAGCAATAGTAAGGTGAAAAGGCGAATAGTTTGCGAGTGCGAAATTGTCAAATATTGTATGGAAAGTTTAATAGCAGCGCCATAACTGTAGCTGTGTACGGACAGAGAGAACATTGTTTCGTATTGTCGGTTACTAGTGTCCTCGAACGCACGTGTAGCTACGCGTGCATTCTTTAAGAGTGTACGGCGTACGCGCACTTGTAAACGGATAATGAACGCATTTTTATTATTGTTGGCGACTGGCTGTGGGTTATAAACCCTTTCGATATTATTATGTATTTTTTAAATCCTTTATACTTTTCTACGTCACCTTTCGCCATTATTTTTTGTTGATAGATTGTTGCAATAATTGTCTTGTTACAAATTACTGCTTACCAACGTTTTATTGTGAACTCGAAATTATATACTTATGTAGTGCTACGTGTCGTTTCTCTCCATCAATCCCATTTTAGCTTAGTACAGACCACCGCTACACAACAATAATAATCCCATATGAAATAATACCAAACTCGCAATTTTTGCGCCACCCTCTTTGTTGCAATAGTGAATAATAATGACAGACGGTGCTCGCGTAGCGCTATATAGACCGCTCGACCCCGCGTTCAGGTTAACGGCGGCGGTCTGTACAGGAGCTGCACGCGTATCCGATGTACTCGTTCAGCCGACTACGCTTAGCGAAGGAACGCGCTATCTGAACGCAGGAGGTGTATCTTCTTAAAAATGGTACTAAATATCGCTGTATACATTCGTGAGTCAGCGCAACAAGAAGCACTTGGTGGATCTGTGGTGGTGGGACGTGGGTACGGGGGAGAGGCGCGCGGTGTGCGAGGAAGGGGGGTCCTACATGAAACTATACCAATATCGTGAAATCACGATAACGGCTATAGCGTAGCGTGCAATCTCAGTTTATTATTGATCCTCAGCTGAAATAATAATGAAACTCATTTCTGCAGTGTACTATATTTACGTATCATAATCTCGCGATCAGTTACAGCGGCGGCTGTATATATTCACGGGTTAGCGTAACAAGGAGCACCTGGTTTACCTGTGGTGGTGGGACGAGGGCACTCTGGAATGGGGTTTACCGGATGATGTCTCGATAACAGATATTATAGGAGGCTGTGTATGTGGGGGGGGGGTCCTATATGAAACAATACCAATCGCGATATTTTTGCGCCCCCCTACTTGTAGCAATAGTGAATAAAGCGCTATCCATACGCAGCTGTATCTTTTTATGCATTTAATCTAATCATGCATTCTCAATGACAGCTTCAGCGGCGGCTGTACATATTCGCGGGCCAGCGCAACAAGGAGCACTTGGTGGACCTGTGGTGGTGGGACGTGGGTACTGGGGAGAGGCACGCGGTGTGCGAGGCGAGTGCGGGGGGAGGGGGAGGAGCTCCCCCCTCCGCGGTGTTCACGCAGCGGGCGACGCTAGATCCGGACACTGATGAGATGTTCGTGTTGTCTGTGAGTATAACCTACAGAATGCCTACCTTTTTTTTGTGTCTGGGAAATGCCTTGCGCATCCTTCAACCACTGGGGGAGCGAGAAGCAGGTATGTGGGACTCCTCCCTGTTCATTTTTGCCAGCCCTGTGGCTGGGCGAAATGAGCAGGGCCTTACCTAACGCCCTGATATATCGAATTTATTCGATATTTACGATACGATATATCGAATGAATCGATGTTTTGACAATGTTTTTATTTATTCGATATATCGATATATATTTATAAAAATATCGAATCGAAAATAGTAACGCTGACTCATAATAATGGCAATAAAAAAAAGAAAAAGATTAATTTATCTAAAGACCAGGCTGTATGCTCCCTTTGCCTTCCCAAAAACGGGAGAAACTAAAAGAAAAGGAGATTGGCAAACAGAGTGTCATTGAAATGTATCATGTACATACCAGGAGCGGGATATAGAATTTATAGGTGATAATGCCAGTAACATTTCCCAAGAAATAAAAATTCAACAATATGCCTTCCACGCGCTTTAGATTCATGACCATATCTTTTATTTACCCCTTCTTCTGCCTGACTTCTCCTTGTTTGTTTTATTATTTGAATTCCCATAAATAAAAGTTATTGTCATCCTATTAGAAAGGGACAAAAGGCCTCCGTGGCGGGTGTGGTCGCGGCTTCCGTTTTCGAATGGCCGTGCACCCGACAAGTGTTTTCCATTTGTATGTTTTGAAGTGAAACTTCTTTACACACGCTTGGAAGCGTTAGGAAAAGTGTGTTGGGGCGAGACGGACGGGAGTTGAGTGGGGGATGTAAGCAAGAGAAAGCAGTGCGCGCGTACATTTTCTTTCTCTCTTAGTTAGTAAATGAAATATGTATATGTATATACAGATTATTGAGCTGAAGTGTAGACTACAGTTTTTGTTCTCAGGCTTGTATTATACACAATGACAGACATCTATGATTCTTCTTATACCTGCATGCAAAGTCTCAGCTCGATCGGTTTAAAATTGACAAAGTTTTTCATACAAACTTACATACCCTATTTTATCCCCTTGGGGGTAGAATAGATCAAAATCCTATCTTAGCGGATGCCTAAGTCATAACATCTACCTGCATGCCAAATTTCAGCCCGATCCGTCCAGTGGTTTGGGCTGTGCGTTGATAGATCACTATGTCAGTCAGTCACCTTTGAGTTTTATATATATAGATAAACAGATGGAGCTAAAGAAGTTTCACTTCAGTCGTGTGGTCATAAGCACACTCGTTTTCTTTTTAAAACTCTTACCACTTTGTTACAAAACGTTGACTAAGATTACACCTTGTTTAAAACTGATGCTGTCACTTTTGTTTGCTAAAATGACAGAGACAGCATAAGGTTTAAACAATGACTAACTTTAGTGCGCGTTTTGGAACATACACTTCCAATTTGTGTTGGCAGGTTGCATTTGAGATTAATTAGATCGCTTTTTGATTCGGTATTGTAAAGGCATACTAAGGCGAAAGTTATCCAATTTGATGTTTGTACGTACGCTGTTCATAGCAACACATATTTGTCTCTTTTCTGGTCTATATGTAAAAACAAGATAACTGTACGAGTCGACTTTATGGGTTGAATTTTAAGTCTTTCTATGTTTTAGTTCTTGTTCGGCGGTTTTTCATTAATATCTTTTTAAACCGTTGACATATAGAGACAAATAGACTCATAATCTCGCTCAAACCATGGCGGATGCCTGCACACGCGTCGATAATGCAAAGTATTCTATCAATTTATCACCCCTGTTCCGAAAATAATTGCCTATTAATTTTGATTTTATATAAAAGTGAATTAGAAATTATATTTAATATGTTAATAATGTCAAAACGTAACGGAATTAGACTATAGATTTATTCTTTTATTACAATATAATTACATCTATACTTCATGTACATTTCATTTCGCCAGCCGGCACAATGTTTTGTACACCCTATTATTCAAGGAAAAGGATTCTACTATTTCAAATACTTCAGATTCAGAGCAAACTGATTCCTAATTAATTACACGTAAAGTTTAACTTCAGTCGACAAATTTCCAAGCACTATTTTTTTTTAATACTAGGGGATGAGCAAAGAAAAGGACAAGCGCATTTACAACACCTTGTGGGTGTTTTCACTGCGTCGTATGGCGTGGAGTTGCGTATACCGGAACGACACCGTGTCTCCTGACGAACCACGGCCTAGGTTTGCTCATCAGCTGGTCTATGATCCTCTGAGGAAGGTAAGTGCTTTAATATATCAACACTAGCGGCCGCCCGCGTCTTCGTCCGCGTTAACTTTTAGTATTTTATTCTAAAATAAAAGTAGCCTAAGTTACTCCTTATTATATCAGCTACCTGCCAATAAAAGTCCCGTCAAAATCGGCCCAGCCATTTCAGAGATTAGCCGGAACAAACAGACAGACATACAAGAATTGTAAAAAAAAAATGGTGTATGTACCGTATATATATTCATATGCATGAAGTAAAAAGCGGTTATTTCAATATAACAAACAGACACTCTAATTTTATTTAGATATATAAATGTATTTTAATTTATGTATAAATACAAAATAACCAAAGCCAAAGAAAATTATAGTATTAAACTGCCCCCGTAATAAACTAGATTATAACTACAAAGACAGTCTGTTTCCGGCATCGACGAAACATATATCAATTGAAAGCTCGTTTTGTGTTATAACATGACTATTGGTGCTTGAAATACACAGATCCACTACTTATTCGGCGGTAACCCCGGCAACCATAGCAGTCCTCGTCTCCGACTAGACGACTTATGGTCCCTGCAACTATCGCGGCCGTCCCTGGACAGCGTGTGGCGCTCCGCCAGGGCCGCACTCAGGGAGGCATGCTATAGAGAACTTGCTGCCGTGCCTGAAGACGCGGCAAGAGCGTTACATTATTTAAGAAACGACCTGCGAGAGGCCCTAGACCATACTGACCCGGAACAGGTACGATATCACCATTTGAACCCGTTTCTTTTTGTCCAACAGAGGCCCAAGGGGCCGTTCAAGTAGTACGTAAGCAGATTTAATACAATTATTTACCCCCTCCTCTCCCTTGTCAGCAAAAGTAAGTAAAGCTCTTACCCCCCTCCCCTCACATGCATACGTAAACATTGCCTTTAATGTATTCTGTTTTTTTATTAATTTAAGAAAGCTTAGAATAGAAGACTTTATCGCACATAATATTCATTTAAACAAACTTTATTGACACAGTATTCAACATAGAGCAAGGTACAAATAATTATAATCTTATTAAGTACTATTACGAACAAAACAAACATCTTTCGAATTTTTGGGAAACGTATTAATTCCAATTCATTGTCTTCAGTCCATTACACCCGAATCCATGATGCTGACGTAATCACTGTCTGCCCCCCCCCCCCCCTTGTCATCAAAAATAAGCAAAAACAAAGACACCCCTGCCCCCCTATAATGCTTACGTAATACTTGAACGGCCCCCAAGCATAAATTATGACAGCTCCGTAATCGTATCGCATCGTCCAAAGCTGCGTTCGGTATTGGCATCGCAGAAGCTACGGACTTTTGGTCACGTGATCACAGATTAACCTGAACAAATTATAATTATCGAACGGCCCAACCAACCGTAGATTAATTTCTAATTTCTAACAGAAACTAAACTGGTATCGATTCTGGCATGATTCTCTGAACTTAAAACTTAATTTAACATCATATCTCCTTTTCATTAAGTATACAGATTTACAAGGTTACCATTGTTGTCAAATTTAAGTTTGGGTTTACAGAAACATGCCTGAATCGATACCTTTGAAAACGTCTTATTTTATACGTCGTCGAAAAAAGACGTTGCCTCTGCGATGATAATACCGCACGCAGCTTGTGTTAAGTCAATGACGGATGGCGTCGTTTGATTCCCCCCAGGTGGCCCGCTTCCAGAAGCTGGCTACAGAACTATTCGCATGCGTTCCTCCCGAACGCGGTCCTTGCGCGTTATGTCCGCGTCGGACCCGCGCGTTACATCGCCGCGCGGCACGCGCGCGGCAGAACCGCGACCTGGCGCATCACCTCGCCGCCGTGAGTAATAACGTCTATACAATTGTGGGAAGGTCGATGGGGAACATCTTCCTCCGAACTCCGAGTCCCACGTGGAGCTGCGGGCCTCGCTGACCCGCGCCCGCGCTACGCAAGGTAATGTACACAGACACGTGCCGTCACTTCGGCGCCCATATTCGCGTTCGTTCCTCCCAAACAAGGTCCTTGCGCGTTATCTCCGCGTCGGACCCGCGCGTTACATCACCGCGCAGCACGCGCGCGACATTACCCCGACTTGGCGTACCACCTCGCTGCCGTGAGTAATAATATCTATACAGGGAGAATGCACTGACCATTATGCTACCGCGGCCCTGACGGCCCTGTCAAATTCTTTCTTGCCTTTCTTAAGATGGCTGACAAGGCAGCGCCATCTCTTCGAGCGCCATCAGAAATGATGCTATATCACGATACAGAAAACTTGGTGACCTATTTAAAATAAAATGTGATTAAATTAGCGTATCATATTTATTAAACGTTTAGAATAGATTTATATTAAGATCTCATTGCCTGAAACACAGGACAATCCTAGTTCAGGCTATGTGGATTTATTTCACCTTTTGTTTTTCTTAGATTTAATTTATTTATATGTTTTAATTGATTTTGAATAAATATTTATTATTATATTACTATAAAATATGTTCTTTTTTAATGTTATTACATGTTTTAAATATTTGTAAAAACATGTATGAAATGTGTAGGTACTAGGAGCGGACGACAACATCCCCGACCCGCCTCAACCGTGGGAGGAGTGCTCATCCCCCGCCCCGGACACGTGGGACGTGGGCGAGGACGATGACCCCGCGCCGGCGCCCGCGCACTGGGACGCGCGCGCCGCCCGCCTGCGCCTCTACGACCGGCTCGCCAACTACTTCCGCCCCAGTACCGTGCCGCCGGACGCGGATATCACCGACCTAGTCGCCTTGTAATGTGAGTGTTTAAATTGAGAACTTGGACCGAGTTTTTCAATTTTCGAACGTTAGACCGAGGATAATGCTTTTATGATAAACAAATTAAGATAGCGCATTGAAATAACAGTACCCGTAACACGAACCAATACCGCCTACGTCTCTACGACATGCTCGCCAGCTACTCCCGCCCCAGCACCGTGTCGCCGGAGGCGGATATCATCGACCTAGTCGTCTTGTAATGTGAGAGTTTCGATTAAGAACTTGGACCGAGTTTTTTGATTTTCGAACGTAGACCGATGGTGTGCTTTTATGAAACAAATGAAGACACGCATTGAGGGAGCTGCGATGCGTCAGCCGGTGTTTTAATTCCGAGCGTAGATTGATTGTACCGTTGGTTCAATAAGGGCTACCTTTTTTTTGTCTCACCAGATGGCACCACTGTTGAGTGAGGTCCAGAAGTGTAGCTTCTAAAGTTTATTAATACGCGTGTGAAATCAAAGTTTACATTTAAATCATATTTTAATACAAAAGAACCGTATCGTAAACATAATCAGCCATGCCACAGTGTTGCGCAGTTCCGTTTTGTTTGGAAAAAGACATTCATTGACACGTAACTCATATTTGCCATAATTAATCTGAGTTATTACCAAATATTCACAACATTATTTTAATTTTAAATAAACCCACAAGCAATAACATTTCGGAGACCTTACGCTACACAAGCGCCTCTAGCGGCGGTTAAGTTTCGCGTTTGTATCAACCCAAAACCACGCCCCGAAGAACGGGGTGGTTCTTTTAAGTGCACCGTTATATGTAGAATGAACATTCATAAAGAAACGTACCGTCTGTATAAAACAAACTCGGTCAAATGAAAATGAAAGTTGAGAGATGGAAGTGAGAGCAGGCGAAATTTCTCACCCAATGCAAGCAATCTTTCCGGAACGTATCTCCTGCGCTTAACTCATTAATATTGGTATTTCGATCTCAGCACGTCAAGATCACTCAACTTGTAGTTTTCTAATAAGGAATTATCGCCTTTATTTCGTGTAAGAATAGTACTATAGTGAGATAGCGACTGCCATAGTATATCTCTATCGTTTATGTTTTGATGACAACTAAATACACACAAGTTTTAATATTACGCCGTTACATTTACGTAAACTACTACTCTGTTCCATGACTAACGTTAACATTGTATTAATATTTGTTGAAATTTAGAATGTAATATGCCAAATGCCATTTACTAGTTCTAGGTACTACGTATGTTAAAAAATTTAACAGTGTATTTTTATTTTATTTCAATTTACTGTTGTTTCAGTCTTGCTTGTCATTCGATTTATAAAGTTTGCCTTTAATAAGCAATAATAGCAACACCATGTGCTATTCATAGAACGTCTTCCTAACGGAACTAGATGTAATATTCATTTTATGTTATAATGTTTAAGAATCATAAAATATGTTATTTAATTTAAATAGTTTTAAATATTTGTAATAACGTGTAGGAAATTTTAACGTGAGAATGATATTATATAACATGGCACTGGTATAACATCATGCATAATAGTATTTTTTCGAACCCGCATTTACAATATGTATGCACATACAATGTTCGCACTTCACATGGTTTCGATTTACTATTTGTAAACGTGACAACAGTCTATCCTTTTCATTCCTTATAGAGTATGACAAGAATTACCTGATGTCAAAATGACAGCAAAAATGAATTTGCAAATTTTTGAATGGCCAAGTGGATTGTGGAGTGCCGGCATAATGTTGAGAAGTATTTATATTGGAAACCTTTTATATGTTAACATAAATTCAGTTAACATTGTTAACGTTACAACAAGCACAAGAAAAGAGTTTTTACTAATATTGTTGTATGCGAGGTTTCGAAATTGTTTTAAAGTTTTTAATATAATTGCATGATGTGTATGTGGCGAATCAGATGTCATAATTTCTACAAACTGTGATACGATATTTATAGTCAATAGTGATAATAAATAAAACGTACGCATAAAGAATCTCTCGTGTATCGTTCTAATTTGAGATTGTATTCTGCCAAAATTTTGTGACACGCTTTAAAAATTTACTAGGTACGTGTTAATTTTTTGGGCCTACTAAGTGTATATTAAATGGTTTTTATATGAAATGGTTTGGTGAAGTGTGTATATAGTTTTAATATTTTTAACGAATACATTACAAAGAAGAAGCTAATTTTCAAATTTTGCATTGCATATTGAGCTCTTTCTCCATGGGTTAGGGTACTATTTTATATAAAGAAAACAAACAAACACGCTAAGCATAAAAGAGACGCTGCTATTTATCATTAAAGGTTTCTATTTTATTTTACCTAATCATGGACATGAATATAAACTTCAGATACCAATATGCCATTCGAAATTCTGAAAACCAGTTCTAAAAATTTCATTGCCATAGGAAAGTTCATAAAGGTTTTGCGTTTCGAATGTTTTTTTTTTTACGTTGGACTTACGAATACTTCATTTATTGACTGTTAATATAAATACGGAACAACCTGTAGATCAACTGACTGGTAATGTTATAGAATCAGACAATATATCTCTAAACCACCTTTTAACCAAAAAATCAATGTATATAATAACTTCATATACCTACTTATTCTATGTAATGTTTTCATCGAAAACAAGCCTTTTTACTCAAGCTTTTAATAGAAAGTTGTAGTAGCAAATTATAAAAATTTAATAATGAATATTTAATCTTTTTGTAAATTTAGCGATGAAAAGTTTTTATTAAAAAATAATAATATTTAGAGTACAATTTCATTTGTTTTTGCTTATAAATAACAAAGGAAGTTATTTGGTATTTCTTTATTTTATATGACACAAGACCTTATAGCGTGACTACCGCAACACGGTTTGAATTTAATGATAGAGATTTATTTATAATCCTTTCGTGAATCACTATATCATATCGCAGTGTTTAGCGATATCGCGTTTTGAAGTTTTAATAAATCATAGAAGCGGAACTACTTGTTCAAATGATAAAAATGATACCTTCATTTAAACGTACATTATCGTTCTTTGTGTTGAGTAAGTTTAGTTAGTGTATCAATGGTAGTTTTTATTTTAAAAGTACTTTTATGTGACTGGGTAAAGAGAATACCATATAAGCAATTCAAATGGCTCATGTTAAATTTAAAACTAGTATCATTTTAAAATAATTTCGCTGTAAATAACATATTAAATAAAATTGAACAGGCCAGAGGGTATCATTTTAAATAAAACTTCAAACTTGTATTAATCCGAACGGGCTTAGGGTATTAACTTAATACTGTTTAGAATACGCACAATCATAAATTTTGCCTAGAAATTGACGACATGTGTTGCTATAATTCAAAAACTATTTCGAATTAAAATACAATTATCTTTCCAGTTTATAGAGGAAAAAAGTAGTTTTCGAAACGCTAATAAAAAAAAATGGTTTTGCCGACTTAATACCCTATTGTTTGTGACGTGCGATATGATTATTCATATGGTCATGCTACTAGGACCAGAGCTTTTACTTATATAGTAATCGAAACGGGTATGCTTTTATTTTGTTTATAAGAGTTCAATGTTATTTTAAAATTATTTATTTCGAGTGTATAGATAGTTTTGTCTGAAATTTGTGAAATGAAATAATCTTATACTATCGTATTCGTAATATGCAACATCACGTAACTAACTACGTCATTGTAAACGTAAGGTTATATTTAACAAACAAAGACTGGTTTTGGGCGCAATTTATAAGGCTGATTGTGTCTAAGACTAGCCGTTCGAGTTGTGACTATTTGTGTTTCGTGTATTCAATTTTTAGGTTCTTCTTGTGTAGCGGCCGAACTAGTACCAAGCCAGCGTGAAAGCATAACTTATTATTATTATTGTATATGGCATTTGTGGTGTTCCAGAGCGAGAGTTCTTTGGGGCTGCGTTAAGCGGGAGCCCGGAGCGACGTCCACTCTGCGTGTTTGCTTCATGTTATTTCATAGAGCAGCGCTACGTGAGGCGGGTCTCCCGTCGCAGAGCTTCTGTATGAAATTACATGAAACTGCACGCGTCCGTTCCGTGCTCCCGCTTAACGCAGCGCAGACCCTTTTTCAACCGATGCTCTTATCAAGAGCGGTGTCTCATTTGTTTTATGGCACTAGTTTAATTGTAAGAAAGAATTAGTTTATAGTTAATTAGTTTCAATCATGAAACACAAATATGCACATCTCGGTGGATTCTTACATTGATAATATGTAGATCTAAGTAATAGCTGGTAGGTATAGTAATATAATTTAAGACGTTTGAGCTACAGTTTTTATATATTGTGGTATTTTACAACAGCTATCAACCATTAATAGTATAGATTAAGAAAGTATATTTAGTGATTATTAATTGATGCTCGTTTAATTCAAACACACTAATTGAATATGTAATGTGTTAATAATTAATATTTTAAACCTTATTATTAATTAAACATTTTAAAGACAATCAAGTATTGGAATTGCTAATTAAATTAATGTGTACAGTAGAAATGAGATAATGCTATTAATTATTTTTACAATAAATTTAATTCTTCGTGTTGTTTTATTCTATTGTTATCAACTTTATCAAAAAGAGACAGCACTAACTTAAATCAATGTTTAAAATACGTCTCTGAGTGCTGCCGTTATTTTGTTTGCAAAATTCAATTAATGGATAAATGAAACAGCTCGTGTTAAAAAAAATAAGTGTATCAAATGTTTAATTCAATGTAATTTGTAAAAAATTATGTGTTTTGTTTATAAGAATAATTTATAAATAATACATTTAATTTCTGTATATTCAATACAAGAATAAATTATTTACTTGTCAAAGCTTGTTTTAAATCACGATGTTATCCTTTTGTATCTATAGGAAAAAAGATGCGACAAGATTTTTTCCTGTGAAAATGGATGACAAAGCCGTTTAATGGCTAGTCTGATAGATAACGACGTCTATTATTTTGATTTGGAAAGGACATTGCTCTGCGTCCATACATAGTTAGCCTACGAACCAACAATCATGAAATGTTATTTTCTAGGTTCGAAATCGCAAGTAAGTGACTGTAAAAACAAAGATTATTGACGGACACATCTGAGAACTTAAATTTATTAGGAAAACTAAAATTTTTTTGAGGTTATGTTTAACATTTATTGAAACATAGGTCAACCTATGAACTTAGTATGAAGTAAATTAATATAACAACTAATTCATTTTATTTGGTGCGAAAAACTTGTTTAGGTAAGAATCATGAATAAAATAAAAACTGTAGTTTCACTTCTTATTTATTGACTATTTTTTCACATAATTGTATTTATTTGTATATCACATGTTTATTGTGTAAATATGCAGCGTGAATGTGTCTTAGGTGCTCTTGAATAATTTGGCAGTATGATCCTCTCAGGATGTTGTGGCACAGGTTCACTAGCACTTGGTAATAAGGTCTCTGCGCTTTGATAACATCGATGGCATATTAGATAGCCGAAATAGTTTAATCAAAGGAAAAACAATCGCAAATAAACACATACAACAGGTAATCCGAAACGAGAATGCACTTTTCGATTTATTACACTACTCTTTGAAATGCACGAATGCCCTAGATTACTACGAATGCAAACTGCCTGCACCACAACCACAGAGTATCGAGTTTTATGGCGGCCCTTCACTTGACAACAGTTTTGTCCTTGTCATGCTTAATTAGGAATGAAAAGGACAGACTGATGTCATGTTTTAAAATAGCCAATACGAATAGCCAAGTGAAGTGCCGGCATTAGGAAGAGTGTTTTGTTTGCAGCGCTGTCATAGATTATACACATAAAATGGTGTTTATTGTCTGATTATTTTGTAACTTTTTAATTTAGCTTACTTAACTGGAAGTGTCCGTCACAATCTAAATACTGATGATTATCACAAAAAATATACTAAGAATTATCATAAATGCCAAATCGGTGTTGGTTCTTAGGCCAATTTTAACATTGTCCTTTGTTACATTGTACTTTTAATGTTATGGAGTTTTTTTCGCTCGTTTTTCTCCGTAGCTGAAAAATATGTCCAATAACCAGTGGTAGGGGAAAAAAATTGGACGATAAAAGAGTTGTACTGTATGTACATCCAATTTAAACCAAGATATATTGATTCTCGATTTCTATTGTCATTAGACGGTTGTGAACCATAGTACCAATCGCGCGTTGCCTGTTCAGAGGCCCTTGCACGAACTATCGCCTCCACATTCGTATCGCCAACGTCAAATTTTCAATGGAAATTAAGCACCGCCCCTACCGGGCGTAAGAACAAACTAGCCTTTTCCATAGAAACTGACATGGTGATACAAATACATTTTCACTAGTTGTTCGTGCTGGGGGTACTCGGGGAACGTACCCATACTGCGTGACCCGTTCAGGGGGAGGTCTTGAAAATACCACACTTGGTCACGGGGAGTTTGATTTTCATCAAGTAGTCAATATCCCATAGGGATATTTTCTTCTTAATAATACATAGTTTTAATTGTAGTTATAGCTAAGCATGCACTCTTGGCGTCACGCGGCAAGCAGCATATTAATAAAGATAAATATGAACCAAATTTTTTGAACTGAAACTTCTTTTCGACCGGGGTGTAAATGGAAAAATCCTATGGAAAACATGGAACGGAAATGCGTCAAGCTTGGTGGAGCGTCACACGACTATGTATATATATGGGGGGGGGGGGGGGGGGACGCCTGCGCAGCTCTTCCCAACGAGCATGAAAGTTAGAGGGTAACTCGGCAAAGGCTAAAATGCTACGAGCGTCACACGCGATAATATATATATATTGCCCCATTTCCTTATGCCTTATGCACCGTCTGATCTTAGCTTATTAAAGAAAACATGTTTTACTTCAGACTTTTTTTTCTGTGTGCAAAAAATGATTCATAACTATATTTATGAATTACTACGTGAAAACGAGGGCGGCTACAAAATGCAAAGAGTGGGTCACTTAGTATGTATGGGTATGTTCCCTGACTTCTGTCATCACCAAGTAAAAGCCCTAGAAACTTACCGTCAGAAGTAGGACTAAGGTTTTCAGACAAGTGTTCCAATAAATTGAAACAAAACATTCTCTGCGCATACTTGTCCTAAATTAATTTTGCTAATGGCCTTTTAGCCAACATGCTGTAGGATGGTTTTAGTTTTACATATGTTTATAGGTATTTATTTGCATATTGGATTTACGAGAGAAAAATTGATGTGGATTATCACTTCAGGGAGCCCGAGCGGGGATTTTGAGAGCAGTTAGCCGTGCTTAAACATGCGTTTTTTATTGTAAATATTTGATTTAATTAAGTAGATACCTACATAATTTAGTATGGAAAAGAACAAACGACAGTCAATATCGTACAACAGCACAATTGCTGTTTTTGGTTGCTTGAACTCTTCAATAACACACCCAGAGATATCATTTTTTAAATTACCTGAAATATTGGAAAGGTGTCTTACCTTTATAGAATATTTTTTATATACCTATCTACTAGTACGTTATTTGTTTCTAATATTTAGGTATTTCGGTTTTTCCATCGGGCAAAATATCTGGAATAATATATAAATAAGTGGTTAGGATGAAAAAAGAGACAAACGAGTAATCTACCTACACTCGCGTTAAAAACAAAAGTACATAAAATACTGTAGGCTGGCGGCCCTACCGCGTGCCAACGCAGCGTTCGGTGTAGGCATTTATTTTCAAGGACAGGGCGGAGTCACAATACTGTATAGTTAATATTACCGTGACTCAGGTTTGTAGTACTTCTCAAGGCGCATAAGGCTAAGGGGGTCCCCCTTATGTTATACTGTCGCGTTCTAGCAAGGTTTTACATACATTATCTGTTGTCCCACGATGCCGCACCGAATTTGCAACTACGTGCAACGAGAAAAATCACAAAAGTAGTCTTAATTCAAACCTAATGTTCTCAGTCTTCTTTTTAGCAAACAAAAGTGATGGCATCAGTTTTAGTCCAGGTTTAACTTTAGTCTACGTTTTATCATAAGGCGGTTGGAGTATATTCTTGTAAAAAATGGTCGTCCAAGATACTGTCCAAGGACTGAAATTGTCAAAGAACACAGGTATATTATTGTACGGACAACGGCATTCTAGGCTATCATGTCATACTTTTGCAATAAATTTTGGACTTTTAAATTAATAAGGTTGAAATTCTTATTGAGAATTTAGTGTCGTAGTCTAGAGCTGTCGTCCGAAATTCTTTTAAATGAAACAACGTTTTAAATATAATAATTTATTATTCTCATACATGATTCATATCAGTCATTGAGACAACACGGTGTGCCTTATAGTTTGAAAATAAATCCGCTCTGTCTGTCATGATATGTTCCCAGGGGCTGGTTCATTCATGCGCGATCGCATTTATACTCTTCAAAGCTCGTAAGTTACACCTCTGTGAGATTCAAAAATGCAAAGACATGTAATCTGATTCGATTACAAAACTAAAGTAACAAATGAGTGGCCATCTTGTAAACAAAACTACACAAAACCAGAGAGATACATTACAATAGTGAACCATCAAACTGTGCAATGTTTACATATTGACAATGATCAAATGAGTGAAATGGCTACACAAAGAAATAATCATAAAAACGGCAATGGGAACATTCATGCTTCATTCGAGTTGTCCAACACTTCAATCATGTGGCAATATAATAACGCAGCTAGCATCCGATATACTTTTGATCTTTAAATAATAAAAACTCATCAATACTTCGCTAAATATAAAATAATATCTATGCCTAAATAAAATAAGTGATCTAAAGAGTTAAATACAACTGTGTAAAGAAAATATTTGGTTAATCGCTCTATATAACACCACAACCGGCAGTGGCAGCAGACATCGAGCGACTCCATTATTATAATAATGTAAAAAAATACTGAACTTCGAATAAATACTGAATACATTAGTAAATATAATATCTATGATTTAACCAACCCTCCCTTAGGCAAGTCTTACTATGAGACGCCGTGGGAGCTCCGCACCAACCATATAGTCAGCAATAACAAATAACAATATGAAATAAAATATGTGATAATTTAATTATGTCAAAGAGTCGTCACTAAAATGTGACACAAATAAGATAAATATAACAATGTCAAAAGAGGAAAATAGGCAAAGTATTTAAGTAGTAAACAAACAACAAATACGTATAACATAGTAGTTAATACAACCATTACATTTATTATGTCGAGGACGGCGCCCCCGGAGCTCGCCCGCGCATGCCGAGAGTGGGGCGGGCCCGGGGCCGGTAAGTAATATACTGACTAGACACATTACATGAACAAATACAATGACGATGTCTGCTGCTAAGCTATGAAAGAAAAAAATAATAATACTTAGAAAAAATATTCCGCTAAAGCTAATGTTGGTAAGTCCTTCGTTTAAGTACACAAAGAGTTACGGTAAAAGCTATTAAATATAATATAATATTATTATCTAAAAAACAATAAATGCAAGGCTATGGTCCTCGGCCCGCGGCGGCGGCTCTGAGCCGGCGGCGCGGGGCGCACGTTTGAGCTATGCAAATCAATTACGCTACTGTTAGATATTGCAAATCAATTTCACTACGGGAGCACGCAGCGCCCTTTAGATAACTACCGATTACACCTGAAGGTTAACGTACCTAATCTACACTAATCCAGTAAAAATACCTACTAAGGGCGAGTGCCCACTACATGGAACGGTCGAACTAGCCTAAGTCCAGCGGACACTAGAAGAGAGAAACGACCACGTCATCGACGGGCGCAGCTGCCGATATCACATCCGACAACGGAAACAAATACATCGTAACACTTCAATAATAATAATAATCTTTTAGTTAAATTTTGTCTTACGTAATAGAGAGCCGGTCGACTCGGTGAGCAATAGCGATTGAGCAACTTCGAAACAGATTATAATATATTTTGCGAATTTTGTATAACTCTATTTTATGTTGAAAAGTAATATCGGAAGGGGAGGGGTTGTGAGAGTGGGCTAGGTGCGAATGGATCGAGTCGACCGGCGTTGGACAAGAGACGGACGCGTGTGGCTCGCCACGGGACGGCAGAGGGCGCCAGCGGCAACAGACAACCGGCCGCTGCGCTGCACTTCAACGAAACGCACGGAAACACTACGAGTACAACTAGAACAAGATGGACGAAAGTATTCGGCGGAGGGCCACAACAACGCAACGAACGCATCAACTACTAGAACAGATTACATGGTCTTTTGCGCACACAATGGATGGACATCGATGAATAAATTTTAGAAATTCTTCTTGGACGTACGTACTATACATTCGTATCGAGTAGAGGATTCGTAGCTAAATGTACACGCGTAACGCGTGATTTCGATCGTCGCTATATATATTTATAATAATTATACTATGTATAATGTTAAAAAATAACATCGCGCGGCATATACAATGATAAATCCTGTAGAGCCGCAGGCGGGCCTGCGTCAACAACGGCAATAAATACATTCGATATCAATAAAAATACACCGATCCTATTACAAAAATACGTAGAGACCTCAAATTTGGTGGAGTGCAATAGACAAATACTATGAGGAAATTCGATATCAAAATATCGTCGAGCGCGGCGACGACGTGAAGCCTAGTAACTAACTATAGGCAAGCGGCTGCGCTCGCGTTTAAAATCAGTCAACTTTATAAATAGACGTCGATACCGAGATCGGAAGGCCTCGCCGCCAAACTTCAACTGTATCATTCACCAAAAAACGTCTTTTAACCTATTTTAACTTTTAATTGTCTTTTTTCTTTCTTTTTCATAAAAACACAATTGATAACAGGACAAAACATAACAAAATCTATGCTAATTGAAAAAAACAATGTCTGATTATACATTTGTAAGGCTAAAATAGGCTAATCGGATTCGGATTTTTTTAATGAATAAAACGCTTTTGTTGCCGTGCGTCGTCGCGCGTCATTGCACAGTTTGACGGTTCGGACGCGGGGTAACGCGAACGACGCACCGGCGGGCGGCGAGGCATTCCGATATGACGCGATTACTTTAAATTTTATATAAAACGTATAAATAATTTAATCTATATGCTAAACCAACCAACCACCAATGCTCGGGAAGTATTATTTTTTCAATAACAACTTCCGTATTGAACGTTCGCGGTCGAGGAAATTCACTCCGAAAGTGCAAACGAGATCGAATATACAACGCTCAAGACGTCGATTCTATTTTTTTTGTTTTATTCTTATTAATTTTCAGTAAAGTTTCGATCTTTTACACTCTCCGAGGACATTTAAATAACACGACGTGAATATCTTTCATATGCGTCTTCGTTACTGCACTATATAAGTCCAACGTGTTCACAATCACGGCTCACTTGTACGCACACAATATCCTAACTTATATGCCTTAAAGTCCTTTACCTTTGATTTTATAACAATAAAACCAAGAGAATGCAATCACCACTCCATGTTATGTGAGAATTTCGTAAGCCTATTTCGAAATTCTTCTCAATAGAAAGACACTTTCGCAGTCCATATATTGAAAATTTTAATTTAGATAAAAATTATTTTGCTGCCATTTGAGATCAACTAGTAATAACAATGTAACATTCTTTATAAGTAATAAACAGGTCTCTTTAGACTTTCAGTATGGCTACCCCACTCGGCCTATCGGTGCCAAACAAAATATAGAATTTGAATTGAACAGATTATAAGTTGTACCTAGATCCAATTGCTATATCTGCATCCGCTTCATGCAGTTTTCTCATCATTGAAATATAATATATATTTCATATGTAGCGAGAGATTGTTGGTTTGATATTCCTTGTGGGAGGCCTATGTCTAGCAGTGGGCGTCTCTCGGGTAGTATGATGATGATGAAGAGCACGATCTCTTCATCATCATTCAAGCTGGTCTTTCGTCGGGCGCCGTGTGGGTAATAAGCAAAACTTCGAAAGCACAACTGAAAAAACCATTAGCGTGATTGTTTTTTTGAATTGTTCCTTCGAAGCCCTTTTGCGTAAGTACGTACAATCCAATGTCAAGTTGAGTGTGAGTGATGATGTGAACTCTTTGACGGGCTTGATCAGAATAACAAAATTAGGTTATAAACTGCTAAAAGTCTTCAGCATCAACTCGCGTACGACATGGTCCTTCTAAGCCCGTTTTAAAACTACCGTCCTATAATATACTCAAAAGTCGACAGTGAGTAGCGTCCACTCCGTAGCTTCTAAGCGGGTTTTGCTTGTCCTGGTTTATCAGCCTATAGCCAAAAGCCGCTAGATGTCTTATAAATTCACGTACTACGGAGTGGTATAAGCTTGGTCCTTTGAAGCCCGTTTAAAACTTACATCCTCGCGCGCTGTATCTCTCGCTATAATGTAACCTTTCGTCTTACGCAATACGGAGTGGTGACTTGGTTCTTTGCAACACTCACTTTTCTTTCATCATGCGTTGATAGCTTTCGTTTTTTTTAAACATTAGTTCACGATTTAGGTTTTAAGTTGGTCCGTCGAGGCCTCCTGCAAAACTGCCATCATAACTTGAGCGTGAGCGGCGTAAAAACCTCGCTATAATGTAACTTTTAGACTCACATAGCACGGTATGGCGACTTGGTCTTTTGTCTCAGTTTTTTACACGCTAGTTGTTCATCAACTGTCAGTTATTTTTCCAAGCAGTTAACGATTATACGTTGAGCGTATACCCTCTAGCGGGGGTAGTACGATGGTCGTATCGTACTAAAGTACGGCGACGGCCTTGAAATTTTATAATCCCACATATTACCGAATGGTGTTAGCTTTATCCTTCGAAGCCTGTTGCAACACTGTTATCAAAGTTCGAGCGCGAGCGGTGATAAATCCCAGACTTGTCATCGCCATAATATCACACCTCAACTCGTATAGAACAGATACATTTCGACTCACATATCACGGAGTGGTGTTGACTTGGTCCTTTGTTTCATTCACCATTCGTTCATTAAACGTTGAGCGTATACCCTCTAGCGGGGAGAGTATGGTTATCGTGCCGTAGGAGTGCGCGCAGAGCAGTGGCAGCAGCTTTAAGCGCGCGCACGAGCCGCTAGAAGTCTCGTCCTCCGCGGGCGCGCCCTCCGCTGCCGGCCTTCGGAACGCGACGCGTACGCATTTCTCTGTCCACCTGGTGAGAAACAACCGCAAAATTTTGTCATCATCTTTAGAGTCTATTCACTTTGGCGTGAGGCAAAATGTTAACAAAAAAATCTGAGGTTCTAAAACTTTTATAAAGTCAGAAAGTACCTTGTTAATGATTAGGTATTATTTACAACGATATTAAATACCCTAGATACACCACGAGCGCTCGAAATGTGTCCCAATCAAGAAGTGCTTGAACTCTACTCAAGCACTTCTTGGTTCAGTCACGGGCGGGGGGACCGCTACAAAGTCAAGATGCCACAGAGCTCCACGAAAAAATGCGAAAATAATACTTAGAGTACGAAAAGTTTCGCTTTTTCGACAGGTATCTAGTCAGTGTTTGTTAATTCAACGCATTTGAAGTAAATTTTGATCTAATACTTGCTATAAACTGATTTAATATACAATATTTGTGATATTCAAATGCATGGTCGGTTATACGTCGCCATACAGCCGTCTCTTTTCCTCGCGGTCCGTGCCTGCTATATTGCTAACAGCGCTTTCAGAATTGCGCGTAGAGTCAAAGAACTAAGGTCTAAATTCTTCCGCATATAGTCATGTCGTAAAATTTTACGAGCTTGCATTTCGAACTGTTAAAAGTCAAAGTCAAGTATGACACATGCGTTTTATTTAAGACCTTATTCAGTATGTATTAAAGGTTACTTTCAATATTTAAATAATGCCTTATATTGATTTTGACTACGCGATCATCTTACCGAGCTCCGTGGATCGTTCAATATACCTTTTGGACAGGTTTCGGGCACGATTTTGTCCGTGTTGGTGTATCTGGGGCATTCCACGCGAAGCGGACAGGTAAAAAAACTCGATGTTTCTGATTTCAGTAATATTTGAGTATGTTCTGCTTATACTTATTATTGATACGTGTACCAAATATTTTTGTGATATAATGACTAGTTAAAGAGTAATGGGACTTTGAAGTTTTCGACAACCGGTTGGCATGCAGTACTTCAAAGCCGATTATGGACTCATAAATTATATATTAAAATAACTAAACCACTGGATTTCCTACTTTATTTACTGGGCTTTTTAACTGTGTTTTCGGAAAAGAAAAAATAAATTTTTTTCGTAAAAAAAAACCAATTTATGTTTTTTTCCTTGATTTTCACCAAGTCAGACCATTTAGTTTTTTTTTAATTTTTTTTTATATAAATTGCTAATATTGTATAGAACATTGGTGCCAACTTTTATAATGGGCGTGAAAGTGGATTAGGAGCTAGACTGAAAATACTGCCGAAGGGTGGCGTCCAGCGCCGCGCCTGTTGACCGCCGCTTGTGCGCGATTAGTCATCAAACTGTCAATCAAATAAAATCACTTTAGACGGAATGTTTTGTAGATTTTTAATAAAACCAATACACAGAAAAAATTCCACGCGGACCAGGCAGCAGACGGGACTCGAACCCGCACCCTTCGCAATCCCGGAGAATGCACTGACCAATTATGCTACTGCGGCCCTCACGGACCGCGTCGAAATTCCTCTAGCCATTCTTAAGCTGCAAGGCAGCGCCATCTCTTCGCATTATAGGTAACCCACAATGTCAAATGAATACTTTTACAAGTATTAAACATTTGAAAGAAGAAATAGCAATTAAAGTTATAATTTTTATTTCTTTAAAGCATGTAACTGCTTGATGTTTAAATCTAAAGAAAATATAACTAGAAAAAATTCCACGCGGTCCAGGCAGCAGACGGGACGAACCCGAATGCGAAGTACTTCAAAGTACTGCATGCCAACCGGTTGTCGAAAACTTCAAAGTCCCATTACTCTTTAACTAGTCATTATATCACAAAAATATTTGGTACACGTATCAATAATAAGTATAAGTAGATTATACTCAAATATTACTGAAATCGGAAACATCGAGTTTTTTTACCTGTCCGCTTCACGTGGAATGCCCCATCTAAGGTATTTAATATCGTTGATTATTTATGTAACTTATATTGAACCATCACATATTCCATTGTTTTCTTGGTATATTCCTTACCTCCAATTCCTCGAGGCGTTGTGTTAGTGCCAACTTCTGCTGCACGGCCAGCCTCAGCAGTTGGTTGAGGGTCTTCTTCTCGTCTTCAGCGCCGGAAAGTGCTTGCGTCAGCTCATCCACTTGCGTCACGTATTCCTCGCATCGGGCCGCGAACATAGCTCGCAAACCTATAAGATGACAATAAATATTTTACACCTTGAATTTTGAGTTATCAGAGAAACTTAAAAACCGTGTAAATAAAACTAGTGTGAACAGAACAGTTATAAACAGTAAAACCACATACAAAAATATTAATTTATATCGTTTACAAAATATCCTGAAACGGCGCAAATTTGTAAATACATACATATTATGGAATTATTATCCGTTTAAAGTACGTAGATGCTTAATCATTGTCTGAATAAGCTAATAAAGTTTTTCAGATAACTCAAAATTCACAGAGTATACACAGCGATTTTTTTAAGAATTAACTGGCACTGGCTACTTTGTCCTTCACCCGAGGCCCTGAAAGTCTCACCACATTCTACCAGGGAAATCGGTAAAAAAGTTAAAAGAGGATTGTGTGTATGGCACATGTGTCATAAAATATAATAATACTAAAAAGACTTACTGGAGAAGGTAGCGGCGTCCTCTTTCAGCAGACGCAGCTCGTTGCGCAGTTTCAGCATCGTTTCCGTAACGATAGTCTTCTCGGTCTCGTACTTCGACTTGAGATTCGCGAGCGCCACTTCTGCCGTGTTCTTGTTCGACTTGAGAACAGTTCGTAGAGTCGCGATCTGTTCTCGCTTCGTTGACAGCAGAGACTTCAGTTTGATCACTTGCTCTTGAAGTTCGGCTAACTCGGCACCGCGCTCCTCTGTCTCCATGACTGTTGACACATTTTATAAAAACTTGAAATATTTCAATATATCATTATATCACAGAGGCAGCATGGTATAAAATTTACAACTAATAATTTAATCATTCCTAAGAAAACATCTAAATCTTTGATTATATTCACCCTAGATAACGTATTAACTGCACGGAAGCGTCACAAAAAATATATACTACATAGGGTAGATATTCTCGAGGCTACATACACACATTGACTGCTTTACTACAATCTGACATTAGAGTCACGCACACATTGCAGTAACATATGCCGTTTTCTTTGCGTGGTTTATTTGGATTAGTCTACTATATAGAGGCGTATAAATAATCAAAGATCCAAATATAGAAATAATACTTCAATACTAAATAAACCAAATTCAGTAAGTAATCAATATGCTAATAAGATTATCTATCTATGAAAATACAATGTAGCTACAATATTTATCAAACAATATTTTCATATACACATGAACTTATCGTAATATTAATAACGATGTATTAGACGATCCTTTGTTATGAGAACTTATTTTTCCCAATTCGAAAAGAGACAAAACATCGCATTACTTTGTTTACGAAAGAAGTTAATGTTATTAAATATTATTAGAATATATTAAAAGAACAACTTTCTATTGAAATATTACGGTGTATACAAATTAAAACTCTATATTGACAAAAATGTAGTCTAACTACATAAACAGAATTAATTAAATCATACGTTAGTTGCAAAATGGTCCCGATTACATGATATACTGCAGCATCAACACACAAGAAATCAAGCTTGACCTTAGTCCATCCCTTATGTTACTCAAAAGATTCTTATTTATTTCCACTACGTCACTTCGTTTAAAGCTTACATTCCCGCCTCTTTGGAACGCATCTTTCCATACAGAATACGGGTTTACATTACGAAACGCAACTTTCTTCGTCGTGTTTTTTCTTATACAAGGGAAATTAGGTTTAGGAAACGTAGAAAGAGGGTTCCTTTTCTCATAACTTTCTATAGACTTCCACGTCGTGTCTATATAAGTGTTGGAATCAAAATGGTAATTAGAATCAGATTTATCTAAGCTATAACCAGTAGTCGATATATTCTCAAAGTATTCAGTTATTTCCTTTACACTCTTTCCCGTACATACAACTTGTTTTCCATTGAACGGTCTTTCGAAGGATTTTAGGTGGCTTATTAGATTTTGTAATCTCTTTCTATTGTCGGCCATCTTCAATTTTATGTTGTTTTGCTCTTTCGTTTTCTTTGCTGCGCAGAAATAGGGACCTTTATATTTCCACGTACAGTTATCAGGCTGATCGTTTCCTGTGGGGAGTGAGATGGAGGCGAGTATTGACACTGCGTTTGAACTTTGCTGTTACTGACACGCGTCAATAAGGAAACAATTTTAAAATAGGGACGCTAGACATTCTCGTGTTTTGTGTCGCCATTATCGATATGCTTCTTTATTGGCGCGTGTTGTACTGCATTCGATGTTTCTTTATAGTGAGTGAATATTACAAAGGGTTGTGTATCGTTACCGGTTATAATTTGCTTCGTTGAGGGAAGCTCCATTTGCATAATGGTCTTAGATTTTTGCATAAATAACTAGTCGCTGTTACAAGATATAAATTATGTGAACAACGGGCTCCTCAGATGAGTGAGCTTCCTGCAGTGTGCATCTAGTTTCAGTGGGGTCAATATTCAACCTTAATTGCGGCTGTGAAATTCGCGCAAGTCGCGGTGCAAAAAACGAAATGTAGGGTGATATGTATCACTGAATTGAAACCTTCGCATAGTTTTTTTTATAGCTAGGTAAGCAAATAACTCTACCATCTGATATAAAGTGGTGGAAAAATCCAGACGTGAAGATACTTGGTACAGTAGTTATAAACTGCTACACCAGCCATCCTCACCTTGCCGACCTGCAGAAATGCTTCTTCACGCCTCTCTTAAAAGATCCCAGATTGTAGGAAGTGGGTGGCATCATCGGTACCGCGAGTGCCTCAGATGTGTCAGCTGATCTATAGTAGTGTCGGTAGCTCTAGCGACACTGCCCCCCTACAGTCGTATTATACCTGGGTGGTGTCGTGCGCGTGTCGCAGATGTGTCAGCTGATCTATAGTGGTGTCGGTAGCTCTAGCGACACTGCCCTCCTACAGTCGTATTATACCTGGGTGGTGTCGGTGTCGAGAGTCCAGTGCGGTGTCGAGCGCGTGTCGCAGATGTGTCAGCTGATCTAGCAGAGTGTCGGCAGCTCTAGCGACTACTCCAGCCGCTCGCAGTCCTTCCAATTCGCCGGCTGCTAGTGCTAAAGCTTCTTCTTCTACCACACCGCGACCCTCGGCACCGGTACCTTGAAACAAATGAATACATCATTATCTTTGATTATTTACTCCCTAGATAAGGCGTGGCATTAATAAGCTGATGATGATGACTTACCATCCGCGTGTCCCGCGTGTTCCAGCAATAACCTTTCGGGCTGAGTGCCGTTGATGGCACATACGTGGTGATAAATCTGCGCGAGGGTTTCTGCTGCAGACGTCAGCGCTGGTGCAGCGCTGGACAGGGCGCGGCCAGCACCTGAAGATGGATATCAGATTATATTGTTGTTGGTCTTGTCACAGCAAATCAAGTGATAGCCTAAGAATAAAATCTTAATAGGTAATTCATGTTTCTGGAGTGACGGTAGGAATATTATTTTTGTCAATTTTGAATGCTGTTGGTTGCATATGACTTTTACAACTTCACCGAGCTGGAGATGGTGATAGCTCTAAGGGAACTTAAGATCGTAGAGTCATTAGGTTACCAGTACCCTTAGCACGAACCAATATCGGATTCAAATAGTTTGCGATTGCGAAATTTCATGGTCAAATTTTGTATGGAAACTTGAAAAGCAGCACCATAGATCTATAAAATAGATCGAATTCAACTATTCGGATTCGAGTATGGTTTGTGTTAGGGGTACAAAGCCCGTATGGCATCATTTTAGTTGAGTCTGCTTAGAGGGCGTCTTAAACCCAGACCTATATCAAAGGGGAGGATCATTACTTCACTCCTCTTTAATTGGTCCTGTATTTTCCGATTTTATCAGCCTTGAGCTCCGCTACAGACGTCACATACCTCCGGCCAGCGTGCGCAGCAGGTCGGCGTCGGCCTGCAGCGCGGCGCCGCGCACCTCCGCTTCGGCGAGGCGGTCGCTGAGCTGAGCCAGCTGCTGGCGGGCGAGCTGCGCCGCGGTCGCGTCTGCGGGGGCGGCACCGCTGCCCAATTCCGCGAGCGCTGCCCCGAGCGCTTCCAGCTCCCCGCCCGACACTCGCCACCAGGTCAGCCAGCGGCCCGCGCGCGAAGATATACCGCCCTCGGTCTTCTCGTCCTCCTGTGTGACATTTATTACGTATCAAATTATTATATTATCAACAATAAATGGTCGAAAAAATTATTCAACTCATCTCAACAGTTATTTCTTACAAAAAATGATCACGTACCAACGGCGCACAGTCCCCGTGTAACGCGTGCAGCGCCGTGACCCGAGACGCGGCGCGCGTGAGTCCGGCTCGAAGGATCGCTGCAATTGCACTTTCGCTTTCTGCCGTTGCTTGCGCCGTTCGCATCGATGCCGATAATTGACTCTGTCGAAAAGAGGGTAATTTATATTATAATAATAATCAATAATGGATGGTTTTAAAAAAACTCGACGATCATAAAGTGTGTATAATAAATAGCTATAATCTAACAATATAAACATGATAAGATTCAATAGGTCACAAAGTTTCGCAGTCTCCAAATTTTTACGACACGCCATAAAAATTTGGAGCCTGACTTCCACCCTCCATACTTTGTACCATCTCCTTTACAGAAAATTTATTGAAAAGAAAATCATAAACAAATAGTCACTAGTCTGGTAATTTCAATTATTAGGTTATCAATTATTAGCTGGTAGCGTGTGGTCTTTAAATATTTATACAGAAGAAATATAAAAATCAGTTTTTTAATAAAACTGGATAATGAAATAATCGCAAACGCATGTTACAGACAAAATCGACATGCTACAAAGTAAATAAAACTATTAAAAATATTTACGTTTTCGTTATGCGCCTGTTCGAGTTGCTTCTCAAGCCTTGAGATCTCGTGTAGGTGCACCTCTGAGAACAAATCTGCATGGTGATCGCCGATAGCGGTGTTCAGTTCTGCAGAACTGGAACCGCCTGGCTCTCCCTCGTCCTCTGTGCTGTCTTCTGGCATACCTGCAGAAAACGACCAGATTTTTGATGTGTAACATCTTTCCTCTCGCTTTCCTGCAATTTGTGGGAGTGATTTCGTGAAATGGGACGGAAGTGTGTGACAGGAAGTTGCGAAAGCGCGCGCTATTTGATTTGATTTTAGAACATAATGTTCAAATGGCTTATTCCTTTTGTAGTAGGTTTTATTTATTTTTTTACTAATATAAGGTGAGGTTACATCATACGCGACTATTGTAAGGCTAGCTCGTTTTTATTATTGTTAATCATGTGATAACTGATTATTATGTTGAAATTTTAGATATATATAAAAAAAAACAATCTAAAATACTTTGTTTTTATAACCAATATTATGCTAGTGATACAGTATTTGAGAACCCCTTGTAGACAAGTTTATTTGCCTGTGTCAGGAACTCTCGCTCTTCCATAATTCTTCCAAACTTACTACCATATTGGTTACAAATATATAACGATTTTTACATTTTGTATGATTAGTGCAAAGTATATATATAAATAAGTATTATATAATCTACAAGTATCCAGATGAGAGAGGCTCTTACTAAACCTTGGTTGGCTAGAAGAGATCTCCTTTAGAGATAAGCCCTCCTTTGTTCACATATTTTAGTTTAATGTCTAACTTTTTTTGGAGTACAATAAAAAGTATAATAATTTCATTGCTCTAAGGCCTAAAATAGCGAGATCGCATATTTCCACTGGACAAACCTATACGCAAATACTAGACGCCAAATTCGTGATGTCGTACGCAGTTTCCCTGCTAAGATGCGCATCGAGTTCCTTCTTAGCCGCGAACTTGGCTTCCTGCTCAGCTTACAGCAATTCTAGCATTTCGCCCATACCTTTGTTACATAGCAAGATATATGTTTACTTCTAAACACAATGTTGCACTAACCTCATATACTATACGCCAAATTGGTGATGTAACCAGTTTCCCTGCTAAGATGCGCGTCGAGTTCCTTCTAAGCCGCGAACTTAGATTTCCGTTCAACTCGCAGCAGTTTCAACATTTAAATTATACATTGTTATACTTAAAAGGAATAAGAATGTTTTTCTAACCACAAGACCACACTAACCTCGTATACTATATGCCAAATTCGTGATATTGTACGCAGCTTCCCTACTAAGATGCGCGTCGAGTTCCTTCTTCGCCGCGAATTTAGCTTCTCTCTCAGCTTGCAGCGCTTCGAGCGCTTCAGCCAGTTGTCGTTCAGCGATGCGGCGCAATGCTGCGGTCTCGTCGGCAGCGGCGCGGGCGTTCTCGGCCTCCTCTCGTAATTGTCGTACTTCATGTTTCAATCCTTCAAATTCCACCTGAGGCAAAAAAGTAGTGTTAGGCTCCTTGTTTAAAACTCAGTCGCACCAAGTTATAGTTAATCCTTAAATCGTTTCCAAAAATATGTCTACAGAATGATAAAAAATATACAAAAATGAAATAGGTTGCTTAGTTACCAAATTATAATAAGTCGTTTTCTTAATCGAGACAGGAAATTGAGTATATTCTAATAGTAATTTGATCAGATTTTAATTGCAATATTTTAGAACTCGCGAGTCATTTTTCAGAGATAAATTATAATGTACAAAGACGTATTGGCAGGCCTATCTTTCATTCTGGAGATCGGCGCCTTTGTCGGCTAGGAGCAGTTCTATTCCTTGGGACTTGCTTCTGCAGCGATATGTTCTCGTCTTTTAGGTCGCGTATGTCAACTAGCAGGACAGGTGTGCCACCACCACAAAGAACTAGCAGGTTTTATCTCACTCGCTTGTATACAGGCGAGCCTGAAAGACCTTAAAGCGAAGAATATGTTTCTGTCGCGATATGTTCTCGTCTTCTAGGTCGTTTAATAATTTGTCCAAAACAGCCTCTGTTCTCGCTCTCTCTCTACCCTCAACTTGGCTCTAATGCCGTCTAAATCGCTTTGTTTTCTTCCCTTCAAATCGCACAAAACCAATTTTTTTGTGACACGCGTGCCAACGCCGCAAATTACAAGTAGGTTTCATCACTCTCAACCTAATCACTCACCTGTGAAGACCTCAACGCGGAGACTTGTTTCTGCAGCGATATGTTCTCGTCTTCTAGGTCGCCAATGTCGACTAGAAGCCTTTGTTCCCGCTGGCGTGCTTCCCTCAACTCTGCCCGAAGCGCCGCCCGCTCCGCTTCCCGCGTGGTTTTGTCTGCGCCCAGTTCCGAGCTTTCTGCTAGCAAGCGGTCCCGCTCGCTCACCACGCGGTCTAACTCGTGTCGTAACTGGAGGGATAAATTAAAGGTTAAATAAATTTGAAGGTACAAAATCAAGAGGGCGCAGAGCACAGCCTAATTCGGAAGATGGTCTGCAGAGACAGATTAACTGCAGTACTGTCAGCTTGTAGTTGGTTTGCAATCTAATGGATCAGATAGTTATGAGACAGTGTGCAAGTATTACTAAACTGTAACTTTACAGATAACATACAGATGATTGTAGCTCGCATGTATATATGCCCTAAAAAATATTCGCTAAAAAACCCTGCGAACACCCTCTAAGCTGCTTAGTGCGAAGCTGCGGGATCCCCGTTTAGGGATTCTTCCGCGTCTCCGCACCTAGCAGCCTCCCGGCCTTGCCGGGGCTCCGCGGCAGAGGTCTCCCGGGGTATCGCGGGGACCCCGCAGACGTGCGCAGGACGCCCCGCGCGTGGGGGCTGAGTACGCGGCCTAGTGCCCACCGTACCGCCCCCCGTCCACTGCGGAGGGCTACTTGGGCGTGCCCATGTAGCTCCCTCCGCCGCCCCCCTCTTTGCAGGACAGAACTACAAGGGGGGGCTGCCGTCACGGGGTTCGTCGGTAGCCGGCACAGCTGTAGCCCGGTCAGCGAGGGACCCCCCGGGTAGGGTCATGGGACGGGCGCAGCCAGGGCGCGCCGACGTCCTCTCCTACCCACCCTCCTTTGGCGGGAGGATCATCCTCCCGCTCCCTCTCAGCCGCCTCATGTATATATGCCCTGAGTAGAAGATAAAATCAGGGTCTGAAAGATGTAAGTCATTTTCATAATTGTTTTTCTTAAAATAGGATCCACCATTATTTATTTTCGCGAGTCTAACTAAATAAATGGAAATAACTTTCTTTTTAACAGTTCTGATAAATAAGTTAATGTGATGATACTGTTTTTAATAACGGGCAAGTGCTCTGCACTGCCTTTTTACTATTTTTTTTAAACAGTTCAGTTTCACTGCTAAATTTTAACGTGTACTGTTATGTCCCTACTACTGCCGATATTAATAAAATTGACATTATCATTGATGCAGTTACCAAACTCCTTTCAAAACTAGACACGCCAAACTTTAACTTACCCCTAGCTATAAGGGTCTGAAATTGGCCCCTTGTTGCTATTATTAATATTTAGTTTGTTATGATAAGCTGTCTGTTGGTGTTCCATGTAACCAAATAATTAAAAATTTTATAGGTCGCGTGATTTAATCGTCCAAGGACAGGCCATACTGTGCCGGATACTTAATTAAGGTCAAGACTAAAAGCTAGCAGCAAGAAAATATAACACATAAATTGAAAGAGTATAAGGAAGTTAGATTAATGGAACGTTAAAAATTATTGAGGAAACTATGTATTATGATTTTGAGTACTAATTTTTATCAATATTTTTAATAAAAAGATGTATCAAATAAATCCTAAATAACAAAATTAATGTTGTCAAAAACTTTTGGTAGATTTTATGAAATGAAGCTAACAGGAGTGAGACTGTCGGTCAGCCGAGTCATCCAGGCACTTTGCTGATTAAGCTAGGCATTATGTTAGTATCTCAAATTAGGTACGCCGCCGGCAGGCAGTTTGCCGCGCCCCAACTAGTCGCGAGCAACGCTCGTAAATTTACCAATACACTTCCTATTATCATAATTGAAAAATGATTGGATATCATCACAAAGTGCCATAAACATGAACCATTTACCTTACTCTTCGATTAAATATAATTCGACTTACATTACAAATTGGAAATTTTTACCTATATGCATACCAATGTTTGTTACTCAATCACTCTGAAACAGCTACAAAAGATCTAATCTAACGAATCTACTTTTGTTAATTGGTCTAATTTACATATTTTAAATAAATATTCTATAAATAGGGCACAAACTTAACAAATTCTATGCCTTTCGTTGATACTTATTTTGATTAACTTTTCAACCTAAGAAAGTTTTAACTCGCTGAAAATTCAGTAGGGCTTTCAAATACACATTCGATATTGAACTTCGAAACCTACCATTAAAGTCGAAATTTATTGGAAAATTTGTAAGTTAATTGTGTACTTTGAAAAGGTGCTGTGAGTATTCTGTGTAGTGAAGTGTAGCCCTCATTATACTCTTTTTACGGTGCGCCGCGATGTCCTAGGCTAATTTATTTGATATATACGAGGTATCGGAATCGATAATATTTTTATTGATTCCTCATATAAAACACTTAAAACTTTATGCATTGACAAAAAGACAAAATTAAAACGTCGTCTTAAATTAAAAAGTTGTTCCTCAAACTTTAATACTTTCTACAATGCATATCAATTAGTGTAATAAATGCAGACTGAGTCAGGCTTCTGTTCGGTCACAGCAAACACATCTGATAGCGATAACGAATGGCCTTCATTTTACGTTATATGAACAGCCGCATTTAGTTTAAATTACGATTTTATACAATATATTAAAGTCATAGTTTTCGCCCGTAATTAAGTAAAAGTAAAGTACATATTTACTGAGCTTAATTATTAGTTTACTCCTACATGTTCTTTACAGTGACTAACTGAGATAATTTGTTTTACTTTATTAAAAGCCGTTGTCTATCAACATGGTTACGTTTGATAAGCAAATATAAAGACTTTTTTTGTGATATTTATTAAGACAGGCTATTCAAATGTCCACGCTTTCAATATTAAGCAAGACAAATATGTTATGGAAAGCCCAAGTTTTCTTTAGTTACACAGTTGTTAATGGTACAACAAGTTTGTCAATAGAGAAAACTTTCATAAAATGTTTAGAAATATTATAAATGGGTCTCAATTGAGTAAAGTTTATTCATCCCTCTGGCAAACGGCCAAACTCTAAGCAAACGTCAACAGCGCTCCATTATCTAGGTAAACATGAAATATGAGAGTTGTTTCAGCAGGTCAGGCTACGACGCGCCGCACCGCCACGTCCTGTAATCCAGAGAAATTCGCAAACGTATAGGTTCTACTATACCTCTTCACCGCCATTCATTTTCCACCAAATTTACTACTTATCGCATTTTCAGTTAAAACGACAAAATTTATTACACTACTTGGCACAACACAGACCGCACGATTCACAAAAAACTAATGCACAATACTCGTGTGCATTTTAGAAACACTACACACCATTGAGTAATGCGTGAAAATTCGAATCAAGGCCAGCCGAATAAAAAGTATTTCTGGAGCAGTGTTATGGATTCCCGACCGACGGCTGCGCTTACGCCATTCGCGGCATTACATCACGCACTGTGGAGGTCCTTTTGTTTCTCGCTCATAATAAACAATGATTAGTAAGAGTGATTAATCGTTTTTCCGATACTAAATTACGCTCTGATTTCTAAAGATTTTATTTTGAAAAATCTTTCAATAGAGGAGTGAGATCTTTCAGTGTGTCGGGGACGCCGACTCGCGCGCACTGACTCCGAGGGCGCCGGCCGATGATTCACATCAATTGCTCCTGTTTCATTAAAATGAACTTATAGGCATAGTCAGTGGCTGGTCGTCTGGGGACGTTAAATATGGTTTAATAAGAAAATGAGGCAGGCGGCGACCATGCGATGATGCATCGCAGTTTTAAAATGCAACGTTTCGGGTGGTGATTCACCATACATGTATACATCATTAAAATGATAAAACCAGCTTAATGATAGCATTTTTCCGTTCCAAATGCATTTAAAGTACCTTATCGATGAATATAATTGAAGATAGCAGTGTGTTTAGAATTGCAATCCTGAAAACACGAACAAAAAAGTGATAGGCATAAAGTGGTTGTGTGTCGTGTCGTATGTTATGTGCGGTTTTTACATTTGTTGAACCAACTGGGTGTAAGTAACGAGAAGGAAAAGGTACTTATCAAATTATCAATGAGCATGAAAAAATACTTTGGAACACCTGTGGTCGGGCTGTGAGGAAGGGGAGGGCCAAAATGTCTTTATAAATAAATAAATATTACCAACTCTCACACCAATTAGCCTAGCCCCAAAGTAAGCACTGTAAGGCTTGTGTTATGGGATACTAGGGTAACGGATAGAATACATATATTGTACATATATAAGTATGTGTATATAGATATACATATTAAACATCCATGACTGGAGTACAAATGCTCGTATTCATCACACAAACATCTGTCTCCACCGGGATTCGAACCCGGGACCTCTTGAGTCGGCGACACCGTGGAACCCGGCGTACAAACCACTCGACCACGGAGGTCGTATATATACGCGTTATTACTCGGTTGGTTGTTTGCCGTACGACTTGTAGAAACCCCCAGGTATTTTTCTAATTATGAAGTGTGCAGCAGTTGTCCATCCTTGTCTTTAATAAGCTATCGTGTGATAAAGATAGCGCTCCATTAACTCGTTTTCGTGAATGGAATATAAGCGTGTATACATGACACGCACACCTACGTCCGCACTCATCAGAGAAGTTAAAGTTGATGGTGTTCTTCTTTTTGCGATAGGTTGAACAAGATAACACGTCACTTTGACAAGCTCTTAAGTATAAAATTTGCCACTTAACCAGCTCATAGCCTTACTCAGAGATAAATATACTATTTTTAGTTTGGTTAAAGTTGATGCTGTCACTTTCTTTGCGTATAGTGACATCTTTATCAATGAATTCAATCAGACAAATAGTCTGTCAATTTTTGCGGGAGAAATGTGCACACATGTGCTGTTCTGGATACACATCAAAAACTGTAATTAAGACACTAATGCCCTAAATACATATGGTCGTTGGCCCGTATCGCGAATGCACGAAAGGGCACCCAAAGCAATATTTACACTAGAATACGGGCCGGAAGACAGTGATGTCGATTCTGACATGATTCTCTAAAGCTAAACTTAAAGGACAATGGGCAAAACGCACCCAGCTCCGCCAACAATGTAATTAGTATGAATCGATAGATCTATGGAAAACTAGCCTTTTTTATTATGACACCGAAAACAAATATCCTGGGAGTCAAAAGATATGACACCGTAAAAAATATCCTGGTAGTCAATAGATAATTATGACACATGGGTATATTTAAGTAGCTAAATAAATTCATTTTATAATACCTTCATTTTATATTATTAGTAATCATAATAATATGCCATGTCGTACTATACAAAAAGATATACGACAAAGCCTGCCGACCGTCCTGCTCTTGCTCTTACTGAACATTTCAAAACGGTTTACGAATACTGAAGGACTTGCAGTTGCAAATAGTCGACTCGTCTTACTTCGTTGTGATTGTGCGCTCCCTGCTACTTGATTGATATTTATCTAACACGCTTTGGATATTGAAACACGATTATCGATTTTGTCAATTAGTATGGATAAACTGGAATTATGTGTTCTCCGAAGCGTGGACAAGTTTGTGTAATCTGGGGTGGCTCCCTTTTACATAGAAGACAATTTACTATAACGAACAGAATGTTTAAAAAAACCCAACCCATGCGGGGATTTTTGGATTAACTCTAGCGCGGCAGAATAACATAAGGGGGCACCCTTGCACCATATGAAGTACTGCCATAATTCCTGAGCACCCTATGCAGGGTCGAACTAACTAACTAAATTAATTCCCTTGTTTCTTTAATGTTCGTTCGTTATAGTACTTCTACATATATTTAACTTAAAATAACTAAAGACCCCCGGGATGGAATTTGATGCGATTTGGCAGAGATGATCTTGACTATAATACCTTTCAAACAAATGTAGTTTAAGCCGTGGCGGACGTGGGTGCAGCGTCCATACATTTTTGCCCAATGTCCTTTGACAACAGTGCATCCTTGTCATTCTTTATACAGAATGAAAAAGAGAGACTGATGTTAAATTTAGTTTTAAGTTTAGAGAATCACGCTAGCATCGACACCAGTGTCGGGTAAAAAGGATATCTACCCGAATACGGGCGTACTCGGCTGCGTTCGTTTACACTTAGACGTTTACACGAATTCCTTTGGCACTCGTATTCGGACTACCAAGTAATAAAAAAATCACACACCTCATATATTATATTTTCTCATTTATTTTTACATTATATGAGATGGTTATGAACATGGAATTAATCTTTGTTGACAGAGGAAAAATTTCGTATTGCTAAGTCCCCTCCCTTCTGTGGCGCTAGGTTTGTATTGTAGGTAAACTTAGATAAACATTAAATTTAATTGACGTCTATCAGCGCAGTTGCCACATCAATCTGTTAAGCGAGTACGTTAATAGAAAAATGATTTTAAGCGGCTATATTCAGAATGATGCTGTTGTCCACACTATCGCGATAACGCGAAGAATTGCGTTGTCGTGACCTCCTGCCGAGAAATCCGTCCTATGAAAATGTTTATCGCGACAAAAATGGTCTTGGCGACGCTGTCAGTAGGGTTTCGTCGAGATAAATAATCGTGCAGTGGCGACAGTTAGCGCGCGTTATGGAAAACGAGACCTCGAGTGGTTTGTGTGTAGTTAGTATTGGGAGATAATGGGTAGGAGGAGGATTATGAATCTAAATCAATTCCTTGGATCCGCCAAATCACAATATCAACAAATAAAGAAAACCAACCTATTCTGTATAATCGAGAAATCGCGATTTTTCAAACGGTGGCCCATACAATAATACGTACTTCGTCACAGTTCTGTTTTATCACGATAAGGTATAAAAATCTTCAAGATAGTGTGGCCGTAGCTTGAGACAGTTAAATGATTCAATACTAATTAAAGTGATGGATTTGACGGTAATTATTTGACACGGCCATTAAAGTCGCGGTAGCATATTGGTCAGTGCATCCACCTATAAATAGACCGTGTGGATTTTCTTCTAGTATTTTTTTTGTGTGTGAGGAGCTCGATGGAGTTGTTGGTTCGCGCGTTCGGCTGCGATCGTTGAAGTGAAGCAACTTTCGCAGTGGTCGGTACCAGTTGTTTAACTTTAACGATTGGTTTGGATGGGTGACAAAAATCTTCTATCTTGAGTTCCTCCCTGCTTCGGAAGGCACATTAAGCCGTTGGTCCCGGCTGCATCTGCAGTCGTTAGCACCCACCAATCCGCACTGGGCCCGCGTGGTGGGTCGTGATCCCAATCTCCCTATTTCATCCCCAGGGAAGGCCTGTGTCCCAGCATTGGAGAAAGAACTTGAAACCTATTAATGAGTAGGCTAATGTAGATGTTTTTTTAGATTTACAATTAGCCACCCATTAGCACATCAGCAGATACCCTGCCTTCTGCCTCTAATGTGCTTGGTTTGTTCTTATGAGGATTTTATGTATGAGAGTAAGAGAATATGTATGAAATTCAAATAAGGCTCATTTTTTTACATATAAACTCTATTACTTTAGAATTGTCCCTTATTATTTTTTTTGTGGTGGATTGGTCTCTGCTTAAAACATTCATATCAAAAATTAAATTTTTGACTAAAATTAATAAGGCACAGACATACAATTTATACGAAATATTATACCTGTTTTGTTTCACCCTCAAGCTCCAATATTTGAAGTGTGAGCGAGCTCTCCATGGCAGCAGACTCGTTGAGGAGAGCATTTTCTTGTTCAATTCCACTTCTTGTAGTTACCTTCTGTGTTGTGTCTAGTTTCATAAGGGCCTGGTAATATAAAACATATGGTTTATTAAATAATAGTAGTCTAATTAATCTAGTAAAATTGGTCAGTGCATTCGCCCGGATTGCAAAGGGTTCCCATCCGCTGTCAGATCCATGTGGATTTTTTTTCTAGTAAAACTTTTCTTTAGATTTAATACTGGTCTCTTAAGAGTTAAACAATAAACAATTTAATAAATTTCTATAGATTTCTTTATATTTATGTGATCAATCTTAACAGAGGAGTTTTGTACATATTTGGCACTAGTGGCCACCTCAATTTCCTCCCCTTTACTTTAGTTCTTTAAAAATCCCTCAGGATTTCACTTTTCCATGATAAAAAGTATCCTATGCCTCAATCCAAGTAATAAACTTCATCTAAATCCATTGAGCCATTTTTGCATGGTTGTGTAACAAATACAGGATTTTTTGCAGTATTTTATTTATTCTGTCCACAAGTTTTCAGAATACACAGCACATATGTGTAACTTAATGTTAGAAATATTAACAAAAAAACTAAACTAGCTTTTAGATACAATAAGTAAATTTTAAGTGTTGAATTTAGTTTATACCTTCTCATTTTTTTAACCTTCGTTTTGAACGAATATCTAATGAAAATAGTTTAAATTTCAACATTTATAATGTGCCTGTTATTTTTTACAAATAATTGTCTTTTCATCAAATCCCTAGAACAAAGTGATAGGTCTTATCTTACAGAAATGACATAAGTAAATATTAGACATTTCTGAGCAGCATTTTAATAATCAAATTATTCTATAAAAAATGGGTGCATGTACTTATGTAGGCGCGTGAGAAGTTATCCTTCTTTGGCATCGTTTAAAATTAGTTTTTAATTGCATGCAAATAATTAATTACAATAAATTAATAAAAAGTCTGGAAAAGGACACAGTCAATAAAGTTCAGTTTTAATTTGAAAAAATAAATAAATAATCAAAATATTCAATTAAAATCGCTACTGAATATAATTTATTAGAACATATGTGATTTGCACTTGTATGAAACTCAAACACGTATTCCGAATATACAAACTAGAAACATGTGGATAAATATTATAAACTAGCGGCCCGCCCTCGCTTCGCTTCGGTGTAGAGCTGAAGTGTAGACTACAGTTTTTGTTCTCAGGCTTGTATTATACACAATGACATTCATCTATGATTCTTCTTATACCTGCATGCAAAGTCTCAGCCCGATCGGTTTAAAATTGATAAAGTTTCATACAAACTTTCATTCCTTATTTTATCCCCTTGGGATTTTCTTTATATTTTTTTCCGTAAGAACCTTGTACAGAGTATTAGAAAACTACAAAAAAAAAACAGCCAAATCGGTCAAGCCGTTTTCATGTTATGTCGTGACAACGGAAAACGGGTTTCATTTTTATATATATAGATATGAAAACAGTCTCTGTTCTAAATTCAAAACTCGTAACTTTTCCCGATGTTTCTTGCACGTGTTTCCCGTGCTAGGACCGCGAGTGGCCGCGCATGTGTACGGTGCGGCGGGCGACGCGGTAATGGCAGCGCGGTACATGAAGTTGGTCGCTAAAGCGACCAACTTCATGGTGTTAAAATTTAGTGTTACATGATGCGCGCGCATCTTAAAATTTCACTCTCATCAATTTTTCACAACGCGCCTAAAGAAGTATAACTTCAAAAACATTGTCTCCATTTAGTTAATCAACCTGTTATTTTAAGACCAAGAGACAAACTTAATACATAATAAAGTTTTTTCATATTTTAACAGATGGTGTGATGGAAAGGTAGAGAGATGCTGTACATTTAGAAAGGGTTGTGCCAGATAAGTAAAAACTGTCATCTAAATTTAATAAGGGCAAAACAAAGAGAAGCAAGCCTACCGCAAGAGTACTTTTTGTTTTTTATATTTATTTTATTCCATTTTTCTTTGGGTTACCCTAACACAAGAACTGCGTTATTAATGATATGACTTCATTAAACTAAAAACTTAAAATTCAGCACTTAGTTAAACAAATTATGTTTATGAACCAAACTAAACTAATTTAAATTGTCTGCAACACACAGAATCATGTCATATTTTCTGTGATTTTAACAAGCCAAGCTGTCATTTGTGCAAATAACTAATCAGTTTACAAAAGTTCATACAATATCTGTGCAGGTTATAGTTAAAATAAAAAACCTTTCCATTCGCTACATTTGAAAGTAGTACAAAACATGAATAGTAAATGTACAAAAAGTTTAAAATTTCAGCTTCTGCACGATTTAATGTACTCGTTAATGCATGAAAAGTGAAAATAAAGATCTAGAATGTAGGCCACTAACCTCTTGTGTGATTTGGAGTTCGTGTCTTGTGTTTTCGTAAATGCTTTCGAGCTCATCGTAGCGCTGCTGCAGGGCACTTTTTTCCTCGAGGAGGACCAGACCCAGCTGTGCAGATTGGATCTTCTCACTGCTGGCCTGGTCGAGCTCGCGGCTCAGCCTTTCGATCTCAGCCTTCAGCTCGATCACCGACATATCGGCTTGGGCCGTGGCTGCCATCGCGACAGTTTAACGGCCGCCTATGTTTTCTTCATAAACAAACTAAATAATCTCAGAAAAACAACTGTATAAAACGTGTAAAATCAATTGTTTCTACATTCTCCCAAAAGTAAAACGTCTTGACAGCTCACGGCACAGACAGACCGGACAGTTCGAATAGTGTTGTGCCAACCGAACCGAATATCGAAAGAAACGGACCAAGCACTTGAATCGGTATCGTAATCATAATGTTACGCTAAAATCGGTATGAAAAAAGTTTTTCATCATTTTTGTTTAGTCGTCAGCTATGGCTATAAATAAATTCATCAAACAAACACTTAAATTATAATTAAGCCGCTATCTTTTCACTTTAAATAAATTGATTCTACATTTTATTAAACTATATTCTTTCAGAAGTTGGCAGATCCTCATAGGTGCAACCTCAAATTGCAGAACAAAATGCAGATGGAAAGCACGGAACACGCAGGTGCAGCCACAAAAGCAAATACGAAGTCAAAAGTAAGGACTTTTTTGTCTTTTCGACTAGTTTTAACAATGTTTGAACAAGGCGGCACAGTCCACGGGATATATTCACAACACGATGCGTTGTAGTGTGCGAAGCGAATTGATATTCGTCTTCGACTCATTTTATATAATAAAAGAACGCGATCGTGCGGACGATTCCTATGTGAACATATGGCTTCCATATTTTTTTTCTAATATTAAGGTACTTTACAGTCTTACAGTTTATGGTATAAATGTTATGCCATTAGTAGCAGAGTGGCGTTTGTTGACTATTAAGGACTACTGGTCAGAAGGCAGGTGAAGCTGTTTACAAAGGTTGGTACTAGTACATGGTAGTACCCGGCCTGGGGCGCCAGATTTTAAAATACGCCCTTGGCTCTATTTGAAACTGGATTTCACTTACACAAAGTGGGGTGGTAATAACTACAAAAAAATCCTATAACATTAAAACCACAAGGTAGTAAAAATCGTTTACTATACATAAAAATAATAATATAACATTAATTGACTAAATACAATTAATATAATACAATATTACATACATACACTTTGCCGATAAATTATATTACCATACCATAATATCTAAAAGCATTGAGAACTTGAATTTTTGCATTTCCATAAAATGTTTCCATGGGCGTGTAAACAATAATTAATACATTTACGGCAGATTTATAATGAAATTGTATGACTTCCTTTCTTATTAATGTGTGTTTAGTATAAACAAAATGATGATTAAAACCAGAATGTTGAACATAATAATATGACTGAATGTTAAACATAACAATAAGTTGCATGAGTGAAACCAGAAGTTGCACTCATGCAACTTCTGGTTTATTAAGTTTATTGTAAGTGCACCATAAGTATATGAGAATAAGACAATATTTAATTTAAATTATAATTAATGATAAGCTAAGTAACGTATAACGTTACTATTTATAACACAAATGAATCGTTTGACGAATTAACGATTGAATGGAGACGCCATTTCCTGTCATTTCCATTTTTGCGTCATATAGCTATCACCACTGGCGGCAAATGAGATTTTAAAAGAAAATCTAATAGTAAAAATAAATGATAAGGGATGGTTATATATTAAGTCTACCTATCTCCCAATTTCTACAATCAGGAAATTCATTAGCTACCTATACCTGTAGTATCGTTTATTGGAGATAAATAAGGAGGCACCACAATACAACACACACGCACCGATAGAATTATATTATCTTTTAGGTGTGGAACCTTCAACGTTATTAATAATAATAATTTATTTGCATCATACTTTTACAATCTTTAGGTACATTTGGTTGGTGATGTTGTTAATCCTGCTACTGCGTAAACTTTTTCCACTGAATTTAACTGGTTTTAAATTATTTATTTAAAAGGTTTGTAATTATTTGGCACGGAAGGTACGTCCACATGCTATCGCGGTCCAAGGGGAAGAGGAAGGAGGCACGTTAACAGAATGCTTTTATAAGGATTTTTTTAAGAGTTCCATACCGTTCGTTAACCGTATTACTAAGCCTCTACTGTTCTGCCGTCCAGGGTCGGATCGTTTATTTCGAACCGAAACAGCTAGACTTATAACATTAACTGTGTGTATTATTAATGCTATAACAAAAGAACGAGTTAAAAATTAACGTGAGCCCATAGGACCCTCTTACAATTAACGTGAATTTATCGGCAAGTTTTGCCGATACTCAACCATAAGTAATAATCACTTTATTTCACATGATAAGTTTTGACAATGGTACGGAACTATGCGTGACCAACTCGCACTTGACCAATGCAAATTTTTCCACCCCCTAACATTATTTCCCACCACTCAAGAGCAGTTATATTTTCTAAAAAGTATATTCCGTAATTGAAAATTTTTGCCATTCAAATTTTTATACCGGCAAATTTAGTATAACTATACAATTATTACGATCTATAATACTAAACAGACAAAAATAATAGATACCTATCAGTAGTTGCATCTAAAATGAATTTAAAGTGAATTAGCACCGGTATTTATTTATGACTGAGAAAAATGTATTCACAACTTTAATTGACATTGCAATATAAAGAAATTACATCAAATTTACTTATGTATCAAAATTATGTGAGCACACAATACTTAATATTAGAGATGAAAGAAGCACAAAGCAGCTGTTATTGAATATAGCATTTGTAATAATAACTCAGTAAATATCGTTTACTATAAGGACTGTGTTTTTATGTTTTTAATCCTATATATTAATAATATAAAAACTTCATTGCTTAACCAATCAATAACTTTATAGTCTTACACAAGAGAATGTTATATTCCATCACAGATCAGACATGGAAAAGCGCGTCACATTGGAGGAGAACCATGATTTCATCTTGCTCAGCTCATCTTGTTGAACCACTCAATCATTTTACTGGAAGGACTAAGCGAAGTGCTCTTTTGCAGTGTAAATCCTAAGTAAAAATACTGTAGCCTCATCAATGAAATAAAGTTGCTTCGCTCCAAGTGAGTCTTGTGCGCTATAACAATATTAGCCTTACTCTTTACGTCCTCTATTCAATTGAAGATTCGGTTATTTTTGAAAAGCCTTTAGGACTTTCTTTAAGCCTTAAGGACTTTATTAAGCCACCTACGCCTGTTGCACCATGAACGTTGAAGAAAAATATTGTATGTAGTTGTATACAATAAAATAACCCAATAATAAATATAAATAGCATATACAGTTTGTTTTTCTTTACTAATGCAAATTTGGAAAGCAAAACATTATGATAATCGGTAATAAAAACAAACTAGGTAATAAGATCATTCTAGTTTACAAATATAAAACACATAGGACTGATTTGTACTCGATGGTTTCAATAAATAAATAGCACACTTATGCTACATAAATGTATGCCCGTTTGATAAGGACTTGGCACAAAGATGGCGGGTCAGTAAAGAAAGCAAATATTGTAATAAATACACAAAATAATAAGTCTTTTAGTTGTTGAAATCATTTGGTTTGTAATGTATTAATTTTACTAGCTCAATATCAGCCATAGACATATGGAATAGGCTGAGCTTCCCCTATCCAGCTGTCAAGTACATATAGTCAAAAAAGTGTGGGAGAGACAGAAGTGATCGTGCGGTTGGTAGTTCAGGTATTGATTACTGGCACGCTTTTTTTTTCTTTCTTAGTACATTTCATTTTGGAAGTCTTCTGTTCATCCCTTATGTCTATGGTTACAGCGTAAGTAATTTTGGGTAAAGTCATGCAAGCTGCAAATGTCTTAAACTTAACCACAGACAATCGCGTGTGCAGTAGAATGTTTGCCGCAATCCATTAAGTTTTAAAAAGCGATTATATACCGATTATTGTACGGGGACGAAGGTTTAATAATATCATTATGCAGGTAATTAATATTTTAATTATGAGATTACAGTTGAGCAAAATAAAAAAACATTCTACAACACAATGAGCAAAATTTATAAAACATTGGCGTCGATTCTGGCATAATTTTCAATAAGATACAGCCCATCCTTGTCATTCTCTATACATAATAAAATGAAGACTGATGCAAAAATTTAGTTATAAGTTAAAAGAATCATACCGGAATCGACACCATTAAATACCTATAGACGCTATTTTTAAATAGTAATAACTAGATTAATATTATCAACCTTTTCACTTTTGTTACGAGACTCGATAACTTAACGGGTATTAAATAAACAAATAGGTTTAAGACAGATAGATTTCGCTTTGGAGTCTTTTATAATAATCATAAGATTTACTTACTATGAATAATATAAATGTTATTGCTAATATCATACGTACTCACAAAGAGTGCGTAATTTTTAACAAATTACCAAATCTATTCAGTAGTATCATACCCTAGTACTAAAAATCTCGAAACCAATACTTACATTTCCAAAAGGTTAGTTTAATAATTTTATTTGATTTATATGGATTACCTCCTATAATTTGTAGTGTTTATAATACCAGCAATTGCTGAACTATCCTTATAATTACTTGTACTGCCTAAGTTTAAGAACTATATATGAAATAAAATACGACTACAGTAATACAACTAAGATTTACATTATAGAGGGGAGCCCATGCGGGGATTTCTGGATATACTAGAGAATATATCCCTATTAAGATGCCAAATAGCGATGTACCCAAATATTGGATACCTACCCAAAAAACAAAAAACCCGACAACTTGCATAACCATTAGAGTGCCAATATTAGCTGTTTCTGTTTTGCGTGGGTAGATTTACTTTGAAAATAAGTAATAAATATACCTCGAACCTTTTTAATACACCTTGACATCTCTCTACACACAATAATAATATCAATAAGGAAGACGTGTTTTTATACCAAATAAAATCATTTAGCCATATCCATTAAATTATTAATAATTAGATCTTATATATGAATTTTAGGTGCGAATTAATCGAAAGAGAATTTAAACCCATAGACTATAACGAACTTTGTAATTTGACGGGTGAGTAGATCTTTCGGTGCAGTGCTGCCACCCGTCATTCCAGAAAATTCTCATTGCGGCAAAAGTGGAATGCATTTTTCGATTTTCAGTATTTACAAAATTCCTTATTGTAATGCACAATGAAGCGCATGCGTAGCAACTTCATAGCGTTGCTTGTTAGTATCATTAAACGAAACGAATTTACAATGGCGACATAAGACATTCTATCCCTCACGCACGTCAGGTACGTCACACAGTAGACGACGGGTGTATTCCGTAATATATACCAGTATACTGGCCAGTGGTAATGACGTCACGAATCCGACGCCATATTGTACTGGTATGCTACCATATTTTTACCGGAAAACGAATATGACGTATGACCGAGCGTGCGTGAGATGCATTCGAATTTTATTTATTTTTTATTTAAAGAACAATAATGGCATCCGATCAAAAAGAATTCCTTTTAATTGATGAGGTGAATAAAAAATCTTCTTTATTCGCACTATTTTTAATATTTCGTCGATTTATGACGTCAGTGCACTGGCCAATATATTAGGGAACAATTCACCAGTATAGTGTCGATTTATGACGTCATTAGCACTGGCCAGTATACTGGTATATATTACGGAATACACCAGTCATCGATCAAGGGTTTGGGCGGTAAAATCAAACCATTAAAAATAAATTCAACTATAATTGGTTTAATGGAGAAAAAAAGACTTTTTTTTATATTTCGGTTAAATCGTTTGTCCTAATCTTTAAATATAAGCAGTTTTCAAAAAACTAGGAAAATACCCTATTAAATTTTCTTCATTGGCGCCAGTTATATTAGAAAAAGCATTAAATTACACGATGAAAACGCAGCCGCGTGTGAAATTCTCATAACCGTTGCTACGCACGCCGCTATATATGTTGCAATTTGATTTTCTTATCATCAGAGAACATAACTGTTAAATTATTCGCTTTTGCTTCGATGACCTGCTGGCCTATTCGCAAACTTTTTGACATTTATAGTGTGTAACTAAAGATCATATAAAAATTGCTTATCCATCGATGCTGTTCAGGACTAGTATCCCAGTGGCGTTATAATAAAGTAGTAATCGATCAGTCAACATCTGTCAAAAATCGTTATCGAATAGTCCAACTGTTTAATTTGATTTATATTTGCCAAATGGAAAATATTAATATGTATAAAATAGATAAAACTATACAATTATCTATTAAAGATACTTCCTGTAATAACAAGACAACTTTATTTATTCTACAGTAACGAAACCTTAAATATAATAAATTTCCACATTATTATTATACTTATGAAAATAATTACTTTTTGAGGTTGATTTTGGTGAGAAATTTAGTTTCCATCCATGCCAACTTTACATTCATTTAATAAACCGATGGTGATACGTAACCTTGTGCTGGGTAGAATTTACGAACCTTATTGCTAGGTTTAGCGCCCACAGTTTCTGTTAATAAGCATTTGCAGTTGTATTAACTTAACTAAAAAAAGCAAAATATAAAAAAGGAACTTGTAAGTTACTTAAGCAAAGAAATTAATATCAAAAACGTTTAGATCATGATCGATATGGAATCGAGCACCAGAATAAAATTTAATTAAAATATCATTAAATAGCGACCATTGTGATCTTATTTCGTGACTATAAATTTACTTTGCACCATTTCTAAATTACAAAATATAAATAGGACAAATAAATACTAATGGGGAAATTATGCTATTAATTATAATCATAAGTTGTATTTGCTGAATAAATATTTTATCAATTATTCTAATGAATTAAGTAACATTTTTTCTGATTAAATTTTCGAATAAATTATATCAATCAAATCAACTTTGGAACCATGTTCATAAATTACCTAATTAATAGATTATTCCGAAGTCCAAAAATAATAATTAAAAAAAACACACTATACTTAGATTTAATAAACTAAAAAATAATCATTTTATTCAGGCTTTGACGCGTCTGCATATTTGTAAAATAAGCGTGTGTTTTTTAACCGTACAATTTTCTAAACTTATTTAAGATCTTTCTAATTAATTCGTAATTTATCACGTTAGTTTACAAAAAAATCCTGCCGTCTTTTTATTTTACCTAAAAAGTATGCGTCTTAAAACTTTTATCTCACTCCAATTTTAATTATTTTATTTTTACAAAAATATGAATCGCCAGTGATTTCGGTGGTGGTAATCACTTTTGTTGTTATCCGTATAATTGTAGAAACCGTTAGTTTAAAATCTATCTCAATTGTAAAATGTCTACAGAAAGTGAACTGATACTACAATCTTCCAATCTAAGTGTTTTATACATTCGGGTTGGTGACGGCTGGACATCGGTAGTTACGAAATGGGAATGGAATGTTTTCGACAGTCACTAGATGGAATCTTAAATTTACGGTTTGTACTGTTTTACAGTAATATAAGCACCGTTCTGCATTTGTTTTACATTATGGCACAGCCGGATGACACGTCATCGCGCGGCGACGGCGGCGGCCGCTGTGGCGCCACTGTTGCGGGAACAATAGGCTCCTGAATGGCGGGAGATTCCTTCCTCATGGTTTGTTTAGTCACCTCCTGAGCTTTCTGCGGTGGCGGTAGCTTCGTTTCCTGCACCGGTGACTTGTCCTGGTTCAAAGAACCTGTACTAGAAGTTCTTACCCTAGATTTGACCATGGACATCCGCCGCTCTCGAGTGTTGATTATGGAAGTGAGGAACGGTATCTGATTGCTGATCACCAGCATGAACGGTTTGTAGCCAAGACTGTAAGGAATATAAAAGTTAATGCTTATCAATGTTGGCAAGTTGTGTGAAGGCAATGACCTTCTATATAATATATGGATTTCGCAGACGCACGAAACGCGTTACAACTCAATTGCATGAAATGTACAATTTCCCCTCAAACGTGTTTGATGGAAATCGTATACGAGATTTGTAAGCCAGATTACGAGATTTTTAGCTACACATGTACGAGGAAAATAATTCTATTAAAAATTTCAATATGAGCAAAGAATGAGTAAAGTTATATTTCATGTATGAAAATAATTTCCTTTGTAATGAAAATCAAGGAGGAATGAGTCGAGAACATTTGTAGGGAAAAAACATTGCCGCCTCCCCTCTTAAGTAGAATTAAGTTAAGTTTGAGGCCATATGATGTGGCACACTATCTGACAACCTTTTTTTCTCTTAATTTGAAGTCATCATATTTATTTTATTTTTACTAATTTAGTGTATATTATTTAGTGTACATATTTATTTATGGATATATAATATGTGTATAAATATATGAGTAGGAATAATATGTATTTTATAATTATTGTTGTTATAGTTAAGTAGTAGATATTTTTTAATTTTTTATGTTAATCCTCACATAGTAGCTCATATTCTATCGCCTTTACTGGTTGACTGGCATAGAATGCCTATCGCATTAAGTCTGCCATTTACTGATTTTATGGTTATGGTAATTAAGATTAAATAAAACAAAAAGGAGCTCGATGGCGCAGATGGTCAGCGCGTTCGGCTGCGAACGTTGAAGTTAAGCAACTTGCGCAATGGTCGGTCATTGGATGGGTGACCAAAAATCTTCTATCTCGAGTTCCTCCGTGCTTCGGAAGGCACGTTAAGCCGTTGGTCCCGGCTGCGGTAAAACTGTACTTCCAGGGCCCAAGAGGTGATAATCGAACTTTTTTGGAGAAAAGGTCTCTTTAAAAAAAAATTGGCGTTTAGCCGGCCGCTACCGCAGCGCGCTCGCTTCGCTCGCTCGGCTCGCGCATTATGGTCACAAAACTAACCTAACCTAACCTAGTGTAAAGTATCACCACTTGGGCCCTGGAAGTACAGTTTAGCCCCGGCTGTTTCTGCAGTCGTTAGCACCCGCCAATGCGCACTGGGCCCGCGTGGTGGGTCATGGCCCAATCTCCCTATTCCACCCATAGGGCAGGTCTGTGCCCCAGCAGTGAGGACATTAATAGGCTGAGGATGATGAAAATAAATATGGTCGCGCGTCGACGTGCGCACATTAGACCGATTGTTGATTTCAATGATATTAAATACCCTAGATACGCCAACACGAACAAAATCGTGGCCAAAACCTGTCCAAAAGGTACATTGAACGATCCTCGGAGCACCGTAAGATGATCGCGTAGTCAAAAAGCATATTTGAAACATTGAAAGTCACCTTTAATGCATACTGTATAAGGTCTTAATTAAAACGCATGCGTCAAAGGGATGCGACATTTCGAAATGCAAGCTTGTAAACTTTTACGACTTATTAGTGTTTGCGAAAGAATATAGACCATATTTCTTTGACTCTACGCGCAATTCTGAATGCGCTGTTAGCAATATAGCAGTCACTGACCGCGAGGAAAAGAGACAGCCGTACGGCTATATTACCGACCATGCATTTGAATATCTTAAATATTTTCTATTAAAACAGCTTATAGTAAGTATTACAACAAAAGTTGCTACAAATGCGTTAAATTAACAAACATTGATTAAATTCCTGTCGAAGAAACGACACTTAACGTACTATAAGGCTTGTTTTCGTATTTTTTCTCGGAGCTCTGCGGCATCTTTACTTTTCAACAGTTCGCGCGTGATTGTGACCCAAGAAGTGCTATAGAGTTGTTCAAGCACTTCTTGATTGGGACACATTTTGGGCGCACGTAGTGTATCTAGGGTATTTAATATCGTTGGTTGATTTGCCCGATGTTTACTACACTCACCACTCGGCGTCGGTCCAGGCGCACAGTTGTTGTAACGCTGCCCGCAGTCGCCGTACTGCCGGTAAGGCGACGTCGTGCGCGCGCGCAGCGTTACAGCAACGTAGGACCGCGAGCGCGTCTCGTAACACCACCGCTATCAGCGCCGCCCATTCTACGCAACTCGCCTCCGTCATCAGTTGGAGAAAATAACTGTGGAAGTATTTATCTTATTAAGCAAAATGAAATTAGTTTAAATTACATACTTTTTATTTAAATTCTTAAGTTATTTAACTATCCCACAAGCAGTGGACGGTCATTGGATGGGCGACCAAAAATTTACTATTTGGAGCTCCTCCGTTCTTCGGAAGGCACGTTAAGACGTTGGTCCCGGTTGCATCTGCAGTCGTTAGCACCCACCAATCCGCACTGGGCCCGCGTGGTGGGTCATGGCCCAAACTCCCTATTCCATACATAGGGAAGGCCTATGCCCCAGCAGTGGGGACATTAATAGGCTGATGGTGATTTCACTATCCTCAGGATTTGTCTTTGTCGACACATTTTTTGCTTTTAACGGAGTTCGAATAAAATTGAATGTATAAGCGATCGAAGACGTCATTAAGTATTTGTGCCTTAGCAGCGTATGTGCTAAAAGTGTGTCTAGTACGTTCTGTACAATACACTTCTGTACAATACATTTAGAGAGGGTAAAATCGTAAAGGAAAATTAAATAATCGTGATAGAGATCGCTTAATCTAAAACTGAACGGCCCTCTACTGTCTTACTCTTACATGCACAAGTGTACAGATAACAGACACTTAAATTAACTATAGCCATTGGTCATTCGGTTAATTCATACGCCGGGTAGACACAAACGTGGCAGCACGCTCCGATCACATACAAAAGTAATCATAGAAGTGTAGAGGAGCGTTCAATTTTATGGTAGCCATACACACTACGAGAAATCGTTACGATCAGACTGTACAGTTCGAACGGAACAGTTTATCGTACGAGGCGTACGTATAGGAAACTGTACCGTAGCTGCACGTGTGAGGAGTGCGATCCCCTCGCGGCCTGGTGCAGATGCAGCCTCTCCATGAGCTCGGCGTATCGCCTCTCCTCGCCGCCCTCCACCTGTTCAATGATCGTGTACCGTAGCTGCACGTGTGAGGAGTGCGATCCCCTCGCGGCCTGGTGCAGATGCAGCCTCTCCATGAGCTCGGCGTATCGCCTCTCCTCGCCGCCCTCCACCTGTTCAATGATCGTGTACCGTAGCTGCACGTGTGAGGAGTGCGATCCCCTCGCGGCCTGGTGCAGATGCAGCCTCTCCATGAGCTCGGCGTATCGCCTCTCCTCGCCGCCCTCCACCTGTTCAATGATCGTGTACCGTAGCTGCACGTGTGAGGAGTGCGATCCCCTCGCGGCCTGGTGCAGATGCAGCCTCTCCATGAGCTCGGCGTATCGCCTCTCCTCGCCGCCCTCCACCTGTTCAATGATCGTGTACCGTAGCTGCACGTGTGAGGAGTGCGATCCCCTCGCGGCCTGGTGCAGATGCAGCCTCTCCATGAGCTCGGCGTATCGCCTCTCCTCGCCGCCCTCCACCTGTTCAATGATCGTGTACCGTAGCTGCACGTGTGAGGAGTGCGATCCCCTCGCGGCCTGGTGCAGATGCAGCCTCTCCATGAGCGCGGCGTATCGCCTCTCCTCGCCGCCCTCCACCGCCCAAGCAACAACCCCGCCCTCGGCCACGCTGCACGACCCCACCGATCTGTACCAACAAACCAAAAACAAAATATTTGGTGTGGTCTTATGAAACCACGGTGCGAGTGTAACTGTTAGTTTTTACATCGTCTCAAAATTAAAGAGATATAAAAGAGACAATAGGGGCCATTCACCTCTACTTAGTTCATGCTACTTTGGCTTATTAAAAGTGGTAAAAACTAGGGTTCCGACGAATCTGGGAATAAAACCCTGGCCGCCCACGTGGTAGGCGAGCTTTCTACCACTGAACCACTTATACTTATTAATAAGATCTGAATTTTTTGATAACAATTTAAAATGTTATTCAACAACATGCTAAAGTTGAAAGTATAAATTTGTGGCATGATAAATAAATGTTTTACTGCATAAATTCATAGAGTAGCACCTGTATGAAATTTGCCACTCTCTAGAAAGATAAAAAGCGATATAGTGCGCCCAAAAGGACAGAAATGTGTGAAAGAGACGTAACGCTCCAGCAGCCAGTAGTTCGCCTTCGAATTTATCTGACAAATGGCTAAGGAATACTCGGTCTAATCACAGTCATCAGAAATGTCTAGGTATTAAATTATTGTTTACAATAAAAAATATTCAATCGGTATTCAAAAATTCTTAAGTTTTATTTTCAATTTATTTCTAGAGTTGGCTCAGAACAAACCGTCATTTCTATCACGCACACATTGACGTTATGTTTGAATGCAATCTAACGCCTAGCTCCAAAGTAAGCACTGTAAGAATACACATATTATACAATTTTTATCTAGAAATATAAATAAACATCCATGACCAAGGTACAGATGCTCGTATTCATCATACTAACATTTGCATCCGGGATTCGAACCCGAAATCGAATAGGGATAAAGAAAGAATAATTTACCTAGCAGGTTCAGGTGACAATGGCGGTGCGGTCCGTAGGGGTAAACTCACGTATCCACTGTCACCGCACACACTGTCCGACTCGGCAGACGTGCTGTATGAACCTGTAAACATTCCTTTATAATATATTGTTTTAAACTTTCATGGTCACTTACATTATGGCTATTAACGGGATTGTTACCACGTACCTTGTTTTTTATGTATCTCCGATATTTCGGAACTATTGTAAGCGCCAACTGTTACTGTTACTCCGTGATCATGGCACTTACAACAAGTAACAATCCCGTTAATAGCTGTAATTCCTTTATAATGTTTTAGTGGAAGTTAAATGACAAACTTTTTTGCTTTACTGATTACATGATATGAAAAATGTAAACTATTTGCAAAATGTTGTTATTATAGAATGAAAAAACGTGTACACGATAAAAAAAACAACATTAAACTGCAACATGTATATATATGTTTAACAAACCCTAGAATTAGGTTACATCGCATTTTCGTTTCCTCGAATATTTAGTATCTACAAACTAGTACAAAAAGAGTTCATCGTTATTTCTTTTTATGTTTTATACATTTTATCGAAATAATGTTACATCGAAAAAAATATATTAAAAATCGTGAAATATTTTTCGGTAAAATGAAAATCGATATAAAAAACTGTATTCTGATAGACACCCATCGAGATCGAATTCAACTATTCGAATTTGATATTGGTTTGGGCTAGGAGAGTATCGGTGACGGCGGGGTATGGCCACGCGCAGTCTTCTTTGTGTAATCGTTTCATTCAGGGCACGGCATTATCGACATTCGGGATTCTTTCCCTCTAACCACGTGACCAGGCGAGGTTTCTATAATACTACTGCTACTTACTTATCACAGTTCTTCCTTTCCGCTGCGAGTATTGCTCAGTATCGGTGACGGCGGGGTATGGCCACGCGAAGTCTTCTTCGTGCAATCGTTTCATTCAGAGTACGGCATTATCGACATTCGGGGTTCTTTCTCTCTAACCACGTGACCAGGTGAGGTTTCTATATTACTCATAGAGGTATAAGAAGAGAGTGAGGAAGGCGGCTCTAAAAGTGTCCGTCTAGTAGAAAGAGTAAGAAGATGAGAGACCGCTAGCTATCTCTCTCTCATGTGACGCATGGCATCCAATGGCATCATATCGAAATAGTAAGATGCTTACGGTTGCCAATGCGCATGCGCGATTAGAGAGAGAAAACTAGCGGTCTCTCATCTTCTTTCTCCTTCTATTAGAAGAACACTTCCTCTTGTAGTAGAGTCTATATCTCCCCTACTCTATTCTTATACCTCTATGATATTACTACTGCTAATTACTTGCCACAGTGCTTCCTTTCCGCTGCAAGTATTGCTCTCCCTTTCTCCCTCTAACCACGTGACCAGGTGAGATTTCTATATTATTACTTACTTGCCACAGTGCTTCCTTTCAGCTGCCAGTACTGCTCAGTATCGGTGACGGCCAGGTATGGCCACGCGAAGTCTTCGTGCAGTCGTTTGATACAAAGCACTGCATTATCGACTCTCTAACCCTCTCCCTTTCTCCCTCTAACCACGTGACCAGGTGAGGTTTCTATATTACTACTTACTCGTCACAGTGCTTCCTTTCCGCTGCGAGTACTGCTCAGTATCGGTGACGGCGGGGTATGGCCACGCGAAGTCTTCGTGCAGACGTTTGATACAAAGCACTGCATTACCGACTCCCGAACCCTCTCCCTTTCTCCCTCTAACCACGTGACCAGGTGAGGTTTCTATATTACTACTTACTCGTCACAGTGCTTCCTTTCCGCTGCGAGTACTGCTCAGTATCGGTGACAGCGGGGTATGGCCACGCGAAGTCTTCGTGCAGTCGTTTGATACAAAGCACTGCATTATCGACTCTCGCAGCCCTCTCCCTCTCTCCCGCTAACCACGCGACTAAGTGGAGGTCTAAAGCGGCCGCCATCTTGCCGAGTGCGTGCAAACGGGCGGACGATAGAAGAACGCGAGCATGCCTCTGAATCATCATGTCTATGAAGAACTCTTCGGCTGTGCCGCTGTAGCTTTCTCTGTGAAAAAGGAAGTGTAATTTATAGTATTAATAACAGTTTTTTGAAATGAAAACTTCTTTAGCGGCGTTGTACACTTTTTTTGTATGGGTAAAAAATGTTAAACTCGCGTCAGGTTAAACACGTCGGCTGATCGCATCATGACACACAATAAAATTGGAAAGGTTGTTGACTTTCAATATATTAGACGAACCATAGTAATATTTTATTTTATCGTATTATAATAGTAAGTCTCTATCTAGGACGTCCACTTGGCAGCTTTATTGCGAAGAAAATTCATTTTTTTTTACAATAGATGTCGCTAGGTGCGCTTTAATGTGATTCATGTAAGTTGATTTCATTACAATAGATGTTGCTAAGTGCGCTTAAACGTGATTCATGTAAGTTGATTTTTCTGAGAGATAAACTTTTTTAATGTAATATAAATAGGCTAGTTGCCTATATTTTAAAAGGTGGTTAATAATATACCTTGATGTTTATTTAACCCCAAAAAAATATTATTTTAAATAAAAAAGTACATTATCAATATGTATTTTGTATTTTAAAAAACTTATTCAAATTTCCCTCGAAAACGCTCTAGACTGTCATGGCGTCTAGAATGACGTCACGCCGTGCAAAGCAAACAATACGCTGTACGCCGACTATTAAAATTATTTAGTTAAAAATGAATCCATCGTATTACAAGTACTGTATAGTGTCCTAGTATAAAAGGAGAAGCATAAAACGCCAGACAAATTATTTATATGCCACAAATGCGGAAAAAATGGTTAGAACTTGCAAGGAGGGATGGTACCTATTCATTGTTTATCAACAAATACAAGAATAATTTTGTGATGAACATTTTGATGTAAGTATTTTGCATAACATAATCAATGAAATCAAAATGTTATACAAGCCGGATAAATTATATTGCTCTTTTTTTGTTGGTCTGAGTGCATTATATTGATAAAACAATGACAATAGGTTGAGGTTAAGTAAGCTGATTTAATTTTATGGTATGATTTAGAGTCTATTTGAGAGTTCAGTATATTTATTCATAATAATAAACACTTCTTATTCTTGTTCTAGTTGCCAAATGATATGCTTAATTATGTCGAGTAGTTATGTGATTAATTTTTTATTTTGGTTAAAATATTATTATTTGCTTCGGTAAATCCCAATTCCATGGATTTATTAGGCTTCCTTTCAATACTTATCTGAAAACAAACTGATAATTGTATCAAAGTAACAATAACATGAATGAGATATCAATGAAATGTATGGAAACGGCAACCACAAGTAATGTTTTGCACGTGGTGACGTCAGTCTTTCTGATTGGTGTTTGCCGTCACGTGATCTAATGCCTATTTTATTCGAATTTATTTTCTAAAAATAATAATAAACTTTAATTATTATGATAAATAGCTTTATTTTTTGTTATCTGTATATCATAATTCATATTTAGAAACTGTAACCCATTCGATTTATTGTTAGTTGACACAAGCCTATTGTCATGTTTGTGTACGATAGCGCAATAACTAAATATTGTATTCTACCACATACATGATAGTACTTTTATACTGATAATTAAAGCAATTCGTGCAAAATTATTCCCTAACCATTCCAAAATATCAAAAATGCACAACCTTAATATTCAAGTTTTCACTTCTGCCGGCACTCCCGGAGTGCAACCCGTCGTTTATTTTTATAGAATCGATTTTTTTATCTACCCATAATAAATGATATGATCCATGGTTGTTCGAAATAAATGATTTTGATTTGAATTGAATAATTATACAGAAAATTTCAACCGGCTCTAAATATTTTTATTTAGTAAAGGTTTGTGCAAATCAACACCCCTCGTCTCTGTAAGTGGTTGATTTCTTTCCAGGGGTTGAAAAAAATATTTTTATATTTTAATTTTTCGGTACACTTAGACTGTATTTGCAATCGCCCGAGTGTTAAACCTACATTCATAGTCCATTGTTTACCTCTCAGATCGCGCGGGGACGGACTTCTTCCTCTTGACAGCGGCAGTAGCCCTCGCTGGAGGGGCAGGCGGCGCGGGGGCTGCGTGTGCCGCGTGGGTCGCGTGTGTAGCGTGCGTCGCGTGGGTCGCGTGCGTGGGCGGTGATGGTTCACGGGGCGATACTGTAGTGCTGAAGCTGCGACCGCGACCGCCCGATAGCTGTATAAAATTTATAAAGTATCGCGGTTTTATCGAGGCTGAATACGCGGCGAATTCTACTTGACGCTTACAATGGTAAAACATACAGAGGTTGTATAATGAACTATTACTACCCAAAGACACGACTTATGGCTTAGGATTAAAGGAACCAATGGTCTACGCGCAATCGGTATTTTGGGCTTCTTGTAAGTTTCTGTACGTGGCGTGCTACTAAAATTTTAAGAACATTGTTCTCATTGCCATGCCCGTCGCTCATAGAAGCAAGGTCGTAGCCGAACTATTAACGTAATATAAAAATAGTAGTTAAAACGGAATGCCGCTTTGGTGTGCGTATTTGATGTCTCGCTTTGACGATAGGAACTGAATGGCATTTACATTTCATAATACTGGCTTACGTATCATCATTACCTAATATTGGCAAGTTCTGTCGATTTTTGCTCGCCGGCCACTCGAACTTAAGTTGCAAGAAAAATACCAATTTAATCACATGAGTAACTAAATAAATAAACAAACAAAGTACCTGCATATTTCCTAGTATGACGGAGAGGTCTTCGGCGTTGGGACTGACGGCCTGGGAGTGAGCTATTTGGCCGTACTTCGCCTGCACATTGACCGAGTTCCTCGGTGAATCCACGTCGTTCGGGTCTGCCACATATGCACAGGGAAATATCACTTTTAGCTAGTATGCACTAAAGGCGAAATTTCAGTAGCAGGTGATAGAATCTGCCGAAATGGCTAACTCAAACTTCGAATGATATAACATTTTGAAGCAACGGTATTAAGAACTAACAATCAGAAATAAAAGTTATTTAAAACAGCTGGAAGTATTTAAACTTCGTTTTCTGCGATAACTATTATTGGGAGTACTCTCTGTGAGCCCATATGAATTAATTAGACACTTTGATCGTTTTATACGTCTGGAATAACAATACACTTATCAATTTTGCAAATGCTTTAATATCCAGAATAAAAAATGCCTACTCGCTATTTAGTTTCACCTAGTTTGACGTCTTACATTATCATAAAGCGGTTATAAGAGTCCAGAAAGTAAGAGAGACTAGCCGCTTCAACTCGCATTTGTAAACGCCACGCTCATGCAGAAAACCGGCTCAGATAAAAAGCGTGATTTCTGTCACGCACACATTGCTGTTACTTTTACGCAAATAGCGCAAATAAAGTACAAATTGATGGTATCTGTGTTAAATATGAATATTAGCAGCGACTTTACTATTATGAAAGAAAAATCCATTATTTACTTTTCTTAAAAAAATATTGAACAAAAACATTTTTTTTGTTCTACGGTCAAATGACCGTTAGCACCTGGGATTGGCGAAGAATAGAATGACATCACATGCTAGAATCTTTTGGTCAAAGTGATTGTACATTTTAGCGTTGGATGTTTTAATGACAGTCGTTTGACTGACATTATATGCTTGAGATGCTATAATGTCCAGAGAGACGTTTTCGCGGCAACTTGAAAATGGATTTTTTTATTTTGTATTTTTTTTTTACTGAAATACGCAACAGAATGATGAATATCTTTATTATCTTTTTATGGACTAGGTAAACATTAGTTAATAACGTGAGATCGTTTTCTAAAACTTGTGAAATACCCTATTGTCCATAACACTAACGGTAAGTTTAGGCAATTATTTTCGAGAATAGAGGAAGACGTCTTCCTGGATACTTCCTATTTTGTGCCCCTACTGTATTTAGCAGTCATATGCGAAACTTTATTAAAATATACTGTATAATATATACGAAGGCTCTGAGGAACCGCACCAGGTCTCGGGCGACGTCCCAGTGCTCCTAAGAATTGTTATAATCAATAGCGGTAGGTTTAGGCAATTAATTTCGAGAATAGAGGAAGTCGTCTTTCTGGATACTTCCTATTCTGTGCCCCTACTCTATGGAGCAGCCATATGCGAATGTTTAATAATGTATACAGAGACCCCTCTTTCCCAGTGGGCACATTGGGCAAGTGCCCAGGGCCCCGCGATCGATAGGGACCCCCTTCAGATCAGGTTCCTAGTTCCTGTCAGATCACCAAACGATAACCAATATTAATTACCAAAACGTTATACCTATAATTTGATGAAATCGAAACTAAATTACTGACTACAATACCAACTTACTAGCTTTTACATAAGTGAAGCTATTCTACTCTCGCCAAAAAATTAGGCTTTCCGACTTCAGCATGCTTAGATAAATTTAAATATACATATAATGGTATACTTAGCAAATACATGTTATAAAGAAAAATCATTAGTAGTTCACTCATCAGTATGACTCGCTCTATTTCAAGTCATAATCCACATCAAAGTCATAGGGGTCCCATTATCCTAATATGTCCAGGGCCTCCAACAGGTTAAAGACGGCCCTATGTATACATATAGCCAGCTGCCGGCTTACAGCCGAGCTTTCCAAGTTCTAAGCGTCAAGACAAACGGGACATTATCGAGAATAGCGAGAGTCGTCTTTTTGGATACTTCCTATATTGTATCTCTGCTACTTCCCATTTCGGGCCCCACTTGTGTGTGAAGCAGTTATATGCGAATGTTTAATTATATATACCTATGGCTCTGAGGAACCGAACAAGGTCTCGGGCAAGGTCCCAGCGCTCCTGCTGCAGCGCTGTGTCCAACAGTTGAGTGGCCAGTTGCCGGCTTACAGCTGAGCTTTCCAGGTTCTAAGCGCCACGAAAAACGGGTCGATTAATGTCTTGGTACAAAAGAAATAAGGCATAGCGGACTTTACGCTCGAATTGAAGCGCCCGTCTGGGGAAGAAACCTCCACCTTACAGAAGAACACAGCAAAGTAACACTACCTTTTGGTGGTGTTGTGCTTCTGTCGATGAGTAAGGTTCCACGGCTCCACGGGGTAGGGGATTGGGTCAGGGTAGGCAACGATGCGAGTGGTATTTTTTGTACCGCAAAGTCTATAGGCTGTGGTGGCCGCTTACCATCAGGCGGACCACACGCATGTTTGCCAACCTTTTAATATAAAAAAACATGAATAAATATCACTATCCAGTGTGTACCGATATTTTAATGTCAGATTATTAATATTTGAAACGATACAATTTCTGCTACGCATTTCACGTTTAAGCCACTGAAACCATTTTGATGAATTTCAGTATAGAGAAAAAACGATAGTTGTTACGCGCACCTTTTCTATCGTTACACCTCATCATTTCACGAGTATTTTGTTAGTATGCACATACGTTCAAACAATCACAATACTCTACTCTGTCGGTTGTTTTTTCAAATATTCAAAAAGTCGTTATTTTATCACATTTATTACCGCAAAGCAACACAAACTAAAGAAAATCCGTGAAGTTACTCCGAGATCATGGCGCTTGCAACAGTGCCGAAATATCGGAGACTCATAAAAAACAGCGTACATGGTAACAACTTCGTTAATAGCTATAATGTAAGTGACCATGAAAATTTAAAACAATATATAAAATTGAGAAAATTCAAGTACCTTCATAAGCTGCAATAAGCAAATATAAGCGTTAAATCAAAACATATAAAAGGCGACATTCAAACTCAACGCCCGCCGGTACAATAGTTACCTGTAGTATAATGAGGTATGAAGCGGCAGTGTCAAGCATCTTCTTTTGCAAACATTCTTGGAACAATTCCTTGGGTTTGCCAGCCGCGGAGAACAGGTACGCCCACAGAGCTATTTCTGTTTTTCTTGCACATTGAACTACAGTCTGTAAGAATATGAAGGTGTCGTAGTTTTGGCAAATGACAGGACCTATTATTTTAATAACCTATTCTCAGTAAGAAGCCTTTTAGAGCTTATTTGTCAAGATTTTTGTTAATTAGTTCAAAATAACAACTGTTTGGAAACGTAACCAAAATAAGCTTAACTTTAACTGAACTTTGATTCTTGAAAAGATAAAATCTAAATAAAGTTATGTAAATGACAAAGCTTCTTTCAGACCACAATTGATGGTTTCTCTGTTTATAAACAAAAACGTACCTGTAGGTACACGGGGAACTCGTGCACGAACTCAATAACGCTGGGCAGTTGGGCATCAGGTATGGGCTCTTTACTCGTTGCTTCTTCTTCCAACACCTCGTGGAGTAGCAACTCCAGTGAATGCGGAAAATAGGGTAATTGGGCGCACGATCGCGCAATTTCCCACGCGTGGTACCCCAGATTACGTCGCAGCAGTTGCCGCAAGATTTGGTGGAGGTATACTTGACTCTGTGATTGTTAAGACAATGATATTTCTAAGAAACGTAAAGTATGGTAGCTCAAGTGAGTACGGGAATAAGAGCATCTGGGCGCACGATCTTCCACGAAAATCAGACAACAGCTTTAGACAAAACCAACGTTAATTCGTTTCTTGCTATACCAACCTTAAACTGAATCAAAATGGTGGACAGCTCGTATTGTCAGCTCATGATGTGAAAACAGCTACTGCCGCACTCAGGATCAGGACTTCAATTAACTTTTAAGTTTGATTAATGATAATGCTGTCACTTTCTTTACGGATCAGAAGGAATGAAACAATAGATGATTTAACTGGTTAAGAGCCCAGTGCAAGATGCCACTGCTGCAAAAATGCCTAGCACGGCATTTTGACTAAAAAGCAGACTGCTAAAATGTAAGATGCCACTACTCCGGATTTCATAATTATACTTAATTAATATCATTCGTTTTTAGGGTTCCTTAGTCCTGTCAAGGAACCCTTATAGTTTCGTCGTGTCCGTCTGTCTGTCCGTTCCCGGTTTTGCTTGGAGACTGTAAGCACTAGGGTGCTATAATTTTTTGGAGATATTTGATGGTAGATAAAAAATCAAACCTTTTTTTAGGGTAGCTCCCCTCTATGTTACTGGGGATAATTTTTGTTATATCGTTTACCCCATCGTGTAGGGTGTTGTTGAATAGGCCCCTTAAAATTACTTAGGGGTTTCTACGACTATTTTTCAATTATTTTTCGATTTAGGGATCCGTTTGCGAATTTTTGTTCGAGTAGGGCGTCCCAATCTAAAAGCTAAAATATTGGGTTGAAAACCTAAAAAAATAAGATCATATAATGCTTTTCATGAACTTTTAAGGATCATAAGATAGATTTGTTAGTTCAAGAGTAGTAGTCGTTTAACTGTGGTCAAAGAAAAATTTACCTTTTGAAATTTCATTAGAAGAAAACATTAATAGTGACATAGATGAAGTTATTGTAGCGCAAAACCTTGAATTGAAAAACAAAATCTAAAAAAATCCGATACAGAAAATAAAGACTCCTGCTCAAATATATTGTGGTAACGACCACCAACTATGGAACTCTACTCTGCACGTAGCCCAACACGCACTTGGCCGGTTTTTAAAGAAAATTAAAACCATGCAGACTTTTCGACATAAATAAAACTACACTTACCGTTCTATTGACGACGCAAAACGGCAGCGAGAATACTGAATTAGAGTCGGAAGCATACAGGGTTGTGTCGTTTTCGGCACCCAGAAGGATCGCATCGTCGAATAAGATGGCTGCGAGGAAATAAAATAATTAATATAATTTACTCAAATATGCTTGGAAATGTGAGCATTATTTTGACAACCTTCTTCGAGATTTAAATCGAAATTGCTGTATTGGCCACAAAGATGCGAGCAGCTGCCGGAAAAAAAATATAAAAATCCATATCTGCTGTGTTTAGCGCCCAAATAAAGTATGACGCGATAACACTAGGTTGTTATCCCGAATACGAGTGCCAATGGAATTTGGATAAACGACTAAGCGTAAATGAACGGAGTCGAGTACGCCCGTATTCCGGTAGACTTCCTTTTGTTTACCCGACACCGTCTTCCAACCAGTATTCTAGCGTAAATATTTCTTCGGGTGTCCGAATTCGAGTAATGTCTTTCGTGCACCCGAATACGGGCTAACGACCAAATGTAATTGCGGCATTACATAGCAAACTGGGTGTCGCGTGGCATCACGGTATAACAGTAGCAATTACACCCGTGATCCTAGGCTTCCCAGCCACTGGACGCATACAAGGTGTATCTGACGGCTAACTAACAACTTACTCAGCGGATAAATATCCAGGTGGAACGGCAACATGATCCGCTTGGCCATGAAAGTGTGCCGCGATGTGTCTGGATGTCGCGTAGTATCACGTGGCAACAGAGGCAACCACACCCGTGCCCCTAAGGCTCCACACCAGAGCCACAGGGCGCGGGACAGCTGCGTTTGCGATGGCGACGTACCACCGCGCGACCACACGCTTTCCACACACGAGGCAAGAACGGTAGCTGGTAGACAGCTATACGCCTGCAGGAGAATTTCATAATTTATAATATTCTGCATAATTTAGGAATATCAGTGTGAAGATATAGATAGTTATGCACAATCGGCACATAAGATTATTGTTCTCGCAATAACGACGTCGCGAGAACTAAGGAAACTAAAAGGATAATCAACGAAATACAAATATTAAATAAATTATTTTTCGTTGAGTAATTTAAAGAAAAAAAATTGAGTCTTTAAGTGTGTCTTATTATTCACAAATGATTGGGATGTTTTCTGCGCTTTACCACTATCGCTGGTTTAGAAGCTGTGTACAAGATAAGATTAAATATAAGTTCGGCTTATAATACAAGTTTGTCACAAGAAATAAAACATGTTTTTCAAACAAAATTCTGCAATTAACATAATTGACTCTACGTCCCATTTCTGAAAAATCGTCAACGGACGGAACGCCTCCGTCACATGATATTTACTGAATCAAGCCTTCTACTTCAGGCTTGATTCAATAAAAAACAGAACAAATATAAAACACACCCAAGATTTGATTCAGCGAATTCGATAATTTCCATCATAAATTAATAAAACTGCCACAGTAGCTAGCAAAGGAAGTCTAATTGTGTAGGTGGCTTGTAATTATTCGCGAGTTGATTAGTTTTTGATGTAAAAGAAATATTTCAAGTACATACACGTACGAATATCAAGTTCAGTCGATTACATTACACCACGCGAAATGTTATACAACTATATAATTAGCTACTATTCCATTGACCGACATAGGGTAGCGTTCTGCTTGGGCCAACGCAGCGTATACGCAGCGATCAACTGGAGCAAAACGTAGCATCAACATTTCAACCAACCGTATTGCGTCAGGACACGCATCACGACGCGAAACATTATTAATATTTTCGTATTTTTTTTGTCTACTATGCAATAAGGGATAACGATGTCATTGTTATCAACAACGCGCATGTTGCAAACCAAATAATATTTCACAAAATCATAAAACAATGTTTCCTATTGCGAACTGCAAATCGAATATTAAGATGCCTACACGTGCGTTGATAATGCTAATATCTATATTAGCTCAAGAACTTTGATAACGCATAATTGAAGGTAGTAATTACGTTGGACGCGGCAATCCGTCCGACTCGGCGAGTTCCTTATGCATATTTGTGCGCGTTTTCACTATCCGAAGGCTGTTGCACGAAAATGAGGAAGCCTGATGCAACCCTTAGCACTTGTTGTTTAAGCCAACGGCCGCTGCGCTCATGAAACAGTCCACATCCGGCGTGCTAGGACGCGAAGGTCTTAGGCAACGCTATAAATTAACTTAGATCGTTCTCCTACGAGCAGTGCGTTTTTGACAGTTAGTGGTCAGTGCGTCTCCAGGCATCATGAAAAGTTTCCTCGCGGTCGGTTGGAAGAAATTATTTACTCACATATTTGATTCAATTACAATGTTTAATATCTTTACAATTAATAGTCTTAATTACTTAAAATATGACGTTTTTAAAGACATAAATGCTGTGTTTTGATAAAAGAGTCTACTTTTGCGATAATCAAAATATTTTTGCAACAATACCACTTGTTCACTGAAGTATTATGTTGATTGCTAACAACCGCGTCTTCATAGTAGCAAGAGAAGTCGCACTAAAATTAAATTTGGAAATTCTGTATTTTGCTCAGGTGTTTAAGTATACTAAGTGAGTGTACATATTTCTTACAGATAACGTGTCTACTGGCCTTTACGGCATCTATTCAAGCAGATGGATTGGGAGGTCTCGTTTATGCTCCAGGACACGCCTCTGCTGACTACTATGTAAGTGCCAACTTTAATAAATACCAAGAACAAGAGTTAAATCAAGATATAAAATACAGTGAACAATAGAAAATTTCCAGAAGTAGATAACAATTTCTTTTTTTTCCTAATCCAGGCGTATCCGAAATATGCGTTCGAGTACGCAGTAAAAGATCCCCACACTGGAGACAATAAGGCGCAATGGGAAAAGAGAGACGGCGATGTTGTTAAAGGTAAAACAATACGAAATTAATAATTGCTAAAACAACATGTTGAAACTAAACAATTATTCCACTAATTCTTATTTAAGGTCATTTTACTTCAACTTATTAACCCGTAACTGCTGCTTATATTATATTTTCTAATGCGCTTCTTGCAAGATAACATTAAAAACCTAATTCATGCCGTATTACGTCTAACAGGTGCATACTCCCTCGTTGAACCCGACGGCAGCATTCGAATTGTGGAATACTGGGCTGACGACAAGTCCGGCTTCAATGCGGTCGTGAAGAGAGTCGGTCCCAATCTTCACCCGACTGTTGTACCAGTGGCACCCGTATACAAAGCACCCATACCGGTCTTGGACAGCCACGGACCCATCGCACCGATCTCAATCGGGCCGGTAGCGAAATACAGCGGACTAGCGAGCGCCCCGGTCATCACCGGCACTTACCCAGGTGGAGCAGTGTCCTCCGCCAATCTATACAAGGAGGTATCTCCTGTTGTAGTCAAAACGCCCATAGTGCCAGCTCCGGTACCCCCCATACTTTCAGCGCCAATCTATAAAGCTCCTATTGGACCGATACTGTCCCCAATAGCACCTTTGCCCATAATTAAAAATCCCATCGGTCCTGTACCGTACATCAGTTCCCCGATAATCAAAAGCGCCCCAATCCTCAGTGGACCAGGACCGATCTACTCGTCTTTAGGAGGTTGGGGTGGTGTGAAAGCGCCCCTGGCAGGACCCGGATACTTGGAAGAAATTGGCCAAGGATTGCTCAGCAAAGGACCTCTCCTAAGCCCCATCGGCCTTAATAACTATGTAGGTTTGGGAAGCCTAGGATACGACCTCGGTTACAAACACTAAGAGACCAGAACCGATGCCATTTACTGATATTGCCTGACGTACCTGAGTTGACGCCGCTAAGCTATAACTGCCATGACATTAAACCTTTCCAGTCGTAAGGAACGAGCCGTATACTTGTTGTTGTTTTAATATTTATTAGAATACTTGTAAGTTAGTGAAAAGACGCACGAATAAAGCATATACCACTATGTGGTTATAATTTATTGTTTTATTTACTGTAATTTGAAGTGTATTACGCATACCCGTAGACAGAACACAAGTTAAAACATTAATACTCATGCAGTTAACGCAAGGGGCTTCTGCCTCTACGATTCAATGCAACGACAACTAACCAGGCCCATTTTTCACCAAATCGACACATGTCACTAATATATGTAACACATGCACCGATTTCATTAATTAAATGTTCGATACAGGTTTTGCTTAAGCAGAATTTTTCTTTGAACGCAAATTCGTTCTTTATAAATTCTCCTGCATAAGAAGAAATCATATAATTAAGCTTTCGCGGAGAGCCATTATGTAACTAACAACGAAAACACTACAATTTTAACGCAAATCTGACTCAGTCCCGATCTCATGACAAGAATTACGAATTGTTCAAAAATGTTGATTTAAAAAATTACCCTTGTTTCACAAGATAATAAAATTGTCGTTGAAGATACGGACAATTGTAACAAAATGGCTGTCATTTTTATAAGTATATCCGAAAACAATTCTCAAAATTGTCACTTATCACTCGACAATAGTCAACTTAAATATGTCACTGACATATGTCGACTTGGTGAAATAGGGCCTAGGTCTATCCTAGTATTTTGTATTATGTTACGTTACGAAACAATATCTCTAGCGCTTCGCTTAAGCGAACGATGACATTGTTGCAATAGGATAATGAGTAGGAATATTGCTAGGGTAATGATGGAAGGTTGTTGACTACCGTGACTAAACTTCCCATGTTGTGAAGCAGGCATACGACTATATTTTTATCTGAACAGGCAGTGATCATAAATCTTTTTATTTAGCCCAAAAAACTATAATGTTTTTTGCTAATATAGAATTCTAGTTATCGTGCGTAAGCGATATTTCCGCTAATTGGGCCAATAACCAAACACGGAGGTAGCCTAACCCGCACCAGAAAAGAACTGGTTACACTCGTCTTCGAACCCCGAAGTGCAGCAATAAAAAGGCATACAATACTCACAACCAATCATTACGTATCCTGACAGCTTACCAATAGAAACCATGGCGACACAACTGATGGTAATTAGAAAATTTTTGGAAACTTCGTAACTACTCACATAATCTTGGAGACCTCAAGATTTACATTCACAGAAAAATAACCTAATTTACTTTGCAATGGATAAAACTTACACATATTATGTTCTTTAAATGACTGGCAGAATTATTGCAAAAACTCCCGCTTACAACTTTGTAATTTTCCAGATCACTTGTGCGTTGGCGCTAGCGACAGCGTCGGTGTCAAGTAGTTTCATTCACAAAGTACCCGTAGTTGTGAGTGTTGTAAGTATCACATCAATAAATTATGTTTCTTATTTTTTATTCGTCCCTCTCCTCAGGGATGGGATTGGGGTAGGCAAAGCACTAGCGGATACTCTGGTATCGCGTGCTATCTGTTATGATGACTACATACTATCAGGCGATTAGATACACTTTGAACATAAAAAATAACAATAATTTCATTACAGGCCAACCCAAACTACGCCTTCAACTATGCAGTGAACTCTCCGCACACGCACGACAACAAGGCACAATGGGAGACAAGACATGGCGACGTCGTCAAAGGGTCCTATTCTTTGGTGGAGCCGGATGGGAGTCTACGAGTGGTCGACTACACAGCCGACAAGCTGCACGGTTTCAACGCTGTCGTGAAGAAGATAGGGCCCGGAGTGCATCCCCAGATAACACCAATCAAAACTTCAATACTGCCAGCGCTAACGCCGGTTGCTCCAGTAGTAGCACCTTTGGCTCCTATCACTCCTATAAACTACGGATTCGGAGCTGGTCATTCAGCGGTGAGTCATTCCAAGACAATACTAGGGCCCCGGAGCCTAGCCTGGGACCCTAGCACTCATTCCTACGGAGGTTGGGTGCCTTTGAACGCCAATTTACCGGGAAAATATGCCTCGATAGTAAGCACGAAAAATGTCGATGGAAAACTGTATACTTGGACAACTGGACCCATTCCTATACCGCACGGCGGTAAACTAGTCTTCAAGAAACAGGATTGAATGAAGACATATGTCTGATGTACATGAGTGTATCGAAGCTCGAAAAGCAATGTATAGAAAGCTAAGTACCTAAAAAAAGACACTCATAAAAAAAGACCGGATTCGCTGTAAGAAACTCCTAGTCCTACTGTAAATATTATTATTTTAAGGTTATTAATGTATACTGTAAATAAACCATCGAATAAAATATAACTAAACATATGCTCCGAAATTATGTATTTTTATTTCCTTACTTATAAAAGCAATTGCAATGAATATCAGTTACAACAGAAAAATATATACCTTAGCATTGAGCAGCAAAAATACATTTATTTCAAAAATAAAGTCAATATTTTAACCACATACTACATTTTTCCACATTTTTTACTATCTACTATATTTTTAAAGGGAACAGCTTCAAAAATACTATATTTGATAGATGGAAGTTGGTAACCCTAGCCGTACGACGCCCACTGCTGAGCATAGGCCTCCCCCCAGGATCTCTACACAGATTGGTCCTGCGCCACTCGCATCCATCGGCTTCTCGCGACTTTCACAAGATCGTCGGTCCACCTTGTAGGGGGCCTGCCCACTGGGCGTCGTCCGGTGCGTGGTCGCCATTCTAGAACCTTTCCGGCCTTAACGGCCATCGGTTCTTCTTGCTACGTCTTCCACCCACTGCCACTTCAGCAGAGCAATCCTTCGAGCGATATCGATTATTTTGGTTCTCCTACGGATTTCCTCATTTCTGATGCTTTCGCTTTGGGAAATACCGAGCATCGCTCTCTCCATTGCTCGCTGTGTGACCTTGAGCCTTCTTCGGAGACCCGCAGTAAAGGACCACGTCTCGCTTTCGTAGGTCATCACTGGCAACACACGCTGATCAAAGACTTTTGTCGTGGGACACTGAGGTAATTTGGACGCGAAGATTTTCCGTAGCTACCATACGCTGGCCATCCGAGCTGGATACGACGAGAGATCTCTTTCTCAAAGTTGGACTAACCTAACTGGACTTTCGGTCTAGGTAAACGTAACGGTTGACAATATCGAGTGCAGTGTTCCCAATTTTAACTGGAGCGGGTACTACATGGGCATTCGACATAATTTTCGTCTTATTCATGTTCATCTTAAGACCCACTCTTTGGTAAACACTACTAAGGTCTACGAGCATCGTGTTAAGATCTTCCAGGGTCTCAGCCATAATCACTATATCATCGGCGAAACGAAGGTGCGAAAGGTACTCGACATTAATGTTGATGTCTCGTCCTTTCCAATCTAGAAGCTTGAAAATATCCTCCACTGCAGCTGTGAACAGTTTCAGAGATATCACATCACACTGCCTTACGCCAGCTGCAGTTGGATAGGATAAGAGCTCTGGTTCTGTCGGACTGACATAGCGGCGTTTTCGTAAAGGTACCTTAATACCTCGACTTGCCTGTAGTCTACTTGGCACCTTTGGAGAGACTGTAACACCTCCCAGGTCTCAATCGCATCGAAGGCTTTTTCCTAATCCAAGAAAGCCGAGCAAAATGGCAGAGTACTCTTCAGTGTTCTGTATAACCTGCCGCAGCGTATGAATGTGGTCTATGGAACTGAAGCCTTTTCGGAAACTGGCTTGTTTGGGAGGTTGGAAGTCGTCAAACCTGCGTGAGACGATTCGTAATGGCTCTCGAAAACAACTTATGAACATGGCTAAGGAACTTATGAACATGGCTAAGATATGAACCCGGCAGGTTTGCCAACACCCCTCCTGGCCCCATCGGCCGTGTTGCTCTACAGTTGGAGCGCACACTTTTCAGCAATCAGCGCAAACTTTTCAACTATCTTCACGTGTTCACACTTTTACTTAAAATCAAAATCGTCGTATACAGAGACAGTCAAATAAGGAAGTGGACACCAAACGTCAAGTCCTTAAGATTAGGTGGGGATGCGGGTAAGATAATTTGCGCGATTTGTATAAAAAATTTACTTCAGAGCTATCTGAAGACCATTTGGGATAACTGAACTAATAAAACAACGAACAATGAAAAGTAAGAAGAATGCACTGACAAACTGTACAATTCATACACACCGCCTATATAAAAAACACTTTTAGTCTTGGCGAGATACTTATAAGATTTGTTATCCATCGGGATCGATCTAACCCTTTACTACAAATTACAAATGGCACAAAAAGTATTTGTTATACGTATTCATAAAACAATTTTTCGAACACGTGTAATGTGATATCTATTGCAATCACAGTTTTTACTCGTACTTAAATTAACGCTATTCATAGCTATTCTAGTTCCAATCTAGGTTGCTGTTGAATATACAATGTCGTTCACACTCAATTAGGGAGAATCACCTCTAATATAAGCGCTCATGTACATAATTATGAGTGCAACTGGTTATGATGCCTTAAGAAAATTAAGTCGCTTATGAAAAAAGTCCTGGAAACCAATCGACCCGTGGAAATTAGAATTTGTCAAAAACCTGTGCGGACCAGGTTGAATAATTAATGTAAGTAGTATAAATAAGCATGTAACAAGTGACAAAGGTACAGTACACTTCGTGAGTTCAACGGAAAATATTATTTGCAAAATGAACTCATACGTTGCGGTAAATATAATATTATTATAAATTAATATTAAAAAAAATCTTATGAAGATATCACCCGTTTAACTTGGTCATAATTTTTTCTTTCTTTCCAAATTAAAGTTTTGGCTACATACAATAAAGATCTAATTCTATATCTCTAACAATCTATAGTACATAGTTCTGCGGGTAGCAACCATAGCTCTTTATTATTTAATGGTAGTGAGATTATTTCCGCAGCAAAGAGTGACCGAGTGGCTTAAATATTAAAAACTTTATAATTATTGATTAACAATTAAAACGTTTAATGTATGTAAGTAAAATGAAATATCTTATATTACACCATCAGGTATCCTGCCTCATGGCATTGGCTGCCTGCGTCTCAGGTTCGGCGATACCAGTGGTTAACTACGCCCCGATCGCCGTCGTCGACAAAATCGTAAGTAATCAGCACTAAACGCCTCTAATTCCGGTTACACAATCTGCTATGTGTAGAAAACAGACCATAATTTCAACGTAACGTACAATTTACCTAGTTAGTTTCACAAACTTACTAGTTTATGTGAAAACTGTACCTATGTCTTAATGTCATCACACTGATATTATAAAGGCGAAATTTTGTGAATGTATATGTTTGTTACTTCTTCACGTCTAAACGGCTGGAGCGATTTTAATAAAAGTTATGGAGTTAGCTTACACCCTGGATTAACACATAGGCTACGGTTTACTACGGGAAAATATCTCAAATAAACCGCGGGTAACACCGCGGGACACAGCTAGTATTTATATACATGTTTGTATAGGAGCAGTAAGAATACCACAAGCAAAAGTGATAAGTGACTTATAATAATGGGCTAGTTGACTCATGTCGAATTGTATTAAATAAATGTTTATTTCTTAAAGTATTTGGTCTAAGGAACCTAAATATATCGATTTCACTTCATAAAAGCAGAAGATTGCTGTAGAAATTTAATTTAAAAAATATAATTTTTAGTCTATACTTTTGAAACACTAAAAACGCTGTTCGCCACATCCGACATGATTGTGACGTCTCTTTTAGTAAACAACTAAATGTCATTCATACATAACTTTAAAACTTGTATTATTAAAACTGATAATAAATGAAGATCTAAAGAAAATATAACTAGAAAAAATTCCACGCGGACCAGGCAGCAGACGGGACTCGAACCCGCACCCTTCGCAATCCGGGCGAATGCACTGACCAATTATGCTACCGCGGCCCTCACGGACCGCGTCGAAATTCTTTCTAGCTATTCTTAAGCTGCAAGGCAGCGCCATCTCTTCGCATTATAGGTAAACCCACAATGTCAAATGAATACTTTTACAAGTATTAAACATTTGAAAGAAGAAATAGCAATTATAGTTATAATTTTTATTATTTTTAAAGCATGTAACTGCTTGATGTTTAAATCTAAAGAAAATATAACTAGAAAAAGCTAGCTAGCCTTGCAGCTTAAGAATAGCTAGAAAGAATTTCGACGCGGTCCGTGAGGGCCGCGGTAGCATAATTGGTCAGTGCATTCGCCCGGATTGCGAAGGGTGCGGGTTCGAGTCCCGTCTGCTGCCTGGTCCGCGTGGAATTTTTTCTAGTTATATTTTCTTTAGATTTAAACATCAAGCAGTTACATGCTTTAAAAATAATAAAAATTATAATAAATGAAGATACTTAAAATATTATTCAATGAGTACTTACATCAAAGTGATCTTCGCAAAAATAAATTTTACATTATATATATATAATTTATAAAGTTGCAGTTCTAACCAGGTATTGCGTAGGTTAATTTCTCTCGGCACTTTAATCCACAACTTTCCTGGAGTCTTCAAGGATGTATTTTTACATTCTCGTACAATAAAATAATGATAATTACTATATTTTTCGTAGTATTTATTAGAAATCATGTTTTTTTTATTATAAACTCAGATAGGTTATTTTCTACGTGCTTACGAGTTTTTGTTTACTACCGTCGACGTCATAACATAGATAATCTATAGACTAAAATGGCCGACAGCGTTTTTGTATGTCCATGAAAAGTCTATTTTAAAATTAAAGATTTGTAGCTTTCTAGGTCTCAAAAAAATACAATACATTTTTTTTTCGGTCTAAAAGAACATTTATTAATCATTTAAAACCTTTTTCCAAAAAAGGTCAACTAGCCTATTGTTTCATGCAAATGCATGGCAATATGGTAGTGGTTTCAACACTATTAAATACCCTAGATACACCACGTGCGCTAAAAATGTGTCTCAATCACAGTCACGCGTAGACCGTTTAGAAGTCAAGATACCGCAGAGCTCAATGAAAATAGTACTCATATTACGTAGACTGTCGTTTTGCGACAGGTATCTAATCAATGTTTATTAATTTAACGCATTCGAAGCTAATTTTGCTCTAACCTATACTATTATATAAAGAGACAAAAGGATACACTGACAGACTGACTGACTGACTTATCGACGCACAGCCAAAACGGCTGGACCTAGAATGATGAAATTTGGACAGTAGGTTCCTATTATTGCCTAGACAAGTAATACGATGGGATTTTTTGAAATTCAGCATTTTAAGCGTGAAATTTGCAAAACGAGTTTGTTCGTAAAGTCTTATCCCTTGGACCTATTGATTGCAAATTTTGCATAAACATTATTTAATAGATGTACACTAAGCCTGTAACGAAAAAATTTACAACTGCACTCAAAAATATACAAATTTTACCAGCTTGCATTTCGAACTGTCATGACTCTTTGACGCATGCGTTTTAATTAAGACCTTATACAGTACGCAATGGTGACTTTAAATGTTTCAATAATGCCTTATATTGTTTTTGACTACGCGATCATCTTACGGAGCTCCGTAGATCACCTGAAGTACCTTTTGGACAGATTTCGGCCACGATTTTGTTCGTGTTGTTGTATGTAGGGTATTTAATATCGTTGTTTAGAACATAATAACTAATTATTTAATTTATATTCTATCCAGAACAACCCGAATTACGCTTTCAACTACGCCGTGAACGACCCATCGACGGGGGACAATAAGGCCCAGTGGGAGACCAGGCACGGCGACGTGGTGCAGGGCGAGTACTCGCTAGTCGAGCCCGACGGGAACATACGCTTGGTGCAGTACACCGCCGACGCGGTGCGAGGATTCAACGCAGTGGTGAAGAAGAGCGGGCCCACCATCCACTCTGTGTCTTTGCCTGCTGCGCATGTAGCTGTCGCTCCAGTTATTGAACCCGCACCTATCACCGAAGTAGTGCACGACGTTGCACCTATTGTACCCGTGAAAGAGATTGCACCGATCGCCCCACTCGCTCCTATCGTCCCCATAGATCACGCGCCAGTTCTGACTCCAATCATCGACACAGCCCCCATATTAGCCCCTCTCCCGTACGACCTGCACCTACCGATGCCCCTGCTGCATCTCCCGGAGCCAGGACCCTTGGTCTCCCTCACCGGAACAACGTACGGCTCCAAAGGCAACATCGTCCGAAGATGGACGGCCGGACCGATCTCATTGGACGGCAAAACCCTCACGATTAGAACTAAGAAACATTAGTATATAATGTTTAAATAATGATTTAAACTAACTTCTCCGTGTATATGTAACACTGATAGTTACTCGCGGCGCTAGTGTGTTCTTGCACGTTCTAGCATGTGCAAAAATACACATAGGTCTATAGAAGTTAAGATATATTATAAATAGATTTTTCCGTGTTCGAAACAACTAAACGAAGTGTGTCTGCCATAATTTACGAATATGTATTCATTGTACATAAATATACAACTAATTACATACTTTTTATTTTATTTTAAAACCATTAATACCCAAAATAAGTTACCCTACTACGTCTAATAAGCATTTTACTATTGAAAATTATTAAAGCATAGGTAAATGTGAGTTGCATCATAATCACATAATTTACCATTAGAAGAAAAATAAGGAAAATAATGGTGTCGATTCTGGCACGATTCTCTGACTTAAAACTAAATTTAACATCAGTCCTTCCTTTTCATTATGTATAGAGAATAACAAGGATGCACTGTTGTCAAATTTAAGTTTAGGTTGAGAGAATCATGCCAGAATTGACACCAATGTTAAGCTAAATTCTACCATTATTTTCTAACAATAACAAAATTGTAATATTTTGCATAAGTCCAGTTTAAAACATTGCTCAATTCGTAAATGAATAAAGATGGGACTCGTGTGAGATGGAGCGTGTACATGCTACAATTAAGTACGCCACTCAAGCGTGTGAACCTAACCTAATAACAAGCTAAGGTAAATCGTCAAATGATATCGCAATAGTTTCCGTCATGCAGTGAAGACGTTTAATTGAATCGTTGTTCAGTTTCGAAATTAGTCCCATCTCCTACACAATACTCTTAGTACGAACCAATATCTAATTCGATTATTTGAATTCAATCGCGATACGCATCAAATGTCAAAAATTTAGGTATTGAAGATTTTTAATTCTCGTTACGTCCGCTGTGACGTTATCAAATTTCCATACAAAACTTCTCAACATTTCACGCGTATCAAGATTGTATTAAACTATTCGAATTCGATATTGGTATTACATAAAACGTACAAGTGAATAGAACGTATTTAGTGACAAGCAATGATTGAAAGATGTGATGTCACTTCTAGGTAAAAAGAAATCCAAGACAAAAGTACTGTCCTAGAACACGTGGTTGGAACGAAATTAAATATGATTGACGGTTGTGTCAAAAAAATCTTATACTTTTTTTCGCCCAGCACTCATCCGCCAAGTTCGTAGAGTCCGAAAAGGGGCTTAATATTTTATGTACATGGAAGAAACATCAATTAACTTATTATAAAATCTAAGCATGCTTTGTGCATGTTACATAGTCTGATTTATCTTTTTTGTTTCACCTCTTGTCACCTAATTTACCGTATGTTCAGTTAATAAATAAATAATATATATTACAAGTTGGCAGAAGTCTTATACTCGTCTTCCGTCTGTCTTTTTGACGACCTCCGTGGTCGAGTGGTTAGTACGCAGGGTTTCGTGGTGTCGCTAACTCGAGAGGTCCCGGGTTCGAATCCCGGTGGGGGCAGATGTTTGTGTGATGAATACGAGCATTTATACTCCAGTCATAGATGTTTAATATGTATTTCTATATAAATATACTTATATTCGTACTGTATATGTATTCTATCCGTTATCCTAGTATCCCATAACACAAGCCTTACAGTGCTTACTTTGGGGCTAGGCTAATTGGTGTGAGTGTTGGAAACAGTTATTTATTTAAGAGTACATTAAAAAAAGAAGGGGTTTCAAAGTGGCACTCACCGGATTATTATCTTCGTCGACATCATACTCTTCCCTTTGAACCATCATCAGTTTACCGCTTGCATTTATCACCTGCACAAGAAAAAAACCATTGAGTACTAATGACCATTAAGGTGTAGTTTGAAAATACCTTGTACTCAATCAACGGGGAATATGCATTAGTTTCGAAACAATTGCAAATATTCAATGTCAAAAAAAAATTATAGTGTCTAAAACCATTTTAAAAATAGCCACCTTGCACGGTTATTTTAATCGCTCGCTATTTTGGAACTCTTGGTGTGATGTCACAGTTCATAGCAACAAGCAAACAAGTCGACAGTTGATTAGAGATTAAACAAAAAAAAGTCCTTCGAAGGTAGCTCGACAAAGTACATAAAAAAATCATTACTCTGACGACGCATTCCTGCAAAGGGTGCGAAACGTCAATAAATAAATAAAATCAGTGCATCTAACCCGTTGAAACTTGTTTTATTTAATGAGTGATATGCGTGAAAATCTAAGAAACAAATAAGTTGATTAGAGGTTAGGTGCGCGAGCACTACGCACTCGCACTAGATCTCGTTGACTCGAACATATCTTGTGAACATGGCACAATACATACAAGAGCAATACTTTGACTTCATACTAGCGCCCGAATCGACGCACGTACACAGACAAACGTAATTTCCGCGGCCGCTAACCAATCTTGGCAAGACAAATCTACGCAGTGCCATGTCGCGCGCCGCCGAGTCTGGTAGATGGCCGAGGTAGGTTAGCTGCGCCGCGCCGCCCGCACCGTCTGCCTCCGTTTCGATTCCGTACCGTGGCAATAGTAACTATACACATACAATAAAAATCGACACTTATCTATTTTACATTTTGTAAGGACCAACCCTAGCGCTCCGTTCAGTCGTAGGTATCTATTTCAAGAAAATGGCCGAGTTACGCTACTGCTCTTGTATGTATTGTGAACTTGGCGTTTGTTTGGTGATTAGTTGTTATGGAATTCTAAGTCACAACCGCTATGTCGCGTTTCAAATATTTGAATTTCCCACAGGTTTTTGCACTTTTAAATAATTAATTAATATCTTGCTAAAAACCAATTTTAGTAAAAAATATTGATGGAGGGACAATTTAAAAGTAATAGAGTTTATATTAAAAAATAAGCTTTATTTGAATAATTCATGCATAATTCCTGTTGAGATTTTTGAGAACATGTCAAGGTACGGCCAACAAGAAGCGAAGCAAAAGTTCATTGACCTTAGACTAGACTTTGGAACTGACAGTTTAATAACTATCTTTTTCATTTATTCCCTTATATATGACATTAGGTCTCGTTAGGTCATGTCACGTCATCGCCGAGGCGCTGAGTTCGTCAACATTCGGACAACCATTTTATAATAAAAAATAATGACATATTTTCATTTCGTTTCGTATTTCTCCGATACATTTTCGTTTTGTTTTTTTGAACTGTTTTGATTTTCGGTTTTGAAAATTTGAATTAATGTTATTTTTCGTTGTTATTTCATTTTTGTTAAGTTTTGAATGTAGTAATTATTTGGTATTAAGTGTTTCATAAATAAAATGTTTTTTTAAAACACGTAGCCATCTTTGCAAGGTTATTAACCTTTCATCGACTTTGTTTACATTTTGTATCACTTCTCGTTGCCGTACTTTAGTTAAGTAGTACGGTAGACTATGACATGAGGTACTTTGTATAGATTTTTTAGGGCGAAGTCATACAGCAGGTATTAAACTTCGTCCATAGACAATGACAACATAATATACGATTTGACCAAGGTTGCAAATTATCAAGATAATTATTTGAATGGATAATTAATTTATGCGTAGCAAAGAAAGCATTTTTGTATTTTTAAATTAAAATTGGTATTGAAAGTCTATGTAATTAATGTTTTTTTTTCTTAATCATACTATTATTCTTACTGCCTGCCTTTTGCCTTTTAGGATTTATTTTTATCTCAAATTTTTGGCCAATTAAGCCAATGGGCTATCATCTTACTGTATTTATGCTTTGGTATTTATGTCGGGTTCTGGTTGTGTGCTCTCTATCATTGGCACATGTTATTATCCTGATAATATCCAGTGCAACCCTGGATAAGACCAATGACCTTTCTTAATTTCTGGCCAATAAAGTCAATGTGATAACATCTTACTGTATTTATGCCTGGTTTTGCTTTTATGATTTCTATCATTATCACACGTTATTATCCTTTTAATTATCTAGTGCAACCCTGGATTAGACCAATGACCTTATCAAATTTTTGGCCAATAAAGTCAATGTGATAACATTTTACTGTATTTATGCCTGGTTTTGCTTGTGTGATTTCTATCATTATCACACGTTATTATCCTTTTAATTATCCAGTGCAACCCTGGATTAGACCAATGACCTTATCAAATTTTTGGCCAATAAAGACAATGTGATAACTTCTTACTGTATTTATGCCTGGTTTTGCTTGTGTGATTTCTATCATTATCACACGTTATTATCCTTTTAATTATCCAGTGCAACCCTGGATTAGAACAATGACCTTATCAAATTTTTGGCCAATAAAGTCAATGTGATAACATCTTACTGTATTTATGCCTGGTTTTGCTTGTATGATTCCTATCATTATCACACGTTATTATCCTTTTAATTATCTAGTGCAACCCTGGATAAGACCAATGACCTTTATTAATTTCTGGTCAATAAAGTCAATGTGATAACATCTTACTGTATTTATGCCTGGTTTTGCTTTTGTGATTTCTATCATTATCACACGTTATTATCCTTTTAATTATCCAGTGAAACCCTGGATTACACCAACGACCTTATCAAATTTTTGGCCAGTAAAGTCAATGTGATAACATCTTACTGTATTTATGCCTGGTTTTGCTTGTGTGATTTCTATCATTATCACACGTTATTATCCTTTTAATTATCCAGTGAAACCCTGGATTACACCAACGACCTTATCAAATTTTTGGCTAGTAAAGTCAATGTGATAACATCTTACTGTATTTATGCCTGGTTTTGCTTGTGTGTTTTCTATCATTATCGCACGTTATTATACTTTTAATTATCCAGTAGTGTTGCCCAAATTCAGTCTTGGTCTTTTTCTTGCATTTTTGCAAGACCAAGACTAAGAACAAGACCGCGTATTTTTAGCAAGACCAAGACCCAGACTGACCGTGCAAGACTTGAGCAAGATCAAGACTAATCCGGCAAGACTCTTGGGTCTTGCAGCTAGGATTTAGCGCTATTTCACAGAGTAGTTAGGTATAACAGCTTAGGAATTCTATGAGACGCAAAAAACTGTATCAAAGAATATGAAAAACTTGACCTATGCACATTACGACTAATAACATAAACATACATAGCGGATAAAAAAATATCCATTAAAATCAAACAAGAGTGCATGCATAGTTTTGTTTTAACCATCGGCACTTTGATAATGCGGCATCAAAGGTTTTGTACTGACTTCTCAAAGAAATTTGCCGCTTTTCTGAAGTACATGGTGATGATACACGCGCCGGCGGCTTCTATTGAAATCACATACAACAATCGTTGCCGCCGCGCCGAAATCACAACATTTGACACTATTTATTTTGATTGCCGCCACAGGGCCTAGGTATATTCATGCAAAATTCTAATTTCGTGTCGTGCCGTCCCACTCACGCTAATACTTTTTAATATATGAGCGAGCGAGACGGTACGACACGAACTTCGTTTTTCGAATTTTAGAGTACAGGTGTTCCAAAGAATAAATAAGTTTCATAGTGCTTAGAATGGAAACGAATACATTATACTGATCACGCAAGTAGTATTATGATTAGATAATGGTAAGGATAGGTAGTAGATGCCATAATAATTTATTCTAGTAAGTATATATTATAATATTGATTATATGGGTTTAAACTAATTACGTATGTATATATATATATATTAATACATTTAGCCAAAATATTTCTTAAATTTCTTAAGTTTTTACAAGAAAAAATAGTTAAAAGTGGTCAAATATCACCCGTTTGATAAATATTGTAGCCACTTTTAATTAAACTTGAAACATGTAAAAAAAACTACAAAACTAATAAAATAATATAAAAAGCGTACCTACATATGAAATAAAAGTTCTTTAAAATACAGTAAAGTTATTGTATTTAATTTGTATTTTACATGCACATGTAAGCTTATAAAGCGTAAATGTTTATTAAGAAACAGTTACTCCCATGGAAAACGGCATATAGCTCAATTGATAACCATGTGGCTTTGATTTTTCGAATTTCTTATCAAATCTTCAGACATTAATTAATCTGATTGGTCTTTACTATGGCTATGTTAATTCAAGCTCACAATGTTCCAATTCTAATACGTTTTTCTAAGATCTAAAGTAAACTTTAATAAATAACAATAGTCTAATAGGTAATTGCAAGACTTGCAAGACTCTTGCTGCAAGACCAAGACCAAGACTGGGAGCGCAAGACTAAGACCAAGACCAGGAGTATTGGCACAAGACCCAGACCAAGACTGGCTAAGTCTCGTCTTGTTCTTGCATTTGGGCAACACTATTATCCAGTGCCACCCTGGATTAGACCAATGACCTTCTCTAATTTCTGGCCAATAAAGTCAAAGTTATGCCTGGTTTTGCTTGTGTGATTTCTATCATTATCACACGTTATTATCCTTTTAATTATCCAGTGCAACCCTGGATAAGATCAATGACCTTCTCTAATTTCTGGCCGATAAAGTAAATGTGATAACATCTAACTGTATTTATGCCTGGTTTTGCTTGTGTGATTTCTATCATTGTCACACGTTATTTTCCTGATAATATCCAGTACAACCTTGGGTTTGACCAACAATATTATTCCACTTTATACTACCTTCGTTTAAAAACAACACTGAGAGAAAAAATATTACAAAGGATGATGTAGGCACTTTCATTTATTTTTATTCATCTTATTTGATAATGAATTGCTTTATCGACTTCAGTTTGTGTGTCAAATCTTTTAAATACTAATAGTAGTTTTCCCATGTTATTTAAAAGATTTTAAAACTCATGTAAAAAATATAGAACAATATGTTTCAGAGAGAGCTATTCATACAACAATATCAACTTAACTTTGAGAATATATGTGCCTTTGTGGAAATATAGCACTACCAAACTCAGACGCAGCAAAGTCGATGTTTGATATGGTTTTCGCTAGTAAGAATAGCTCGCCCTCTCCAATGTTTTAAATTAAATTAGTTGTGTATTTTTTGGTTAGGGTACGATGGGGCTTGCATACTCAAAGCCTCTAAATAAATAAAGAAAAAAAATGTTTCAGGAGCATTTGGGTGGATACTCACCAGTGAATCAGGCGCACGCGGGGCGGGGTAGGAGGCGCGCAGGCGGGGCGGCGCCTGCAGTCGGCACAGCGACACACTCACTACACACGCCGTGTGCGACAACGCGGACACGTCTACCGCTTGTACGCAACGCATCTCTACGCCACCTACGCATAATACGATACGATTGTCAAATTATTTGAACACAGTAATAAAAAAACAGGAAAGGTGCGAAGGGTTCCGTACAGCAAACCGCGAAAGGAAAAATCAATTGTTTGTTTACGTCACAACTTAAGAACTACGTTATGAGTCGGCCTTTTCAGTATTTGTTGACTTAATCCAGAAAATGGGTAATCGTATACCACAAATTTACATTCAATTTGTTTTCGATTTTGATATAGACCCCGTAATAAAAATGGTCTAAAATTGACACCTTTAACGGTCCCCCATTTCTTTATTATAATTATTATGATCTTCATCCAGTACCAATAGACAAGATGTGTCACATGCTGGGGTAAAAAGGAAAAACAATATTTTCGTCTTTTTTTCATGTATTGAACCCCCTATGAAAAATAATTTAATTGCATTTTCAACAAAATATTTGGCTCAAGGCAAGCATTCTACATTAAATACCAAAATTTCAGTTCTATAACTCATAATGTTTACGATCTAGAGACCCATAACATACTGACACACGAGCAGACAGACGACAGTGACGAGAGTGTCCGCCGAACACTACCAGCTGACCGTACTATAAATATATCCAGCACGAACACAGATGATTGCACTCGTACTGTAATGGCGTTTTAAAGACCTCCCCCCTCCCTCCCAAAACGGATCAGTAGAATCAGCCTCGACTCACCGCTATCGATCGTCGTGAGCTCGTATATAGTGACTAGCGCGTCTCCTCCGAATACTACCAGCTGATCGTCCAATATATCCAACACGAACACAGGTGATTGCACTCGTACTGTGGTGGGGCATTTAAGACCTCCCCCCTCCCCCGCTAAACGGGTCACATTAGAATCAGCCTCGACTCAACGCTATCGATCGTGGTGAGCTCCTATATAGTGACGAGCACGTCTCCCCCTTCCCCCAACATGACCAGCTGACCGTCCAATATATTCAGCAATAACACCGGTGATTGCACTACTCGTATTGTGATGGCGCTTTAAAGACCTCCCCCCCCCTCTCCTCACCCCTTTAACGGGACACATAGTATAATCAGTCTCGACTCACCGCTATCGATCGTCGTGAGCTCGTATATAGTGACAAGCGCGTCTCCCCCGAACACTACCAGCTGATCGTCCAATATATCTAGTACGAATACAAGTGATTGCACTCGTACTGTGATGGCGCTTTAAAGACCTCCCCCCCTCCTAAGGGGTCATCCATAAATTACGTCACACGAATTTCATGTCTTTTTTGCCCCTCCCCCCGTCCTTGTCACAGCTGGTCACATTTGTAAGACTCCCCCCCTCCCTAGTGTGACGTCACATATTTTGCAAATTTACATTTAGAAATCATTGAATGAAAACAGCGGTTCTGTAATCAGTTTTATTTCCATTTAAATTGTTTTTTCATTATTATTATAATCAAATCAAACAATTAACAAAACATAAAATATTAATAGCATTATAATTAAATTAAAGATACAAACTTAATAATCTTGAGTCCATGGACATTAATCCCACTCCTTTAAATTATTTATAACTGGCATAGCACCACTTTGTTCTCGTTTGGGTTGTTAATGCTTTCGTAAAGTAATAGTTTCAACACTTAGATTTTAATATATTTTGAAATGTGACGTCACGAAATTTAGGACCCCTCCCACCCCTTGTCACACGATGTCACATTTCGTCGACCCCCTCCCTACCCCTTAAAGTGTGACGTAATTTATGGATGGCCCCTAAACAGGCCACGTAGTAGAATCAGCCTCGACTCACCGCTATCCATCGTCGTGAGCTCGTATATAGTGACGAGGGCGTCTCCCCCAAACACTACCAGCTGATCGTCCAATATATCCAGCACGAATACAGGTGATTGCACTCGGACAATGGTGGCGCATTTGTTGTCCAGTTTAGCGTCGCGCGGATAGAAACGAATCTCGTCGTGACCATCCAGTATACTGTAGCATCCTGGGAGCAATCGAAAAAAAGACTTACAAGAGAGAAAAAGGGCTGCATTAAAAATCAACGCTCTAAGTGCAACTGTTTTGACCCTGACGTTTCAATTTTGACATAAAATGTATAGAGCTTCTGTCAAAATTGTCATTTGTTTCACCTGGAGCGTAGGTATTGAGCGCAGCCCAGAAATATAATGCCAGTGCGAGAAACTGCACCAGCACTGGCTTCATTTTTGGTGCAGACTAAAGGTTTGGGTTTGTGGCTTGTACTAACATTATCAAAAAACTATATAAAACTAGCAAACCCGGCAGAAGTAGTCATGCATGAAAACAAACATATAATCCTAAAACCCAAATACAGCGCAATCTACAGCGAAAGTTGTAAGTTAAGTTTTCTTAAATTTTATTATTTTCCTTCTACAAAGTATTTGACAAACTAAAAAGGAAGATGTATGGAATCGATAACAACTGTATTTCCCTTGATTACGGAAATAGTTATTATTTTTTACATATTTAGATTAGATTCTATTATCAAGCATTTTTTTCTAAAAGAAATATAATTTCGTACCTATAACAATGTAATCAGTCCACCAAAGCATTCCTCCAGTAACTACGAAATCCTTCTCTTGAGCCTCGTTCCCAAACAGTTTCCATCGACGCGACGCGCAGCTATAATGAGCCAGTCCAGTGCGACCCGCCACACATACGTTCATGCCGTCCTCGTCTATCGCACTGAACTGAGCGAGGCAGAAACATATTATATTTATTTAAAAAAAATCAAGGGTCGTTTGATTTTTAAAAGCAGTAAAAATTAAAAAAATAATACCACTTCATCTGACGATAAATGTACCTATTATCTAAATCATTAATTAAGTAAATCAAAAAAAAACAATAAAATAAGTTGTTAATAGGGCGAAAAATATTTATACGGGTAATTGAAAAAAAATACGGACTTACAAAATTTTATAACAAGCGAGCAATTACAGGTATTAAATACTGCACCAAAACAAAAGCAAAACAAACGAAACAATAACCAAAACACTAAAAAAATTAACATACCCTCAAAGGCCAATTAGTAGCTATGTACGTCGCGGGCAGAGGTAAAACTATCCACTGTTTCCTGCACTCGTTGTCGTCAACGAATTCCCTGTATTTTGTACTATTATCATATTCCAAGTTAGGTTGGTCGTTGCCGTTCTCCGAAGCGTAGGTGTCGGACGAAGAGTCTATAATGGATATCTTGGTCCTTCGAGTCAAGTTATCCTCGAGATTGACGTATAGTTTGTCGTCTGCTTGGAGGTAGAGATGCCTTTGATTGCTCTAAGGAAATAAGAAAATAGAAATTGCAATTTAAACCATATCTATCATATAAAATTCTCGTGTCACGGTGTGCGTAATTGAATTACTCCGAAACGGCTCCACCGATTTTCGTGAAATTTTATATGCATATTCAGTAGGTCTGAGAATTGAAAATTTATTTTTCATCCCCCTAAATGCTAACCCTGAACATTTTCTTTTGACATTTTTTTTGTTTTTTTTTATGATACATCATACAAAAATACATACAACCCTAAATTTTCACCCTTCTACCACCAACCCCTATTTTTTTATGGTGGTACGAAGTTCGCTGGGACAGTTAGTATACCTATATATTTCAAATGGTAATTTGCAGTAAAATTTTGTGCTAATCATCATCATCATGATCAGCCTATTAATGTCTCCGCTGCTGGGGCACAGGCCTTCCCTATGTATGGCATAGGAAGATAGGGCCGTGACCCACCACGCGGCCCCAGTGAGGATTGGTGAGTGGTAACGACTGCAGATGCAGCCGAGACACGGAGGAGCTCGAGATAGTGACAATGACCGACCACTAGGAAAGTTGCTTAGCTTCAGCGATCGCAGCCGAACGCGCTAACCACCTGCACCATCGAGCTTCTCAATCGTAACTTAATTGGAATGAAATCTAAAATATCTGACCTTTATCTTCACGCATCTTTTATTGTTGAAATTACTCTTGTAAATATATCTAGGTAAAACAAAAATATAAGCTCTCTATAAGCATTATGACCTTCTCAATACTAATATCAAAGTAATGCGACATGAAGAGTATGAGAATCGAAGAAATGTTATTTAAAATAAAATTTGATGAAAGATATTGGTACTACTTACCATACAAGGATTAACACTAAGAGGACTTTTCACGAAGTCGAGTTGCAACAAATTTGAACTAGCATCCCCTTCCACCTTCACCATCCACAGCTGGTAGCCTTCCGTAGCCCATTCCTGCTTGTTATAAGGAAAATTATGAATAAATAATTTCTATATCAGTGTATGATCATCGTAATGGAAAGATACCATTATGACCTGCAATTCCTGGTTCGCACGATGTTGAAAACTCTTTAATACAGTCTCTAAATTCAACTCTACAATATTATTGTTATTTAAATATCTAATATGAACGCACACAGAAATGAAAAAAAGCTTTACTAACTAACGTTTTGTCTCTTAATATTTTTTGTAGTAAGAGATTGAACCTGGTTTCAAATATTCATCCAACAATTTTAATGTCTTTTTTTCTTACAGTCAACTCGAGTGTACTGTTTTCATTTTCTATTTCTATTTTAAAATTGTATTTGAATCAAAAAGATCATAAGATAATAGGGTATTTGACAGTATTAAAAATAAAGTGCCAATTGTTAGCATCTGTGTTTAGAATGAATATTGGCAGGGGTTTTTACTATTTTTACAAAAAAAATATTCATAGTTTATCTAAAAACCCACGAGAACGATAATAGCTTTCTTATCTATTGTCACGTGACCCTAAACGCTTGGGATTGGCGGAGCCTAAAATAACGTCACACGCAAGTAAACTTCCGGTTAAAGTGGCATTACATTGTATCGTTTGACGTTTTAATAACAGTCGTGTGACGTCACACACTAATAAGACGCCATATTGTCCAAAAAACGGTAACTTGAAAATGGAGTTTGTGATTTGGTTATTTTTACTGAAATACACAACAGAATGATGAATATCTAATTATTATTATTAATATAATTTTACGGACTCCATAAACATTAGTCAATAACGTAAGATTGTTTTTTAAAACTTGTCAAATACCCTATTAAGACTGTGAATGTACTGATATCCTTTTACTACAGGGATTGGGTGTGTAGTGCGCACAAACACAGGGTCGGGCGGAATAGAGTTATTTTTGTCAGGCACACGTTGACGTTACGTTTACATATCAACGATATTTAATACCCTAGATACAACGTCACGAACAAAATCGTGGGCGAAAGCTGTCCAAAATGTACCTTGAACGATCTACGGCGCTCTGTAGGTGATCGCGTAGTCAAAACAATATAAGGTATTATTTATTAAGCATTCAGTCACCATTAATGCGTAGTAAATTTGGTCTAAATTTAAATGCATGCGTCAAAGAGTTATGACAGTTCGAAATGCAAGCTCGTAAATTTTTACGACTTCTTGCTATAAGCCTTCCGCTTATACATAAAGACTTTATTTCTATGGCTCTACATCGTTATTCTAAATGCGCTGTTAGTAATATAGCAAGTACGGAGCGCGAGGAAAGGAGACGGCTATGCAACTGATCATGCATTGAAATATCACAAATATTTTATGTTAAATCACTTAATAATAAGTATTAGAACATATTTTGCTTTGAATGCATTAAATTAACAAACATTGATTTGATACCTGTCAAAAAACGACACTAAACGTACTATAAGTATTTTTTTAACATTTTTTCACGGAGCTAAGCAGCATGTTCACTCTTAAAGGTTCCGCGTTTCACTGTGAACCAAGAAGTGCTTGAGTCACGTTCAAGCACTTCTTGATTGGGACAAATTTAGAGCGCACGGGGTATTAAATATCGTTGTTACATATATTCTCATCTCACACAGTTTCAAGCAACATTTTTTCGCGAGTATACTGCTATATTTAGGTAATTATTTTCGAGGAGCAGGAGCCGTCCTTCTGGCTACTTTTTATTTTGTTGTAGTGTGTATTGTATTGCGCCTGCTTACGGTATGTGTCGTAATTGGCATTTTTGTGTACTATTGTGTCGAGGTTTGAGCGTCGGGGAGAGCAATTGTATATGGGTTTCCGCAAGAACCTGGGGCGCCCCAGGTCCTGGCTGAGTCCGTAGTCCCACGCCAGGGAGCTGTCCACCTGAAACAATGTCTTCCCAGTATGATGACCAGATTGGCCACCACCAGGGGGTTGTGCAGTCCTAGGTCCTGGCTGAGTCCGCAGTCCCACGCCAGAGAGCTGTCCAACTAGAACAATGTCTTCCCAGTATACTGACCAGACTGTCCACCACCAGGAGGTTGTGCCGCCCCAGGTCCTGGCTGAGTCTGTAGTCCCACGCCAGGGAGCTTTACACCCGGAACAATGTCTTCCCAGTATACTGACCAGACTGGTCACCACCAGGAGGTTGTGCCGCCCCAGGTCCTGGCTGAGTCCGCAGTCCCACGCCAGAGATCTGTCCACCTAGAACAATGTCTTCCCAGTATACTGACCAGACTGGCCACCACCAGGAGGTTGTGCCGCCCCAGGTCCTGGCTGAGTCCGTAGTCCCACGACAGGGAGCTCTACACCTGGAACAATGTCTTCCCAGTATACTGACCAGACTGGCCACCACCAGGTTGGTTATAGTGCCCCAGGTCCTGGCCGAGTCCGCAGTCCCACACCAAGGAGCTGTTCACCTGAAACAATGTCTTCCCAGTATACTGACCAGACTTGCCACCACCAGGGGATTGTGCCGCCCCAGGTCCTGGCTGAGTCCGTAGTCCCACGCCAGGGAGCACATCAACAGAGCACCAAACGTGCTCCATACAGAGACCCCGCCCCGTTCCCAACTGACGGCCACTGCGCGACCGTCTGCTGTCCATCTGAAATAAAGTAGACACGAATATGATTTCATTTCAATATTCATTATTCAGTTCAGGCCTTTACAAGCACATGAGAAAGTCGACAGCTACGCCATTGGTTCGTATATCTACGACGGGAGACCTTGTACTTATACTGATGATAAGAACATCAATATTTGTAGCAGCCAATTCATAACCAAAAATTTAGATCTGCAATAGGGATGATGATGGGGTAAAGTAAACGAAATTCTATTTAGACCATCTGTTAGATTATCAAAAAATAATGGACACTCATGTTTTCTTACGGCAATCAACCAAAACATAACAAAGATAAAGCGCGTCATAGTTCGTGTCGTCACTTCTAAGTAAAAAATGTAGCAAGGCGTGATGTCATGCGACATTTGAAATCAATATAACTCTGTATGTTTTAAATTTGTGAAAAAAATAAAGAATACTTTTCCAATATTTTTTTAATAACATACCTGATAGACGACGAAAAGTCATCCTTTCTTTTGTTAATAACTAAAATAAAAATGACTTTTCTACAGATGAAAAGCCAGATTGAACCATGACCTACACCACACGGGTTTATTGGTAGGTACTAATGACTGCAGATATAATAGGGTATTTGACAGGTTTTAGAAAACGATCTCACGTCATTTACTTATGTTTATGGAGTCCATGAAGCGAATAATTTTAATTGTTGTGTAATTAAAGAAAAAATATTTTTTTTTTTTCAAGTTGCCGCAATAACGTTTCTCTGGACATCAGAATCAGAATCAGAATTTTATTTGTGAAACATAGGTTAGTATACATGGTATATAAAATTTTTGTTAGTATCACTACATTTCCACCTTAATTAAGGTATACAAATAGATATGGACCTATGAAAGAAGTACTATTATTTTTACATTGGAATCACAATTTATGAATATAATTTGAAATTGTCTATTGTTACATGCATGTCAAAGTAGATTATAAATTAATTATAAATTCGATAAGCCATAAAGTTGTCATACTAATAGTCAAAATTTTAATTGAAAAATAAGCAAAATGTCCAAAATAGCAATAAATACACATTTCTTAACTGAATTGACAATTTTAATATGTCTAAATTTTATAATAGAGAACTGTTTTTATAAAAGACATGTCCGATTTAATTACAAGATTTGACATTTAAAAATTCCTCAACTGTATAGTAGGCTTTTTCAACTAATAATGCTAACAGACGCTTCTTAAAAGTCTTTATCGGTAGTAAGACAACACGGAACCTTGTTGAATATTCTGTCAGCCATCCCAAAGAAGCTACTACTAACATGTACGGTTTTAAATGAAGGAGCGCAAATCCTATTCCAGTGACGATGATTGCTATCTGGGTTCCTTTCTGAGAGTGTTGGAAACAGAGAATTGTTACATAACACAAAAACAGCTACTTCCTAAATGTACAGCGAAGGCAGAGTCAGGATTTTCATGCTTATGAAAAATGGTTTGCAGCTATCCGTCGATTTGAGGCAATTTATCGCGTAGGTCCCACATTATGTGTCTCACTACTGTGTGACGTTACACTACTGTCATTAAAACGTCAAACGATATAATGTAATGTAATTTTGACCGGAAGTATACTAGCGTGTGACGTCATTTGAGTCTTCGTCAATCCCAGGCATTTTCGATCACATGACTATAGAACAAAAGCATCATTACTATTTAACGACTTTTTAGAGAATTTATTAATTATTTGTTCTCTCAGAATAGTAAAATCGCTGCTAATATTCATGTTAAATACAGATACCTACAATTGGTACTTTTTTCTTTATACTGTCAAATAGCCTATTGAACTAATTCATCATCATCATAACACTATTAATACATTAACGGCCCGTTTCACTAATGAAACTCCAGTGAGAGGTAGGTCTACTAAGAGCTTTGTTGACAAGATAATTATATTATCTCTTATCTATTAGACAAGTCCGTCCGTCCGTCCGTCTGTCTGTGGTGCTGTTTCAGCGGCCAAACCGTAAGAGATAGATAAAGAGAATGTTTAAGTTATAAGTTAAGAATAGTCTGATAAGACTACAAACCGGATTTGAGTAACGTAGCACTTCCGGTTTTCGAGAAATCACGAATTTCAAACGAAACCACACAAAATCTCCGAAGTTCTCAATTATTTAAATACATTTTTTTTTTAAATCAGGTTTTGGTGATCATTTGGTTCACTGGTTTGCTAGTTAAGACTATAATAACAACTTTAAGAGAGTCATAGCATAGCGAATTGTTCGCTTAAATTGGAGCGCCCGCCTGGGGAAGTCACGTCCACCCTTTGATTATTTACGCTCTAGATAGAGCGTTACTTAGTAAACACTGCGATAAAAACAGACCATGTTTTAAATTCTTTCTATTATTGTCTCTGCACGTTCTTTCCGGTTGACTGGTAGAGAATGCCATGCTGGCATTAAATCCGCCATATGTAATGTAAAGGCATTAAAGATTAAATAAATAAATATATACTTGTGTGCGTGACACGCAAAACAAAACACGTGAATATGTATAATATACTCGCGAAATGTCAGCAAAATGTCATTATTTTTGTCTCGGTGCGCATGCGTTAGATACCAGGTTAGGCCACATTCCCCAAAAAAGTGGGTAAACTTAATCAAATAAAAATAAGTTTATAGTTTACACACATAAAAATTATAGACTTTGATTAGGCAACGGTGCGAGTGATATTTTTTTTTGTCTCGCAAGCGTCTATAGGCTATGGTGGCCGAATCATATATCTTCACGCTGTATCTCAAGCCGAATATGTAATAAGAACCGGGTATTAGGGGTGAGTCCTCAAACCAGGATTACCTCAAACACTTTACTGGTCCAGGATCGCCAGGAAAGTCTTTAGAACTTAGCACCATAGTGTGTGACAGCTCCAGACCTCCAGTCGCTTCGTCTATCGTGAAAACATCAATTTGAGAACTGCAACAAACAATGAAAAACAATTTCATAAAGGTAAAACTCTATAAAAGAAATGTGTTTTATTATGACCGTTATACATACTTTTTCCTACCGATTGCGATTAATCTAAACTTGTGGTTGACTCGAACACAAGTTGCGTCGTCGATGCCAGTCGCCCATACGCCTTGTACAGCCTAAAAAGAATAATATGAGCAAAATGTCATTTATTCTATAATTGGTAAGAAATAGACAGTTTTATAGCCCAATTATTTCTTTATATCCTTCCTCAAAATTTTATTTAAAATATGTATTTCATAAAACCGCATCAAAATCCATAATAAATAAAAATAACAGGAACATCACACAAAATGAAATAAAAAATATCACACCACATTACACAAACACTTCGTAGCAAGAATACTGGGTTATGAAAAAAAAGCATTAGGGTGTTCCCAGACCAATCGGCATCGCTCAACGTCGATCAAAGTTCACCAACTAGTCTGAGGCCCGAGTAAGATTTTTTTACAGCTCTGCAATGTATCGCCATCGTCAAATTTTGTAAGGAAAAAGCTAGTTTGTTCTTACGGCCGATAGGGGCTGGTCCGCTGCTTAATTTTTATAGAAACTTTGACGATGCGATACGTTACGGAGCTGTCAAAAATTTCGTGCTTGGGCTTCTGTTAGCTTTGTTTGATCGACGGATACCGTTCGCCTAACTAATCGTTCGATTGCCAGTCGATGCCATCGGTCAACGTCAATCGAAGTTGATTGTTAAAATTCGGAGCAGACAGCGCGAGTCACGGATAACCAACAGCTCGACCGACGTCGACTAATCCATTCTACCATCGATCGATTGTTCTGGTAACACCCTAACGCAAGATATTACTATCAAGCTATCACTTGGGTGCAATTAGTAAAATATTTTGAAAGGTGTGGAATCTTAGCAACCTACAATATGGGGTTTCAATTTTATTACGAGGCAATCACTAAACACAAAATCTTACCCTCAAATCTGTATTCCACAATATCTGAGATATGAAAAATAAATTTATTTTGTGAATGATAAATGGTTGTACCATCTTTATTAAAACTATATGGTGTACCTATCCCTTAGAGAGAGAATGTCAGATCATTGCACTACCTTCAAAAACCTCCGTATTAGATCAGTATGTAAATATAGAGCTGGCGGGGAAAATGTTTGTATGATGAATACGCGCATTTGTATCTAAGACGTGGCAGGTTGGTATTAAAGATTTGAAATATCAATTCCTATAGCTATAATTATAGATATGTAATTAATTAAGCAAGTCAGTACAATTTTGCTTTTTATAAATAATTTATCTAACACAACAGCCCACATTTTTACAAGATGGAAACTCGTCCATGGTCTAAAATGTTTTAAGGGTGGGCCAATGTTATTTTATATTATACTAGCTGTCCCAGCGAATTTCGTACCGCCATAAAAAAATAGGGGTTGGTGGTAAGGGTGAAAATTAAGGGTTGTATGTATTTGTTGTGTATGAAGTATCAGAAAAAAAAATTAAAAACTTTTTTTTTATAATTGAAAAAAAAAAATTAGGGGTGGATTACCCTTAACATTTAGGGGGATGAAAAATATATGTTGTCCGATTCTCAGACAAACACCGCGACACAAGAATTTTATATATAAGATTGAACTAGAAAACCGAGTAAAAAAGATTTAAAATCCACGCAAAAAGGCTGCAAGAGGTAAAATAATTGGCATCGACTTTGTAACCAGACTAACAGTCACACTCAGAAACGTGAATTAAGTTAGTGATGTCTCTTTCTTTGCAGGTTTTGCAATGAAATTAGAATGAGACAGCGTGTGAATTAGAATGACATTAATTTTATTTCACATCTCCCAGTGCCGCTAAAACACATACCTTTTTACCACAAAGAAGTTAGACATGAGTTCGACAAGAGTTTAAGACAAAAAACTCATACAATATTTTCTTAAACTAGGTCTGAAACCATGTCTAACCTTTTTGTAGTAAGACCGATATTTAGTTTCACTTACATTTGGGTCAAACTTGAGGTTAGGAGCGGTGAGATAAGCTGCGCGTCCGTCGTTCAGCGTTATACCGAATCCACATACAAGTGGCGAGTATTCTATGTCGTTGACGTGAGTGTTATCCTCTAGAATGGGCTCAGCTGAAAACATTTGTTCAATTTAAATGCTCTGTAATATTAGAGATGATGTTTTAGTTATGAAGCTTATTGCTGAATTAATAAGGCCTCTTAGAAATCCCACAAACATGTGAAACTAAGTCGTGTTTGCTGAATTTAATGCTAAACATCGTAGATACCGAAATTAAGCAATTCAGAAGTCCTAACTGAAGTAATAAACCATAAAAGTTTAAATTAAATTTAGTTACTGAAAAGCGAATCTACTAACAAACTATCCAATTGATATGTACCTTTTGATACTTGTTGATTGATGGAAAATGGTATACGACCTAAATCGAGGCAATAGTCTCTGTTTTGTGTGCCATCCCACCGATACCGCAGAAGATGAGCACGAGTCGTACACACTAAGATTTCTGTGCCCGAAATACAACACATCCGTGTTATTTGCCCATCCCATACTAACACCTCTTGAAACTGAAAAAAAATATAAAATAATTAAAACATTTAAAAGTTTATGTTGATGAGTAACAGTAAGGTTTGATACATATTAGGTGTGGCTTCCTGTGGGCTATGCATCTAATTAATAATGAGTTAAGAGCAGATCCTTCGAAATGGAGTGTTGTTTTGGGAAAGCAACTTAATCCTTACACAAGATAGCAGTGAAATAATATTAACTTTTGATCCCAAACCTCCACAAGATAGTGTTACGGTAAGTAACTCACAAGAGATACTCTGTCGATGCAAGTGTTTAACGACTATGGTGGCTGCTGTCAGAATAGTAATTTGCTTGTTCACTATACTTTCAAAATGAAAATAAACGAGGATAATGATACACTAGAAATGAGTTTTACAAATTTGGTATGCACCATTCTTCAAGTTGAGAAAATTAAAATTTATATATATTCTTATACTGTGAAATGGGTGGGTCTGTATTTGTTTTGAAAATACGTATTTTGTTCTATGATATCTCATCCCAGTTTCTCACTCATCACTTATCAACCCATTCAATTATTTTAAGATATTTTCTTAATCCAACCCAGTGTTTCTTACTCATCGTAAGGCAAATATTATCGAAAACTAGAATAATGTTGAATATTTTTTCCGAATAAAATTTTCCCATATTAAATAGAAATACTCTTCCATTTGTAAAAATTAAATATGCATATTATTCAATAAAAAATGGTATAATCTAATGTCTTTTGAAAAAACATAAAAAAGTTAAGAAAAAAACTATAATATTGTAATTATAAAATATTATATAAGTTATATTATAATTAATTAATTGGATGAGACTTCATAGGATGAATACATAACAACCAGCAGAAACCAGCTAAAAAAATTAACTGGCTGCTTAAATAAAAAGTGTTTCTATTCATTTATCATAACATGAAACATAACTCACCAATTTAATTTTTAGTGACGGTATCACTTCCTTGACAAATAGTTCGGCAGAATCCCTCCTAAGGCTGGCAGTGGGTGGGTCAGACTGCTGATAAGCTGTCTGCTCACTCAGCCCTTCAACATTGTATAGAATCAAATGACCTTCACATGTCTGTAACAAAAAATTTTTTTTCACTTAGGTACACTGACAGACTATTTACAATGTAAATATATAATTATAAATTATTATCTGAAAACATTGAAGTGAGCTTGAATTGTTTGATAAAAATAACATTCCCTGCATACATTAAACAACATATGAAAAACAAACCTGTTAATGTAAGAAATATAAAATTTTCAAATTAGTTGTGTATGAATCTTTTAAACATTACCAAAATAAAATATACACTACATACTGAAATACATATCATTGAAGAATCTGGTTTCCATTCTACTCCAACATTGATACCCAGCCTCTGGATCGATTCAGGACTCCTCTTATGGTACACTACAGGAACCGACGGCTGAAAAACAACAATGTTTACATACTCAATGTTCCAATTGAGGTCATTATTATTATTACATTGCTTCATGCCACATATCTCGCGCTGCAATGATAGAGCATCAAAACCTAAAATAGGTAACCATTGTGAGTTCACCATTGGTTATTTAAATATGTAGACTACGTAATTATAAGTACCTTGCAATACCACACCACGAGGCAGTCATCACTAAGAGAAGCAAAAAGTATTTTGTCCCTATTAGACACAATTTGTTTGATAATTTGATTATCAGCACCCACATTCTTGAGAACTTTGGGCCATCCAATAGGGAAATACATTTTGATATGAAAACATTTGCTTGTATTATTGGATATCGTTTATAAAGAGTAAATCAAAAGGTTGATACCGAATTTTAAGAATTAAAATTAATAGACTTTTTATTCAGATAAATCATTTTTCGTAAAATCGTCAACAAATCGACGTCGTGACTGTTGACACTTCAGTTTTCGTTTAGTACCTAGTGTATCAAATAATGTGCACAACATTAATTAAAAATTATTAATAAAAAAAAATCCATTATAAAAAAGTTTAAGTAATAAACTAAATAATTTATTCGTTTTAACAACACGCTTATTCATTTAATTGATTAATTTAAATTATAATATGCTCAAACATCTACGTTTTTGAACGAAAATGTTGCTAGTAATACTTTTTATAATACATATTCACTATAGAAGAAAATATGGTCCTATCTCTCTCTACCAATGATACGGGTCCTATTGAGCTTTTATTACACGACCAAGTACACGACTGTCAAAAAAGGAGCGCAATATTTAAATTCAAGGGTTTCAGAAATATTATAATTTTTCTATATTTAATATACTTAAAATTGTGCTATGAAATACAAAAACAGAATTTTAAGTTTCTTTGTAATCACATATTTGTTTATTCTATAGTTAAAGTAAAGAAAATGACGCTGTTAAAGTATTTTTATACTGCCATTTCAATGGTTTTATATTTTTTTGTGTCACAACTACTCTCATCGTGATTCAAGTATTTGAAATACCACCAAGTCTTTTGCATTTTATATCATTGATTTTATGTTCGAACAGAAATTTTATTAACATAATATTGATAAATCCAAGCATTTCCAATTCCGTTGTTTTACACATGAGGGCTGTGGTATTGTAAACAAAAAAAGAGAGACAGGTAGGTACCGGGAGATTATTTTGGCCAAAGTTGCCATATATTCACAATTAACAACAATACGTCATGTTTTGTATTGACTTATTTAATTATTGGAAGCATATTTTTTTTGCTTAGATGTCAAATGCCGAGCAACAAAAATAAGAATGAAAAGTGTTGTAGCAAATAAAACTCAAAGCTCTGTTACATATTTTACACTGATTTTGATTTTTTTCAGATTTTATGAGTTCTTGCTACTGACTGCCTATGTGTCTCTGTTCAGTCAATAGATTATAACAACCAACACTATAGTATTCTAAATATTTTTTTGACAAGAACATCTTTAAACACTTGTATAAATCTCTAATGAGAATGAGTGCAAACGTGACTGACTGACCCACATATGGGGCAAGATATGAGAATGGAACACCAGCAGGCCTATTCGTTAACTCATAACTGTATTTGACAGATGCTAGAATCACCGAACTATTAAGTAATCCACCACTGCTTTATTATAACGCCACTTGTTCAGACACGCGTCGATGGATGTGCAATTTTCTCTTTAGTTATACACTGTAAATGTCAAAAAAGTAAGCGAATAGGCAGACAGAAAGGGAAATTCCAGAAAAAATATTTTGTTGTCACAATGTTTCTTTGAAAATTCATGTTCCAATGTCAATTTCAGTTAATTTAATGAAATTTAAACACAATAAAAAAAACCAGAATTCACTTAATTCTGGTATTTTTTAATATACACAAATACATTTCATACTCTACCAAATAATTTTAAGCTTGTTGTGGTGTCGACACTGGCATGATTCTCTATACTTAAAACTAAATTGAACATCAGTCTCTCCTTTTCATTCTGTATAGAGAATGACAAGGATACAATGGTGCCAATTCTGGCGTGATTCTCTAAACTTAAAACTAAATTTAACATCAGTCTCTCCTTTTCATTCTATATAGAGAATGACAAGGATATACTGCTGTCAAATTTAAGTTTAGCTTTAGAGAATCATGCTAGAATAGCCACCACGGTTGTCAAATTTATAGAGATGTGACTTATCTACGATACATATACAAGCTACAAAATATGTATTTATATCTTGTATTTCAAATACTTTTAGGAATAGGCCTTCTGGTGTTCCATTCTCATATCATGCCCCATATGTGGGTCAGTCAGTCACATATGCACTCATACTCATTAAATATTTATACAAGTTTTAAAGATGTTCTGGACAACAAAATATTTAGAATACTATAGTGTTGGTTGTTATAATCTATTGACTGAACAGAGACACATAGTCAAGCAGTAGCAAGAACTCATAAAATCTAAAAAAAAATACTCAGTGTAAAATATGTAACAGAGCTTTGAGTTTTATTTGCTACAATACTTTTCATTCTTAATTTTGTTGCTCGGCATCTGACATCTAAGCAAAAAAAATATACGTAACATACAAAATACAAAACATGACGTATTGTTGTTAATTGTGAATATATGGCAACTTCGGCCAAAATAACCTCCCGGTACCTACCTGTCTCTCTTTTTTTGTTTACAATTCCACAGCCCAGACATGTAAAGCAATGGAATTGGAAATGCTTGGAATGGAAAAGGGATGCTTTATACTCAAGAAAACTCATTCATACCTGCATTAACTTGATCATACTCTAGAAAGACAGAAAGCGATTATGTGAAGTCTTGGAGATCAAGTCGCCCGCTGATTGCGCCCAGCGTTCGGCTATCTCTCTATCTGATACTTTGTATATGGGAGTGACCCACATATGGTCCATGCACTCCTCGTATTAACCGTGAAATGCCCCATATGTGGATGTGGGTTATGCACAGAGAACGTTTAAAACGGACTGTTTACTTTCTATCCCTATGGGCGCTCTATGGTTGCCTGTGATAACTTACTACAGATTACTAGTAGCATTAACTACTACAACTGGCAACATTAATGGTAGTTTATGGTAGTTTTCTTTTCTACCTCTATCAATTGAGCGAATTGATGCTTTTATCAACAAGAAGAAACATTTTTGATCAGCATTTAGTTTTTTAAACAGTGTTTCGTTACATGAACATTAATTTCTAATAGCGGTTTCATATCGGTGATTATAATGTGCATGTGTTCTGTGTTCGAGAAGGCCCACATAGCTGTACAACATGTCGGAAGAAATTGATTTGAACACAAACAACCTCTGTACAACTGAAGACGCGTTTGAAAAATTTCAATCAGTTTCGATGTACGAAGAAGATGAATTCATTACATTATCAGATATAGTTTCACCGCGTCCAACAACATCTGAACTAGCGATAGATCTTAATGATATACCATACGAAAATGAGATTGAGTTGGAATCGCAACTGGAGGAGCAAGTTCCAGAAGTAAACAGTACAATTGAGCTTGGTTCTGAAGAGAACAAAAATGTTTCAGAATACTCCCATGTGCCAGAGGAAACTTTAATCAAAGATAGTTCAATAATTGTTACTGAATCGAAACCCAAAAGAGGAAGAAAAAAGAAAACTCAACAGAGTGAATCGATTTTGACAGTGAATCAAACCCAGAATGAACAGAGCTGTGACCAACAGAGCATTTTTGTGCAGGATGATAAAAATTGTGATCCCTCTGCACCCGTGCCGAAAAGACGTGGTAGGAAACCTAAGCAGAATGTTACAAAATTTATTAATTATAATTCCAAGACTAAAGCATCTTTGCAGCATACCAACATCTTAGATGACAATACAGAGGTAATGCCTGAATCTCTATCATCCACTATACCACCAAATAGTGGATCTGAGAATGAAAACACTTCTGTAGCCCTAATTTCAAGGAGACGACCAGGTAGACCTAGGAAACGACAGGTAAACATTACACCTCCAGAACAACAAATGACGGTTGATAGTAATACTGAACTAAATGTCAGTGATATTAAAGAAGAAAGTTGTCTTAATATTTCTGATGAAAGTATTTTGTTGAGTAAAAATCGAAGAAAGGGAAGACGTGTGTCTGCAAAAAATACTTGTCAAGAAGATCTAGGAAATGTAACTATTGAACCTACTTCAGAGCAGTCTGTGGAACAAATAGCAAACAATAATGTAGAAGAACCAATAAAACGAAAAAAGAGTCCCAAAAAACGTAGAAAGATTAGAAAACACCAGGAGGGAGATACTACTCCAAATGATTTAGCTAAGGCTGAGATTGCAACAGCATTATCAGAAGATGAAGACGATTTAGCTGATGATATTTGCCTCAGTAAATTAAAAGAAACATTTGAGCCAAATGATTCTGCTAATTTACCGAACAATGTGCTTGAAACAGAAGAAGTTGTAAAAGAAAAATTAGGAGAGATTGTAAAAGAAGAAACAGAAGAAATGGTAAAAGAAGAAACAGAAGAAATTGAAAAAGTAAAAACAGAAGAATTTGTCAAAGAAGAAACCTTAACAACAGAATCTACTCCTATTAATAATTCTGATATAACAACTACAGCTGATATAGAATTGAATGTTGAAGGTGGTGACAAAGTTGTGAAAAATGAAATGGATATTAATGAGATACAAAATAAAGAAGATTTAAACGACTCATTGCTTATTGAAGACACAACAAAAAGACCTATGCGAAGGAAAGCACGAAAGACTTTCCATTATGAACAGGATTCGGATGAGGATCCATTTGCCAATGTTGAGCTGTCAGATGACGATGAACCTAAAAAAGGTAAAAAAGGTGGAAAATATTATTCGGATGATGAATACATTCCAGGAGGTTCAAAACGTGGTCCTATCAGTTCATCTGAATGCACAGATAGTGATATTGATGCAGAAGTAGATGAATTGATCACAAAACAGAGAAGAAAGAAACAGAGATTGAATAGTTCAATGGAAGGTAGCCCTAAAAAACGTGGTAGAAAACCTAAGTATGAAAAACAAAGCAATGATAAAAAGCCGTCTTTAGAAGTAGAAACAATAACACCAGAGGCATCTTTCTCACAGGAAGGGGATGACATTGAAATATGCTTGCAGTCTTCACTAATTAAAGCGAGTGATGACTCAAAACAAAATATGTGGGGCAAATCAAACGAATTTGAGAATTTCATTGCTAAAAGAATTCAAGGTACAGATATTAAGATCAAAAAAGCATCTATGGTGCAACCTCTGGAAATACCAGTTATAGATCCTAATGATGTCAAAAAGACTGTTGAAACTAGTATGCAGACTACACAGATCAAAACTGCTTCTGTAGAAGTTCAAACATCAGCACCTCACGATATTCCCATGAAAGATAATGTTCCATTAACTTCAGAGCAAGCGGAAAAGGCTTGTGAATTCTTAAAAGGGATAGTAAAAACTACTGCTGAATTAGGTGAATTGATGACTAAAAAATCAGAGGATTTTATTACTAAGAAAATTAATACAGCACATGTTACTGATACATTTAAAATGGACTATTGTGTACGTAAATCTTTCTTGTTATTTAAACTAGCTAAACATAATTTAATGCAAATGGAAGAAGATTTATCTAAACAGTATGATCAATTTTTAAATGAAAATAATTTGATGCAGTATAGAGAAAAGCCCAAAGTTATAACAGCTACTAAAAAACCTGATGATAATGACAGTGATTGTGAAATAATTGAGGCACCTATAGTTGCTCCAGCAAAACAAAACAAAGGTAACAGTAAACCAAAGTTTAATCCCAAAACAGTGTTTCTGAATAAAGAATTATCTATCAAGATTGCCAAAAAACCATCAGATGAAAAAAAACTTCAAATAAAGGGCCGACATACTGTTTGGATTAATGATTCAGTAATGGTAAAAAAAGTTAAACCTACGCAGTCTTTTTTAGCCCAGGACAGCCGAAATAAAAAACCTCCTGATTATGTAACAATAGAAATGGTTAATAGTTTTTTCAAGAAGTATCAACGTAAGCAAGCTTTGATAACTTGTGCTCCATTTATAACCACTGAGTGGCTGTCTTTTAATAGACAATTTGTATGCAGTTATTTTTTTACAAAAACTGAAGGTTTTCCAACTAGTTCTGTTCCTGAAATGCCCACTGAAAGAGAATTGGATACAAATACAGAAACCATGTCTACTAGCACAAAAAATATATGCTGTCAGCGATCAAATATAGAAAATAAGGTATATTGCCCGAGATCATTATTTTCTCTGTGTGCTCAAATAATGCAAAATCAATTGGTAATGTCTACTCCTAAGCCTTGTAAGAAAACAGTTGATCTATATTCTTCATCAAGAGTTACAAATGAACTAAACTTCAAGAAATTTAAAATAGTCGGAAATTGTCTCGATGTAAATGTTTTGCCTTTAAAAACTTTGTGTTTTGAGAGCATTACTAAATTTATGGGAATCCTTACATGTAATGCTCAGGTAGAAAGTAATGTGATAAGTCCATGCTTTAAACCAAATGTTGAAATTACTGGATCTAAATTATGTTATGTAAACAAGGTTCCTTCTCAAGATGTTGAATCACTTTTTTCGTTATGTCTTACATTTGTACAGAACCAATTCTTCACCAAGAAGCAGATTGAATCACCTACCTGTATTAAACACACAATACAAAAAAATAGAAGTTGTCCAAAGACTCTTAAAAATATTACTTTCAAATTCATATCTAATATAATTAATGAGAATAATCCTAAACTTACTGATATTACAACAGTCAAGACATTATCTTGTCTTTGTTTTGAAGTAGTAACAAAATATTTTTCTGATATAGAAGGACAAACTCCCAAAGAAAGTTTAACTATAAATTCCATTAATAGATTAACTGAGGAAGCCTATTTTAATATGGAAGAACCCACAGATTTGACTGATAATATAGACTATTATGCAGATGATGATACCAATTTTTATGAAGATGAAACAGAAGACAATGATTTCAATAATTTTGATGAAATCAATGACACTGAAGATAATAATTGGATATCACAACTGGAAATGAAGGAGCTTAGGTCTATTCCAAGTAAAGTTATAGAAACCACTAGACCTATAGAAGAAGAGAACGCAATGCCTGTAGTTGAAGAAGCAACAGTAGCTAGAATCAAAATTGAACCAGAAGAGGAACCTGAACAAATTGTAAACTCTTTAATAAAAACCGAGCCATTGCATAATCTTGATGAGATGACAGTTATACCAGAAAGTTTTATGACAAATTCGTTATCTAATGAAAACGATTTATGTAATGATCAAGCTCGAAGAAAAGATAGCGCCAGTTATGATGTTGAGTCATTTGAAACTTTCGTAAAATCCAATAAACTTATGAGAGCTTTCAATGAGCAGGACGATGCTTCTGAAGTTTACAGTCAGAGCGCTTCTCGAATTCGGAGGCAATTTGAGCCTGATTGGGAGCCAGAGAACGATATGGCTATGAGTTTGTTAGTTCCACAAACTTTTGAACCATTGCACATTGAAAATGCTAAAGATAGGTTAATGGAAAGCAGTGGTGATGAAAGCAACAATACCAAAAAACCTGCTAATAAGAAAAAAACAGATAAGCGTAAAGCAAAAGTAAAAAAAGTGGATTCAAAATCTGACAAACAAACATTACTAGAAAAGAGTACACCAAAAGAAATCCCAAAAGAGAAACAGCCAGTTTCTCAAGAAATCGCTGTTTTAACAAGAAGAATGCGAGAAAAAATAAGACAAGAAGAAAAAAAGATTGCATCATCTGATTCAGAAACTGAAAGTGGTAAAACAATATCAAAGAAAGCTAAAGAAATTGACTCTCTTGTATCAAAGAAAACAAAAGAAATAGTAAAAGATGTTAGTAAGGTGAAACAAAAAAGCACTAAACTCACTGATGAGGAAATTCAGTGCAACAATGTTGATTCAACTGAACAAGTAACTGAGCAAATGAAGTGTTATTCTCCAGATCCAAACAGTAATCAGTTTACTGGATTTAGCGCAGTAGACCAGAATGAAGTATTTAATTACCAAAAGTACATAAAGTACGTTTACGACAAAATTCTGCCAACAGTAAATGATGATGAGAAACGCGCGCCAGAAACCGATCAACCTATTATTAACCCTAATGAACCTGTCGAGTTATTAGAATGTGAACCTACCATGCCAGTGTTTAATATGCAGGAAACCATAAGCCCAGAAAAAGCCCCTAATAAAGAAGTCATTAATAAAAAAAGTGCCGAAGCAGAAGACATCCCTTCTGTTGATATTAATGACAAACCTCTGCCGTATAAGCTGCGTCACGGATGGCAATGTTATCCTTTGCAGACAGATGATACGAAACTGTACCAGGCTGCTCAGATAGTTCTAGAAAAACTGCCTGAATCTTTTGTAAATACATACTTTGCTTATCAAAATATATCTAATAAGGACAAAGAAGACGAAGAAGTCGACAGGTAATTTATTTTCATTGACGTGGCATAAATTTGTTTTTACACATTTAGATTATTACTTATATTTGCTTTACATAGAATTTACAAAGATTCTATTAGATTGAAATTTTTGTTCTAGACTTATTAATCTTCAAAGTCTAAATAGACCTGTTGCAAAAGAAGGTAGATGCAGAGGAAGACCAAAGAAGCTTAAACCGCCAGATCAAACTTTGGATAAAATCAAATCCGAAAATGATGACTCAAGACCAGTATCGCCGGTACATTCTGAGCATTATCAAGAGCTTACGCCTTCAGAAGATGAAAACGTCGGTGATGATGTACCCAGCCCTGTAAGTGACAAGGTTTTTTTTTATTTAAATCAAATAAACTGGTATAGATAATATTAGAATATTTAAAGTATGCTGTTAAAATTGTAGTTCATATTTAAAGTTATATTTTGGTTTCAATTTTTGTAAATGTAAAAATTTCCAGCGCGCAGCTTGCTGTGTAGTGTACATACATCCACAGATCAAGTTATCAAAAAATGTATAATTTTGTTGATTTCATAATCTATTGATAAAATTTAACAGTTGTTGTAATATATTGTGTGGCTGTCTGCACAAGCATAATATATATCAAAAATGTAAATTATAAGTTTTATTGAATTTAATTTCAGCCTAAGAAAAGAAATGCTACAGAAAATTCCTTAGCTAAAAGTTCTCTTATGGATGATAATGACAGCGAAGATGAATCCAATGTTAAAATCAAGAAAGAACTGACTGAAGAAGCTGCAAATGAATCTAAACTTATTAAAAAAAGTAAACCTGGACCAAAATCTAAATGTAAGCCGGCAGAACCCATTGATTCAGAATCAATGATGCTGACTGCTGACAAGATGATGAATAGAGAGCTGAATCTTCTCCATGCACCCATTGTGCTTGATGAGGAACCACAGAAAACTCAGAGCAAAGGCCCTGTCACCAGAAATAAACAGGTGAATGATTTTAATTGCTACTTTTTATATTCTTATTAAAAAAAAGTAGATTACTGATTTTGTCATATATTACTGATACATTATTGATAGATTTTGATATTGGCATTGAAAAATAGAATTTGGTATTATTAGTACTTATTTCTGTATTTTTTTTTTGATGTGAAAGTTTGTAAAGAAAATCTATAATTTACTGTAGACAAATTTGTGGGTATGAACTAGGAGATAATTATTTATGAAATCCGTTCGATTGGTATTTATAGCATAAAGGCATGCACAAATCTTCAAACACTAAACGCAATAAGGATGAGGAGGGTGGTTCTTCATCAGAAGAGGAGAAGCATCAATGGTTCACAATCAAAGAGAAGTTACTCAAAAAGATGATCAACAAAAAAGACACAACACGGTACGTATGATCATTTAAACATAGACAGATCTAATTATTTTTTATGTTTTTGTGCATACCAATTATTTAATATAACACTTTTTGAACTGGTAATAAGCGTTTATATTAGTTTTAAAAATATTCTTAAGGGATCCCTTACGAGCTTTGTGGTTTGCAAATTGATACCTGTTCAAAAAGTACTCTATCAAATAGACAAATAAACAATTATACTTATTAATTATTTAAGAGTGGTCTAGGAGAAACAAGTTTGTGTGATAATAAGCTTCAACATTTGTGTTTGCTTACAAAAAGTAGGTTAGTTTAGCACCAAGAGTTGATGTGTCCTTTGTTAAAATAGATGTAAGATATTCTAGTAATAATTTCTATAACTTTACAAAGTTCATAAGTGGTTAGTGGTTGTGGTTTATTCGCTTAAGATTGCACTCAGAGCTGTTAATGAAATAAAAAAATAAACAAAATAAAAAGTATTTTTATTCAAGTTTGAACCTTATAGGCCAGGACGGATATTTTGAAAATAGTATTAGGATTGGGGCACGAGACGCGTTGCGGGCGGCGCCGCGACGCAATGATTTCGCCGCATCGGTGGGCACACGAGCGGTGCGGCATCGGAACCTTATTACGTCGCAGCATCGCCGCCCTTCGATAGATTTCTTATGAGTGACACAAACAATGGTGCCGCACCGACATCTCAACGCATTCACCCCTTCCCATCTCGTATCGGCGGTTGTGTGGCACCGCAGCGCAGCATCGTGTGATATATCGCAGATATTTCTATGTAAAACGACGCAGTGACGGCCGCCGCCGCAACGAATCGTGTGCCCGCGCTCTAAAGTGAAAAAGAATCGGAATAGGATGAAACTCATACCAAATGAAAGAGAACACAATAAAAAATAGGAAAAGTAAATTACGGGCGACGGAGGTAGGGGAGGGGGGGACCTTTTAACGGGGGAAAACGCGCCAACTTTTTTTTAAACTTGCTAATTTTTCAATAAAAAAAGGTAGGTACTTTCACGATATAAAATTAAAATATATATATTTTATAAAAAAAAATTGAGGGTGTTTAGGATATAAAAAGATAAATTTTAACCGAATATAGTTTAAATACAGTCTTTTTGTGGGAGGATATAATAACAAGTAAGTACAAGTAACTAAGAATGCAGTGTTTCATAGTACAAAGAATATATGGTAATAAAAGAGTAGAAGAAAAAACAATCAAAGTAGCCAAGGAGACATCTTCATTGGTATCACTCGTTCACGAGCATGACGTATATGAACCAGCCATCGATTCTCTCTCGACCATATGTTGGGGATCGTAACGACCCTCCTAACATTATAACAGAGCAGAGCAGGGCCATTAATTATTATTATTAAAGAGAAATGATTATTTGTATTTTTTTTTCATTTGATTGGAACAGGGAGGACGACGCAAAACGTGCTAAACTCGTTAGCGAATTCATAGAGAGACGAGGCGATCTGGCCGAGCACTACTTGAAGCGACGCAAGGTCCGCGGCCGCCGCTCTACTAAGAAAATGCTGGAACGACAGAAGCAATTGAGGTGCGTATGATTTTTCGGGGCTCCTTATCTAAAAAAGGTAGATACAGCGACTGATCTACAAAAAATGCTGGACACCTGAAGCAGTTGAGGTGCGTATGATTTTTAGGGCTCCTTATCTAAAAAAAGAGTGATACAGCGGCCGATCTAATAAGAAATGCTAGAACGATAGAAGCAATTGAGGAGCGTATGGTTTTGAGGGCTCCTTACCTAATAAAAAAGGGAGTCGCAGCGATCGATTTACTAAGAAAATGCTGGAAACTCAGAAGTAATTGAGGTACGTATGGTTTTTAGGTCTCCTTACCTAAAAAGGGTGTCGCAGCAACCGATCTGCTATAAAATTCTGGAACGACGGAAGCTATTGAGTCGCGTATGGTTTTTAGGGTTCTTTACCTAAACAAAGGGTGGCACAGCGGCCTATATATCAATAAAATGCTGGATCGACAGAAGCAATTGAGGTGAGTATGATTTTTCGGGCTCTTCCTAAACAAAGGGCGGCACAGCGGCCGATCTACTAAGACAATGCTGGAACGACATGCAATTAAGGTGCGTATGGGTTTTAGGGCTCCTTACCAAAAAGGGTGACGCAGCAGCCGATCTACTAAGATATTGCTAGACCGACAGAAGTAATTGGGGTGCGTATGATATTTAGGGCTCCTTACCTTAACAAAGTGTGGCATGGCGACCGATCTATTAATAAAATGATGAAATGACAGAAGCAATTGAGGTGCGTATGGATTTGAGGACTCCTTATCTAAAAAAGGGTGTCGCAGCGACAGATCTACTAAAAAAATCTGGAACGACAGAAGCAATTTCGGTGCGTATGATTTTTAGGGCTCTGTTCCTAAACAAAGAGTGACTATGCGGCCGATCTACTCGTTAGCGAATTCATAGAGAGACGAGGCGATCTGACCGAGCACTACTTGAAGCGACGCAAGGTCCGCTACCGCCGCTCTAATAAGAAAATGCTGGAACGACATGCAATTAAGGTGCGTATGGTTTTTAGGGCTCCTTCTCGAAAAAGGGTGACGCAGCAGTAGATCTACTAAGATAATGTTGGAACGGCAGAAGCAATTGAGTTGCGTAAGGTTTTTAGGGCACCTTACCTAGGGAAACGGTTACGCAGCGGCCGATCTATGAAAAATATGATGAAACGACAGAAGCAATGGATGGGCGTACTATTTTTAGGGCTCCTTACTCAAAAAAGGGTAACGCAGCGGCGGATATACTAAATAAATTTTGGAACGACAAAAGCAATTGAGATGCGTATGGATTTTTGTAGAGCTGCCACGAATATTTTTGTTTATTTGATTTTGATATTGTTTTTCGTTCGCTGACCACCACTTGTAATAAAACAAAACTGATTGCGCCTATGTACTACTTCAGCCATGCAAGTTTAAATTCATAAGTGACTAGTTGTAAACCGCGGAAAATACTAAGTGTTGCCTAATTTTCGGCGCTTAGGCCAAGAGAATATTCGGTGTTCCGCCAAATGACTATTCGTTGCATCTCTAGTTTTTCAATAATTTCAGTAAGCATTACCTGTTGATAAATGGTCAGAACGGAAAGTTCGCCCATGCATTGCAGGAAGTTACGAAACAATGTTCCAGTGAGGGCTATCGCGTATGAATCCGCCGCTAGAGGCGCTAGTGTAGCGTGAGGTCTCCGAAATGTCAAATGTTATTGCTTGTTGGTTGACTACGCGGGTTTATTTCTAATTAAAATAATGTTGTGAATAATTGGTAACAATTCGGCTTAATTATGGCAAATATGAGTTATGTGGCAATGAATGTCAGTTATTAAAAATTTGAGCTTAGAAAAATGATTATGTTCCCATTTTTTCCGAATAAAACGGAACTGCGGGTCACTGTGGCATGGCCTATTATGTTTAGGATATGGTTCTTTTGTGTTAAAATACGATCTAAATGTAACCTTTGATTTCATGTGCGTATTAATAAGTCAACTTTAAAAGTTACAATTTAGGACCTCACTCGACAGTGGCGCCATCTGGTGAGGCAGAAAACGGTAAAACTATTCGTAAAAACATGTTACAATATATCAAAACCCATAATACTTTTTCACATAACAACTTTATATCGCAGTAACGTTTAATCGAATGATGTTCGTCTTTTGATGACAAATTGTGTTGCGGTCAGTTCCTTAAAATTTGTTTTCCTACCTACTACAGCTTAATAATTGTACTCTTAACTACATACTGCGTTTTTGCGATAAAATGATGGCTTCCCTCCAATTATTCAATAAGATTATGCATTGGAACCCTGTTGGATACTAAAAGAGCACTTATTTAAAATTTTAATTTCAGGGTGTTATCTCAGGAGCTTTTTGGCGGTGCCTCTAATGACGCTTCACACACAGGCAAAGGAAGAAATAGTTCATACTTCAAAGGAAGACGGAATATTAGAAAAGTCAGTTCAGACCAAAAACAAAACACATTTATAATTTGAGTGAAAACTACATATTTACTTATATTTTCTTTACTTAATTTAGGTTCTGGATAAGAAATCATTGGCTAAAAGCACCGTCTTAGCAAATATGGAGGAGTTTGAGAGAAAACGTCGACTTAACATAAGACAAAACAAATTGGTGAGAGTTAATATTATTGTTTATAATACACATACATGGCATACAAACACATAATGTAATTTATATAATCCAAAGCTCACACACTCAATCTTTTCTAAGATTAAAATAGATAGAATCGGCCACACTTACACATCAAGTTACCACAAAGTGTAAAATTTTCTCAAGCAATTGTGAATCTTCTAACAAGCGCAATAAAGTTTAAAATCGGTTGGAGAAATTGGTCACTTTTGGATAACTTGAGCTGTGGCTATCTGTCTACCTCAAGTTGTACAGATTATCAACAATTATTTTTTTCTTTCAGAGGGAAATCCTAGGATACGAGGAGGGCGTGAATGTTCTAGTCATTAACGATGAAGTGTGCCTTGAGTACGACTTCGAGCAACGCCTGCCCGTCGTCACCATACACTCCTTCTTCACCAAAGTAATGAAGGCCCATCAGGTGAGAAACTCGTATCCCATAACCCATAAAAATCAATAGTCATTAGTATTTTTATTACACTAAAGAAATCTATGGAAAACTGGAAGATTCCAGACATTCCACTTTACAAAACAATATAGATATATTGCATTGCATTATAATTAAACATGATGTATTCACGGAATTGTGCTATTACCGACTTTTCTGTCACTGGCCGAAGTAAATAAAGAATCTGGTTCCTGTATACCCATATTACACCATATCCAGCGGTGTTCTTTTTATTCCTGCTAAAAGCACAACTAAATATACGATCTCATTCGCTCACTCCAGTACGAAATCACCTAACGTAATCTCATCCTCTCCTAATATCCCATTTACATTCAGCCCGTTTGCGCGCACACCAACAGAGACAAGCACATAAATGTGATAAAGCGAGCACGTATACAGTACCCTTAGCACGAACCAATATCGAATTCGTAACGTTTGCAAGTCCGAAATGTCATTGTCAGATGTGTACTGATGTTTAGTTCTTGTTACGTCGTTTGTGGCGATGCTGTTCAAGTTTCCATAGAAAATTTCACATTGACATTTCGCACTCGCAAACTATTCGAATTCGATAATGGTTCGTGCTAGGGGTACAGGTCGCTCCTATTGTTTATCGATTCCTCTCGAAAGGCAGCTTCTTGAGGATTACAAAGAATGCGGTGCAAACGCGACTGTTGCTGTCCCGCTCACTTTCAATAATTTACCCTTGGATCACCTATTAGTCATTACCTTCGTACAAATTGGAAAGCAAGCAATACGATGCGATAGCTTAAATAATGGGAGTGGTTTAATGTAAATGGCTTATAACATTTGTTCGGGAGCCTAACTTTTTAACTTGTATTCTATCATTTCATTCAAAGAGATGTGCATACATTAATATATATCTTACACACTTGCTTACACAATACACAATATGTGCAGCTGATATAACAGCTGAGTGTAATAAAAGGCGCAAGTACCGGGATGTGGGTGAGACATATTTTTTCATGCATTTTGCTGTAGAGAAAATGGGTTTTTGGGGCCCTGCAAGAATATTTCTTAAGGATATGACTGCTCGCCTGTGCGATGCTACGGGGGAACCAAGACCTGATAGGTTTTTTGCTCAACGTATAAGTTTGGCGATACAGCGAGGCAACGCTGCTAGTCTTTTGGGGACCACCCCTCACAGGCTAACTCAATGAAATATTTGTAAAAAAATATAAAAAAAATACACAATATCGACACTTGCTTTAGATTTGAAAGGTTTCGTAAAACGCGTTAAAATTTACTAATCGCCTCAGGGGTTTCCCTCAATAGTTAAATAAGGTGTTGCATTTGTTTGAAACAGTATGAAGGCGTGAAATTCATGTGGGACGCTTGCTTCGAGAGTTTGAACAGTATAGAGAGTGGTCACCCGGGAGGCGGCTGCATTCTAGCCCACTGTATGGGACTTGGGAAGACGCTGCAAGTCCTGGCCTTATTGCACACGGTGAGCGTAGTATTATATTAAATAGACATACTTAAATTTTTATAACTTAATTCCTAGAAATAGACCAGGGTCGATAATTTTAAAAATGGTAAAAAGTGAAAAAAAATATAGTAGGATGAAAGCCATTAGAAAAGGTAGAGAATATAACAAAAAATAAAGGAAAAATAAATTACGGGCGATCTGAGGTCGGGAAGGGGGAGGGGGTGAGTTTTTAAGGGTAAAAAATGGTTAATCTCGATTTCCGGTAAAACTGCAAGTCCTATGAAAAAAAGTTAAATGGCAAAGTTGTAGCTAATAAACAGATCTACTACTTTTGTATTGACAGTTTTTTCACATAACCTCAAAATTTATGTGAAAAATGCGAATAACCGAGTTTTCGGTTTTTTATTTTTATTTTTTGCAAAAAAAAATATTTTTTCACGAAATTTGGTGAAAACTTACCTTTATATGTCCCAAACATACAGTAATTTTTTTGATTTAAAATATTCATTTTTTTACCTTATTTTGACTTAATATCCAAAAAGCACCCTAATTTTCAATCGAAAATTCTCACGTCAAAATATCTGCTGTTTTAAAAAAGTTGGGGTGTTTTTTGTTTGTTGAAATCTAATTTCTGATGGTATAAAAAAAAATATACACTACTATGATAAATGTTCTCAGAAAATGCAAATTAATAATGAAAAAAACTCGAATCCGAAAATCCTATTTTTAATACCTACTTACAACAACTATTTTTGCATGTTTTATGGATTTGTAATTTTTCTGTTTATCAATATGACATGAAATCTTACGTTTTTCGAGTAATTAAAGTGTAAATTTTAATAAATAGTTCAAAATTATACATAATGATTCAAATAAATTTTTCGGATTGGAGTTTTTTTTCATTATTAATTTGCAGTTTCTGAGAACATTTACCATAGTAGTGTATATTTTTTTTATACCATCAGAAAGTAGAGATTTCAACAAACAAAAAACACCCCAACTTTTTTAAAAAAGCATATATTTTGACGTGAGAATTTTCGATTGAAAATAAGGGTGCTTTTTCGATATTAAGTCAAAATAAGGTGAAAAAATGAATATTTTAAATCAAAAAAATTACTGTATGTTTGGGACTTACAAAGGTAAGTTTTCACCAAATTTCGTGAAAAAATATTTTTTTTTGCAAAAAATAAAAATCAAAAACCAAAAACTCGGTTATTCGCATATTTCACATAAATTTTGAGGTTATGTGAAAAAAGTGTCGATACAAAAGTTGTAGATCTTTTTATTACCTACAACTTTGCCATTTAACTTTTTTTCATAGGACTTGCAGTTTTACCGGAAATCGAGATTAACCATTTTTTACCCTTAAAAACTCACCCCCTCCCCCTTCCCGACCTCTGATCGCCCGTAATTTATTTTTCCTTTATTTTTTGTTATATTCTCTCTTAGATGAATCAATTACTACCACTGATATTTTTTCTTTTTTTTGTATTGTTGCGTGTCGGGATGGGTTAGGAAATTATATGCCAGTTCACGCTTGACATTTCTTTATTCACCACACAGTTTACACAGTTTTTCTGAAACACAATACTACACTTACTGTACACTATTAAAGTCTTTAAACAATCGCACTTAAACATTTTACGTGCCGTTTGATCGCCTTTATATTCGTTCTGAAATCGCTGTTGAAACTCAACTGTTACCGCTTTGCTCCGCGGCGCCGGACGCGCCTTTATACGCCAATCGACGCATTCCAGAGAATTCCAGTTAAATTGGGAGTTAAATAACACACGTACCTACTTATACGTCGGTAACGCGCATGAGTTGTAAACAAGTGCAGAAGTCTTTGCACTTTCACCCTTACGCTGCATTGCATAAGGCTCATATTAAAAAGAATGTCATCTTTAGGCCTCACGCCGAGGCGCTCTGGTTAAATCTGTTTCTAGTATTTTCGAGGTTTTGGTTTGAGAGCGTTTGTGTCAGTCAGCATTTACGAACTTTAAAATTTTTCATATTAATAAACAAATGGTCGTAGGTACTGACGCACCCGCGCGTGGGGATGCAACGGGTGCTCGTGTGTTGCCCGCTGTCCACTGTACTCAACTGGGTGGACGAGATTCACAAGTGGATCGGACCAGTCACCGACCAGATTAAGGTAAACACACAAGTCTCATATTATCATGACAACAACAACATGTTATGTTTTGTTACTTTTTTTCTTGAGTTTGTGAGTTGTTTCTTATTTAAATGTAAAAATATCACATTATTAACTTTTGTATGATGAATGTAAACGATACAAAATGAGGAATGGTCAGTGCATTCGCCCGGATAGCGAAGGGTGCGGGTTCGAGTCCCTTCTGCTGCCTGGTCCGCGTGGAATTTTTTTCATGTAAACGTTTCTTTAGATTTAAATTATTTTCTTTTTTAAACCTGATGTACATGTATTAAGAGAAATTATATTGAACAATTTAAATTCCTGTTTTAAGCCAGCAAAGCTAAGGAGAAAGCTCCAGGTAATTATATTATATTTTTTTACTCCGTCTACAGTTTTAAACATAACGTAACACATATGAATACCTATTATTTTTATTCTATGCTATGCCTAAAAGCACAGAACACAGAAAGAGGTTAGAAGGGCCTTGTGACCGGGGCAGACGCGCCTTAGTTATGTGTGAGCAAATGCTCATAACTTGACAAAAACTTGGTTCTGATTGCGTCGTTGCCCTCGGGTGTGGGCGCTGATTGGTTCGATTGTTTAATGTCGCTTCGTTTGATTGGCTATTATCTATTAGGTGAAAGTGTAGTGGGGGCGAGCCGGCGACATCGGTTCCCTTACAAACGGTCTATCATCACTCTTTTCCCCTCTTTCTATTTTCTGTGTCTAAAAGCAAACGATTGAACACATCCATTTCATTCGGTATAGGTATTCGAACTCTCAAAGCTCAAGAAGACCTACGAACGCGCTTACCAACTAGAAGACTGGTACAAAGGTGGAGGGATTTTTATAATCGGCTACGAATTATTCCGTAGTTTGACCACACTGGACCCTTTCTTAGACGACGTACGCCCAGTTATTGTGAACAAGATACGCAACGCTTTACTCGACCCAGGACCAGATATAATCATATGCGATGAAGGACATTTACTTAAGAACGATTCTTCAGTACTGGCAGTGGCTATGAGCCGCGTACGCACCAGCAGAAGAATAGTCTTAACAGGCACTCCGATGCAGAATAATCTCAGGGAATATTATTGCATGGTCAACTTCGTGAAACCGAACTTGCTGGGAACATATGCCGAGTATTCGAACAGGTATGTTAGTTTTGTTAAATGGTTGATATAAGTTTTGATAACTTGAGTAAGCTTGTGTACAAGAACAGACAACTTTGAAAGTTGTAGTTCTGACATATTTAAGATGCAAAGTTAATATAAAGGCCCAGTTTCAATGGTCTGGTTGATTTTATTTTCTTTATTGTATGCTTCATAGATAGTAACCATGCAATTTGATTATAAGATAAGGTATAACTCTTATAAATACAGAAAAGAATCACAACTGACGACGTAAAACATTCTGTCCCTATCGCACATGCTATCATAAGTAACGTGTGAGAGAGACAGAATATCTTGCGTCGGCATTTTCCATTCCTTTGTGGATGACGCCGTAAGATATTCTGTCCCTATCGCGTATGCTATCCTAAGTAACGTGCGAAAAAGACAGAACATCTTGCGTCGGCATTTTCGATTCCTTTTCTTAGTGACACAAGTTTTACATGTATATGTGATCGTACTACGTACGTAGCTACTTCGTCGTGAATCATTAAGAACTTAATAAAGATTACCATCTTATACCTAAGCAACTGTTTGTTTTCTTATCGCATAGATTCGAAAACCCTATAATGAACGGTCAGCACAGAGACTCCAGAGAGGAAGACATCAAATTAATGAAAGCTCGTACCCACATTCTTCACAAAGTACTTGAAGGTTGCCTCCAGAGGCAAGAAGCTTCGGTCCTCTACCCTTACCTGCCAAAGAAACACGAGTACACCGTCTTCGTGTCGATGTCCCAATGCCAATGGGATCTGTACAAGCATTACTTGCAGAACTGCACGAGCACTCAGAGCAATAAGAGCAATGTCCTCAAAGACTTTCACATATTGCAGAAGATTTGGTCGCATCCGCAAGTGCTGCACAACTTCTCGAGTAGGACCAGAGATGATTTGAAAACAAAAGTTAAATGTAAGTATAATTCAATTGTAAATTTTCTATTTATCACACTTGGACTCGATACTTAAGTTCCGCTTGTTAGGGATTATTATTAATTTGGGATACTTATTTACCTACCAGAAATGAACCTGTTGATTTTTAAAGTCTGAAACATGAAATGAAACGGCAAGCTTGTTCTTAAATCGCGTGTTACAGTGTATTTGACTTATTCTTGCAAATGCGTCATATGAACGTTGGTATCTACCACTTAAGGGCATAAATCGCCTTCACCTTATCACGATTTCAAACGATTGTCATCTTAACCAAGTATTAAGTTTGAAAATAATCTATAAGGCATAATATATTTCAAATTGTTTGGGAAACGCTCTGTCGATTCTCTATGTCGCATAGGCACAGCCACTTCTTCTTTGTTTTCTCGACAGCTACATTTTTCTTCAACGGATGGTTAAAAAAAATGGAGTTGTATTAAGCTTCCAATTTGAATAAAGAAATGTTTTAAAATGCAGTAGAGAAACTGGAGGACGACTTGGCCCGCGAGGATCTTAATGCGGAAGACATAAAGCCCGCGTCCACTGATACCTGGTGGCTGCAGTATTTGGAAGGCGGCAACATGTTGGACTCCCTGCACAGCTCCAACAAGTTCGTGACCGTGTTCCGGATACTGGAGGAGTGCATCGCGCTCGGCGATAAACTGTGAGTGGGTTATTAACTCAACAATGTTATAATCTTACCTCCTACTGATATTATAAATGTGAAAGTTTGGGTTCGTGTGTTTGTATGTTTGTAACTCTTTCACACAAAAACTAGTGAAATTTTCTTCGCATATAGTTTATGACCTGAACTGAGACATAGGACTCTTTATCCCGGAAAGAAAAAAGTTCCCGTGGGATTCCCAAAAAACGCTAGTGTATAATATAATTCACGTCTCTCTATCTCTCTCTGTCAATTTTATTACTGACTTATTAATTTAGTGTTTTATAAATTAAGGTCCTTGCTTTACTTCAGCGAAGTCTCTAGTTTGCATTCATGGGTTTGTATTATACTTAAAAAATCGAATGCAAATAAATAAATTTGATCTCAACACGCATCAAATGTCAAAACAAAACTTCTTGACATGTGACGCGTATCGAGATCAAATTTAACTATTCGCATTCGATATTGGTTCGTGCTAAGGGCACCGATGTCTTCAAACGGCTAACAAGCTAATGTAATATAGCATTCTATTTTACTTTTCCATTCAGACCAGAATGATTAACTTGCAAATATTCTTAACATTTTCTTTCTTTGCAGGTTGATATTCTCCACTTCTTTGTTCACTATGGACGCTTTGGAATACTTCCTGAAGAAAATAAAAGACTGGAGCCTTGGCAAGGAGTATTACCGACTGGATGGTTCCGTACCCGCCGAGGTGCGACAGAAGTGGTGTCGGGAGTTCAACTCCGACCAGAATGTTAATACAAAGTAAGTTTTTTGACGTGATAACGTCTTATAAATACGACTGCACGCACGAAAAAGTGTCACGTTCCACTTGAGCCTGAGCATACAAGCGAAAGCGCGGAACAAGCGATAGAGAGGCACAATATGCCCAAGTGTCGGCTTGTACACATTTATCTCTCTTCTTGCGTGACGTCAGAGCTAGATAATTCAGTGATAATAATTCATTGAAATTTTTCCTCAATGTTTCTTTATGACGTTACACGTAAAACTATTGTTCGTAAAGCGACTTTACAGGCAACCAATTTTTCTTTATGTTAAAAGGGTGTTAAACAAGCATATGTTATGTTTCGTGTCCTGTCTGATATCAGAACCGAATGGAACTTTTTCTAGTTAAATTTTCATACATTCCTTTCAGTATTTTACACCACTTCCTTCTATCAGTCTCTTACGTCACTTAAACTCACAGGAGGCATGCTTGTCCATTAGAAATGCGAATGTTCCAGGATATCATATATGACTTAAACGTCTGCCACTGAGCGAGGAGACAAATTGATGGGCGTGTTTATCGCACTTTTGTCGCCGCTCCCACTTGATCGCAGTTTCCGTGGAACCACTTTTTAGTGAAGTTTGTGATCCATATCCTTTCTAATAAGATGATTAGACTGCTTGCCCGGATAGCTTAATGCGCAGTTTCAAATGTCGGTTTGTCTATTCATATATCATTTTTTACTTTCCGACATTCGATTCCGACATGACTCTCTAAACCTAAACTTAAATATGACAACAGTGTATCCTTGTCATTCTCTACACAGAATGAAACACAGAACTTTTGAGGTTAAGAATCTTAATGACGTTATAATAAAACACTAGTGGATCAGTAAATAGCTTGGCGATTATCACTTCCATCTGTCATAAACCGACAGCAAATAGGCCTACTGAACCAAGTGTTTTTTTTCTACACTCTTCCTTAGTTAATTCTAATGGTTTGCTAATTTAGGTTCTTTTTGCACAACTTAAACTCTAATTTTGTAAACGACTACCTTTTACATTGTCTTTGGTGAGGACTTATAAATGGCATTCTGCTATTTTTATGTAACTTAAAAATATATTATCAGCTGTTGGTCTTCCTATATTAAACAAAATTAATAAAATGTTTATTTTCTTAGATTGTTCCTAATCTCAACGCGGGCCGGTTGCCTCGGGTTAAACATGACTGCAGCTAATCGCGTCATAATTCTGGACACCTCGTGGAACCCGGCGCACGACATACAGAGCATATTCCGAGTCTACCGCTTCGGACAAAAGAAGGATTGTTACATATACCGTCTAGTGGCATTGGTAATTATAGGTCATATGTTTTTTTCAATATAACAAAATTGGCATCTATATTTCGTAATATTATAAGGTTTTTTTTTAATTGGCCTGTAGGCAGATGAATTTACTCCACCTGATGTTAAGTAGTTATAAAGTGCAAATGCGAAGATAGCTGGTACAGCAGTTTAAACTGCCACACCAACCATCCTCACCTTGCCAGCATGCAAAAATGCTTCATCACGCCTCTCTTAAAGGACCCCAGATTGTACGAGCGCGGGCAAAGAATTCCACTTGCGAATATTACGACAAAGAAATGAGTCACCAAATTTCTGTGTTCATGTAGGAATAGTGGCCATAGTAAGTCGGTGACAAAGTAGGCCGGCGCGCGTGGTCCTCCGAAGAAAAGGTGATGGAGGGATAAGGGAAAATAAATCCTCAGAACCCTCGCCGTGGTATAGTCGATAGAATGAGCTTAATGATGCCACATCGCGGCGTAATTGCAAAGACTCGAGTTTGTTAGTTACCTCTTCATTGACAATGATGCGGGCAGTGTGCCACTGTAACTTATCTAAAGCATCGAGTAAATACTGAGCGGAGCCATCCCAGAGGTGCGAGCGATATTCCACGCAGGACCGCACCTGCGTTTTGTACAACAAGCACTGTTGATCAGGCCTTTGGATTCAGGTCTGAGTGAATTTCCATATCGAGCATGGTGATACTGCTCTGTAGCGCCAGTGTTGTGCCCTGAAGTCAGGGAAGGGGAAGAAATGGTGAAAGCGTAAACCTGGGTTTTCTTGGCATTGAACTCAACGAAGTTCCTGGAACCCCATTAGGAAATATGGTCCAAAGTCTGATTGAGTTCAGCGACAAGATTTTCCCGTTCCTCCTTGGTTTCTACCTGTCCAGCCGCTGCGTGGCCAAAATATCTCGCATGCAATGTACCATCGTCTGCATAGCAATGAAATTCACAAGAGAAATCAAATTATTGATATGCAGCAGAAAGAGTGTGGGGGATAGAATGGAGCCCTGACGAACACCGGTATTCACTGACGTGAACTGCGAACTACATCTGTCCGTAAGGACGCGAATTCTACGCTCATGCAGGAAGTCAGCTACCCAGGCACAGAACTGAGCAGGCAGACCTTATGCAGGAAGGCTTTTGAGCCAGACCCTGTCAAAAGTCTTGCCGATGTCAAGGCTGATAGCCAGACACTCCTCGCTTGTCTATAGCCTCACACACTAGAAGGTCACCCGTCGATCGATTCGGCCTATATCCGTATTCCGTGAATCAAAGGGGCCGTTCAAGTATTACGTAAGCAGATTTATTACAATTATTTACCCCCTCCTCCCCCTGATCACCAAAAGTAAGCAAAGCTCTTACTCCCCCCTCACGTGCTTACGTAAACATTGGTACCTCTATATGCATTTTTTCTTTAATGTATTCTGTTTTTTTTTATTCATTCATGAGCTTTATGAGCAGCAGTACTTCAATAGCCTTAGGATAGAGGACTTTAACGCACATAATATTCATTGAAACAAACTTTATTGATACAGTATTCAACATTGAGTAAGGTCCTATTACGAACAAACCCAACTTCTTTCGAATTTTTGGTATATGTATACAATCTTCAGTCCATGACACCCGAATCCATGATACTGACGTAATCACTATCTCGGACCCCCACTCCCCCATGTCATCAAAAATAAGCAATGCAAAGACCCCCCTGCCCCCCTATAGTGCTTACGTAATACTTGAACGGCCCCAAAGAGTGAATTCTAGGTAGCGGGTCTGATGGTTGTTAAGGACCCTTTCTAAGACTTCAAGGTAAATATTTAAATGGGACTCAATTAGTTAATGATCACCAAAAAAATACAACAGATAATCTCACGGTTACGCTATTTATTTGAAAATCGTTTAAATATAAGCCATATAAAAATACGCATGTGTGTCTGTGTGTTACCTCTTCACGCTTAAACCGCTGAACTGATTTAAATGAAATTTAAATAGTTTGAGTACCGAGAACGACCTAGTGAAGCTTTTATCCCAGAAATCGTCCTTTAAGGAGGTGATTTCACGCAGGCGTCGGGAACCAATCAAAATAGTGTTAATAAGTTACTTTTGCACGATTTAGGAAATGCATATTTTCATATGAATTGAAACCATTTTTATTACAGTAAATTATTTGGCGCCTGTATAATTAATTTAATAATAGAGGCGCCTAATAACTAAATTCCAGAATACTCTTGAATAAATTTTACTTTTATCGTGGATCCTTGCTCCTATATAAATAAGGTTTAATTTTGTATGACTCCATTGTTACTAGGGCACGATGGAACAGAAGATATACGAGCGGTCGGTGACGAAGCAAGCGGTCGCGTGTCGTGTAGTTGACGAACAACAGATCGATCGCCATTATAACATGGCCGATCTCACCGAACTTTATAAGTAAGTCTTGGGGAATAGAGAATGAGAGAGAGATAAGGAGAATAATTACAAATTATGTAATGGAAGGTGACTTCAGAAGTATCTCAGAAGTCATTTTTCAACTTGACTATTCTGTATATAACAATACAGGGAGAAAAAAACAGCCCTTGCTGAGTTTCTTGCCGGTTCTTCTCAATAAAAGCTCTCCCGCCGTAGTTTTGCGAACCGATGGTGTAGCTTCTTGACATTCGCAAGTGCTTGTACAGCCTAGACTGAATAAATGATATTGATTGATTGATTGATAAGTGGGATTTTTAGGACGCATTGATTTTAATTTCAAAATGGTGAAGGGTGAAGATAACAAAAAAAAAACTCAGCTTATATTCTTTTACGGTTGGCGCCATTTTCCAAAAATTTTCTATATTAATTTGCTTAATTTTTTTGCAACTGTATTAAAAATAGTTGTTCAGTACACGTGCGGAACCGTCATTGCAACTTGTTCCGACTGTCAACCCTTACCTTCGGCTCCGCTTCGGTTCGGGTAGACATTTGTCGGAACTCTTTGCAATGACAGGCTTTCCGCACTCGTAATGAAATATACTATTGTTCTATTTATTCAAATATAGGTACGACGACACTGGCTTAGGCGTAGCTAGCGGTGTCGCAGTGGGCGTACAAGACGTAGCTCTATTACGGGTAGCTCGAGACACTAATCTACATGCCGTTCACGAGCATGACTCTCTACTGCGAGGGTCTGGAGAACAGGGGCTGCCTGAGCACGAGCGCCACGCTGCTTGGCTGCAGTTCCAGCAGGAACATGCCCATAAGCGTAAATATACCACACATTTTATTTACTAAATTTTACTTGTGTTAAAATCCCGACTATTAAATAGAAATTACTTACAAGGAAGCTCTTCGAAACTTACCGCTATCGTTAGAGCGCTTTTATTTAACCCAAGTTGAAATCCCGAATACAAAACGGCCCCTTCCATCCTCGAAAACTAAAGGCACTACTCGAGTTCGGGCACCCGATGCAAAAATTACATTGTTTTACTCACGATCGGTTACTGGAACACACGCAAACGACCTTGCGCCAGCGTTCGGGTTGGAACTTACTTCAGTGATAACAGATTGGGGGGATTCTGCGAATTATTATATCCGCTTTCATTATGCGAACGGCTAGGGAGTGGAACTCCTTGCCGAGGTCTGTTTTCCCGGACCAATATAATCTGGAGATCTTCAAGGCAAGAGTGAACAGGCATCTTCTAGGCAGGCGTGTACCATCCTTGGCCTCATCATCGCTTTCCATAAGGCGAGATTGTGGTCAAACGCCTTGCCTATTAAGCATAAAAAAAACTCCCCAAATATGGGGAAAGCATTTTTGGGGGATATTTGGAGGGAAAATACTACTGCTTAAAAGGAAAACGGCATCGGGTAACTACAATGAAAGCTGTTCGAGTAAGGGCGTACTCGATTCCGTTAATTTATACTAATGCCGCGATTACACGTGGCCGTTAGTCAGATTACGAGTGCCAATGGGATTCGGGTAAACGATTAAGTGTAAATAAACGGCGTCGAGGTCGGCCGTATTCGGGTAGTTTTTGTTTTGGTTACCCGACACCGTATTCCAGTGTATATATTGCTTCGGCAATGAATGCTGCCCGAATTCGAGTAATGTCTTTCGCGCACCCAAATACGGGTAAACGACCAAATGTAATTGTGCCATTAGTAGTTTGTCCGAATTCCATAGACAAATGTATTCGAGTGTATAGTGTTATTTCGCCTTTACCGCTATTGATCAACACATGTCGCTAGTTGGGAATAAATTCTGCTTGAAACTGCGTGAAAATGCCTGTACACGTAACGGTTAATAATTACTTAAACTTACCACTATTGAATTAAAATTTAACATCACGTATCCTTTTTCTAGAATCTGCTATCTTAAATTTACATTCACGATTAAACAGATGTTATTATCGTTTATTTCTTCTTCTTTTTTCTAGAAATGCAAGACGAACACGATTACACTAAAACTGATGGTGTGAAACCCCCCGTAAAAACCGAGAAAAGTGAAAATAACGGCGCAGTCCCGGAGGTGAAAGCCGAACGACGGGGTAGACCCAGGAAGAACGGTCCAGTTGTATCATGTTATATACCAATTGAGCCTCAACAGTCTCTTCATACAATGCCCATAGACAAGAACAGAGAGGAGGAGCTAGTGGAAAAGATCACCCATATGTTGATCAAGCACAACTTCCACGTACGCCAGGAGCCTCAAGAAATCGCGAATTTGGTTTCTAACGTGCGCAGGATCATCGCCAATGGCGTATCTCCTTCTCAGAGCGGGTCAGATGATTTGTCCGGTAGTATAGCCAGTTTGCTATTACAGAACGAACTACCGATGCCCCAACTCACGAATATTGTATGCGAGTCTGTTAACAACACAATTGCGACCGAACCTAGCGCCTCTTCGTCGTCCAGTGAGATATCGCAGCCGACCATTTCTATTGAGAAACCGCTGCCAAAACTGAGGATCGGAAGACCCAAAGGCAAAAGGAAACCCAATTTCGTTTACGAAGAAATTAAACCGCGCGAGACAGAAAAAGTTGTAAATGAAAGCAGCGGCAGAAAGAGAAGGCGCGCTGCCTTAGAAGCGGAGAAGAGTTTCGATACCATCACCGATTCCAATGTTGATTTAGGAGATGGAAGCGACACAGAATTCATTCCGGAAGGTATTGTAGTGGCAGCCCCAACCGCTGAGGTTATTGTTGACGATAACATATCAGTTAAACAAGAACCAACAGACAATCCAGTCAGAAATAACCGCCGAGTTGCCGCGGAGGCTAACAGCAAAAAGGACTCGACGCAACCTAGCACAGTTATCGATAGTCATTCAAAGATTTTGCACGATCAAGTGAACAGTATACTTTTGAGTGACGATGATGAACCGCCGAAGCGGAAGAGACCGGGCCCAGCGAGAAAAACTTTGGTTACGAAACCTCAAGAGACGGAGGCTAGTGAGACGAGTGAGAAACCGGTGCCGCTTCATCCGTCGTTGCTTAGCAACCAGAACTTTATTAAGATCGTGGCTCATACGTATTTAACTGGAAACCCGATGTTGGACGAAGATGCTGCTACTCTAGCTGCGCAGTATAGTACGCAGAAAGCTCTCAAAGAGTTTGAATCGACTGGGAAGAATATTGAGAGTGGTCCGCTATATGATATAGCTGTTCAGGTCAGTGACACATTTTTTGGTATTCACAAATTTTTAATGAGGGAGGTGTTCAGAAAATTTACTCCACCAGATGGCGCCACTGTGACATGAGGTCTTTTGTATAAAGATTTTGGTGCAAATTAATCAAACGAGCATTTAAATTGATGCATAGTCTATGACGAAATAGATGATTTGACAGATGAGTAGACCTTTCGTCTCAGCACTGCCACCTCGCGCCCGTCATTCCAAAAAACACTCATTGTTAAAAAGTGCCCATTTGTTATAGTCATATCGGTAATATTTTAAATATTTTTAAAAACTATTAACTGCTTTATTTTCATAATTGATGTTCCTGTTTAGAAAGTTTTGAAGTAACTAGAATCAATATTTACTGCTTGCAGGTATTGGGTGTAGACATTCTAAAAAAGTTACAAAGTTCAAAAGGTAACTCTGTCGCTAAACCAGTCCAAACACCTGTAGCAGTGGAAAAACTACCGGAACCTCGTAAAGTTTTACCTGTCGTGAAACCAAAGGAGGAGCCCAAGGAAACTCCTAAAGAAACGCCTAGAGAAATTATTCCAGAAACAATTGCTGGCGCTCCTGCTATAGTTGATGTGGGAACTAAAATGAAGTCGATAAAGTTGAAAATACGTATGCCAACGGAAGGATCGAAAGATAAGCCGATCGTTACGTTATCGAATATGACGCCGCAAGCTAAGACTGCTGTCCAAACGCCAGCGATTATTGTTCCGACTTCTACTGTAAAGGGGAAGTCCCGGATTCGTGTGAAGCCTGGCATATTGAATTCTGTTCTACCAAAATCTGTGCCACAACTACCGCCTATGCCACAGTTATTGCCAGCCCCGACAGCGAATGTCGTACCTGTCGGATTGTAAGTATAAACATATAATATTATCATATTTTGTCATCTCTTAAATTTAATAACAATTAATAAAAATCACCCTACGTGTTTAGGAAAATTTACGTAACCAGATAGCGCCACGGTAATATGTATGACGTTTTTGACGCGAATTAAGCCGCAAGCCACTACGTTCATTGCAAATCATGCAAAGATGTTCATACAAGTTCTTTCGCTCAAAATGAGCTATCTCAATGGAGTTTTCATAGTGGATCCGCCGTCGCTCCGCTGTAGTGTAGACGCTTTAGGGCTTGTTTTGTAAATAAAACACTTCTATGAAAAATAATCAGTTTTTCAAAGCAGTCTTAATTTATTAACGGTATAATAAAAATAAATATTTCATACTTGCGACTTCATCTGCATGGAAAATTGGTTTCTCATACAAAATTTAAAACACCATTTTACCCCTTTGAGTAAGCAGCATATAACCGTCTCATCGATGTCTTTGCCAAAATACATTATAATTGACTGGTTTAGATTAAGTGTGAATGTATGAAAAAAACTGTTTGTACATTTGACAGCAGTCTTTCTTTATCAAGCTCTATAGGAAATGAAAAGCAGAGAACAAAGCTACAAATACTAATAGTCATGCAAGCTTAATATATATTTTTTAGCTCCCTTGAAATACCATACAAATACTAAAATATTGATAAATATTTATAAAATAACAGTATTTTCTTTGAAACTCCCTAATTTTTCCTCTAACAACCAACCGCATTTGTTACAGCAATAGGTTACTAATACTGTACCAAACATGTGAAATCCGATTTAGCCTGTTTTTTTGTTAATCATTCCATACTATCTTTGCTAAAAAAGATCCCTCGTCCGCCTCCTTTCCTTCCAGCTACCGGCTCAATGTGCCACCAGTGTCTAGTCCCTGGACGCACGTTAATATCAACAGCTACATCGCGGACGAACAGTGTTATTCAACTGCGCCTACATTTGATCCGTTAGTCATGACAACTTTTTAAATTTTATATAGGGTGAAATTGAATGTTTCTATGAAACTTCGTGAGATTGTTGGGTTATGTGTATAGAGTATGCCTGTTTTTTTTCGGATTTTTAAGTATTTTTTTTTATGTATTTATTTATAATTTGTGTATTTTTATGTCCTTTCCTCCTTTTGAGTAGTTATTCATTTTAAACAAACAAACTTACATATCCAGTGAAAAACAACTAATAAATAAGCACTTCTAAAAAACGGAAAAACATTAAAATTCCACCGCGGGTCAACGACCGACCGCGCCCGCCAGCCGTTGAGTGAGTAGGTACCTACCTCTACACAGAGCTCAGCTGACTCGTTTGATTCCACACAATACAATAAAATCGTCTTAGATGCCTTTATTGAAATTGAAATAATAAGCACAAATGTCATCTTCTCTTAAGCAGAGAAAAACTTTAAAAGTTAATAATAATTTTGTCACGATTGGAAATAGGTAAATGTTAAACAAAAAGAAATACTTATTGCAGTTCAATACTTGGGTCAGAATGAAATTTATAACCAGGTATTCAAAAGTACTTACGAGACCGGCGATGTAGGTAGGTACAACGAGGAACGAGGAACATATTCATTTTTTTCACTAGAACTTTTTATCAAATCAATCACACTGGTAGTACACAATTAGTTGTTTCTAATCAAAAAGTATTTACACTAGCAATAAAAAGAGACTTAAATTATTATCTGCAAAATTGTTGCTCTAAACCACCATTTTGCTGCAAACAAAGGTAGGCATGTTTGCGGATGTGTCTTTTCACCTTTTTTAAAGTGTCCCTATCACTACTCACTGCACAAAATGCTTTGGGGACTCATTCGTAAACCAAACCTACTTCGTCACACTCGCGATAGCAGTACACCATCTCTAAATATTCTTGGTTCGTATACCGAGGCATAATGAAATTATCACAGTGTATGTCACTAAGTCAAAAGATGCGCACGCCCACGCGCGATTGATATACTTGCGACTGCGTTTTGCAAACAATCAAAGCAAACCACCGCGTGCGGGGAAGAGGGGAGGTGGGCGGAATTCACATCATCAAAGACGCCGCAACCGGCGCTAGTTGCCAGCGTGCGGCGCGCCGCCCGCCCGTGCTTGCCGCAAAACAACATATTATTATGTGTTTGTGTGTGTGTGACTGTGGCTGTGATTAAATGTGTTGGGAATTTCATGACGTGGGCAAATCAGACACGAAGAGTTCCTTCCTACATTAAGCTCGTAAGTTATACCGATTTGCACTGTATGTTTTCCCAATTTTAAATAAGCCGTTTGTGCTTAAGTTTTAATTAAACGAGGCAACTAACATTAACAATAAAAAAGAAGTTCTTACACTAACAGACAAGCTTTACCGATTAAAAATCGTGACAGTCATATTAACTTTATAGGATTTTTAATTGCTCTAACAGAAGATTTATTTTATTGATTAATTACCTGTGCTTTATGAAATAATATTCAAAGGTATTGTGTATCAGTGAATAAATAATTATAATATAGCATCTAAGACTATTTTATTGTAATGTTTTTAAATAGTGTGGATCAAAGCGGAGAGTAGGTAAGCGCCGAGTCATCTGTGCGTGTAGTAGGTACCTACACAGGCGGCCGCCGGTCGTCGCCCCGACCGGCGCTGATCTCGACTGGAGGCATAATGAAGGCATTCATTAAGTTTCCATTTTTTTAGTAGTGCTTATTTTAAGTTGCTTTATAACTTCTATGTAGACGTGTTTAAAATGAATAATTACTCATAAGGAAGAAATGACAAAAAAATAACCAAATAAAAAATTAAAAAACGAAAAATTTTATTTTAATAAATCCGAAAAAAATCAGGCATACTCTATACACGTAACCCAACAATCTCACGAAGTTTCATAGAAACATTCAATTTCACCCTGTATTTTTTTTCTATTGAAATTGTAATGGATATGGCATCGGAATATAATACATTCCGTAAGTTTATCAATTTCTTAGCAAAATCAATTTTCGTAAGAATGTAAACGAGAGATAAAATGTATTATCTTACGGGAACATTTTCGTAAATTGATCAATTTACCGGCTTAGCCGTAAAATAATACGTTAGTTGCTGAACAAAAATTTTACACAGAGCTACAAAAGTTTTATAGTGGACATGACCAAACCTGTGAAAAGCCGGAATGGACCGAACAAAAATTAAAAAATGTGACAAAGGTATTATAGTGTATAACTGTACTTCCAGGGCACAAGAGGTGTTACTTGATTTTTTTTGTAGAAAAGGTCTCTATTAACAGCGTTTTTTTTTCTGGCGCTTCGGTGGCCGCTGCCGAGGCACGCTCGCTTTGCTCGCTCGGCTCGCGCGTTATGGTCACGATACTAACCTAACCTAGTGTGAAGTATCATCGCTTGGGCCATGGAAGTACAGTTTAGTCTTATAGGCACTTATATAGTCATCTTGTGTATGAATATATTTGCATATATCTGCGAGGTAGAATATGCTGAACTTAAACAATGTATTTAGGATATCTGAATGTAAGGTGAGAGAGAGAGAGAGAGGTGAAGGAGAAGGTGTAGCACATTCCTGCAAATAAAGTATCCTATTCGAATAAAATAAGCCAGACAAGATCAGACACTTGCACTTTTTACTACAGCATGGTAAGTCTGGTCGTACCTAAGTCTATGGCGGCAAACGCCGAAGTCGCTAACGGTGACCAATCAGAAAGATGTGTACTATTTTATGTTGATAGGCTTGAAATTTTAAGTTAGTTTATCAATTTACCGCGAAACGTTGTAAATTGATTAATTTACAAAAATGTCCCCGCATGGTAATGCATTTTATCTCTCATTTATATTCTTACGAAAGTTGATAAATTTACTAGGAAATTGATAAACCTACGGAAAGTATTTTATTCCGGTGATAGATATATTATTACCTCAGGAATCTGGTGTTGAAATATGACGGCCTATTTCAGACCTTATTAACATGAACGATTGAATTAAACTTTAATTATTAAATAACATTGTCATATTATCTAGTATTGAAATCAATATTTATACCTTATATTGTGTGCATATTAGAATTAAACTACATAATTATAATTATTCATTAGAAGTCCTATAAATATTATCACGTAGCTTCCTTAACATCTTAGGTCCGTAATTAATATACCCACACGAATTACTGTACTTGCAATAGTAAACTTCCTGGCATGTACTTGGTTGAACAAACTCCTCAATGTCATGTACCATGTCACCTAACTAATCAAGTGCGTCCTTACTAACAACTCTCCGATTTGCCCTGTTCTAATGGGATATGACAACGGGTTTCCCATTCGGAATCGCCGTTTTAAGAAAACAAATTGACATTTTGTTAAAAAGTTATATATATTTGATAAATTTGGCAACTTGTTTTGATATTAGTACTTACCTCAAACAATACCTATTATATTAACATTCTCTTATTCTTTTTCAGCCTTGTTTTTCAACCATCTTGGTGTAGGTTACTCGCTCAACAATTTCCACTCACTGCATTAATATAAAATTTAAAACTGGTTATTGTTATCACAGGTTCAAAGGTGCCGCGGATATTAACACGAACGATACGCACCAATCCGCAGACGAGTGCATACTGCCCGATGACGATGACATCCACATTATATCAGACCCGGTACCTCAGCTCAATATCGCGCAAGAGTACCAACAGAGGCCAATGATTCCCGTCACGCCGATTAGCGAGCCAGCTAAATCCATGCGATACGTACTCGAAATGCCAGTGAACAGCGTCCGATCCGACAGCAGTACCGTTAATGCAAACGAGCCTCGTATGAACCAATTCAAAATACAAATCCCTAAGAATGCGGCCCACAAAGTTGTGAAATTGCCCAGTAGGACGTCGATCAATACTGCGCCGGCGACATCCGAATCGATTGTGTACAACACCATCTCATTGGACAGCGACGACGATGACGATTTGCCGAACGTTCCATTATCGCAATTGTCTAAGGCCGCACCGCCATCCGTGGTGCCTGTATCGCTGACCGCCTCGAACTTATTAAACGTCGGGTCCCAACCCTTGGTCCCAGTTTCGTTGACAACTGCTAATTCGATAATTCAACACACGACAGACCTTACCAACGTCTTGAATGTACCCGCAACCTCTGCGACGCGCGTTTCGCAAGGACAACCGCCGAAGGTCGTGAATAAGAAATACATTGTGGTGCCTTCCTCGTCGCTGAAATTGGCGGGTGCGGATTTGCCTACTAAAGTAGTTCCTATCGCTCTGAGTCGAGCGTCGACGGCCGTACCACAGAATCCGACTTCCGTACCCGAAACTGAATCCATTTTGCCGGTCGCGACGCCTGAAAACGATGTGACTGCTAAAAAGAAACTTACCAAAGGTGATGTGTTCCGCGTCTACAAGTCCGGACAGGTGGAACTGTTAACAAGAAGGGACCAAACGCCTCCTGCGGAGAGACCCAAGCAGTCTTTGACTCCGGCAAATAACAAATCCAGTTCCGCCGTTCCTGCAACTAGTCATTCCTCTCCGAACAGTTCACTCGCCCCGGTTGTTTCCACAGCTCCGGCCTCTACAGTCACTATAGATCTCGAAGAAATATCCAAACCGTCTAAGAAAAAAAGTAACAGTCAGGCAGTAGTAAATAAAGAATCGTGTTCCTCCAATACTAATGCCAGCAACAGTTCGACGTCGAGCAGTCCTTTCGATCCTCTTTCGATTTTACGAGATGTCGTCCATATCGAAGCTGACGATTATACTGTAAAACGAACTTCAAACATCGTCACTAAAGAAAATATTGTTAAAAAGAAAGACACCGTTGCTAGCACTAAAATTGAAACAATATCAAGTAAAGCTCCATTAAAAAATAATAAAAAAACCTACGGTTCTGTGAATAAAGTACTAAGTCATAAAGATACGAAAACTATAACGAAGGCTGATGATAAACAGACAAAAGGTCAAACTTCTTCAGCAACATCTAAACCTATCTTAAATTTAGTTACACCGCCCATAGCCAAAAAAATCATACCGTTGAAAAAGACTACAAAGAAATCTGAAATATTTGTAGTAAAAGCTTCGGATAATAAGAAAAAGGTGCATACTTTGAACAACACTGAGGAGACCGTTATCGACATTACGTGTTTGGACGAAGAACCTACGACATCTACAGATAAAAATAAAACAAAAACGAAAAAGGTCACCGGTTCTACTCTAACAGGCAATTCGAAAGATATCATACTGTGTGGCAGTGGAAAAGCAATAAAAAGATCTTCGTAAGTACAACAAATATTTATTATATTTACTTTATTGTAATTGTTGGGATATCTACTGTTGTTAGTATAGACTTAGTATTTAAAGACTGGCAGAGTGGGGAAAAGAGACATCATGCCCTTATGCCAATCCCACAAGGAAGAAAGAGACGCAACATGGTACCTTTGTTCCAATAAAGTAAGAGCCAACAGCGTCCTGTCAAGCCTAGTCTTAAAGTTTATTATGAAATTCAGTAAAACTAAGAAAACAATTGTGCTTATACAATTCAGTCTGTGTTTAAAGCATATCTTGACACGCACACATGCACAATTAAATTTTTGGAACACTTGCGTTAGGTACTCTGTCTATGTTTACATCCTATACCTATGGTACTTAGTAATATTTTTTTTTGCGTTAAAAGGGTGGCATACAATATTGCCTGCCTGATGGTAAGTGATCACCATAGCCTGTAGACGCTTGCGATACAAAAAATATTATTCGCGCCGTCGCCTACCCTGACCCCGTGGAGTTCCGGAACCTTACTCACCGTCAGAAACAATACCACCAAAATGTAATGTTATTTAAGTGTAGTCTTCTGTAAAGTGGAAGTTATTTCCCCAGACAGGCGCTCCCATTCGAGAGGTAAAACCGCTATGCCCTATCTTTATTAAAATTGTTTAGATTGAAAAAAATAAATAAAGATTTTTAAATACCTACATAAAATATGTTTGTAGAACTTCCACACGCTCCGTCGAAATAGTTAAACATGCATCGGTTACTCCAGAACCCGCTCCGCCGGCGCCGTCACCGTCACCGAAGAAAAAAAAGACTGACAGTAAGTGAATTTTATATACGTATCTTAAACACCCATTCTAGAAGCATCAAAGATGTGTGACTACGTAACTAAAATTAATTTAATAAAATTGTATTAATAAAACAAGTTTCAACGGGTTAGATGCACTGATTTTATTTATTTATTGACGTTTCGCAGCCTTTGCAGGAATGCGTCGTCAGAATAACCTTTTTCTATTTAGTTTGTGGATAAAATCTAACAAACAAATATAATAAAATTGTTTTAAGTATATATTTATTTGACATACCATCGATAATTTCACAAATTTCAATAAAGATTAAAGATGCAGGTAGTACTGAACCGTGTGAATCGCCATTGCAGGCATGTGCATGGTCTATATGTAAATAGGTACTTATATTTTTACAGTAACAAATTACTGTTCGGTTTGAATGTTACATTAAGATGTCAACATCATGGCATGTCTCGTTGTATGTATCTTTAATTCTGTTACGGTGGAGCTAATTTTGTTTTAAGGGACAGTTAACGAATGATTTGATAGGTTGGTTGGTATTGTAACACAAAACTACGACAGTTATTACACGACTGCCCAAGAAAAAAGATTGTAGTGAATTCAGGGTTCATGTATGTAGTCAATTCTTTATTCCACCATAACTTTACACGCCTGAACCGTTTTAGATGTGTGTGATATCGTTAGAATCCTTTCATCATCCTGGGTAACATAGGATACCTAAAAAATTTCAATAACAGCAATGTCAATGATTTATATCAATAAATGAAGTTTCCTTATCTCTTATCTATTAGACAAGTTATTACAATATAGGTATCATTTGAGGGGTCTTAATGAGAACATATCAAATATAGTAGCTTTTATAACAGCATTCGTGTTTTTATATGTTTGCGAAAGTCTTTATTTAAAAATCCCCCCTCAATGAAGTAACAAGACTATAACGGTTATTTACTGTCGTATAATCCTAACTAAAAAGTTTGAAATAAAAAGCTAAATTAAAATAATAATTCTATTAAGTAAGGAACAAAGTTACTTTAACAGTCGGGACCCATCATCATTATTCATAATAAAGAGTTGTATTTTTGATCGCTCCCTTAAAAAGTGCGCACCGCGTATCGGTGTGATCTGACCCTTCCCTTCCCATTTCTGTTCTTCTTTCGCTCCAATCCAGCTTGGAATGCACCATCGATACTAAAACTGCAATTCTTCCATTCGATTTTATACCTTAATTAATGTGATAAAAATAAAGAAGTGATATATTGAGTACATTGCACAATATAGTATAATACACAATAAAATAATTATACTCAAAGGAATAGAATTAATATATTAATTTTCTTTTTACAGAACTAATGACGTTAAAAGATTTCGACATCGACGATATTGACGACATCATTGAATTAGACTAAATAAAACAGCAAATGCAGCATTTTGCAACATAACTGTATAGCCTTTAATAGGGGACTCTGATTTATTATGAATCATCTTTTAGTTGTTGGAGTACATTATTATATCTCTCCTTTTTCGAATGTGATAATTGTTTTTTTTTATTTTTATTTGTGCGGTTGTTTTGCGTCTCGAGATGAAACGTGTGATTATAAAAAATGTCTATGAGTATATGATTGCAGAGTATATTATATAGATAATAATTAAGATGTTATGTAAGTATTATAATAGTGTTACAATTAGCAATTGTAATGCAACGGAAGTTGCGCTTGTGGTTTAATCTAGGTGTAAATGTAAACAGCGTCTTTTTAATGTATTATTGTCAGTCTTGATGGTACTAATGAGATCAAAATTGTGACGGTTTACAGAATAATTTCATAAATAAAAGTTCTGGAGCGTGATTTTTGGTTTTTGATAGCATTTAAGTGTAATTGTGACGTAAAATAATGAGAAAAAGTGTCATCAAGCGTTTATATTACTTTAGCGTTTAAGTTAAAACAAACGCAAACCAGGTAGAATAACTGAGGGCTATTATGGAGATAGTCTAGTTTTGCACTGTAACCCCCTTATTAAAAAACGCAGAATAAACTTGGATTAGTTAATCCATGTTTTGTCTTTGTTCGTTGAATGACATGAACAAAACACGGCGTAACTAGTCTAACCTTATTCCTTGTTAATTAATAACAATTTTAATTCATATTTTTTGGTGAAAAGTTGCATAATCATCCCATATCAGTTCGATTTTATTTTGTTATTTTTCTTTAATTTAAAATAATATTCACACTCGCAGAATCGTGATACAATATTATAATATTAATTTTATTATTACTGCTATTTTATTTGCTTGTGCGAATATTAATATTAGGTATGTAAAATTATGTGCACAATTATATGACCACACTCACTACAAAATGAATAATACACATAGGTAATTTATTTGTTTGTATTTATCAATAGGGTAGCTTACAAAAAACGTTATTATAATTACAAATTTAAATAAACTCTGTATTTCAATGTCACAAGTGATGGTTTAAAATTAGTACATCAACATAACGGAATCTCCACGATATGTTATTAGGAAATTGGAGATTTTTGAATTTTAGTAAAGTATTTTAAGCTTTTCTCCGCTTATTTAAAGCTGCGTTATGCAACGAAGACACAATGTTTATAGGGAAGAAGGAATTGTCTTCAAAAATTAGATTTTGAGATAGTGAGCGTTATACACAATATTATTGTATAATGTTCGTGGCAAGATTTTAATTTGTTCAGTTAAATTTAATGTATCATTAATTAAGAATGTTGTTTATGTTTGTAATTTCTATGATTAATTGTAAGCGTGATAAAGATTAAACTTCCTTTTAATCTGTATTGTCGTTTTAATTATAGTTTGTAGGAATGGGAAATTGCAAACACGGGATTTTAGTAACTTTATATTTATTTCTTAAAACAAAATATATTTAATACATTCATAATAATTTATATAACTTACGCTAGAGTTTTAAAGCTTCTACATTTGAAAGAAATATAAACATTTTCATAGCAAACCAATAAAAGAACCTTATGACTGACCAGTCGCTCATATCACTTTGAACTTAAAATATAAAAACGTAACGTCTTTAATGTTTTGTATTTATTTAAAACAAAAAATGCTATACACAAATACTTTTCTAATTTCTTTTCTGCTTAATCCGTTATGGGAACACGTGTGTTAGAATTAAACAATGCCGGTGCGATGACCTATTAGTCGCAAACGCACAGCAATAACAAGTACACAAACAATACGAACACGAACATCTAACTCTACTCGTCGAACATATTAATTCGCAACTTGATGTTTCGCAATATTCGGAGTCAATATAACTACAATAGATTCAATGAAGCACCATAAGCCATTGAAATTCCCCACTCCGCGTTTTTATTTTCTAGATACAAACCAAATATATGATTTTCTTGTTCATTCGTTCGTCCACGACTTGACATTTAAGGCGGCAACAATAGGCTAGTTGACTCATGTCAAATTGCACTATACAAATGTTTATTTCTTATAATTTTTGGTATGAGGAACCTAAATACATCGATTTCACTTCATAAAATTAGAAGACGGCTGTAGTAATTTAATTTGAAAAATAGTTTTTTAGTCTATGCTTATTAAACACTATAAACGCTGTCCACCATGATTGTGACGTCAACATAATAGCAAAACAACTAAACGTCATTGTCATGTTACTGTGGTTTCTTTCGTCCGACTAAAATATATCTAAAAACTCTTATATCTTGAAGAAAAGTGTCCGTTTATTGGTTTTCTTCACTAAATTAATGCTGGATGCCGGATTTGTGAAAGCAGAAACGACAAAACTCTTTGACTTAGCAGGTACATTCATAACCTTAAAAATTGAAACCACAACATTTCTAGAGTTTTTAACGATGTGTTTCTTTATTCTCGTTTAATACAATCATGACAATTACTATATTTATCGTGAAATTTATTAGAAATCGTGGTTTTGTAATGTAAATTCAGATAGGTAATATCCTACGTGCTTGCGAGTGTTTGTTTACTATTGTTCCCGTCATACCATAGATAATCTATAGACTAAAATGGCCGATAGCGTTTTTGTATGTCCATGAAAAATCTATTTTAAAATTAAAGATTTGTAGCTTTCTAGGTTAAAAAAAAATTAAAATATTTTTTTTTCGGTCTAATTGAACAATTATTAACCATTTAAAACATATTTCCAAAAAGTGTCAACTAGCCTATTCATATACAATGGCGAACTGACAATGTCTTTTTCCCTCGAGCTAGTGGTAGGGTTAATAAAAATTATATGCATGCTACTAAAATAATATAATTAATAGTTTTGTTCCAATAAAAAGGGGTAAAACTAATGTTTCATAATAAAAATGCGTTCTCCCTAAAGAGGGCTTTTCCACCGCGAGCGGAGCGAGGCCATTGATGACTACGTTTACCTCGCAATACAAAAATACATACATCTGTTTCATAGTGTTGATACAAGTGAAAAATGAGTAAAAATGAAAATGAGCTAGTTAGTTTGGAACTCTTTTCCGGTTGAAAAGTAAACCTATTTCATGTACACGAAGACCGCTTCACTAGACATTCCTAGCTCATGCTTCTTTTCTTAAGTATCATAATATTTAGGTCGCGTGCATAGAACTTAATCCTAAAACAAATTGTCCGCGATGCTTTCCAAATGAGCCTCGTATCTTACCGTTCGTAATAGGTGAACCATGGGCGGAGCTTGTCGTACTCTTTCAGGATTTCACTGAAGGCTATAAAGTAATTTTTAATTTAACTGGTACAATATTTCATTTTTGCATGGTAGACCATTCTCTTTTTGTCCCTAGCGGTGATCGCCATTGCGTGACGTGATCTTGATTATATTTTAGAAAAAATTTAATGCTCTCATAACACACGTGCTCAAAACTTCAGACGTAATAGGTAAATAACTTTCGATTCGATAATGTCCAGATGATTAGTGAGACCCAATTTATTTTACCTTATTCTAATACATAGTTTTCAGGCTTTTCTCTGTTGTTCAAATTATATCTAATAATATAAAAAAAAGAATATACGTGCACATACAACAATTTTTTAAACTAAACAAAGATCTTTTACGTAACTAATATTGTACTGCAATATTTTGAATTGTTAAAATATGTACAATTAGAGACTTTTCAATTAGATAATATTTGGCTTAATTCATATACGTATATTAAATAAAGAAAACATTCAATGATAACTAATGGGAGATTTACATGGGGTCGATTTAAGCCGTGTAACAATAGGCTGTTTAAATCTAAAGAAAAGTTTACTAGAAAAAATCCACCACCAGGCAGCGGTCGGTTCGAGTCCCGTCCGCTGCCTGGTCCGCGTGGATTTTAGAGTTCTATCTAGCAGTTAAATGCTTAAAAAATAAATAAAATCATAATAGGCTATTTGCCAAGTTTTTGAAAACGTTCATGCGTTATTTATTAGTGTACTCCATAAAAAATTGATACTTATAATACTGTTGAATATATTAGTAAAAAAATGTTTTCAAATATGCCGCGGAAACGTTTCTCTTGCAAATATGGCGTTTTACAGGTAGGTGACGTCAAACGGCTCTCATTAAAACGTCAAACAGTACAATGTAATGTCATTTCGTCAGTATGTTTACAAGCAAGTGACGTCATACTAGGCTACGCGTTATCGGCCACGTGACAATTAAAGTAAATATCGACCAATGTAAATGCCGCATTAGCAACAATAACACCAACAATAAGCCCCTACGTACAATACTTACGGATGACTAGTATTGTGACTCTTCACAAATGCATGCGATGTGAGATGTTTCGCTGCAACTTCTGTTGGATATTAGTCGTCGTAAGTAAGAACGGGGCTAAGATTTATCTTATTATAATTATCTTATACTTAGGCGCCGACTAGAGCAACCGCACATTGAGTCACTACATGCGGCCACCAATCGCCGCCCTCTCCTTACCGCTTTACAATTCATCGTATTGTGCCACAAGTAGCGAGCTAGGGCGACTACCGCAGATTGTGGGTCGAACGTGGCCACTCGAACGCTTAGTTTGCGCCAATACTATCCAAAATATAAGAAAAAAGCGGCCAAGTACGAGTCGGGAATGCACACCGAGGGTTCCGTACAAACTCAATTTAATACCTCTACGCGTTCATGAGAAAAGAGGTAGTAACTTTAAAAAAATTTCAAAAATATTTTTTATTATATGATGTAACTAAAAATTTACGGTTTTCGCAATTTTTCCTTTATCTGTACTACAAGACGTCATTCGTACCAAATTTCAAGATTCTAAGTTCACCCTGTAGGTTTTGATTCCCGTGCGAGTTTCGATTTGCGGCATAAACGGCTGTATCTTTTGATTGCTTTGGCTTAGAAGTTAGTATTAGATATGAATTTCAGTTTGATACCTCCACGCGTTCCCTAGAAAAACGGTCTTAACAAACAGACGGACGGACGGACGGACAACAAAGTGATCCTATAAGAGTTCCGTTTTTTCCTTTTGAGGTACGGAACTCTAAAAACACGTCTGCAGCTCGTGGCCGGCAATAGCGGCTCAATGTGCGGTTGGGCTTATACGGTCATGCATATGGCAGTCGATTCCATCAGCCACTGTTATGCAAGGTGCCAGTGTCGGTTTCTCAATCGATTGTCACCGTTATGTTAAAATAAGCAAGTCTGATGCTGGTAATCACATTTGACACCGAGGATATAAATATCCCGGATTTACTTGTTCCGGTATTCAAATCATTAACAGTGGGAAATCTCACTGCAAAATCTACCTTCTAATCAACGCCATAGAATTTACAGAGATCACTCGTAGTATCAGGGTCGTTATGTCACCAAATAACATGTTATAGTAATAATAAAATTATGAATAACATAAACTTGCGAGTTCAACTAAAACTTAAAAAATATAATATATCAGATAATTTGTTTCACATCCTACCTAAAATTCACGTTAGTATGTAATAATGTATGTTTTAAACGTCTATTCCACATTTTGTAACCAGTGTTTGTAAAGATTAATATAAAATAATGAAATGTTATTAGAATATTGCTTGCTCTGAGTAATTAGTCAAAATGTACTAAAGTGCCATTTTAGCATATTCATAAATATTATAGTTATTAACAGGATTGTTACCATGTACCTTATTTTTTACGACTCTCCGATATTTTGGCACTGTTGGAAATGCCATGATCACGGAGTAACTGAAGTAATTGCTAAATACTGGTTGCCTGTCTACTTTGTGTTTCTGGTTTCTTAATTTGTGTTTGGGTGGAAACTGTCCCTTGTATCCATTATGTTCCAACTCTTCGTGCAGGTGTACATTGTCACACTAGTCAAAGAAGTCTGGAATCCAGTAGTTCGTATGTGCATAAGTTGCAAAAATAAAAAAAGTGTCGTTCCGCGATCTGCTACTGTAAATATTGTGTGTCGGGAACAACAAGCATAGTGAAGAAATAGTGAGAATCTGACCAGTGGTAGGGGTATCGAGCGCAATAAAAGACAGCGTCAGAGCGTAGACCGATATATCGGCCAATAACATCTACCCACAATTACTTCATTACTCCGTGATCATGGCTCTTGCAACAGTGCCGAAATATCGGTCACTCATTAAAAACAAGGTATATAAACAATCCCGTTTATAACTATAATGTGAGTGATTAGAAAGTTTAAAACAATATATAGACATAAATAATCTCAGAACAGGAATATAGACACAGAGCTGAAATGTTGGCCAATAATTGTTTCCCCTTTGCTTCCTATCACGAGATAATTAATTACATTGGTTCTGATGTCAGAATGGCTGATCATCCTTAGGGTAAGTGCTAGCATTTTTTTTATATGCCCAATAACTGCTTCCCATACATTCCTTTATACCATATAAACCTTTATACTGAATAAAAGAAATGAAAATACGGAAATAAAGTCACTTAGTCGAATAAGGAGACCACCACTATATGAATATATTAATTCAACATATGTCAAAAGAATTTCCATTTTATATTTTCCTGTTAATTAAGCAAAAACTCTGTCATTAAAAAAACACTGTGTAAATATATGACAATGTCTAAATACAGATCCTTTAGTCTTGTACAAAATACTAAAATAAGTTTTGTGATCTGTCAGTTTCAGACGATACTAATAAGTCGATATTTTTTTTATTCAAACTATTATCATTGTCTTTTAAGTTATTCGAATCGTCCTATACTATTTTGGACTTATTTTAGCTGCTAAGTTAGCCAAGTGCTGGAAATTGCCCAACGCTTTACGAACAGTAATGACTTTCAAGTTACTTTAGATCCAGCCTCTAATTTCTAATTTCAGCCCCCATCCATTAAGCCTCACATTTAGCATTTGCGAACGAAGGCTGAATGTAGTTTCTAAACATTTCTAAATACAAATTTTAATGTGGCATTAAAATTTTATACACAAATTTTGATTGAGTTTCAAGAGACTGAAATTAGGCAATGGGCTTTCTGAAAGATTTTATGATTTCATCGCATAGAGCAACACGAAAGGGAGTAGCCATAACGACATAATTCTATTCAAATCGTTCTTCCCTTTTTTGCGGGGGGAATATGCACACAAATGCAGTTCAACGTACCTGTTTAAAAACAAAACTGTAATTGTATATCAAACATATATCGTTTGTATGCCCAATTCGACAGCAAAGGGAAAAGCAGTGTACGCCTACTCCCCTCCTGGTCGCGTCGGCCGTGTTGCTCTATGTTTCACCCCAGTATCGAGATTTAAATCAAAACGATTATCGTCTCAAGCTGAAGATCACTAAAATCTTAAACAGTTGATGCGTTTCGTGTTATATTCACCGGGCGTCGACTCTTGATAGGCGCGATTTGTCGAAGGAGCAGATTGCGTTGAGTAAAGCCGATCGTCCTGTATCGGGACTTACGGTTGAGGGGCTTACGGCCACTGGACTCGCTCCGCTGTCAACGGCTGCAAGTAAAATTGAGTTTTTCACTACACCATTACCGCACTATAGTGAGGCCAACGAATAGGGGTGATGACGGGGTAAAGCAAACAAAATTCTATTTAGTCCGTCAGTTAGATCATCAAAAAATAATGGACACGTTTTTTCTTTGGTCAATCAACCAAAAAATAATAAAGATAAAGCGCGTCAAAGTTTGGGAGTGGTGGCTTGTGACGTCACTTTTAAGTACAAATTGTACCAAAACGTGACGTTTAATGCGACTTTTCAAATCAATATATCTCTGTAATGTTTTGATTGTGTGAAAAAAGAAATAAATACGTGTCCAATACTTTTTGGTAATCTACCGGATACACGAAGAAAAAAAAGTAAGTCGTCGTCCCTATTAGTGCGATACTCACAGTTCGTGTTAGTTCCTAAAGCTAACAAAGTATACTTACTGAAAACTAAACTGTAATTCTGTCACCGTAAGAAACTGTTACTTTGGTTAGTCGCTTTAAATTGGGCCCCAAAGGAAATTTCACTAGAAAATACTGCACTCTATCCAGGTATTAGACAAGTTTCGAACCCGCTCGCAGCCTAGGAAATACTAGGTATCGGTGGCATAGTTGGTAAGTGCGCACGCCCGGACAGCGGAAGGCGATGCAGGTTCGAATTCAATCTGATACCTGGACCGACTAGGGTTTTATCGAGTAGTATTTTTTTTAGATTGTTTTAACTAGCAGTTTAGGTAATCCTTAAAAAAAACAAGCGAAGAAGAAGTGTGAAGTTAGCGCAAATCGGAGAGCAGTAAACAGGTTTCACTGAACTGAGATAGGTGCATAAGAAGTTGCGCTCGCTGCTAATATGAAACATAAAGTTTGAATTGCACTATGCCAGCCTCAATTACATTTCGATGTTGCGCCATATTTGCAGGGAAGAATCAGTAAAACAGTACATCAGGTTAAAAACTTAACCTTGATGTACTGTTTTACTGATTCTTTTGAGAATTGCATTACAATCGCAAAAATAGCTAAAGCGATAAAAAATGAGCAAGGCATTCCTACTTTGGTGGCCTGAACACAATCCCCTACATCACTAAAAGTTTTTTTGAAGTGGTCTTCTATAAGTCTTCAACTACTTCCCCAGACGGGCGCTCCAAGTTGATATGAATAGTTTGCTAAGCCTTAGCACTCTTTATGATTTAAGTTTTAGTTTTAAACTTAAACTTGCGGAATCAATGCAAAAAGAACTTTTGCAACGCCATCTATTGACGCCGGGTGAAACAAGAGATAGCCCGATTTTGAATTAAATTTTAACACATTTTTATTTAATTGTAGAAAATGAATCAGAATATGAGGGTTAGGCCGCTTTTGCGCTGACAGCCACAAATAACTTATCAGGTAGATTTGTAAGTTCAGTTTTCTTAAATTTGATAACGTTCTGCGTAACTTTCTCGTAAGAACCTTCTACTAAGAATAAGACAACTTTAAAAAGATGGCTGAAATCGGTAAAGTCGTTTTTAAGTGATGGCGAGACCGAAGGAATTGGGTGTCTTTTCAGGAATGATAAGTACTTGTATTCATATATACCTTTATCTTAATATTTCTCTCTGTTTGTAATATACTTACATAGTGCCGGTGGCGTGGGAGAGGATGCTGTGCTAGCACTATGCGAATGCACAGTTTCCGCCAATGATGACGTAGATTTCCAAATACTTTGTCTCTTTTTCTACATAAAGAAAAAAAAAATATGCAAGAAGAATTTTGGAAACAAAAGAAATTGAATCAGTATTTAAAAAATAAATATCTCAAGCTACATTACATCAGTTGAGTGAACATTCGAACGACATGTGTAAGTTTGTTTTATATTGCATATTGAACTTTATCTCCACAAGATAATGTAAAAAATTGTAAATTCACAAAAGCAAGGTACGCAAATATGTGTCTACTAACTTGTAATAGCAAAAGCGCCTACTATATTATGAAAACAAGGAACCACTAACATATTTAACTTGAATTTGCGTATATTAAAGCATCTTAATTTGGTCTTTAATGCATATGAAATAAGAACCGAATTGTCTATCTTACCGTTCGTCGTTTCTGTTTCCTCAGCTCCTCCTCAGAATTTAGTATTTCTTGAATGCGAACTTCTCTCTTCACACTTCGAACCTAAAACAATTTATTACAAATACAAGTTTTTGGGTCCCTTGTGAGAATTATCCAAGCTGTGGATACCATGTCAGTAATAATATTTAAAGTCATATTATCAATATAGCCATATTGTCATGAGGAGTTGCTTGGCGCAGGTAATTAGAGCATTCGGGCTGCGGTCGTGAAAGTTAAGCAACTTTTGCAATGGTGGGTCATTGGATGGGTGATCAAAATCTTATTGTCTTGAGCTCCTCCGTGCTTCGGAAGGCACGTTAAGCCGTCGGACCAGCCCACCGTGTGTTCCTTACAAATTTGACGGTACGCATAAACGGCCGCATCTTTTCTTAACGTTAACTTAGAAGTTGGATTTTTTCACAGCTTCAAGGGACCACAGATCTTAGTATATAGTTTAAATTTCAAATTGATGATACCTTCACGCATTTTCGAAATAAAGAGTCTTGACAGACAGACAGACAAACAATGTGATCTTATAAGGGCTCTGTTTTTCCATTTGAGGTACGGAACCCTAGCAAGGGCAATTAAGACAACAAAACAATAATAACTCACCAGTTTCTGCTCGTTGCGTAATCTCGTCTACAGACGGACAACAAAGTGATCTTATAAGGGTTCTGTTTTGTCCTTTCCTTTAAGGCACGGAACCCTAGCAAGGGCAATTAGGACAAGAAAACAGTGATAACTCACCAGTTTCTGCTCGTTGCGTAATCTCGTCTCGGCTAACGACAAGGCATTTATGATTTCCTGTTTCGTCGCAAGCGGCAGTTTGAAACGAAACTTTGCCATAGGTGGCGTTAGGCCGTTGTGAGCGCACGCGAAGAACGGGTGGCACAACAGATCCTCGATCCTGGGACCGCCTTGCCTGATCGATTCCCGAGACAAGCATAAACGGAGCACGTAATCTGTTATCAGTGCAAGCATATAAATACAACATAACCATAATTAAAAAGAAATATTAACTCACTATGCAAGAGTGTGTGACCAGAGGGCCAAACGCCTAAGGGGATTGCCATGGCTATCGCTAGCGCTTACGATTTCATATTGTTTTTTCTGACCGCCGAAGGTTTTCAAATGCCTCGCACTCGTTTATTTCTTTTGCATTGGTAATAACAATATTTAAAAAATGAGCGTGGGATATTTGACGACCTTCGGTGTTCAGAAATAGCATTATGAAATCGTAAGCGATAGCGATAGTGAAATGAAACATAGTTTGTTACAGCTGGTAAATAATATAAAAAGTTCCATATGTTTCGCCCTTGGAAGAGCATTCAAAATACTAATAAATTATTTAAAAAATCAAATTTAAATTGAGTAATAGTTGCATTCCAATACTTATATAATACATGTCAAATTTTCTAATTCAATAGCCATTTCCTCATTATGTCAACACAATTACAATAATTAATAAATATAATACCTATACATACATTATATAACACATAATTATACAAAACATGTATTTCTTTTTTAAGTCAATAGCCATTTCTTCGTTATGTCAACAAAATTACAATTATTAATTCATAATAAAAATTCTTTTGTACTACAAAAACATTTACTTATTTACCAGTCCTGTAACTTTTTTGTCATTAATTTTATAGGTCCGTGCTTGAATTGATTTGGATTTCTATTGTATACCTTACACAATGTTATAAGCACATGTTATAACAGCTTTTCTGGTACACCGAGGTTTTTGGTGCAAAGTCCAAAACAAATCTATCACCATCTCTAGTGTTTCGAGGGTATATATCTTTAGCCTGAAATAACCCCGGGTTTTGGCTGACAAATTTAGGCAATTGACCCCCAGTCCCTGTAGCATGAGCACCACAATTTACCTTACATCACGTTTTTTATCGCGATTAACTGTCAAACTCCATCATCATCATCATCAGCCTATTACAACCTACGACGAGCCTATATCTACGACCTCCGTGGCCGAGTGGTTTGAACTCCGGGTTTTATGGTGTCGCCGACTCGAGAGGTCCGGGGTTCGAATCCCGGTGGAGGCAAATGTTTGAGTGATGAATACGAGCATTTGTACTCCAGTCATTCTATCCGTTACCCTAGTATACGATAACACAAGCCTTATAGTGCTTAGTTTGGGGCTAGGCTAATTGGTGTGAGTGTTGTAAATATTTATTGTTTCTTTAATTATTTTATTTATTAATGTCCACTGTCCACTGCCCCAGCAGTGGGCACAGGCCTTCCCTATGGATGGATTAGGTAGATTGGGCCATGACCCACCACGCGGGCCCAGTGCGGGTTGATGGGTTCTAACGACGCGGAGGAGCTCGAGATAGTAAATTTTTGGTCACTCATCCAATGACCGACCACTGCGAAAGTTGCTCAACATAGTAACAATAGAATAGTTCGGGTAAAAGGTGAGGAGCACTGGTGGCACGAGGATGTCCGCAAGGAGGGGTTCTTTCGCCACTTCTGTGGAACCTCGTAGTTGACGACCTGCTGACCAAGCTAAACTCGAACCACTACTACACCATAGGGTATGCAGATGAAATTACTATACTTACCCTAGGCACCCACGCAAGTATTACCTGTAACACCATGCAAGGTGCTTTGAAACTGGTTGAATGCTGGTGCAGGAAATACGACCTCACAGTTAATCCAACAAAAACAGCTGGTAATGTTTACAACCAAACGCGACGTAGGTGCTTTCAACTTGCCGAAGCTGTTTGGTATCACACTACAACTGTCGAAGGAGGTAAAGTATCTAGGCCTTATACTTGACAGTAAGCTAAACTGGAGTAACCATGTGGAACACAAAATCAAGACAGCCAGCGTAACACTTTGGCAATGCCGTCAAATGTTAGGGAAGCGCTGGGGTCTTGCACCAAAACTGTTCCTATGGTTATATTACACAGTCATACGACCAATGGTAAGTTATGGCGCCATCATATGGTGGCCGAGATCTAACCAGACTACTTGTGTCAACAAACTACAAAGCTTCCAGCGGCAGATATGCAGCGCGGTGACCGGGTGCATGAGTACAGCTCCAACCGCAGCACTGGAAGTTATTTTAAACATCACACCGCTCCATATCTACATATGACAGGAAGCAGCTAAAACAGCGTTGAGACTACAAAAGTTTGGACTGGTAAGGTTCGAAAGAGCAAGGCATCTCAACGGTATACTGAAGGAATGGGTAAACACTCCGCTCATAGATGATGCATGTGACAAAATAATACCCGCCTTCATATTTGACAAAAAGTACAGAATACATCTACTGGATGACAACGATCCAAAGGTAACACACAAGGCTCTCATGATCTACACCGACGGCTCTAAAACCTCATCGGGCACGGGCGCGGGTGTTTTCTTTGAGGACCTGAACATACACATCGCGTTCCCCTTAAGCCCATACAACACAGTGTTCCAAGCTGAATGTATGGGCATCACACTGGCGGCAACAGCGATCCTTTCAAGAAAGGTAACAGGTCAGGAAATACGAATACTGTCCGACAGCAAATCAGTCCTACAAGCTCTAGATGCCTGTTTAGTCAGATCGAGCCTCCTACAAGAATGCCACCAAACCTTAAACAAGGTAGGGTCAAGCAATTCTATTACCATCCAATGGATCAAGGGACACAGTGGATCACGCGGAAACGACGCTGCGGATGAGCTGGCCCGGAAGGGATCTGATACGACCCCAACAGGTCCTGAACCAATCGTCCCAATACCGGTAAGCTGTCTCGTCAATAAAATCCGCGAGCACACTGCCGAACTACACCAGCAATACTGGCTCGACCTGGAGATGTGCAGGCAGACCAAGCTCGCTTTGCCACGGGTGAACGCTGCCTTCTCCAAAACTCTCCTACAGCTAAGCAAACCTACATTGCGCATGGTAACGGGTGCTATCACTGGACATGTACATTTTAACAGACATCTTTTCAACTTAGGTGTCACGGACAGCCCCCTATGCAGAGGATGCATGGAGGCAGAAGAAACAGCTACTCACGTTCTGCTGGAATGCAACGGAGTGGCCGAATACCAGGCGAAATACCTCGGCTCACCGGGAAACCTTCAAGAGGCAGTCACCAATGTGAAGGCCCTGGGGGCGTTCCTGGGGGAGCTGGGCTGGCTGGAGTGATTCCGGCCATACACCCTCCTCACGCAAAACCGGCGCCATAAGGACGTCGAGTTGCGGAAACGCCCGTAGCAACAAGAAGAAGAAGAAGAAGTTGCTCAACTTCAACGACCGAAGCCGAACGCGCTAACCACTGGCGCCATCGAGCTCCTCTACTTACTCCCAAACTCCGTAGTAATTTGTCAATTGAGCGTAATAAAAACGCGTTATATACCATACGCGGTGCTCATGCTAGGGGGGGCTGGGTTTGAACTGAGAAATTCGGCTAATCGGTTTATGTCAAAATAATTTTAAACGTTTGGAATGTAAGAATGTGTATGGTGGTTGTCAAACCAATCTGCTATGTGCACAAGAATAACTAACATAGCTATTAATATTTTACAATATTCTGGCTGATGCACGGTATTTAGTTATTTAAGATATTAGTGCGGTAAGTTGGTTATTACAAACGAGTAGACGAATGTAAGCCCGAGACGAAATCGTGGGCTTACCATAGACACGAGTTTGTAAATACCAATCCTAACGAAAATCAACACATTTGCGAGAAAACAGTACCTACACGTCATTTATGTATTTCCAAGTGAAAATTAGAACTACATCACGTCACGTAATGAGACGCAGCCATAATCACAAAAAAAATAATTGAATTGAATACATCACGTATTTAAGTAAGACAAAGGTATAGATTAAAATCACTTCTAAGGAGGTTCGACCGAACTTAAAAAAATCGTAAAGGGCGCGGTGCCATATGCCGGAGCGTGCGGTATAATTTATACATCACGCTCTGTTGTATGGTACGTAATTAAAGCTTTCTAAACAATGTATACAACGTCCGTATGCATTTTTTTAGCAAATGAGTTGAAAAGTATATTTTTGAGCATTGTCATAATTCGCAGTATTTTAAAATACCAAGGTATTTTAAAAATAATGAATTTTTCAAAGTGCACATACATATTGGTTTGACAACTACGTTAAGTGGATGTATGTAACAGATTAAGCAGTATGAATTAATAATTCGTATCTCGTGCCAAACATTAATTTAACAATTTTCACTCACCCAGTAAATGGGGTGTTTCCTCTGGAAAATTATCACAGTAGTGTTCCTCTAAGGGTGTAGCGAATGCCATTTCGTACAAAGTTAAGCCGAAGCAGTACATATCCACAGCGTCCGGGGTTGCAAGCCTCAAGTGTAATAATTGCGGTCGATACAAACAAGGCACCCCTAATAGAATATTCTCTATGTCAAGTAGCAACACTCGCTGATTGACTATGGCTATGTTTCCTGGGTGTAAATGACCTGAATAATAAAAAAACCAATGTACCTGAAGTAACTTTTAGAACTGTAATATTTACCTTGAAATGATATATATATATATATATATATATAGCATACAATACACAACTCTTTATATTAACCACAGAATACAGAAACAGGTTACAAGGGTGATCATAGACCGTTTTGTACGGAAACCGATGTCGCCGGCTCGGCCCCACTACACTCCCACCTAATAGATAATAGCTAATTAAACGACGCGACATCAAACAATGACGACATCAGCGCTTACAGCCGAGAGCAACAACGCAATCAGAATCACGTTTTGGTTAAGTTGTGAGCATTTGTTCACACATAACTGTGGCGCGCCTGCCCCGCCCACAAGATCCTTCTAACCTCTGTATTCTGTGATTTAAACCACAGAAAACATTAAGTACATAATGGCTGAATATAGTGCAATAATCGGTGGTCCTGTGGTTAAATAAGCGCCAATAAATAAGGCACTCAGTTCAAAAAGCACCTAAAATAAAAACATTAGGGAAATTTACAAAAAAAAATGTATATAAAACTTATATTTTTATTTATTAAGCATTTAACTGCTAGAAGTTGAAATCTAAAGAAAATATATAAATAAAATTAATAAAATATAATTATTAAATAAAAAGCTTGTTGTTATTGGTTTTTATATTATCAAGATCAAGAATGATCAAAAAGGTTTTATTAAATTCAAAAGACCTATTTCAAACCTTCAAAATAACCCAAAAAAAAGTATGCGTGTGTGAGTAGTATCTTAGCACACATACTTCTTATTATTAAATGGGAAAAGGCAAATGTTCATACATACCATGCGCCATTCCTTTATCATGTAAAAACCTCAAGGCTTGCAATATCTGATTTCCATAATGAGCAATCTGTCCCAAAGTTAGGGGTTTTCTCACTTTGGGGTTGCCATATTTCACTAAATGATTCTTAGAGTATTCAGTCCCATACAATATATCCCTGAGGCTTCCATTTTCGTGTATCCTTCTAACTACATAGGCACCACTTTCTAAATTATGTATCGCTAATATTTGATCTATATGAGGGTGCTGAAAATAAATTGAAGGACTCCAGTTGCTGATAAAATGTAAGTTTAACTATTAAGTATTCTTGAGGAGGTTTCCTGCACAGTTATTGATCATTCTATATTGTAAACAAAAGTCCAAATAAGGTTAAACAAACGAAATACTTGGAAAAAGCATATACTGTAGATGAAATTAACCCTCCTTATTCTACATAAAAAATATTGGAAAAAACTTATTAACAGTAACTTTTTTTACAAAGTCTGTGATTATATATCTTAACTTACTGATATATTCTGTAAACTCTTAAAAGCAGACTGCAGGTCATTGTCACTTAAATGCTTGTCTGGACCATAAGTTTGCCAAGACAGCATACAGTTTAATTTGTTCTCAACTTCAGTCACCTGGAATTATTTCAGCGATTAATCCAGAATGTTCATAATTTAAATCATCATGAAAATTTTATGGTTGCGAAATTGGTTAACATAACAGATTAGGTAAAGATATCTGACAAAAATAAATAAGTTATTTTTGCAAATTAAAATAATTAAAAAAAGAGCACTTCATTCATATTCATTCAGATTGTTTTCATCATCAAGAATAGCTTGAAAATTCTCTGACTGCAGACATAAAACAATGCTTATCTGTCATTGGATGAGTCAACATTACTAAAAATACACTGAGGAACATGTAGTTGCGATTACAGTAGCATTCTTTTAATTTTTTATCAAGCAAAGCTACAAAGATTGATACAAACGCCTTATTATGGGTCAATGACTTACTAAAAAATAATGTTTACGTATTCTCCAGCCGATGTCATTCAGAGGACCTTTGAGTTCATAGTGTCCATCTCCACGCAATGCTATTGATACAGTTTGTAAAGCTTGCTCTGTGAATGGATGCAATTAAATTATTCATTCAGTGTAGAACTAAACTGAATAGTACTATGTTGGGAAATATATACCATTGCCATTGTAGAGTGAATACCAAGTAATTCGAAATCAGATAATAGGGCAAAATCAATTAACTTTCTTTGTCTCCACAAAGTTGATTTTATGGTATCAAGTAACTTGATTTACGGTTTTTGATGTAGAACTATATTATATTGATAATACATATCAATTATAAACAGTTGCATAATAAAATCTTTGTTGTGAAAAATGTGATCTGTAATCTACAGCATTTCTTCACACATATGGATTGTACCATAATTTTTACCTGCTATGGATAATGAGTAATTCTTGGGGTCCAAAAAGCTCCTTACTGGTAATGACAAGGAAAGTCTCTGATGCTTCAAAACTTCATTTATATATATCTGAAAAAGATTTTAACAATATATTAATAAAAGAAAAACAGCAGTATAAAATCAGCCTCATATGACATAAAAATGAAGTACTTTACATAATACCTACTAGATATAAAAATAACAAAGTTTTAAAAATATTCAGGAACTACAGGCATCATGATACATCAGTAACATTAATAATAGTTTTAGAAATTTCAGACATAGAAAACAATTATAAAACTAACCTGAAGGGCTATTTGTCTCTCTGCAACAAAAGAGGGTTGCATATTTCCAATAAGCTTCTTTGGGGGCAACGGTAGTTCAATGTTAGCAGCTTGAAGGTTACAATGCAAGGATGCAAAGTCTCTATACCTTCGAGATACATTCCACTTATTTTCCTTGCATGGACCTCTCTGAACTCGTAATATGTATTCCTATAAATAAATAAACAAATTTTATGTTACTTTGAGAGAAATTGTGAGAGGCAGGATGTATGTTGAAAAGCAAGCAAAAAATCACAAATAAAATTTGTGCCTTTAAGAGCTTATTTTTTTAAACTTGTAAGAGAGGCTATTTTTCTACTTATGTCTGCAGAGGATTTTTGTCCGCGTACTATGAAAAAATAGTACACTGGGGACTTGTCAGGGACTCAATGCACATGGTGTGCAGATATTGTCCTCCGAAAATTTTGTGAGGTATTTTGGGGGACTTTTGTCCGCGGTTTTTTTAATCAATCGTGTGCGATACTCGGTGCAGTTGTAAGCGATCTATTACGGTGGATAAAAGTCCCTTGTATGCGCAGGCTAGCTGGGCTGCTAGTCAATAAATAAATAAACATTTCCAACAAACACGCAAATTAGCCAATGTAAACAAAAAATATAATGTTTTAAAATTAGAAAAACAGCTGATAATTTCGTAATGAAATCTTGTAGAAAACTTTAATACAAGGTCACTTCACGTGATTCTGGAAGACTGAGTAAAACAGAAGTTTGAATTACTTTTTTTATGAAATGTATTTATTATACTTACAGTGTGTTTGTTGATATTTTGAGCATTCTCAATAGTACAAATTAATTTTTCTGTGTCATCTACAACAGCTTTAGTTTGTGATGGTTTTTCAAATATGGCCATTACTCTGTTAGGAAATAACCATTTATTATTTGAGAAGACTGGGCACAGAAATAAACTGAGATTTTAGCCGGAAGATTACAAAAATGTTTTCCAAGAATCAAATTATTAATCAAAAAGAAATTGAAGTACGTTCGTAATAGAGTAGGTATCCAAAAAATAATCAATCAAATGTCATTGTCAGACACAGGCACAGAGCAGTTATAATTGTCAGTCTAACAGAAGTCAACAAAAATGGATATAAATGGATTCTAAAATTGATAATCGGTATGTTAAGAAACCATAGACTTTGTTTCGAAGTAGTATTTTTTTATATGCATGGAAGAATTTTAAAAAACATAACGGGAGGTTTTTGGCGGGATTTCATTGAGTGTGGTTGGCGTCTTATTTTAATTATTCTTAAATTCGTTCATAGTGGATATTGTGAAATAAAATTGGTGTGATTTTGTGTTACAACTGTCTGCGTAACTGAAGAATTAGTAGAATCGTCAAAATATACGCTATTCCGGTCAAGTGGACGTGAGAATTTTATTGTAGTATTGACTACCTCACAGAAGCTTATCGAAAAAGCCAGCTCAATACATTTCGTGCCAAACACTTCAAGAAACATTAGAATGCGTCACACCGACATTCTAATGTAAAAAGAAAAACAGAATAATTTAACTTAAGACTAGGCTGTATGGGCATTGTTCCTTTTGCCTTCCTTGAAAAGGGAGAACTAAACCAAAAAAAAAACAACATCTGTCAAAGTCAGTGTTGCCAGGTCTCCAGATTTTACAGGAGATCTCCTGTTTTTCTGAAATTTCTCCTGTTCTACTGTATTTCTACACAAATCTCCTGTTTTTTTAGAATACGATTTTCTTTTTTAAATTGCATGTTGAGTTGCATTTTTTGTCATTAATTATGTAGATAACCTTAATAATTATAAAATAAATGTAATTGTCGAAAGAAAAAATAGCTTTGAGGGGCGGCAGAAGCCACTAGGCTATTTTTCTTGTAGCTGTTTCCATACATCTACTGTTTTTTTCTATAATGCCTCCCGATTTTTTAAATATCGGACCTGGCAACATTGGTCAAAGTTTCGAAAACCGAAACTTCATGGAAAAATGCGGTAAAAATATTTTTTAAGAATAAAACTTAAAATGCACTCAGGCCTCAAATGCGTAAGAAAAGAATTTTATAGAAATGGATAACTCACAAAGTTCAGATGTCTCAGACTACGTAAATCAATCACTTACTGTACCCGCTGAAACAAATACAGTATCCTTTTATACATTTTATGTAATAAATGTATTGTAAGTACGTTTTATCAGAATTAACATGATTTTAATATGTTTAACCTCAGTGTTTAACACACTCAACTATAACAACTTCTAAATAGACAACTAAAGAATGCCTTGGTTGGGAAATGAACTTAGCCGTAAGCGCTCGTAAGCCGCGCGGACTGCTTAACGGCTTCTCCGTTTCACACCCGTGAGATTTGCGAGAGGTTAAAACTTTCTGCTGTGTTTGTATTATTTGGAATTAGTACTTAATTTCTCTACTACAAACACTATCCAGATAAATATGAATACTTACGAGACTTTGTTAAACAAAACAAAAACCTCTCTTTGTAATGACACCTCTACTTGGATGGACACACCGATTTGTGATTATTTCACATTACTGCTTCAAGATTGTTATTTATGTATATCACAGGTGAGAAGATTTTGTATTGATGTTAAATTTTTGAAGTGAAATTAAGTGATTGCAAGTGAATAATTGATTTAATATTGTATCCACTCAGAAACTATATCAATGCTTTATTGCACTAAAATTATTGTTTATTGCTTGTGTTTAGTAAAAGCCCCATGCTTTTACCTGACACAATTTATTTTTCTCTTACCTAAACAAGCATTCACATATGGTAATCTGTATATACATCTGAAGTATACATGCTCAATGATTTCCAGACACTGAAGCTATTGGATGAATTTGTATTGGAAACAGATGTACAGGCACAGAAACTATCCCATTTTCTAGATAATGCTGTCGACATCCTCCAATTGCTGTCTAGTTTTATAAAGAAAATTATAGAATCTGTCTCAATGAGTTGTAGTACCATGAAGACATTTCCTACAACTACCGGCCAAATCATTGTGGATATTTTTATACATTGCAGAAACAGGTAATTTGGCAGTTGCTCATTACCTATCATTATATCTCAATATAATAATCATAATAGGAGTGTATAATTAGTAATTTAAAATATTTTGCATCCCAATAAGGCACAAAAATGTTCAATAAATTTTATATTTGGCCTCTTTATTATATTTTAATTTTCTAAGTATTTTGCTACTAGATGTTTAAATCTAAAGAAATTTTAACTTGTTTTTTTTCAATTCATTTCTGTTGTTCAAGACCTGTCTACTGCCTGAACAGTGTGGATTATTTTATTGTTAAATTTTCTTTAGTTCAAATGTTTTTTTAATTTCCTTTTATTCTTACTATTTTTTATTTAATTATTTTAAATTGTACTTATAACATAGTTATTGAAATTCTAGCGAAGCTGTATATGGAGATCATCTAGCAAGCATACAACAACAACTCAAAGATTTGTTCAGAACTTGTCATGAGTTGCAGCTCACTTACTTGATGGTGATAGAAAAGCATTTTATTTTCGATCACACTAACAAAGAAGAATTGCTCATACTGGTTGAAGGTATTGCCTTTATTTTTTTATATTCCTTGAATTCATTTATTTATAGAAAGTGGTTCATTTATAAATGAAGGTACAGTTGTTGTAGATGTACTTTTAGCGACTTTCTCATATTAAATTATCTGTTAAAGTGGCTAAAATCACAAAATTATGTTATGCAAATAATGATAGTTGTAGCATATGTACCAAATATTTTTCTTCTATTAAGAATGTATGCCTATCCTAATAAAATATATAAATATACTTAGTAAAAAAAAGTTTAACCTTTTATTGTTTTGTACAGATATTTCGCCAATTATTACCCATAGTAAAACAGATACAAAATAATTATTAAGCTATAATTTTCTCATTGCAGCACTAAATATTAACTTGCATATTGGTGAAGTGGCTCAAACTCTAGACATAAAGACTATGGCAGAGCAGTGGAAAGCTTACACTATGATATGTGAGAAATATGTTAACTATCTGATGGATAGCAGCATTTATTATGATTGTACAAATGTTCTCTGTTCTATGGTATCCAGTAATATAATAGCTTCAATGGAGGTTTGTATGACAATAATACTTTTAATACAAATTTTATTATTTGTAATCACACCAGTAAATTACAGTAGAACGCCGATTATCCGAATTAATTTGGACTGGGGTCGATTCGGATAATCGAAAATTCAGGTAATCAGACATAAACTGGTAATAAAGAAAAACAAACTGTCACACATAGAATAAACCTTATAAGTTTAACAAACACAGTTCTAAAATACTAAATACAATAATGAATGTACATAGTAGCAAAAAAATCGCGACACGCAAAATGTAGTGTCTTGTGTCTAGCTTTCAACCATAACAGTTGAAATACATCTGGACTCCAGTGAGTTCCAACTTCTTACAACAAAACAAAACAAAGAAAATTTGGTTTTGATTTTTTAAATTACGCTTAGGACTGATTCGGATAATTGGCGATTCGGTTAATCGGCGTTCTACTGTACCAACCTTGGTAAACAACCAAAGGGCCTAATCCAATAGCTAAGTCACATTTAAGTGTTTATACAATAATCTTTTTGACCTTTGCTTAGAACCACAATGTGAAAAATAGAGATGATTGCGATACCAGTTGAGTCGTGTAGTAGATTCCCATTAAGGAACTGCTGATGCACATTTAAGAGATTTTTATTGATTTAAGACTGCTGTAAGTGGGCCTTAATACCTTGGAGACGTGAAACGGAGATCTTCCTTGGAGCTGGGTGATCTTAGTATGTGAGCTGAGACCTATGTTGCTCAGGATATTATAGTAATATAAACCTCAGAATTCCATTAGCGCGATGTAAGCTTTCCTATATCGTCGTACCGTCGATTTCGAATGACCATTAAAGGGATGCAAGCCAACCTTTTTTTTCTTTGCCTAGGTAGATTATCGAAACGTATTGGTCATTTTCATTTTTCATATAATCAAAACGTTAAAATGATTTGAAATGACGCATGACGTCACATCTTTGTACAAATTTTACTTAAAAGTGACGTCATGAGCGGGGGGACTTTCAAATAATAGTCATTTCTTGTTTGATTGACAAAAGAAAAAATAAGTGTTTATGTTTTTTTTATGTCACTGACGAACTTATTAGAATTTCGTGTACTTTACCCCGTTTGTCATCCCTATTGAATGCTCGGCCAGCAGCGCCATCTGTTCACGAAATGAGTAATATTTTACTTGGAAACATATGGGGCATGTGGATGTCGCCGCCACAATTTAAACGGTATTGATTACTCGCATTTTCTGAAATATTAAACATCTCGAAAAATAATGCACTTCATCCCTAGCAGAAATTCAATTATGGTTGATCAGCAGCCCGAGTACAAAATTTTTCATAACAACATTTTTCACAGATACGTTTCCAGACTAAAATCCGTACCTATAATATATTTTTGTCTTAGTAGGTACCTATTTATTAGCTTAGTTGCTGAGAAAAGTTATTACTACCTCTATTTTCTTTAAGGTGGAGCAGGAGGACAAACTTATAATGAGATCAATGAAACTGACCAACTTTATGATAAAAATACTGTTAAAAGTATGCACTATTTTTAAACATTCAAAATCAAAACCGTATCAACGTATTGTTGATTTGTTAATTAATTTATATTTGTAAGTATAAAATATGAATATAATTAGAATAATAAATTGCAGGATAGCTGAAATATAACTTTAAACTAACTATTTTCAAATTTTAAATGAAACAAATGCTTCTTCTTATTACACAGGGCTTTTACTCTTATGTTTTAGGCATAATCCCTCTTATCTCGAAACTTTAGGTGGCAAATCGCAACAGTTCACGAATATTATGTCCGCCAATGTTTTGAATCCGGCCGATGTTCTAGTGAACGAATTATTGTGTGATGAAAGTTTTATACATGTAAGTTACCCAAAGTAAAAATTCTTAAAGATTTCTATGTTAGAATCTTCTATCTTAAGCATTTGTGATTCTAATTATAGCATTGAATTTTGACATATAATGCATTAATGACATTTTTATGTTTTTAATTTTTAGATAATTATAAATTACAAGTTTGATGAACGGCATCAAGATGACGAAGTTTTAGGATATATTATTCTCATGGTAACCCTTATGAGATTGGTGTCACAGAAAAGTGATCGAATTAGTTTTCCAAGAAGGGAATTTTTCACTTGTCTATTCAAAATGATGCCTGACTGTAAGTTTTTATTTGTATATATATGAATGTATGTGTTTGTTTTTATTGCTACACTCTTTTGAATACTAATCCTTATTAGAAGAAATAATAACTTAAATCTTGATTTATTAATTTCCTGCGCACAGTTTAAGCGAGAACATTTAGTACGAAAACCTAAAAGTTAAAAACTTCAATAAAAATATAACTACCTTTTCTATAGGTTACTATAGTAGATCGAACTTTATAGATTTGTATATTTGTGGTTACCAAGAAGAGATGACCCTGTATTGTGCTGGTCTGAATCAAGACTTTATACAATGTAAATTACTAATGAAATATACGAAAAATCATTTACAAGCCCTTTCACATTTTTTGCTAAAAATCGTAATTTTTGAGCGCCTCTTTTACGCCCTTAGAAAAGATTTTGACTATTTCCAATAGAATTAAACAATACATTTATTCTTCCTATTGTAAGTTAATATAGAATATTTGCAAATACTATTTTCCTTTTTTTGTACTGATCGTTCTACTGCAGGCTGCAGTATCGTTTTTCCCGTAAACTAGCTGCAGTCTGCAGCTAGTTTACGGGAAAAACGATAATATGCACAACTACAAACACCACAATCTCGCAATAATGTTCGATAAATTAGATCAAATTAATTACTAGGACATCAGAAATATGTTTTTGTTGTAACATAATGTATTAAAATTTTGATTTTCTATCTCTCATTATCAACAAAAAAACAACGTGAGTTTTCCCAAAAAATAATGCAGGTTTACCTCGTATTTTGATATTGAATTAAATAGAATTACCATTTAAAACTTTCATAAAACTAATCTACCATCATCGAACTACTGAAATATGTATATATTATTATAATTAGTTCATTAATAATTATTTTATAAGACTCGAAACATCACCCGTAAAATGCAATATATAGAGTGCGCGCTAGATAAGTCTGCGCGCGACTGGTGGCGTGACTAATGTTGCCAGTTATGGGAAATAAATTTCCGATCACAGACATGAAATAGGAGAAGAGGGAAAATCTGATGAGGTTAATAAAAAACGTCTCATTAGTTTATATAAATTTAATTCTTATTTTATGGTAAATTAGAATTGAGGGGGATGATGAGGTTAAAATACATTGGCTACTAATGGCATCAGGTTTGTCATGTTTCATTGAAATAGAATAAATATGGTTTTCTAGAGCAAACATTCTAATTGTTCACAGTTTTAACAAACATGGTGTTTTCATAGTATATTATTGTTCGAACAAAAGCTAACTAGCTAAGTGAACTACAAATAAAAAAAAATATACTTAAGGATAGATCTAAATAATATATATTTAAATAAAAAATTGGAATATCCCCCACAATACATACAGGTATTGTAGTATCGCTTTTTATGAGGTGTTTTTAATTAAAAATTAAACAACAATTAATATTTCTCCAAATCTTTTATTGAATAATTAGCAGTACTTTAAAATTTTGTATATTTGTGGTCCTCCAGAGGGTCAATGGCTTCCATTATATGTATTACTTTCTGGGTCTTCATTGATTTCGTCGTCAGAAGAGTCGTACCTTTCATCGTCACTTGTAGGATCAATTTGTCAAGTTCTATATCCATAAGTCTATCTGATTGGAAATATTTAGTCTTCGATTTTTTCCACGTGTTGACACGTTAATCCATTCCGACGTTGTTATAGTGTTGAATGGTCGGAATTTCCTTTTTGACGACATAAAATGATTGTATCATGTGCCTTAAAGCACACTTGTCAAAATCGTCTATTACCAAAAAACTCTTTCGCTCCCTATTTTTTCCTGGAGTTATAATTTTTTAATTTGAAGCTTCAGTTTCAGTACTTTCTCGAGTTACATGAGTGTCAGTCCGTTCAGAAATACCTGAAACGAATAAATATATTATGATTATCCGACATATTTAAAAAACAGAAATTACCCTACACGAAAGCAAAATACTATGCAATGGTCACCCCAAAAATTACCTGTCAAGAAAGCGGTCCGTGCTCGTACTTCAGAAAATGGTACAATTAGTCCCTTATTTTCCCGTTCTGCTTCACAAGAACGTTTTACATTCAAAACAATCTCTCTGCCAGCACTTTTAATGACTTTTGGCATGATGATTACCAAATTTGACCACTGAAAACTAATAAAAAACAAAACACTCTACACACTTACAACACCTGACGTAACGACAACATGGCGGCCTGCGATTAGTTCCGATTTTGGCCGCGTGCAGACTTATCTGGCGCGCACTCTAGTAGTGCATCTACCTACGCGCCGATCAGTACGGCAGTGGCGCAATTTTGTAAAAGGGCTCTTAATGTAGGTAATTACCTTGTCCTATGGTAGGCCTCAGATTTCTTTGTTCTGAAATCTGAGTGATAGGCTTTCTGCACTGGGAATCTGGCATATACAATATAGCTATCACTATATCGTAAAAAGAGATTGATTAGAATTAAATTACCTAAATGATATAATGTCTAATTGCAGGTTACGTTTGGTTAAATATTGGCATGAAATTCAATATTGACGTCACCAGCAACTCTCCAGCTGATTCTATAGGTCTTTTCGAATATATATTGATCCATTCTACATGTTTCGCGCTCAGTATGAACAATCAAGAATATTGCGGATTGGAGAAGATCATTTTCGAAGCTTTATTTAGAGTTGACAGCATAAGTCCACTATTTGCAGCCAATTTATGGATTATGTTAACTCGGTAAGGAATCATAGCTTTTTAACGTCCTTTCATTAGCCAATAAATGCATCTACTGCTGGGATCTTCGCAAATGGGTGGATTCCAATTCCATAACAGCCCACAGTGTTTTAAGAACCTTGATTAAGCTATTGTGAACACTGAAAAAAGACTACAATTCGCATTTTTGAGAAAAAAAAAATATTTTTAAATTTGATTAAAGGTAAAATACCTTTAATTGATTTTTTCACATAACTTGAGCCTTCTAAATAATGATATTAAATACCCTAGATACACCAACACGATCAAAATCGTGACGGAAACCTGTCCAAAAGGTACATTGGACGATCTACGGAGCTCCGAGCTCATCGTATTCTGAAAAACAATGTAAGGCATTATTTAAACATTGAAAGTCACCTTTAATGCCTACTATACAGGGTGTTACAGAATTCCGAAATAAAATTTGTAGGTATGTATTCAGAAATAAAAAAATTTAGGTATCTGAGCGGGGCGCAGGGGCGCCTGGGGGAGAGAGGGGGGTATGTTTAGGTAGTAGTAATCGTACGCATTTATAGGGTTGTCATAGACAGGTGTAAAACGATATTTTTATTAATTTAATTAGAAAATAAAAGTGGTCTGAAAGGCGTCAAACTTTCGTAGGTAATTCTATACAAGGAACACAACCAAACCCTAAAGTTTTATTTCGGACTTTGTCACACCCTGTATAAGGTCTTAATTAAAACGCGTACGTCAAAGAGTTCTGACAGTTCGAAATGCAAGCTCGTAAAATTTTACGACTTATTGCTATATGCGGAAGAATATAGACCTTATTTCTGTGACTCTACACGCAATTCTGAATGCGCTGCTAGCAATATAGCAGGTACTGACCGCGAGGAATAGAGATGGCTATATAACCGACCATGCATTTGAATATCAGAAATATATTCTATAAGTCCGTTTATAGTAAGTATTAGAACAAAAGTTGCTTCAAATGCGTTAAATTAACAAACATTGATTAGATATCTGTCGAAAAAACGACACTTTACGTACTATAAGTATTATTTTCGCATTTTTTCACGGAGCTCTGCGGCATCTTGACTTTTCAACGGGTTGCGCGTGACTGTGAATGTGTGTGTGAATGGAGTTCAAGCACTTCTTGATTGAGACACATTTTGAGCGCACGTGGTGTTCTAGGGTATTTAATAACGTTGCTTCTAAAGCAAACTATACCAGCAACCAACTAAGTATAGACAATAATATATTTTTTATTATTATTTTATTTTTATAAATATAAAGGCGTATACTTACTATACTTACGAAAAAAAACGAACATTGGAAAAAAACGTCATATCGTCTATACGGGTTGCTTTAGAAGGCTTCAAAATATGTCAATTGCGTAACATAAAATATTTAAACTAAATTCGCGCCAAAACAAAATTGTGCGTCTTCCGGGGAATCCACATGCATTCCCACATCCTGAAACACACGCACATCTCGAAAATTCTCTCGTATTTAGTTTGTATTAACATAAAGTTCATTACACAATTTCGTTTCAAAAATTTGCTTTCCAATCCCAGGTGACATAAATTAAGCTGTGTATAAATATAAATATAACACATTTCAGGGTAACCAATAACAAACAATTGCTGTTCACTCAGTTGATGTTTCTCTGTCAAACATATCTGAAATTGGGGAACGCTCCGATGTTTTCCCTCTCTCCCCAAAGGGTTCATCTGGAACGCACAATGACAAGTTTATTTGAGCTTTTGGATATCGAAGACCGAGTCAGGCTCTACAAGCAATACAATCCGTCGATGAACCAGAATAATGTCTCATTGTGGGCCGTATTGAAGATCAGGAACTTGCCCGTAGATTTGCAGAGGATAGTGGAAAAGGATATTGTTGAAAAAATTAAGACCGTGTTTTTTAAAAGTATGCCGTTTGAGTGTCACGAAAAATTAATTGGTTTGGTATGAACATTGTATTTTTTTGGCTGCTGTAATTTTAATTGTTAAATTTTAAAGAAATACTAATTTATACAAAAGGAATAACAAGAGAACATATTTACGTATTTTTTCCATAATCTCTCTAAGATTAGCGAATTCATATTAGAAGTCGATATTTAATAATTTCGTACCGTTTAATTAAAAATATAATATTCACTTATGATCTTTCGTATCTCATGGTGGTATGGAAATAGAAAACCATGAGTTTTAAGTCTTAATGTAAACAAAGTAAAATTGATATAGATTTTTAGGGACACCCACAGATCTCAATTCAGTTATAATTTCAGATTAAAGTTACCAGATTAGTGGCCACATGCTCTTGTAATATTCTAGAAGGATTGGAAGGAATTTTGTTGGAAGGCTGGTCAAAGGCGTGTCCTCAAAACTTGACATTCCTCTCAGACACAATGGACTTAAACACAATGTGGTTCTTTGAATACATTGAAGCTTTGGTGTCATTAACAAACTCTATGGTATACTCAGTCTACGGTAGAAGTTCACATGTCGTTAAGGTAAGTAAAATCCATACTAATATAAATTGCGAAAATGTGTCTGTCTTTTACCTCTTCATCGCTGAACCGATTTAGATGAAAATTTGGTACAGAGATGGTTGAGTCTGAGGGAAGCCTATGGCCTATGGAGTAGTCTTTATTTTAGAAATTAACCTTGAAGGAAGTGAAAGGGGACGTATGGGAAAATATTTTTTCCACGCAAACTAAGTCGCGGGCTCCCACTAGTCTGCTATATAACTATATAAAAATGAATCCTTATTTCCTTTGGTCACACCATAACTTAAGAACGAGTTTACCGATTTAATCGATTTTAAATGTTTTGTAATGCATTGTAGAAAGGTTCTTATGGAAAAAAAATGGATGCGTGTAACTTATGTACGCGCGTGAGAAGTTATACTTCTTTAGCATCATTAAAAATATTTTTTAATTGCATGCAAATAATTAATAATTACAATAAAATAATAAAAGGACTGGAAAAGGATAGTTAACACAGTCAATTCAGTTCAGTTTTAATTTGATTAATATTCAAAATATTCAATTAAAATCACTGCTGAATTTAAGTTATTAGTCCATATGTAATTAGCACTTGTAAGTAACTAAAACACGTTGTGTCTATATAGAAACTAGAAACATGTGGATAAATATTATAAATATGAAAACAGTGATCAGAGGCGACGAGCGTGCCAACATTGTTTTTGACAACGCGATCATCTTATGGAGCTCCGTGGATCGTTCAAAGTACCTTTCGAACAGATGTCTAATAATGGTGGATTATTAACCACTAAGTGGTTAATAAAATTAATTGTAACTATATATTTATATTCTAGATGATGTAATGGAAAGTGACTATAGACGTATTTCTGAAGTAATTTTTCAACTTGACGACACTGTATACAATACAGGGAGAAAAAAACAGCCCTCGCTGAGTTTTTTGCCGGTTCTTCTCAGTACAAGGTCTCCCCTCGCCGTAGTTTTGCGAACCGATGGCGTAGCTTCTTGACCTTCACATAAATTCGTATTTCATTTCATTTCATTTCAATGTCCCGTTCAAATCTGCCCTGTTTGCTTTGTTCAAAACTGCCCCACGGTCACTTGGAAAATAAAATATTACAAATAACGCGCCCGCGGCTAACTTCATTATGTTACTTTTTTGTGTTACAGTGATGCGCGCGCATCTTAAAATTTCACTCTCATAATTTTAACATAACGCGGCTAAAGAAGTATAACTTCAAAAATCAATTAAAAAAGTTGCATATATAGATAATTTAAGATAACTTACAACTCTACCCGATAGGGGGCTCTATGCTACAGTAAGGTTTTAAGTTTTTTTTTATATTTTTATCGCGCAGCACAACGTCTGTCGGGTCCGCAGGTATTAATATAAATTGTATGCAATGTGACTTTATATAATACTCCATACATAATTCGTTTTTTCATTGTATGGTTTTATTCAATACTAGTTACTAATACTACTGTTTTATTAGGTTTATTAGGAATATTTTCCGTAGTAAAACGTGGCCTATGTGTTAATCCAGGGTGTCAGCTAACTCCATACCAAATTTTATTAAAATCGCTGCAGACGTTGAGACGTGAAGAAGTAACAAACACACAAACTCACAAACTTTCGCCTTTATAATAAAAATATTAGTGTGATTATCGTACAAATAGTAGTTTCATAAGCCCTTACAAGCGCCCGCTTGTTAACGATCGGTTTTCCGCCGGTTCTAAGCACAGTTTCTACCCGAGCCGGTGCCGGATAAACTTATTCACGAGCACAGTTTGTGCGTTTGTTTGTACCGACTTCAAACCGTTGCAGCCACAGAACACAGAAAGAGGTTAGAAGTGTGATCATTGACCGTTTTTACGGGAACTAGATGTCGCCGGCTCGCCCCTTCTACACTTCCACATTTTTTTACGCAGGCAAAACCTCTACTATTTACAGACGTTGGCGCTCTTAAGAGCCCTTTCACATTTTTTGCAAAAATATGTTTTAAGCGCTTCTTTTACCAGTTTAGAAAAGATTTTTATTATTTCCAATATAAGTAAACAGTAGATTTATTGAAGTTAATGTAGAATATTTGCAAATACTATATTCCCTTTTTTGTACTGGTCGTTCTACTGCAGCTAGTTTACGGAAAAAACGATATTATGCACAACTTCAAACGCCTCAATCTCTCAATAATGTTCAATAAATTAAATCAAGTTTATTACTACGACATCAGAAATATGTTTTTGTTGTAACATAAATTTTGATTTTCCATCTCATTAATTATCAAAAAAAAAACATCTAACCTCCGTGAGTTTTCCCAAAAAATAATGCAGGTTTACCTCGTATTTTGAATTAAATAGAATTACTACCAATAACTTCTAATTAAGTAGTAGTAATTCTAATTAGATTTAATTTCATTGAACCACTGAAATATGTATATGTTTTTATAATTACATAGTTCATTAATAATTATTTTATAAGACTCGAAACATCACCCGTAAAATGCAATATATACTCGTGCAAATCTACCTACGGGCCGATCAGTACGGCAGCGGCGCAATTTTGTAAAAGGGCTCTTAAGGTGCACACCAACGAACGGACCTCACAGCTAGCCTCTCGCAAGTCTCACGGGTGCGAAACGGAGAAGCCGTTGGGTAGTCCGTGCGGCTTACGAGCGCTCACGGCATACTATCCGCTAAAAACCCCGGTATCCCCGGGGTTATAATATACGCTATTAAGTACGGAACCGCGAGATCCCCGTTGTGGGACTTCACCTCGTCTACTACACTTCCACCTGATAGATAGTAGCCAATCAGACGACCAGACATCGAACAATCGAACCAATCAGCACTCACACCCGAGAGCAACGACGCAATCAGAAACAAGTTTTAGTCCATAGTGTCCCATAAATAACTGACGACCGGACATAGACACGGTTTAATCCGCTGCTTTTCGCTATCGTACATCGCGACAAAAAATTTACTCCCGCCAAATGGTTGAGATAACATTTGGTTGTGGATAGTCACAACCTAGCGATTTTGTCGAATGTTTTTACCACGTACGACAAAAGTGTAGAATACATTGTCACCAACAGTTTTTCCGGACCAATTTGACCTAAAACCTAAAAGCCATCGCATTTGATATATTCCTGGATTCCATTCGCCTGACGGGATTGCTATGGATATAGCTATTGCTTACGATTTCATTTTGTTATTTCTGACCTCCGAAGGTTTTCAAATGCCCTGCACTCGTTTTTTTTCTTTTGTATTGGTAACAACAATATAAATAATAATATAACAATATAAATAGTAAAGACAATGAGCGTAAGGTATTTGAAAACCTTCGGCGGTCAGAAATAACAAAGTGATATCGAAAGCGATAGCGATACCCATAGCAATCCCGTTAGGCGATTGCCCCCCTGGTGTTGCATGTGTGTATGGGCGGCGGTGATTACTTACCGTAATCCGTTCCTAGAGCCGGGTAGAAATCGTCTAGTTAACAAGCGCCCTAAAGGATTGTTTAATGCGACATTTTTCAGTCTCTCATAATAGTGACCTTGTCTGTACTTATCTAACTAAACGTTATTTAATCGTATTACAAGTTTTTCTTTTATATAATTATTCTAATGCATCTTTCATAACATTGTTATGATCATTGTTATTGTAATTAAAAATGAATTAGATTCGATTAACGGTACCGATAATGGACGGAATGATAAATCTTTTCACCAATGAGGTGATCAGATATAGATTAATACAAATTGTTTAATGCAGATGATCTGTGTGTTGTGGTACCGAGAAATCTTGAAAAACCACGTTTAAACTTAATGCAATAAATAGTTAAGACAATGTTCTAGATTAATGATAATCATAATAGCAGTATTGGTTAATTGACAAGTATTTGAAAATGATCATACGTTATTAATGATTCTGTTGTGTATATCAATTAGATATGAGCGCTGATGGGTGCACGACCGGCGGCGGCGCGCCGACTGTTTGAGGTCGGCGACGGCGGCGCCGTCGGCGGCGTGACCCCTCAAGACTTTTTCATGTATCGGTAGGAAATAATAGATGAAACTTGATAAAAAATAACCGTTTTATAAATCTAAAGTATTCTTATTTTCTGTAATATGTATTATACGTAACATTTGTATTGTAATAGAAAAAATAAAAGCAATTGTGACAATTGTAATAGTTAATAATAGATTTTTGAAATGGACAGGCCGAAATCAATTAAAAAAGAATATTCGGGCGCCTGGACTGTACCATATTATTAGCCGGGAAAGCAATGGACCATTAATCGCAAGGGGAGCTTAATGCGAATCCATATTCATTTTGGGTTGTCAATTTATTTAAATTTACTACAGAATTACTGGTCCAAAAGGGGTACTGCTAAATTTTGAAACTACTTTATATACTAAAAAGCTACCAAGATGTAAGTGAAAATGTTACCTTTAATATGGGGGCCGATACACAATTATGAATTTAGAAGATTACCGACCTCGTTGCATCTTTGGAGTTAAGTATGTCTGGTGTTGCAAATATGTAAGGGATGGCCGTTGTTACCACACGGAGATTCACCTCCACATCATGGGAAATGTTGAAGTTGGAATGAAAAAATCCAGATAAAAAATCCTAATAAAAAAACGCTTTTCGCGTTTTACAAACAAATTAAGCTTGGAATGAGATCGCCGCCATTCCGCGCAAACATCATTAAAAACAATCGACAATCCAATGGATTATCAAGTTCTAAATTACGATTAAGATTCTTACATGTTTTACGTAAAAATTACGTCGTGAACTAAAGTGACATTAGTTTTTTCTTAAGTTTGTTTTCTCTTGCCGGGAAGGCAAAGAGAACAACGTCCATACAGCTTACTGCTTGTTTAGGGGCAGAAACATATTAATGAAAAGTGCACAGATTAAGGAAAATGGACGCGAGATAAAAACGACCAGAGAGACAACCAAAAAAAAATCTTCTATCTCGCTCTTCGAGCGAAGGAGATCCATGTAACGTTTTTAACACGTTACAGTATTAATTACACACTCAAAGAAAACAACATGGTTCATAAAATAAAAATAAAAACCTTTATGGCGTTATACACAGTACAAATAAATCAACATCAGCATAAAATTTGAGTAACAATAAGCACTTAAAGTACTCGTAACTATACCCAAAATAATGTAATATGGCAAAAGAAATTATTTTTTAAATATTTGTTTCTTAGGTTTTCACGCACATCCCCTCCGGCTACAGGCCCATAGTGGTGCTCGATGACGCCGGGAAGTTCTTCGAATGAATCCTGACGGGGCGTATCATCGAGCACCTGGAGGGGCCGGGTCCGAATCTGGCGGAACACCAGTTCGGGTTCCGGGGAAACCGGTCCATGGTGGAAGGGGTGGACCGAAACGGCCACTCGGCGGGGAGAGTGTTGCGGTGTCGCTGGACATCCGCAACGTCTTCAACAGCCTCCCCCACAAGTGCATTATGGAGGCACTGCGTTTCCACTGCGTGCCTCCATACCTGCGAGCGATCGTAGAGGACTACCTGCAGGGGAGGTCAGTCCTCTACGAGGGGCCCGATGGAAGCATGTGCTCTCGGGCCATGGCCAGATTACTTCCAGAGCTGTGGACCCAGCACTGACCCCTGGGATACAACTGGGTGATGTGAGGCAGCCTCCTGCCCAACATGGAGGTTGTCTGCTTCGCCGACGACACGTTGGTCGCGGCGAAGGCAAAGTGGAGGAGGCGGTTCGCCTAGCGTCGGTCGGCACTTCGCTAACCGTTCGACGCATCCGCCTCTTGGGCCTGGATGTGGCCCTCGACTAAAAGAAGGGCCATGCTGTTCCACGGCCCACGCCGCAGCACCCAACCGGGGCTCCATATTCGGGTGGAGGGGGTCAATATACCGGTCGAGGGAAGCCTGAAGTACCTCGGCCTGGTTCTGGACCCCCGATGGAGTTCCGAGGAGCACTACAAGCTCCTCGCTCCACGGCTGTGCGCCGCCGCAGCCGCACTCGGCAGGGTCCTCCCAAACGGGCCAGGAGATGCGTGCCGTCGACTGTATCACGGGGTGATACGGTCGATGGCACTTTATGGAGCTCCGGTTTGGGCTGGGTGCCTCAAACCCCGCACGGTGGCCTTGCTGCGAAGTTCGATCGTACTAATTGTCTTCTCGCTCGGCGCGCCGTTGCTTTTTCCCAGCGGCGGCGGCGGGGGGGAAAGGGCGGCGGCGGCGGCGCGCCGGCGCGACGCTCATATCTAATATCAATACAAAATCCGTTTTTTTTTTCAAATATGTTTCCAAATCCTTTCTCTAGTAAATATGGTTTTAATAATATACACATATGCCAATTATAATTGGTAATTTATATTTTATATTGTCAAAAAGTTTATACAAATAAGAAAAATATTAAATACACCGTTTACTAGAAAAACATCTAGCAGTTAAATGCTTTAAAAAAAAAACATTAAATACACCGCTTTACTGTACCTATTATAATCCTACTAAAATTATAACTACATGCGCACCAAATTTCATCCAAATCCGTTCAGTTGTTTTTACGTGATTGAGTAACAAACATACAAACTTTTATATTTGTAATATTAGTAGGAATCATAACATGGACTAGGGTTGCCACCATTTTTTTGTCGAAATAAAGTACATTGGATATTAGAGGTAGTAAAAAAACGTACATTGTGTCCACAATAAAGTACTTATTATTCCACTTTATTAGTAAGCTTAAAATATATGTTACGTTGCTACTAGCAACTTTTAATAAATAATTTGCGGCTTCTGTAGTTTTTTTCCGCAATGAAAAAGGTCATGATACAAAGGCATAGTCACGAAAATGTTACAGGAATTAGCTAAGGGCAACATATTCATACTCTCTGTCCGTTTTACGCGAAAATTCTTCATATTAAAAATCACATTAAACAAAGTATTTTCGCGTACTTTATTGTTGGCATAAAGTATAGAGTACAATTACCCGAAATAACGTACAATACTTTATAATAAAGTACGGGTGGCAACCCTTGTGTAGACAAGGTTTCGTGTGCAACTGTTTATACTTAGTTATACCTAATTTTAAACAGTTCCCTCATTATACAATAGTTGCATAAATAACTATTATAGGTAAGGTAGGTAGGTATAAACAAAACACGTTGCAGTTAAATGCATAAAATGTAAATTACCTTTTTTATTAAAATCTGTTGCCAGTGACAGGGTTTTTTTCTTTTGCGAGAATGTAGCCATCAATTTGATTTATTTCATATAGAATATCTACACGCGCCGCACATCAAGTTACCATTGACTGTTAAATTAAGAAAATTTGGCTGTTAAATTAATAAGTTTATAATTAAAAATAATGATCACAGATCAATAATACTCTTATGAATAAGGGCTATTATAAAGTTGATGATTATCTGAAAGATGGACATAGTGTTTGTTGTAATTTGTTATTTGATGGGGACGAATAAAGAATGAAAAGGACAGACTGATGTCAAGTCTACAAATAGCAAATACGAATAGTCAAGTAAATTGTCGTCATGGTAGAAGGTGTCGATTTGTTTTGAGCAGACTGCTTGGCGCGGCGTTTGCGAACTTTGTGGTAATATTCAATTATTTATTTACCTGCAATGCTCTGCCAATCTCATATATTAAAATATCCTATGAATATTTTCAATTAAGTTGCTCGATGGCGCAAGTGGTTAGCCCGTTCGGCTGCGATCGTTGAAGTTGAACAACTTTCGCAGTGGTCGGTCATAGGATGGGTGCGCAAAAATTTACTATACATACAGAACTTCTCCGTGCTTCGGAAGGCATGTTAAGCTGTTAGTTCCGGCTGTATCTGATTTCGTAGTACCCACCAATCCGCACTGGCCCGCGTGGTGAGTCATGGCCCGATTCCGTTTGTTTAGGCATATGCCCCAGCAGTCGGTACAATAATAGGCTGATGATGATTTCTAATTAATCAACTGTATCTCTTACAGATCCTACATGTCATCTCGGGATTGATACAACGTGGCAACGCAGAACTTAGTTTGTTACTAATGAATTTGCTTTGTAAATTGGCTGCCAACCCGATCCACGATGAAAACAAAATGGAAGCAGAGAAAATTATCAACAAAACATTCAAAAAGATTATTCAAGATGGTGACGATTTAGTTAAGAGATCCTTGTTTAGTGAAATAAGAACGTACAATAGCAAATATTTAGAATTAACAATTAATTCGATTATAAGTGGGAACCAAACCGCTTCAGATGTTTGGCAACAATGTGCTACTAATAACACTAAAACATTTGACTATACGAAGTTGCGAGACGAATTAAACTTAATTTGCAATTTTAAATATCGTCACAAATGCCTTGAACTCGGTAGTGATACAAAGGGTAAAGATGTTGGTTTCGTTGATAAAATAGATAATTCTTGCAGCAGCAATTTCGATCTTGCCGACATAGATAGTTTATTCAGCGGCGAAAGCGATGGAGAGCCGGCGAGTAAGCGAGTGAAGTTAGATACAGAAGAGATCGACTCGATACTGGACCGATTGGAGCGTGATATCTCTTTATTAAGTTGCATCAAAGAGAATATTATCACTGAAGAACATAAAAACAGGATAAGACTGTTACGTGACAAGCTAACTGGTCTCGTCACGTGAGAAAATAATTACAGGTTATTAGAAAAAAAACTGTTACGTGTTTACGGCTCATCTATTTATCACTGCACGATCGACGCCGCGACGCGATCTCAATATTTATGTAATAATAATATTACGGGTTGTGATCTTTTATTGTTAACAACTTTATCTGTTTAGTAATAAAGGCTAATTCGCAGACTGTTTTGCATGTGGGATGTGATGATAAATACTGTTAGTTGTACATATTACTTTGAGAATATTATAATGTTAAATAAGAGAAATTATCTCGCATTGTTTTTTTTGAAGGTAGCTCTTGACGTTTATTGAAGGATTTTGAAGGATTTATGCTGCTTCTGTGTTAAATAAAACCAATGTTTATGTCACATTTATATTTATTGTTGTGTTAAAAAAACTATACAAATAAGTGAAATATAATAATAGTCATAATAATAACCAACACCGTCGTCACACTGTCATACGTAACACACGGCGTAACGTTTGACAATAAACGGAGATCAAATGTTACAATTTGTGATCAAGAGATCGCATCGAAGAACGAGTAAATAAGCAAAATTTTAATGTTCACATTATGACAGTGTTACACCGGGTAAAAGAGAACTTAACATAGATTTAATTGATACTCGGAGGTAATAAGACCTTATCGTTCGCGTCAAACAGTATCAACTAACATCAGTCCCACTCGAATTTTTGACTCCACCTCGCTATCTGTGACGCAACCCACGGATGTACATTTACTGTAAACCATGTATAAATGTCGAGTAACACAGCAACAATTTACTGAATAAATTCTAATTAAAAATATATCTAACACACATTTTTTTCACATCTTATCCTCTAAGCGTTTCGGCGACCTTTAAATTGTGATGGCGAATAAAATAATTATAATAGAGGAATACTTAAAATTGGCTAACTAATAAAATATAATCATAATATTGCCATATAAGATAGACAGCGAACTTAGCTATTCCGATAAAGCATTACAAGCCTAAAGCGTATTATTATACAGCTACAACTTAAATCCGAATTAAAGTAAAAATAAATTATACATTAGAGAGAAAAAAATTAATCAGTTGGAATTCATTATGTCTTAGTGTGAAAATTTATTTTGCCAATCATTGTAACATTGCTGGTGTGAGAACGTATTCAAATCTTACGTTATCGAGACTAATCAAATACATTTCACCATTTAGCTATACATTATCGTGCTCTATCCACAGTGCAATGAAACATTTAGTCGATTGACGAGTGATTGTTCACGATGTTGAGAGCTACAGGCAAATAAAATAAGTATAATAAAAAAACAATTTCTGCTGATAATATTTCTATAATAACTATATATTATGTTAAAAACACTGTATAAAAGTATAATAAATATCAATCGTAATATAATCTGTAAATAATGTTTCGCCTCTGTGCTCTGCAACTCTGCAGTGAGCATTCATTCGCCAAAAGACAATAACCATTACTTTGTGACATAAAAATGCAAAATACTCAAGCACCTTACGATTAGAATTAATTGTAGATACCGTTTGTGCGACACAGTTGCATTTTGTTTATAAATGGTGATATAAACTTTATATAATTGAATAATGTCCTTAAGTATCATGTCACAACGTACCTGGATGGCGGTCCAATTGGAATGATCGAGTCGGAGACTACTGTAAACGACATACTGTTTTAAAACATTTAATACCAACACTCTAATATCACTCATTACCAATACTAAAATCGGTACTATTTACATGTGAATGTGAAAAGAGCCATAATATCATACAAACAGTGGACACTGTTGAAATATAATAATAATAATTAATAATCAATCTTCGTTTATTTTCAATGTTCATTTCCAAGTTTACATAAATAAAAATATCTAGCTGTTAAATGTTCTGAGGATGTGGCGTAAAATTTAATAGGGAAGTTTTTTTGCATGTTCACGTCACGAGAATACATTAAGCACCGGGCTAACATAATAGTACGTAGCACGTTATGCCGCCTCCAAGTGCAAACTTTAACGTACGGAAGGGTCAGACAAGGTTCAATACAAATATACTAGTTAACACTAAAAGTTAGGATACAAAACCTACACATTGGAAAATACTAATTTACTTAGGCCAATCGTGTTAAGACATCTGGTAATATATACGTTTATGTATCATTGACTGAGGGAAATGTGGCATCATTGCACTTTCGCTTAAACTAAAAGTCTTGGCACAAATGAAATATCAGTTTTGGAAAGATTACACAAACAGAAATTAGGTTGAGCATGAAATGTTTCGATCCATATATTATAGGGGAAACTCGATACACGAGGTACAATTTTAAATATAATACTAAATAAATAGCGTGGATTCACTTTTCCAGATTCATCAAGTGATTAATTGAAAGCTCACCACTATTTAAATTACATAAATAAACACCTAGACTAAATACCCTCAGAACAGTTAATATGTATATAAAATTCAGTTCTTTATTAGGATTATTTGGCATCTATCACCAAGATACTACATTAAACATGGTATACGAAAGTGGAATACCTAATAGATTAATGCGCCTCTTCGAAACGTAAATCCTTACTAATCGTGTTTCGTTCACACGATAATAATATCCCTGCCGAACCTAAATTTTCTCCTTACATCGCACACATGCGCTCGCGCTACCGTCACCGATGCACCGCCTGTCTTGCGTCCTAACTGAACCGATTCGCTGTTGTGTGTCAATTAAATAGCCTCTAATTGCAACGTCAACTGCCTCACATATGCGTCTGAGCCGGGATCACGGATCAGTGTGCATAACTCGCAAATTAAAATTGCGCTTTGTTCAACGGCCAAAAAAATGAAACTAGCGTCAAAAGTAATTGTATAAACGATCTTGATAGCCGCATGCGTAATATAAAAAGCAGTGCAACATCAAAAGCGGCTTCCTCGAACCATGACACTTCGCGTTACATCGACAAACACCCTATATAAGAGGCTTAGGGTCAACTCAGACCGAGAGAATATCAACTCTATTACAAATGGTTGTAATATAAATTGGATTGAGCAATTTTTGTACTGTTTCGAGCGTGTGTGAGCGGTATCTCCAAATCTATACTTAATGTTCTTCGTTATAAGGTTAATTTTATTTTTTTTGTTATATGAAACACAGTTCCTCCCGGTCTGTGCAGACACTCGTTCAGTACTTGAAATGTAAGTTATCCTATGGTACACTAAGTATATTATGAGAACTCGTAGACAGTATAACTAAACTTATCAAACGGTCGAAGTAATTACGTCTACGAAGCCATTAGTCGCAAACTGGTGCACTTTCACAGAACCGGTAAATATTATCAATCCCTTCCATAAATTTAGGGGTTTGGGACCGGCTCGTGTAGTTTCATAGAATATTATTCAATTATTCAAAAATCTCAACTTTACCACAAGTATTTATGTAAGTAGGTATATGGGAAACATCATATTAATTATCAAATTTTACTACTTCGCAGTATAGCTTTTTACATTCGATAATGTGGCATCAATATTTTATTACATAATAACAAAGTAAAGATTATAAAAATTCAGATCCTAGGGGTGATTTATCAGTTGGAAAGTCTATTGCATCGCTCCCTTCAGTAAAACCACCTGCAACTGTAGTTTCTACAGTTGCAGGTCATTTCACTCTGCTAGACGACAAGCACATACAATATGAGTGTTATCACAAGCGGGAGGACAGCTAACAACTGCATTGAACATTCGGACTCGTTATGTTACAATACGCTTACGGATTGAAATACGAGTGTCGAGTAATATTTTATATGACTACAAGGTTTGCGAGCTATTATGGTCCATGTTACCGTGACAAAAAGGTACAATTTCGTATGTCTTTAGCAAACCGGTTCGTCCGTAAGCGTAAAGTACGTAAGGGCGGTGACTCGGCGGCCCACACCATAATACACACAAAAGATACATCAAACACTCGATTTGCACAGTCTCAACATTATTATGACACTCATCTAGTAATGAAGAGCGTGAAAATGTCAAACCATTCAACTATTCAACGCGATTGATATTCGAATACAACTTCTGCGTCACTAAAGTTAGAGCTCTTGTTGCAATGTGAGGTTTTCGAGATGATGGAACCAGGTTTTAAATTTAAATAAGCGTTACTGATCATCGCATTATAATAATGCAATGTAAACATTTATGAATTTACATAAATTTAAATGTCAGTTGGACATTATTAAAGCAGCTATATCCATCTCAATAACACAGAATTCTCATAACAAAATCTACTTTAGCGACAAAGTTAATAACTCTTGATACGCATTTGATTTACATTACAAGACTATTAGATAATAAGTTGCTTCTCAAAAAGCTTCATTGAGCCTAAAAACATTTTTCCACAAAAAAAACTATTCAAAACTTCGATAAATATAAAATTCTATAACTGATATATTTCAATTATTAAATACTCAGCTTTAAACATTACTTATTGCCATTAGAGAACCATCGTTAAGAAAAAGTAAATGAGAAGCCGCATGTCGAAGATCAGTCTACCAGTAACTAACAGCTGAACTCAGCAACGTCAGATCAATTCAATGCTATATCAAATCAATTGTTCTCATTCTATCGTTATCTCAAAAAAAGTGACAGCAGAAGTTGCCTTTAACTTTAGTATGTAGGCGTAGGTGCGAATCCTGCTTGATACCTGGACGAGTGAAATATTTTCTAGGAAAATGATCAAAGTTAAAAGTCGATTGACCTCACTGCGTACGAAGGTTATTTATTAAGCAAGTCGAATGGTTTACAATCAACACGCCGATCGGATTGGTTGAGATTTCCGTTTAACATTATCTCACCTAATGAATGGATAGCCGTATTCATTTGCAAACATTTGATTTGTCAAAGTATTTTGTTTTATCTGTGTGCATAACACGCTAGTATTTAAATTTAGCTTGGAACTATGTTTTAGCGGGTTTTGTTCATAGAGGTATAAGAATAGTGGGGAAGGTGGCTCTAAAAGTGTCGAAAGAGAAAGAAGATGAGAGACCGAGATAGCTAGATCTCCTACTCTTGCGACGCATGGCATCCAATGGCATCACATCGAAATAGTAAGATGCTTACGGTTGCCACTGCGCATGCGCGATTAGAGAGAGAAAGCTAGCGGTCTCTCATCTTCTTTCTCTTTCTATTAAAGGGACACTTCCACTTGTAGTAGAGTCTATATCTCCCCTTCTCTATTCTTATACCTCTATGGTTTTGTTAGAGATTAATGCTTCCATATCATTTCTAATTAGTCGGGTTTACCGAGTGTTCGACGATCTTTTTCTTTTGTGATTTATTCCGGTGTTATGGAGCGCGGTACGCGAGGGTCTGGTGTCGCGCGTGATGGTGGCACGCGGGGCGCTGGCGGGGCGGCTGCAACTGCTGCTGCTGCAGCTGCAATTGCTGTAGTTGCAGCTGGTTCTGCTGCAACTGCAGCTGCACCTGGTTCTGGTGCGCCGCGAGCGCGTGCATCTGCAGGTGCTGCATGGACGCGCTGCCGTGCAGCATCTGCAGCTCCGGCGGCATGTGGTATAGGCCCGGAGTCTGGTGGCAAACGTTGGATATTTAGTATTATACTCTACAACGAGAATTTCCCATTTGCTACAATGTGTATCTAGCTAAGTGTATTTAGGGCAAAAACTGGTAAGTAGAAATAAATATTTATCAGACCATTCAATTAAATAAATTTTGATTTTTTTATAAAGTGATGAACGGAGGCCCAAGCATGTTTTCTTTTAGTGCTGGTGGAATAAATTAACCAATTCCATCCCACAACTACAAATTTTATTAAGATTCATAAGCTAATTTGAATAATTACCTTTTGAATTTAATAATATATTTTAATAATAATAATATTATTGCATAAAATATGATAAAAATGTATACAAAACCAATATTATGTACCTATGGATTATATTCTATTAGGAATAGAAGGGGAGTAGTAGTCTATGGTAAAGAAGTCCCCCAGTTTCAACTACAATACCTATGTAATAATAATACAGATGAGGAGTGTCCGTTCAAAACTAGCTATTTACATTTTGAGCTTGTTTTGTTTTTTTTTTTAATATCCTAAATAAATTTAATCAAAACTTCAAATACAAATCAAAAATATGAATTTAGCTCAAAACTTGCTATTTGAATAATTTAAATAAATTTTATTTTACGATTATAGAGTTTCTAATCATAATGGTCTATTTACTTTATTCTTTCGTTGAATTGACTGAGATGTTGAACAAAAGAATTCACATACTGCTAATCTATTTACAAATTATTTTTTTATCAAACTAGATTTTGAAGCCATTTACCAAATGATCCAAAACTAAAGTGTCTATTTACTACCATCTGCATCAAAAGTATTTGTATTTAGTGTGTATTTACAAACTTCTTAATTTTTAAAAGAATAATTAACAAGCATAAGAAAAATATAAGTATTAAAAAAATTGTTCATAAAGATGATTAGACAACTATATGTTGTAAAGCGTAAAACAAAAAAATATTCTATATATTAGACGTTTTTAATTAATCGTTTTTGGCATTTTCTATAAAATTCATTCTGACGTAAATAGCTAGTTTTGAACGGACACTCCTCAGATATTGTCTATGGTATAGTAGACTCACGTGGTGCGCGTGTCGGTGGGGCGGCAGGGTAGGCCGGGCTCAGTAGGCGGAGGCCTCCTTGTACTCGGAGTTGTCCATGGTGAAGAAGTCCTCCAGCTTCCACTGCAGAGTCTCAAAGGTGGGTCTCTTCAGGGGATCCTTGTGCCAGCACTCGAGCATTATTTCGTATAACGCCGCCGGACAGTTGGGCGGGCACGGCATACGGTAACCGTGCTCCACTTGGTGTAAGACTTCGGCGTTCGTCATGCCTGGTAGGGTTGGATAGAAAAAAATATCATATATTATATTTTTTTTAAGCATGTAACTGCTTGATGTTAAAATCTAAAGAAATATAACTATTAAAAAAAACCACGCGGTCCAGGCAGCAGACGGGAGTCGAACCCGCACTCTGCGCTACCCGGGCGAATGCACTGACCAATTATGCTACCGCGGCCCTGAATACAGCGTCGAAATTCCTCTAGCCACTCTTAAGCTGCAATGCAGCGCCATCTCTTCGCATTGTAGGTAACCCGTCGCCGTAACGTCATATTATATTGTTTTAAACTTTCCTGATAACTAAATTTAAAGCTAGGACACACCCGCCACTAATCGCTTTGCAATAATCACGTCGTCGTGAAGCTATTGCACATACGTAACACATTTGATGATTGCAGTTGCAATTATTTTAGACAGACGTCAACCTTGTAGCATTACTTTTCGATACTAATATTTGTGTGCATAATAAGTGCGCGCTGCGATAGACACATGAGCAACTATCGCGTTGCACTGAAATTGAGGGGCCATGCAACTAAAAAAAGTTGCAGATAAATTGTTTTGAAACTATCGCAAGTGTGGGCGCTATGCAAATATGTATTAGTCTGAGAGTTATCTTGTCTCGTATCTATATACGTTAGTATAGGATGTCAGGGACACGCTTTCCATCAATAAAAATAATAACAGTCTCGGTCGAAGAATCAATAAATACATTGAGTCTAAATAATGGCGGAGTAATGTTTGAGCAGCAAATCGGAAGTAAAGTTACTTATTATTCAAAGAAAATCAATCCTAAAAGGAATATTTACATCTATCATATCATATCTACAGAAATATTTGTTTTATTTTTTTGCTGAAAATCATTGTGACATATTTAAAAAAAACTGGTTTAATGAAAAAAGGAAATGTGTGAGATAGGACTCACCTGGATAAGGTATTCTTCCGTATGTGACCAGCTCCGTTAGAAGGATACCGAAGGACCAGACGTCTGACTTGATAGAGAACTTGCTGTAGTTGGCCGCCTCGGGAGCTGTCCACTTGATGGGGAACCGGGCGCCCACTCGCGCCTCGTACTCATCCTCCTGCCAAGCGGAAAACGCCTTTATTAACAACACTCTGCGTCACACGTCGCCGTCAATACGTGTTCATTAAGTATTTACTAACATAAGTATTCAGTTTATTTACTAATTATGATGTTTTATATGTATAGATGTTAGACTTTAAGGTAGGCAACGTAGGCCCACGTTGCCTGACCATAAATTAATAAAAAAAAAAATAACATGCTTTTGAAGTGAATAAGGCATAGGGGAATCGACCAGCGCACGCATCACTTATATATATATTGTCGCGTGTGACGTTCGTAGCGTTTCAGCCTTCGCCGTGTTACCTTCCAACTTTTATGCTCGTAGGGAAGAGCTGCGCACGCATCACACACACACACACATATTTATATAGACGTGTGACGCTCGTGACGCATTTCTGTTTCATCTTTTCCATAGGATTTTTCCATTTAGATGAAACAAAACGACGAAAGCCAGCCGAAAAAAAACCAGCATCTTCCGATATTCTGGGGCCTACCGCCTATCGGGATTACTTTGACTAATGCTAGCTCATGATTTTTGTTATTTCTCACCGCCGAAGGTTTTCGAACCTTGCGCTCATTTTCTTTAATATTTTTATCACCAATCACCAATTCATTTTTCGAATCCCGTTGGATGTAAATGGCCCGATGACATTCAATGGGTCCTAATTGTAGCATTGGACTTCAAAAGGTTGATGATGATTTTGAAACCACAATAGTCATTTTAAATAGCCAACCCATGTCCCCACTGCTGCTCTGTTGAAGTATCGGTCTTACCTAAGTAGAGTCATTACTCAAAATCAGCAAATAACAGTTGAAAATGCATTACGAGGCACTGAGGAATTCGGAACAGTAAATAATTAAAAGCAATCTAGTTTCTTATATTGTATTTATGACGTACATTTTGTTGTAATATTAATAAAAAATATGAAATTATGTCGTCACTGCCCGTAGCTAGGGGAGGGGAGGTCATTATGGGGCAAAGCCGTACCTTAAAATACCCCTGCCTTATCTTAAGTAGGTACAATTCTGGCTAGGGCCCTATATGTCTTCCATATAGTTGAAAATACGCTTAGTGATAAAGATCATGATGTCTCGAATTGGATCGCTCGGTCTGATGTCTTGAATGGACCATAAGATTTTGTATTATTGAATGTTACGTACATAATGCAGGAGTCTACAGGCACATGTCAGTTAGCCTTGGTGCTGTGACATCATGGTGTGAGGTCAAAGAAAGCCACAAGCGGTAGTTAAAGTAGCAATACGCGGTCACCACAAATTGCTTTCACGTGAGTTTTCTATAAATAAACCGCTAATGCCATATTAGTGTTTGCACCGATACATTTCAGTCAGAGATGAACCGGCGCAGTTTGGTTTATTTTAACTGCGAGACAATAGCCGTCAAAAAAGATTAATGACGTCAACACCATTGTGACGCGATGCGATGCGAATTTCACGGTGATTTCGTTACAGAATTAAAGTCAGCTCCATCGCACTTTTTGAATAACTCGCGTTTGTCTAATCACGGACGCTCGCAAAAAACCGAATAACAAAGAACGAATAGTTTTTGTGTCATCTCGAGTGTAATAAATTTAACTTCGGTCCGTATCCTCCTCGTGGATTTGGTAATTTTTGGGTGAATTGACGTAAACGAGGCAGCAGTTAAATAATGCTTGGTGCGATTAATTTCCGGTGGTTGGTTGTTTGTGTTTACCAAATACAAGAAACGTCATTCAAATTTGTTTGAGAACTGCTAAGTTTAAGTAGCGTGGGCTTAATGAACAAAGTATGGAAGTGATATTTCAGAATGCTTCAATTACATTAAGTTCTAAACAATGTTCGCAGATTCAGCATTTAAATTCGGTAAAATATACAATTAAGTACATAATATAGAACTTGGTTCATTTCGATTCCTTGTAGATATTTTTAGGATTTTTATGGATCAAAGATACAATTCTGACCATTGAAAAAGTTGAGATAGTTTATATCGATAATATCTTAATGAACTTCTAAAGAGGTAAATGGATGAGCGAACCGAATCACGAAGTATTCTGGTAGAACTTACAGCGTACAAACAAAATTGTATAATTACTTGTCAAAAAATCTCCCTTTCACACGGTATTGATACGGGGATAAATCTTGCGATTTTATAGACTTAAAGCCGTACTCAGATACGTGAAATAAATTTAATGCTTCTTTAAGTCAAGTGTTGTCTCATTTTATTTTTATCGCAAAGATAGTACCTACAACTTTTGAAACCTAAAACTGACTGTTCTGACTGCGGCCGCTAGTTTTCCTTGATCTACCATAACTCACACAGACAGTGTGTGCATACCTTGATGAGCCTGGCGAGGCCGAAGTCTGCAATCTTCACAATGTTAGCGTCGGCGACGAGTACGTTCCTCGCGGCCAGATCGCGATGGATGTAGTTCTGAGACTCGAGGTACGCCATGCCGGCCGCTATCTGCGCCGCCATGTCGATCAGCTGCTGCAGTTTCAGGCCTCGCCCTTTACCTGTACAACAAAATTAATAAGCTATTTAAAGGAAGAAAGAATTCAACAGGTGTACCGACAGTCTTTTTAAAAGGAAAGGTAAAGGGAAACAGCTGGATGCGGACAGTTAAGGACAGATCAGCGTAGTGATATTTTGGGGATGTCTGTACAGTTGGCGTTGTATGGGTTAAATAATGATGATGATTTGAAATAAAACAAATATACAAGGCGAAAAACCAAGGATGTAAAGCCGAAGAAGAGATTTAACATCAATATCGACTTGATCTTAGTTCTAAATCAAATCGAATAATCGATTAACCCCAGTTAGTGCCAAATTGTTTTTTTACGAACCGGAGATTTTACTTTAAAATATAGAATTAAATGTCCTTATAGAGGTTCGATTAATGTTAACTGATTTGCATCAACAAAGTTCTGGTATTCGCGTCCTATGAAGATGCCTACATATAGGAGTAGTTACTTTACTACTACTCTAAGTTAAAAAAAACATTAATTTTTTAAAAATATTTTATTATTAATTAACAGAATACTGGATGGAGGCGGCCGTATAGGAAAAGTTTACTTACAATATATTTTATTCGCGAGAACAGTAAATGTAGTTGCCAAAATTTCAAAGCCAAGTTTAATGTAATCATAATTAGGCTTCAGTCACTTCCCGTAGTGACGAAGGTCGTTTCACTAACGTTATCATCGTAGTTATAAAGTTAATTGGGTTTCCCTTATGAATTTGGTATAATAATAATTAGATGTAGGTAGAGTTTAATAATTATTTGCAAGGAAAGTGCTACTACTAAAAGATTTAAATTAATAATTAATAACGTTTGTAATCGAGCAATAAATAACTGGGATTCATTACAATCGACTGTATTTTAATTGAGAATATCCGTTATGCACTTGCATAGAAAAATATTATTTTTAAATGATACTTAGCATGAATACAAATTTGCCTAAGTACTGCACAGCCACGTGGCTAACTTCAACCCGACTAAGATTTGTATACATCCCGGTGTACTTCTTGAGCAACGACCATAGATGACAAGAAGGCCTGCGCAGTAGCAATTTTACATACAAAAATGTCTACTGGGCAAGTTAATTTGATTTGTCTGTGGTTTCGCTCAAGGAGTTTTTTACGCCTACGAGTTTATATATCTTGGGACTAGATTTATCAAAATATCTTTAAAATCAGTATGCACCACAACATTGCATAACCAGTTTGTATGTAAATAAAATACATATAAGGTGACTAGTCAAATATCCGTTAATTAACAAAAGGTAACTGGCATTCGTCGGTACTTATTATATTCTTAAGGTCGTAAATATAAACATCGATCATACCTCAACACGATTTGTGGGCATTAAAGAGTTATTCATATAACTACGTGTATTCAGTAAATCCATATCAAAGGGGCAGTCAATGTGGCACAATGGCAAATGTCAAGCGTTGATAAATTGTAATTTCTACTAATGCGATTGCGCGTCGAAGAGCTCTATGGCGCAGGTGGTTAGTGCGTTCGGCCTGCGATTATGGAAGTTAAACAACTTTCGCAATGGTCGGTCATTGTATGGGTGACCAAAAACTTATTATCTGGACTCGAATTAACGGCCAACGGCCTTACGGAAGGCATGTAAAGCCGTTGGTCCCAGTTGCATTTGCAGTCGTTAGCGCCCTAAACTTCCTATTCCATTCATTGGGAGGGCAACTGCCCCAGCAGTGGGGAATTCATAGGCTGATGATGATGATGAATTGAGCGTACCTTGTAGGTAATCGAGTAGCGAGCCGTTCTTCATGAGCTCAGTTATGATATAGATAGGTTCCTCGAGGGTGCACACAGCGTACAGCTGTATCAGCTTGTTGTGGCGCAGCTTCTTCATGATTTGAGCCTCAGCAAGGAAGTCTTTGGGATCCATTGTGCCCGATTTCAGGGTCTTGATCGCGACGGGGGTAGTGTTGTTCCATAGACCCTCCCATACTTCGCCGAATTGTCCGTGGCCCAACTTGCGCACGAACTTCAACGATGATCGGTCAATCTCCCATTGGTCACGCGTTCTGTGCGATAGTCCCTCTGTTACTGGTTTCTCCACCTGTGGACAATTCGCTTTGATTACTATTATGGTATAACTTTCGTAATTCGAGGTAAGAACTTGCGTTGGACATCAAAACAATTAAGGCTTCATGTATTGAAATTTGATGTTTAAAGGACATTAATTGATGTATGTATGACAGCAGTAGTCAATAAAATGAGAAGAAAGTTCGTTATCGGTGCAGAATATAAAAACTTAAGTTTGTAGGTACCGGACCAATAGTGGAGAGCTTCTGACTTATATATTATACTAGCTGACCCAGCGAACTTAGTATTCGTATTGCCATTAAAAGTGGTTGGTGGTAGAATGGTGAAAATTTAGGGTTTTAGGTATGTCGTTTTTCAATATTTGGGGTAGGCAAAGCCTGTTACGAGGAAGTCAATTTTAACCCGTAGGTAGACTGATTTAGAATACCGAACACGAGGGCGATGAAATCATCTAAGAAATATATATAAAGGCACTAATACATTTACTTGTTATGCCATCTCAAGAAATTTATTTTCTGTTTTTCCAAAACACTCGAATGTTAAGATGTCAATTTTCCTGCTCGTTTTCCTCTTAATATATTTTATATATTAAGAAGAAATCGAGCAAATAGGCAATATAGAACACATATATTACCACTCCATACCATACAATATAATTGAACAAGAACAATTTACTAATTTTCCAGTCTGCAAAATAATAGCTTAATCAATATTGCTACACGTAGCACGGAGCACTACGAAATCGGCCTTGCGTGCAACAAGATCTTATTATATTTGAGTAATTAATAGGTAAAATTCAGTGGGACTAAGTTCAATGAGAATTTTCAAGTACTAGTAACAATGGGCCATAACAGTACAATGACGATTGTTCGCCGCTCGGGCCGACAACTGCTAAGTAATGGTTCTCTCACTTTATTTGCAGATGACATTTTGACAGTAAGCACTCCGCGAATACAATTACGTTATTAGGTAAGTATATTGGGGACGACACGTTATGCAAATTGACTACTTTACTGTTCGTGGTTTATTTATTGTGACAAGTAATTTACCGATATCAAATCATCGCTTATGAAATGTGAATTAGTATAATAAGTAACAATGCATAACGTACACGAGTCGTAATAAATTGTGTGCCATTGGCATCGAGTTCATATTCTGTACTTATAATGATACCTCTGTTTCGATATTTTTACTCATTAAATACTTTTCTTTCGATATTAATACTATGGAGATAACAATACTTTTGGTTTCGATATGGTGTCCCTAATTCTGTGTGAGTAAAATAGACCTTACTAAAAACTCAAAATAATATTACCTACACATTAGACATTAGGTGGCATATCATTATGGTTCTTTAGTTTGATCTCCAAATGATATCATACTTTTTAAACTGTTATAAATATGTTGATATAAATATGTTTTTATTTTTTTAAGCATTTAACTGCTAGATGTTTAAATCTAAAGAAAAGTTTTACTAGTAAAAAAATCCACGAAGAGATGGCGCTGCCTTGCAGCTTAAGGCTAGGAAAATTTCGACGTGGCCATCAGGGCCGTGGTAGCATAATGCCAGTGCATTCGCCTGGATTGCGAAGGGTGCGGGTTCGAGTTCCGTCCGCTGCCTGGCCCGCGTGGATTTTTTTGTTATAAATATAATTAGGTATTTCTACAACTCTCGTCAATGAACTGTCATCTAAACTACAAGGCACAGGAAGTATTACACATTCCCGATTGAAACGGAATAGTGTCCCTACACTGACCGTGAGATTTGGTGACTTCATATGAAAGGAATTCATTAGAATTCCTTCTGCTAACAAGATATAGATACCTCATCTGAATGGCTTATTTTGTTACAGATTGCCAAGTTACAGAATTCCATTAAAAACAAAAAAAGTGTTTCAGGCTACACTAATTTAATAATTTATGCTTTATATCGAATAGCTACTAGGTCGTAGAAACGTAGGATGCAAATTGGCAATTAAAGTTAAATTCACATGTAAATCATGTTATTAGTATCAATCTCCACCTCCTCAGTTGATCAGCTAAGTTCGTTTATTGCCACCATTTCAAAACTTGTAGGTATCTTTATTTTTTCATGTTATAGACGTGGTGCACAGGCATATGGCCCACCTGAAGGTAAGTTGCCATCATAGCTTATAAACGCTTGCGATACAAAAAATATCACTCGCGTCGTTGCCTACCCTGACCCAATTCCCTACCTTTTCTGTCTGAAATGAAAAGTCATTTATTCAGTCTAGGCTGTTACAAGCACTTGTGAAGGTCAAGAAGCTACGCCATCGGTTCGCAAAACTAAAACTGTGAGTTAGGTAGGTGTACTGTTTACTACGCTCTGGTGTAGTGGCGCACGTAGGTGCACCGATCCCAGAGCGCCCTCATAAGGGCCGAGGAGGGTACCGGTGGTTTTTAGTGGGTAGGACCGGCGTTGTTCCACGCCGGGGAGTCCCACACACGTCGCGCGCCTGGCAAGCGCGCGGTATGGTGCGTAAATGCATTTTCCACCGTCAACAAAAAAAAAAAAAAAAAAGGTGTACTGTTTACTGTGAGTTAGGTTCCAGGACGTGGAGTCCTCACAGACAAAAACACAACACCACCATAAAGTAGTGTTATTTTACTGTGGTCTTCTGTAAGGTGACGGTTACTTCTCCAGACAGGCGGTCTAATTTGACGGAAAGTCCGTTCTGCTCGCTTAAAGCTTTGAGGAAAATAAATGAATTTTCAAATAATTTTCAGTCAGGGGTTGATAGATAATGCAGCCGTCGTTCTATCTCATTGATAAGTGTTTGTGATTTCCCTCATACATATTCCGATACCGACCCAGTTCAATAATTTTAAACTATTCTGATAAAATATTCCATCCCATGTTGTTAAGTAGGTAACATTTTAATAATACTCGTATGACCTCTTCTTCTCGAGCAGATTTGCATTTTATTTTACAGTGAGTTAATACAAATTTAAGAAAGATGATTTATAAAATAAAAACAAGGTCACTTTTCGCACACACACACACACACACGCACACCCAAATGCATGCACGCGCGCATGCACACACACACACACACACACATAGCCTAGTACAGTTTAATAATGATTACGAGTCATTTTTTCACGTTGGAATATAAATAATAGGGATGATGTCTGGGTTAAGGTGTAAGACGGGGCAAAGGTAAAACGAAGGCCTATTTAGTTCGTCAGTTAGATCATCAAAAAATATAGACACTTATTTTTTCTTTTGTCAATCAACCAAAAAATGATAAATATAAAGCGCGGCGAAGTTCAGAGTGACGGCTCGTGATGTCACTTCTAAGTAAAAATTGTACTAAGAGGGACGTCATGCGGCATTTCAAATCGCTATACCTATCTCTGTAATGTTTTGATTATATGAAAGAGGAAAAAATACGTGTCCACTAGTTCCTGATAGACGTTGAAATTTTTTTTTGTCATCCTCCCTACAGCTTTAATCAACACAGAAAAATGTAAATCTCAATTTGCTACTATAATTTCTAGAACGAGTACTATAATTCATCAAAATATCGATTTAATAGAACCAAGAAATCGCTTTACGATTTATAGATCCCAGATCACTACGCCTTCGGCAATGTAATATGAGAGCTCGTCTACCCTCTGTGCAACCATCCATGGTCCGTCGCGGTAGTTCCTTCTGGTTACCTTTGCCTTCAGACAGTTCAGCTACACCGTACCGAACGAAAAACGAGGAAAAAATTATAAAATTAGAACATCTCATACAGGGAAAGTTAATGACTACTAGATGTTAGAGAATATGTTACAGATAGGAAAAATGATTGACCACATCCATAGTAAGCCCCATTTTTCTGAAGTGCATAAATATATATATTTCTAATTTGGACCTATTAGTGCTTTTGTGGGTTGACGCAAATTGTGTGTACGTGACAAACATAAAAAGTGGTGATTAAGAAGTCTCAACCACTTTCGACCCGAGGCTGCTAGGGATACTGCCAGGGGTGAAAGAGGTGTAAAAAGTATAGACATGGAAAGAGGAGGGGAAAACAGAGAAGTATTAAGATGAGGTAAGAAGATAAGATAAGGAAAGGAACAAAGAGACGTAGTAAGAGGAGGTACGAAGATACTTATTGTTCTTACTTAAAATAAGACTTATATTAGTTCAGTTACTCAGATTTGTGAATATTTATCAAATGGTACATTAAAAGGCATTGAAATATACGTTAAAGATAAGCAGGGGCTAGATGATAATACTTCAAAACACTGAATGTTTGTAAACTACAGAGAAACTTGAAAAAACACTAAAAATATTTATCTACTGTCCACGCTACTAAATAGCTGGTTTGACCTCAAAAAATCTTTTATTTCGAATTTAAATATAGCCAGCCTTGTTTACAAAAGAATAAAACTAACAGAAAAATACACCTGGTACACGCACAGTGAATTGAAGTAGCAATATGTTATATTAATATCGGTAGGCACAATTTGATTCAAAATAAGTTCTTATCGATAAATTAATTCGTTAAGGAATAAAAATTACTGATAGATCTCCATAACATTTTTATTTTATCTTCAAACACTATCAAGGTGTGTTACGTCAATAAAATTTAATGCATGCATAAAAAGAATTAAATCACGTGTTAATTCTTTTTTCTATTTGTTATTGCAAAGAAGTATACTGCACCACCTTTATAAAAACTAACTTCAAATTTATTTAAGGTCTACGTCTGCGAATGCGACCGTTACCTTGTTTCTTAGACTCGATTACGTATTTGCGAAAATGCATGGCGCAAGTGGTTAGCGCGTTCGGCTGCGGTCGTTGAAGTTAAGCAACTTTCGCAGTGGTCGGTCATGGGATGGGTGACCAAAAATTTACTATCTCGAGCTCCTCCGTGCTTCGGAAGGCACGTTAAGCCGTTGGTCCCGGCTGCATCTGCAGTCGTTAGCACCCACCAATCCGCACTGGGCCCGCGTCGGGTCGTGGCCCAATCTCCCTATACCATCCATAGGGAAGGC